TTTTAACTCTGAGCAACAATTGAAAATGCTTTGATACTGAAGCTCAATTCATTCCTAAACCTAGTCACAATATGTCACCATGAAGAGCGATGCACGTGGAAATGCTCAGCAAGTGCCGACCTTCACTTACATATCTTTGTGGTACCCACAATACTGCTTGACAGGGGATCGCAGGCGTCATTGGGTTTGGCTGGGACTCGGAATTTTTGTGGAGACCACGTCGTTTTGCTCTGGATTTGAGATTCAGGGGGTTACGAGTTATCAACTCTGTCATTCAGGGATCAGGTTTAAATGAGGCATCATATTACACCATCTACTCCGTACTCTAGGTACTCAAAGATATTCAATATTGCACTATGTAATCTCTACATAGGTCCTGTTTGTTGTATTCCGGGATTCACCGCGACTTATAATTACGATTGTTCCCTTCTTCTTTCCTCTTAATAAATGCCTACAAGATGAATATGTAACAACCACCCATTCCAACCATGTGGATCCTCAATCTCCGAGCCTGCCAAACCGTATACCCATCCTGGTTAACTCACCAACCTACCTCGTCGCCGAAGGAACCACACACATGGAGAGTACGTCCCGGAGCCATGGATGCGTGCTCTCCCAAGAGTCCTAACAGGCTAGCTAGCACCCGAACTACCCCCTTAGAAGCCCACGTCAAGAAAGGCCAAGCCCGGCCACTGGCCCGTCCTCAGGGCATCCACCCGCGGAACGGCGCGTGGATTTCCCGCCCGGCGCTGATAGATCGTCCCCAGACTTGCCCAGAGGAGCCAGAGGAGGGAGGAGAAGAAGTTGGAACTGAGAAGCCTGAAAGAGCCTGGAGGGTCGTAGATTGTGGCCGGTGGGGACCTGGCTGGTGCGTTTAGTTAGGGATGGGACAGCGAGACTGCAACTGGTGGTAATTTCCCGTCGGAAAAATCAATTGAGATGCTGTACTGTATGTAGTTGCAATTTGCGAGGCAGATGTATTTGTTTTTGCGGGTGATGCCGAGGTTGAGTTGGTTTTTGAATTGTTAGGCTTGCAGGGCTGGTTAAGAAGCCCGTGTTCCTCCGAGGTGCTTGGTGCCCAGTGGTGGCCGTGATTTGGGTCCGTGAGGAGTCGGAGGGTGTGTGCGAGGGGGGTTGATTGATTACTGATCGAGAGATTGATTGTGCAGACTAAGAAAACAAAAAAGAAAATTCCGGGCGATTTCTCCCACTGCCTAACGGGGTTGTTTGATTTAGGGGAGGGCTTGTTGATGGCTGTTGCCCCGTTGAGATGACGATATCCCCTCCCTTCTTTCATATTGATTGCCTGCCCTCTTCTTCGTTAATTTTTAACTACTTTCCTATTGTGGCTGTTGCTAATCAATGATTCAATCTACTGCAGGTCCAGCTTCGCCCTCGCCGCGCCATCATCTTTTGGAGCTACCATAGACGCATGCTAAGGATGTTAAGGACAACGCCAGCTCCATCCATAGCCTGAACTATTTACGAACACAGGCTATTCGGAACAACACCGCTTCACAAACCGTAGTGATGTGCAACACTTAAGAAGTAATGAGGGCTATGCCTCATGGCCCCCCTTCGATCCTTCTCCCCAGGGGCTTCTTTTCCCCAATCGCATCCCAGGGTTGCACTTTACTCCAACTGCGGCGTATACTCCCTGCACTTCATCATCACCTAATTGGTTTGGCGGCAAGGCCCGAGATGAGCAGTTGGGCGCGATGGGGGAAGAAGGGGCCAAACAGACTATTCTCCTCATCTCCAATTGTCGTCGTCCATTCTTTTCAGAGAAGACAGGGGGCCCTCGTCTGCGGCGGATCCTCCCGTCTTACTGTCCGACCGTTAGATGGAGTCGCCATATGGCTTTTCATGCCAAAGGCCCGCTATGGTCTCGCCCTGGCTTGGTCTGTGACGGACGGGAAGATGCGAACGGCTGGACTACCCTATGTAGGCCTGGGGCCTTGTGAGCACTGGGCCTCTGTCCTCGACAGCCAGTGATGGACTGGACATATCACCGACCCGGTCTTTGGCGTCGTCTCCGGAACTCTTGATTGACCCCGTCGCTTAGCTGCTTTGTTCTTTTTACCGGAATCTATCGTCTCGAATTTGATTATCTCGGCAGTCGCCGAGCAGGAGAGGTGCCTTGGCTGCAGCGGCGCGCGGTACGCGTACATGTGTCCTGTGCAGACATTTTGTACAACGTGACTTAAGCTGACCCAGGCGATCGGCAGGGACGTTTCCAGTTGCCTGGATGCTGGGTAGACTATCTTGCAACTGGGGCAATGGCTATGTTAGTCTTCCTGCTAGCGAAGCTGGCAGAAGCTCTGTTTCAGGGGGGCTTGTGGTTCATCGTGTCTTCATGAGACAAGAACTTAGTGCCGGGATGATTCCGCGGCTAGCAAGTTAACTTCGTAGTACACGTTAATCAATTGATTTACTTGTGGTCGTCTTTAGGGGGGAATATACCCAATTTTAGGTAAATGACTTGGCGCTTCGTCGACTGGGGTCGTGTTTCAAATGGAACATTCGATTGGGGGCTGACGGGTCGACCTTCCATCTTTAGCTTGCCTCGTCAAAACAAGGCTCCATTAGAATGCGGTGAATGGAGACGCCAGTGCAAACCGACTGAACTCTAACAAGCCTTGTCTTCTCACGATGGAGCTTCGAGAAGATATCAAAAGGCTGATCTGGGTTCTAGGTCCCCTGAGTGACATTCCCTGAACATAAGTGGGGATGCAGACTTACATCAGAAGGCAGGGTGATATCTTGGAGACCTACGGCAGATATAACCTAATCGGTCACAATCAAGACTGCCTGCACCTAAATAAGCATAGCAGCAACATTCTAAGACGAATCGGGTTATCAGATGCGAGCAAACAAAGGATCTGTGTCGGACTTGGATTGGTCACCCTTCGACTGCACAAACTGAAATCATGCACTAATGCATTGATTGTCAATACCTATGCAAGCTATTGCGACCAGAGCCAATCATTCTGATTGTCTGCTCTACAATTAGGATTTCCAATAAAAACTTCGCCTGCAATCGCATTGAAGATGGGAACGAGGCTGCGTTAGGAAGGAGCTCATTTCGATAAAGCACTAGATTACGGCCAATCGTGTTCATTCAATGCCAGGCATGACCGAGCAGTTTGTTTTTCTTCTACAATCTTGATATGAGAGAAGCAGAAATTCCCTTTTCCCGGGACAGGAATTGATAACATCGTTGCTGTGTGATAGACTATGACCCGTGTATCTAAGCGCTCTTGTTGTTGATCTTGAGCAGCTCGACCTCGCTGTGAGACGATTAGTTTCTGAACAAAAATGTCTACTCAAGGGCTAAAATTCGCAAGAACTTACAAGATCAGAGTAGAACCAGCGGGAATCTTGCCAGCCGACCTAGGGAAGAGTCAACGTTAGCAAAGTACAGCCTCGACTGACCGACGCCACAATTCTGTATCACTTGAGCACTTTAAATATCCACTTACTTGTCGCCGTATGCGTAGTCACTAGCTCAATGTTACTAGCAGTTCATTTGAATTTCGTTCAATCAGGTACTTCACTCACGGAGTAATGGTCAGAATGGACTTCTCGCCCAGAGTCATCTGCTGGACACCCTCATCCCAGCCTAATCAAACTGGGTTAGCATTCAAATTTATTACATGCAACAAATAGGCCGGATCAATCTAAAATCCTCAAAGATGGTTCGATGATGGCGAGATATAAAAAGGAAAAAATACCCTTGATGACCTGTCCAACGCCAATCTGAACATTTAAAGGGCCTCGGCCCGGAGACCGGGAGCTGTCGAACCTAGTGACAGGAGTTAGCGCTACTAAATTCCAGAACTAAAAGTGCAACAATCTTCGATATCGCAGCCAACTTACTGCTTGCCCTGGAATCCCTTGTTGGCCTTCTTGGCATCGTACAGCCAGCCGGTGTAGTGGATCGAGACGTTATCGCCCGAAGCGGGCGAGTCGGAGCCGTTACCACGGGTAATAATCTTTCTCTCGACACCCATTATGATGATCCTTTGATGATTGTGGAATCGGAGTTGGTCCTTGGAGAGGGGAATGGAGGATAAGAGGACGTTCGAAAATCGAGGGGCAACGCTGATTCGCAATTTTTCTCTGAAAGTGGGGGTGCAAGCGGTAAGGGCGGTTGATGGTGGTGCTACTGTAGAGGGAAAGCTCGAATGACCTTTACCGGATTCATCAGGATTAATTCAGATGGTGTATAGTGCTACAGGGTTTAATTTGTGTCTCGAGGTTTCTTATCACCAATCAAAGAGTCATTTTTGAGATAGGATCTTAAAGTACTTTGATGCCTCCGTAGGTCAGCTGCCCAGAGACTGAGACGCTTATATAATCACATCCAATGCCTGGGCGATGCACGGACTAAGTCTGTAGTACAGTATGTTGCGAAACCGGTGCAACCGCCTCCACTCTTCGAGTGACTTTCTAGGCTCACCGCCAAGAGAAACTAGAGCATATTAGGAATAGCCCCGGAATATTAATATTCCTGTACCAGTCTCGTTACTATCATTTACTTTCATTAAATACGGTGCCTTGTTTCGTAACTGTATTGGCGCAAGAGAACTAGAATTTTCTATGGAAATAGAAACATGTCAAACACTAGATCTAAGGATTGCCTCGAGAACCTAGCGACCTGACACATCCCTCCGCCACTCCTGTGTCCAAGTGACGGGCTGGGGGTCTTACTCGGCGCCAGACCTTAGCAAAATAGTGGCTTACATTACTTGTGTACTGTACAGTACACGTCGTACAACCCAGTCAATTGGCTTTCAGTCGTGTAATGTCTACCAGAGCCCGTGGCCGGGGTTGGTCGCCATTAATCAAGGCTGGTGATGTCATGGTCGAGAATCTGACGGTGAGAAATAGCGACGTCTTCTATATATATAATTGCTGAGTTTCGAACTAGTATATTCTTACTTCAAAATATATTTCGGAACACTAAAGAACCCTGCACAATCTTGAAAAAGCCAGTAATGTCTGGTGACATTGAAACTTTTACCGCAAGCCTATACGGCGAGCTTAGACGTGGAGATGCCTCGATGAGAGACCTCAAGACTCGGCTCGTAGCAGACGTCAAAAAGGCTCTTGTGGAAGTCATTGCCGAGCGTCCTGGTACAGCTTGGGTGGATTACCACGGCCATACTAAAAAGGTGGCGGAGCACGGCAAGTTGTATGATGATGCGACGAACGATGAAATCTGGTTTGACCATGATGGTTCCGAGACCAAGCCAGGATATTGGAAAAGGGGGACTATAGCTTACTTAACTGCAACTTTCCATGTTGAGGATGTTTAATCTTGTTTCTCAATATGTTTCTGGGACTTAAGGGCAGTTCCCTAGAATGAAGTGAAAAAGTGAATTTGCTTTTCTCGCGCGTACGTATGTGTCAGGCCTGTTCTTGGGCATAATACAGCAGTAAGGGCGTACTTATCGAGAATCAGTGTCTCGTATATCTAGTATCTGCTGTTTGTATCTAACTGTTAAGCTGTAATATACGAGAACGGCCCGTGGCTATACTAATACTATCGATATCTATATCGGTCTAGGCTTTATGCTAGACCTGATTATACTTAGCACAATTAGTCTAGCTCACGTAGATCAAGACTATCTCTAGTCTATAGGTACCTAGGCCCTAAGATAATAAGGGTAGCTTATGTTATTTCTATACTAAGATTACTAAGAATACTAAGAATAAAATAAGGTAAAGATACTTAGTAGTAGGGATCTTCTTCCGCTTTAACCCTAAGTGATAGTAAATCGAACGCCCAGTACGGCTACACTCGACGCCAGTTTAAGCGTTCATTTTTCTAAAATCTTAGTCATCTTTTCAGCAGAATCAAAATCAAAATCAAACATGTTTATTGTTTGCTCCCAGAGTCCTACCATATACGAGTCATTATAGTAACTACTCTTCGCTTCTATGAAAATATCAATTTACTCTTACAAAATACAGCAAGGCTGGAGACTAAATTGAAGATGAATTGCATATAATTCACAGTGCTTCCTAAATTACTTTCCTGTGCAGTCCGGCCACACCATCAGCACCAAAACAAGATCAAACATCCTCAAAATGAAAACTTGCTTTGATATGAGCTGTAGTCCAGCCTTTCCAATGTCCTGGCTTGGTCTCGGAACCATCATGGTCAAACCAGATTTTATCGTTCGTCGCATCATCATACAACTTGCCGTGCTCCGCCGCCTTTTTAGTATGGCCGTGGTAATCCACCCAAGCTGTACCAGGACGCTCGGCAATTTTGTTTGGAAAGATATCTCTAATTTGAACGGAGAGTCGGTCCTTAAGGTCGCTCATGGAAGGATGTCGACCTTCATGCTCGCCATATAATTCTGCTTCGAAGGATCTTCTGTCGCTAGACATTACGATTGTGGGTTTGCTCAAGGTGAGGCTAAGGCTCTTTGATGCTCAAGAATATGGATTAGGTTCTTCGATGATCCAGGATATAAATTTTGTAAAGAAGCCCAGGGTGAGAAAGGCGATTTTATAGATGGGAGGAATTTCCAGAGCCTCTGCTAGAAGAGTCTCGCCAGTCTAGATTTATGGCACAGGAGACTCTTCCATGGTCACTTGATTTACGTAAAGTTTGGTCATAAGAGAAGGGAAATCTAGATTAAATCGACAAGGGACCAATGTAACATGTCCAAATACGATACTAGATGACACAATGCTACTTAAGCCGATAAAATGGCTAGTTCAAATAAATTGTACAGCGTTCACATAGTGGTTTATGATGGTAATCAGTCTATGCTTTTTTTTCTCTTATTTATTAGGAGGAAGAAAATGATTTTGCGATGAATTAGATCGCAGAACTTTCTTTAGTGGGTTCAGTCCATCCGATCAGGATTGTGATAGTATGTTCCATCTGTAAATTTTCATGACGTCTGCATTTAACACGAGTTTAAATGGTTATATTACGTCTATTCTATGTTCCATGGTCTAGACCGTATCCAGATAGAACGACCTAGGGAGGGCCGTTTGCGGCCGATAAACGGGTCACGCGTGGGCGATAAAAATAAACTTTGATTTTGTTCTTGGCATATAAATAGCACAAACTATATGATCTTTCATGGAGGGTATAACTAAAAAGTTGAAACTTATCGAGTTAATTTTTAGAATGTATGACGATAGAGCCTCTTATGACTACACTCTACACGCCATACATGTGGTGTTACCCGAATATTATAGGACGGAATTAATTCCAGTCAGTGAGAATGTTAATAAAAGCAGCGGTTTACAAAATGATGATAACTATAGACTTTTGTCGTAGTAAATAGTCTAATAAATTACTAACTTACAGTAAAGCTACCTAAGTAAATAACACTAAGGGATTAGACCGGTCGGTTAAATCCTAGAGCTTATAAATTGAACTCACTAAAATAATATATATAAATTCTTATACTTATAAATATAGACAGGATCAGGATCATAAGCATACTACGTACTAAATATTTAAAGTTTCCCTCCTTCCCTTAGATATGAAAGGGCGACTGACGTCTACGTTTATCGTGAGTGTTTTAACTACTATATTCCTAGTCTACTATAAACGCCGTAGTCTCTATAGCCCGGCCGGATAAGATAGTCGCTGTTTGCGGATAGTATAACTTAGGGTTAAAGCGGAAGAAGATCCCCGCCACTAAGCATCTTCACCTTATTTCATTCTTAGTATTCTTGGCAATCTTGGCATAGAAATAACACAAGCTACCCTTATTATCTCAGGGCCTAGATGCCTATAGACTAGAGATAGTCTTGATCTACGTGAGCTAGACTAATTGTGCTAAGTATAATCAGGTCTAGCATAAAGCCCAGACCGATGTGGATATCGATAGTATCGGCGTAGCCACGGGCCGTTCTCGTATGTTAAGGCTTAACAGTTAGATGCAAACAGCGGATACTAGACATACGAGACACTGATTCTCGATGAGTACGCCCTTACTGCTGCATTATGCCCAAGAACAGTTCTGAATTACCACCTTGTCTGCACCTGTAATAAAAGCGCCTTTATTACTCTAGTCACTACATTCAATTCACATCCACGAGCTCTCAGCTAGTATATATCCATCCTGTGCCGCTCATCATGGCCGCTATCGTGGGCTTCCCAACCCAGTCAGAGCCAAATATAATCCCCGACTACGAGGTCAGGCTCTTGCTCAATCCGACAGCGGTTCTTGGCCCTGAACATGAGCTAACGAGTACTGTTCTATCGGCCTTCCATATTGCCCCGACTGTCACTAGGATGAATGTCCAGTTCCTTGACAAGGGCTCCAAGGAGATCTATCTCGCCGGCTGGAGCGCCCGTATCCGCAAGGCCGAAAACGAGAACGACTTCGAGTTGACGTATAAGAAGCGGTATCCCATCGTGGGCGGCGATGTTGATGCCGCTCTTACTGTGGCTAATAACGATGGTTTAAACGCCAGGAGCACAAAATATAAGGCGCAAGTGGAAAGGGGTTACCAGAAGCAGACACTTTCTATCAGCCGCAAGAAAACCGTAACGGATACCGGGGTTAGCAGAATTGACCTCCCGGATATCACCAACTCGCGTAAAATGCTGATCGATGAGGCGCCGGATAAGTTCGACAACTTTGGGAGCAACAAATGGGGCACCGGTGCGTTAGCGGTGTCGCGCATCTTTGGGCCAGTCCTCGTCAGGCGCTCCACTGGCTTGTGGAAAGGAATGCAGCTATACCTCGAGACCTGGCCCCTCCTGAACTCCACAGGCACAGGAATCGAGTACATCGTTGAGGCTTCTTTCAAAACGACGAGTCGTATGACAGCCTCGGTTGAGCAGACAAACTTAGCTGCCTATTTGGAGAGCCAGGGCTGGCTGCTCGCGGAGGACTCGCTCAAGACACAGCTCATTATGGAGCGCTACTAATATGGCGCGTTTGTGGGTCAGCGGAGGTCCGCTGTATTGAATTTACACGCGAATACATGCCTGAAATTATTATGTAACCTACGTACGAAGGAATACATACGCAACTCCCGGAAGAACTCTAAAAATAGACTAGTGTGTCTTAGCGTAAGGGGCAGAAAAGTCAATCGAAGAGTGGAGTGGTTGCACCGGTTTCGCGACGTACTGTATCTGAGCAGGGACATCCCAGTATCACACTGTTGATGTTTGTTTGATCATAATCGAAGCCAGATCATGCCAATCTTATCTAACGGCTTGATTGATATTTACAGATATCTTTTGATGCTTACGTCCGAACATGGCTGGATGCCCGTGATTTAAGGTACCATCTCACATTAGACCAAAAATTGGGCCACAACATACACAAATATGGAGTTCGATGCATCTTATCCAAGTCAATTCATCGAGTGTGGGCCGTGTGATCAGAGAACGCGATCCATCCTGTTGCACGCCGAGGTCGTTGAAATCCCACTCAATTGGCGCCACACAGTGGCTACTATCCATTACAGCATCTGGGAGCTGATCCAAGAGCTGAGATTGGGCTAATAATTGGCTTTGCACGTCCAGAGTTGTCGTTGATAGCTGATGACGTTTCTGCTGATCGTAGGCAGATACAGACTGCACTTCGAGATACTCACCCGATGGCTGAATATGGCCAACGGGATTTTCAACTTCACTTTTGTTTTCGAGGGGCGGCAATTGTTCCTCTTGCTGACCGGAATAACTCGAGTTGAGATGACTTTCCAACATCTGGGGTTCTCGTCAATTTTTCGCTTTCCCGTTTCGTCGCATTTGGTTCCATTTGCGCGATTTCGGCGGTCATTGGATGATCCGGGGTGTCTTGACTCATTCGATCCCCCTCCTTTGTCATTGAGGGATTCCCTTCAAGTTGATGTGGATTTAGGAGACTAGTCACCCGGGTGACAACTGGCTTTCTTTGAGATGACTGGTGAGGAATCTGGCCAGAGATGCTTTCGTCTTTGCCTCCTTTGAACTTTGAGAGCAATAAATTCTGCTCTAGTATCAGATTTTCATCTCCATGATCTTCTTAATGATCTTTGGATAGAGGCTTGTCAATAAATTGCTGTACAGATTTTTTAATGGCTTCACGTAGGCTTTTTAAGGGCTGAGCATTCCCCCTGTGTGCCCTAGCCTTGTGGTTCTCCATTTGTGCTTCGACTACCACGTAACAAAACTGGCATCGATTCCCAGTCGTCTGTAGCTGACGGATCTCCGATATAGGGTGATTCTGGCAATGCTATTGGAGAAGACATGGGAGAACCACCGACGTTTTGTTTGGGCGCAATCCTTCGGTAACGATGCACATTGTAGCGTGGCTTAAGTGGTGATTGCTTCGAGATAACTGGGTCAGTCGACGATGGACTGAGTGCTTGTAGCGATTCCGTCTCCTCCACCTCTTCGCCAGCCACGGCAGTCAGATTTTGATATGACACTGATAACGATATTTTGTGGTGATCCCCAAGAACCACGGTTTCAGCACTGGATGTATCGGTATCTAAGTCATCATCACTGCTACCACCTTCATCTCTCGGAAGACATGCCAGTGAGATTTCCTCTAGGTGTTTCCCGACGTGAGTTGCGTATGCCTTTCTTGATTGCCAACCACTCTGTGAGCACAATGCACACTGATGTTTCTTGAATTCGGGCGTCAACTCTGCCTCTTGAGCCTCTGTAACAGCGGCAGTCAAACGATGTGCGGTCAAGACAATATCATGGCACTCGATCATATGCTTGTTAAATGATTGCGGCGTGCTAATGATTGCCCCGCAGGTAAAGCAGCGCCAACGGAGAACAGTGAAGTGTTCATTGAATTCATGTTCCGCCCATAGCTTACGGGTGGAAAATGTCTTCAGAGCGTCTTGACATTGTTCGTGTGTGCAAATATACGACTCCAAATCAGCAAAAACATGCATCCTGTTCCATTAGCATCCTCTTTATCATAAAATAGTACTCGTGTTTCCGTGTTGACTCACTTCCACTGAATTCGATTGAGCATAGAAACAGTCCTTCCACAGTAGTCGCATGCAAATGGAACCCCATAGTCCTGTAGAAGAGGGGGAACTCGAGGTCGGCCTTGAGCCTCTTCCCCAGCAATTGAGAGGAACGAAGCATGAGAAGCAACCGAGGCAGCGTACTGTGAAACCGTAGGAATGGAACTTCCAAGGCCAGAATCGTGGAAGAGTGAATAGGGCTTGAAGACTGTCTGAGCATCTCCTACTACGAACAGTCCTTCCTCCTCTTGTCTTTGCGCTCGAATGCGGACGGACCTTTCCCAATTCGCCTCTGCTAACCTCTCTACAAGATGGACCGGTGCACTTGTGAATCTACCTGGTATGTCAGTATAGGTTATCAAAAGAGATAATATGACCACACCGACCTATCGCGGATACGCATGGCATATGGCTGAGCCTCGTGGGATAATTGAAACATATTTTCGAGCGAGACAGGCTGCGGTTCGACCTTGTGCTTTGAACGGGATAAGGTTTTTTCAATCAGCGGCGCGAGATCTACCAGACAGCTCACATAACTGTGAAGGCGCCCAAGGCGGTTCTTCTGACGCTCAGCGGTTGAAGATGAATCGTCAGAAGTCTCGTCATCCGAAGACGAGTCAGATCTTTCTTCAGCACCAAGCATTATTCTTTCTTTTTCCAACTGCATTTCAAGCTCATCTTTAAATATCTTTCTCGACTTAGACTCGTTCTGTTCCCTGTTCATTGGTCCCTGGTAATTCTCGAAGTAGGAGAGAAGGATGTTGCCGATCCCCGTCAGGTTCTCGACCGCGTTGATCTTCAAGTCACTCGATTCGCCGAGTATTGTGTCAAGATGCCCAGAGGGAAAATTCTCTTCCCATAATCGAATGTTTGCGACATCTTTTGCAGGGTTCGTCTGTGTAGGATATCTGATTTTGATCGAAAATGTGATTTCCAAAGGTAGACAAGAGCCGCCGAACATGTTTGATAAAGAGATTCAACAAAACCAAAGTTGGGATCTTGAGTACTGTGTTCGATTCTTGACACTAGCCAGTCATTAAGAATTTCCGACCTGCTGTTTGCCACTTTCATCGTGCGCCTGGCGATAACGATGAGTTGTAAATCAGTGGAAGACGATGTGAGGCGGTGTTCGATTTGGGAGGGGTTGAAAACGCAAGGTCCGCAGGGCGGTTAGCCTTTCATTCTTATTAGCTTGACGAGGCAGCCAAGAGGACGTGACGTGGTGAGGCTGACCCCGCCAGCTGAAAGTTCTCCATAGCCTCCATAAAGAACTCTCTCGATGTTTACCAAGCTACGATATGATTTTTCCCACCTTATCATACAACAATGAGCCGCCCAGTGCCACCTAAAACACGGAAAGACTTCGATATCGCGATCATCTGCGCGCTGCAGCTGGAGGCCAATGCAGTTGAGGCAATATTCGACCGGTTCTGGGACGAAGATGGCGATCGATACGGAAAATCCTCTGGAGACAAAAATGCGTATCGGACCGGGGTGATCGGAAATCACAACGTTGTGCTTGCATATATGCCCGGTACGGGGAAGGTTCACGCAGCAAGCGTCGCAGTGAGTTGCTGCTTGAGCTTTCAGGGTATTCGACTCGCGTTGGTTGTTGGAATATGTGGCGGCGTACCTGAAGGAGCCAAAGATGGGATATTCCTTGGAGACATTGTGATCAGTGACGAGATTATGTTGCACGATTTTGGGAAATAATATCCTGGAGGGTTTCAACGCAAGGAGACCGTTACTCGCTCGGCCGCGGACAGCGAAGTACCAGCCTTTTTGCGCAAGTTGAAAAGCCCAAGAGGCCATCAAAATCTACTCAGCAGAACACATCCCCATCTTAGTGCTCTACAAAAACAAAATCATGATTACCACTGCCCCGGCAGACAGCACAACCGGGGCAGCCGCTGCCTGTATGAGGTCAGTTTTAGAGCAGTGGGCAGTCGTTGATAAGGCTGAACAGAGAAGTACTCGACTTAACGATCCTTTGCACGGAGAGCCCGAGTCACCCATCAATAGTCCCTCTAAGATCCAGTCGAGTCGAGTTGATGAAGGATATCATTCACAAAACAATTATGACAGCAGTGATGGCGAGATTACACAAGGTATCAAATCTTTCTTTATAAAAAAGAATTCAGTTATTGACTGAAACTTCCAGTTTTACCGCGGATCGAAAATTGGTTTAAAAGTACGCTTTCTTATTTCAAAGAAAACCGCAAGTGTTTGCCTCGGGACGTTGATCTCAGAAAAACATTAAAAACACAACGCGTTATCTTCGCGAGCAATGTCAAGTGCTTGCCGTCAGATTCGCCGGACGCTGTCAAGGATCACCTGGGTTCGTCGAAAGGCATTTGTCTACAAGCAGCTCTAGAAATAGAGAAGAAGTTTGAGCAGATCCAAGAGCTCACGAAGCACCTCCCCGCCGCTACCAAGGCGAGAAAGCAGACCAAGAGTGAAACAGAAATGCTAAAGGTAAGGTGAAACATAAAAATTGGCATCTTAATGCTAACATGTCCACTATTAGCACGCCATTGATGACCTCAAGTCCCTAATACAGGTCTTCGTATCCTCGATCCCTCAAACCAACCAACCACTCCCACGGGAAGAGCCAAGAACGACTACCCCCACTAGAAGTCGTCACGAATTCCAGCATTTCCACATTGTTCAGCAAGCCGCGTGTAGTCTCTATGATGCAATTGGAACAGCTTGCAACTTACACACCATTCATGATGTGCACCTCTCCCTTCAGCCAGATCTCGATCAAACATCAACGAGGGTGCGATTCGATGTGGCTTTTGCTCAGCATTCCATGAAGTCAGGAAATGCAGTTTGGATCAACGTTGAATCAATCATCAAATCCGTCGAACAAATTCCCAGTTAGTCTCCACGTCGACCACAGCAAGCATATCCTCTCTCAAACGACAATCGAGTCAAAATGAAGGAAAGCATTGCTCATCCAGGGTTCGTAAAAGTGTACAGTTTGAGCTTCCTACAGGGCCTGTACTACCACCACTCGCCATACAGCAAATTACAGGTATACCGAATCTGTACTTGCAACGGAATTTCTGCACTGTGGTCGAAAGGTCACTCCATCAGCAGATTTGCAACGGCTGCATTGGCCTTCTTGGAGACAATGAGGTCTGCAAGCACTTGGCTTACCTGGGGAGTCAAACTGACAGCTCCTCTGCACCAAGATCATTGTCGCAACTTGTCTCGATATCAAAGGCCAATCCCATGAATGAAATGGGTACTTATGAGCGGGTACGGCTAGCAAGATATCTCGCTACCGCTGTTCTTTATTACCATGCTACACCTTGGTTGAAAAAAGTATGGTCTAGCAAAGATGTCTACTTTTTCGACGATCATGATACCTCTCTTCAGAAAAGACGACCCATCTTACCCTATGTGACCGCCTCTGTCCAGGCAGCAAGCTCCTCAGCGCGATCTCAGGCTCGATTACCCGATTACCACCACATCATTCGTAACCCGGTCTTGTTTGGACTGGGCGTCATGTTTCTGGAACTGGCATTCCAAGCTCCCCTCGGAACTTTACAGGAGCCAATTGACCTCGAAAAGGGAGAAACGTGGGGATTTGTGGAGTATTTCACGGCACATAGAGTTGTAGAGCAAAGTCACAGCAAAGTCAGCACGAGCTTCAAGAAGATTATCAAACAGTGTTTGCACTGTGACTTTGGGCATGACAGTGATTTCACGAGTCCCGCACTTCAGCAGGCTTTCTACAAGGACGTGATCAGTGTTCTTGAGGATCTGGAAGAACTCTTTCGGGATTTGCAGATTGAATAAAGAAAATTCGGGCAAGTCGATGTCCTTTATGGAGTTTTCTTCGTGTAGAATGTACTATGATCCCTATTTGGAGTAGGACTTTCAGCACTATGCGAGCCGCGAGCCTCAGTCGAAGGACAATCTCTAGAATATGAGATGATTAATATGGAACAGCAAATGGCTTTAGCACCTCTAGCTAATTCTCAATATCTACGGGAATTCAACCCGAATAAAATTTACGCGCCCAGATGTGCTTCCAAGAGCAAAAGTGCCATCATGGTACACCACACAATATGACCGATAGTCAGGAGGAAACCACAGCATTTTCCTTCCATCACAAACCAACCATTCCTTGCCGAGGAATGCCAATCTGTGACCCCCTATATTATCTGACTTTGGAACTCCTGATTCATCAGAGTCAGGCTGAAGACTGATAACCCCCCGATTGCTGATCAGATATTGACCGTCAGGCGAGAACCGCAAACTTGTCATCTGTCCATCGGTACGGGCAAACAACCTTCGCCGACGCCTTGTCTCCGCATTGTATACCCATACAGTCGAATCGTTTGAGATCAGAGCAATGAATCTTCCATCTGGAGACATTGCAATGGCCCCAACTGTGGAAGGGTTGTAGGTATATAGCTGGTCTTTATTGGAGGCCTGAGGTGTAGTTTCCGGGTGAGAAAAGTCGTCTAAACGCCGCATCTGATCCACAGTAAATTCCCAAATCGAGACTGTAAAACCATCCGATGAGACCATCTGCTTGCCATTTGGTGAGAATGCCATTCGTGTGACTGGCTTCTCCCAAGAGCCAGACCATCGTTCCTCGCCAGTTTTAACATCCAAAACATGGATTTCTTTCCCAACACTATATGCAAGATGGTCGTCATTGGGTGAAAAGACAATATCTCCAATGGTGGGGATTTCTTTGCTCCACCGAACCTGTCGATCTCTCTTAATGTCCCACAGTAAGATGGTGCATTCGGCTTCCCAGGTCATTGTTCCATGCCCTCCACTCAAAACTGTGACGGATGCCATCAAATACCCATCATGTGAATAGGCGAGCCGTCGGACGTCATTTTCATGATCGAGTTGTTGTATCTCTAGCTCTTGTTCCGATACAGGATGTTCGTACGGGGTGGAATTCGACGTTTCTAATGCTTCGCCGTGCTAAACGACTACAATCCGTCTTAGATGGTTTTTGCTCGAAGTACGGCCATCCGCATCTTAAGCTTGACCAGGAGCAATGGCGTCAGATTGACTATTTGCGTTGGATCACACAGCCGTTCTTCCAGTTCACCACTGCGCTATCGAAAACCAAAGATGTCACCGTCTATCTTGTCTTTGCTATCTACAATAAGCTCTTCGACCATCTCGAGAAGTCGATTAAGCAGCTTACAAGAAGAAGGTAGCCTGGAAGAAGCTTATGCTTACCGCTCTTCGTGCGGCGGAGGTGAAGCTAAGGCAGTACTACAGTAAGACGGATGATATTTCTGGTGATATCTTTGCTATTAGTATCGCACCACAACACAAGCTCCAGTTCTTCCGGAGTAAAGATTGGGGCCCTGAGTGGCTCACCAGATATCGACAAAGCTTTGTGGACTACTTTGAACCATATAAGCAACGTCTGTCAGAGGAACAAACAGGGAACGGTGAAGGATCTTCTACGCAGAGTGCAGGCATAGATCTTGATCGGATGATTGGCCTGGATCAGACTATCCAAGCTGGCCAGCAGGACGAGCTTGCAAGATATCTCGATAGTGGTAAGTGTCCTTATTCTACTAATCAGCGGACCTATGCTAATAAATATATCTTAGCCACCGTTTCTGGTGTTCCAATACGGGCGTTCTGGAAGGAGAACCAGACCACATTCCCTGCGCTTGCAAAGCTCGCACGCGATGTGCTCTCGATTCCCTCAACTGGCGCCGGAGTTGAGCGGCTATTTAACACTGCTCGAGATGTCTGTCACTATCGTCGAGGCTCACTGAATGCTACAACAATTCAGGAGCTTATGTTGTATAGATGTACGACGCAATTTGAAGTTGAAGAGGACGGAATTGCTTTTCGGAAGGAGTATCTTTCTGAAGGGGAGATAGAAGCGGATCATGAAGAGAAAGATGCCCAACAACTAGAGGGTACTGTCGATCCGATTAGTGACGATGAGGAGAGCAATGAGGACGAGAACACTATCAAACTGGAGGCTTTGTTAATATCACGTCCTACCTGGTATCTCCCATCTCGGTATCTGCCATGAAGCAGGCCATCGTCACAAAAGCCAGATTGCGGTGCTACCCTAGAAAAACATACACAAAGACAGCCTGTCTAGACCATATATTTGTTCTCCCTTTCAGAGCTACTATTTAACCATTCCACCGTTTCCGAAGAACTAGAGCTCCCTATAGTTGGTAGATTGCGTGATCACCTCATTCTGCCATCCTTAGTGTTCTCATACGGATATTTCTTTGTCAGGATCATGAGAAGCAGCGAAGTGATGATGCAGAGAAACATAAAAATAGTGCTAACCGCAAATCCGGGCGCGTATTCCGGCGCTGAGCTCGCAGGCCAGATGTATGCTCCGTATACTGATGATAAATTGGCGAAGGCACTTATATAAATGTTAGTATCGTATCAACACAGCGAAAGGGCGGGTGGGACGGGAAGTACTTCACAAAACCAATAGCCACTGCTCGCTTCTCCGCTGGTCGGCATATCGTGTTGGATAGGTAGCTGAGAGTTAATGGGCTGCAGCACCATATACCAGCAGCGCCTGGAATATATTAGTTATTTGTCATGGGATATTCTTGCCTCAAGGAAACAAACCAAATGCTAAGAATGTGTAGCGAGCCTTGGCATTATCAACCGTGGCCACGATTATCAGAGAGACGGTGGACATGGAGGCCATGGCCATGATGTGCTTGGGTCGTTCACCAAAGTAATCCGAGGAGAAGCCACAAATGAGGACGATCACCAAGGCAACCATATCTAAGACAGTAAGTCAGAAGATAATCCAAGCCAAAACCTCTCAGTCGCTTGGTTCTTACAGATCGGAATCGTCATCTGCAGTGTCAGATTTCATCGCATCAGTATAGATCAAAAGGCAGGAATTCAAAGGAACGTACATATTGCACACTTTGGCCAGTGTAATTCAAAGCGGCCATCAAGGTCGGTACAAAGTACGTGATGGTACCTGCACAGGTGCAAAACGTTTGTGCCCAGAAGAAAAGCCAGGTCCTCCAATCGCGCAGCGCCGACGTAAAGCTCTGCCAGTGAGAGATATCTCCAGCGCGACTCGAGTTGTCATCTTGTTCTAGACGTCGAACAGCATATTCTCGCTCTTCCGGGGTGAGCCACTTGGTCGTAGCAGGGAAGTCGGGTAGCACGAATCTCCAGTCCGGGTCAGCACGAAGTTTGTAAGTGAGAGAGATTCTGGTCACTTACATGGCAATAATGGCGCATCCAATTGTAATTACACCCTCAACTGATAATATCTGTGTTAGCATCATGAAATCAATAGTTAGTTAGCGGCAAATCATACTGAGAAATAGCCATTTCCACGCCGGATACGGTGCCCGATTGTGCATCTTCTCCAAGATCAAGCCCGCTAGAAAAGAAAACATATTAGCCAGCATTAATAACCTGTCTCTTAAGCGTATACTTACCAATAAGCCCACCAACGGCGCCCGAAACGAGCGACGCACAATAGAAGATAGAAAATCTCCTAGCCAACTCGGCTTTCTTGTACCAGCTGCTCATGAACAACAGAACGCCGGGCTAAATAATAAAATGGTCAATACTAACACTTATTTTGTATGTGTTTCTTGACAACCCACAAAGTATCCAGCTTCAATCAACCCCAGCGCAAACCGAAGACCGATAAGACCGCGCTTTGAATTAACGCCCACGTAGCCGATTCTGTAACATGTCAGCAGGCATTCAAAATCGCTTATCTAGGAAAACGGACACCATAGCACCCCAGACAGTCTAAATCCCCCCGGGTCTTGTTAGCGCAGGGACCGATACACCATAAGGAAGCGAACGAACCATAAGAGCGGGGAGATAGAGACTCGGGCGAGTCCTGCTGAGAATCATGTTGCTCGGCACCTCAAGTAGGAGATATCCGATGAAGAAGATCGAGACAGCTAAAGAGTAATCGGACGAGGTGAGTCCCAAATCTGTGGCCATGCCCGCTTCTTTGGCGTTGCCGATACTGTGTTTGATCCCATGAGTCAAACTTGTTCGCATTGTCCCCCGAATGCAAGAACTCCTTACTTGTTTCGGTCTAGGTCTTTGCTCATAAGTCCTTTATTAGTTGGCTTTCGGAATATTAAGAATCGACGAATAACCCACAATTGAGAATGTACTAGCAAGGAATAATTATCAGTTACGTCCATGGAGGTGAGCGTACAAAACAACCAAAGGCAAAGAAACTAACCATGATGAACAGCGGTGGTATCAGCCGAACGTCCACCTTCCACAATATCCTAAAGAGCAGCTCATTAGCTGCGTTCCATTTGCCTGGATAATTCCATCCATGGCAAGCAGTCGGTCGGCACAGCACCTTCTCTCCAACTCCTTGTTCTCCACGAATGGAGTCGCATAGGGTGACCCGACCTCTTCAAGGTGCATCGATGTGTCTTTGTCCATGGTCATTCAAGAGACGGAATGGTCTGCGGAGGTACGTTGGCTCCCCCCAGGCATGGTCAGTGTGGGGTTGAATATATACTCAGCTGGACCTTTGGCTTTTCGTTGCGGAGGTGGAGAGTCCGAGTGGAGAGTCCGAAGGTGGGGGGTGTACCCCGAAATGAAGCTATGAATGCTCAAGGGCTTGGCGGCAAAAACGCTACCGCTGTAAATCTGTCCAACTTTTCATGTATTTCCCTAGTGAAGGCAAGCGAATTAAGACACAGAGCTGTCTTTAGATAAGTACTCTTGCATTGCATAGTTCTAATACTGTATACACGAGGGATAACTAACTAAGTTAGTTAACTAGCGGGCCTTGGAGCACGGTGACTAAGCAGAGAGCCAGGCCCCATCCAGTGACTTAGTAGTGTCGCTTGTCATGGCTCCGCTTTGAACACACGTGGAGACTCCGCAGCTCAACTTCCTGGTCAGTCACTTTCACCGTCATCACGAACATAGCGAGACAAGCTCAGAGTATCAGAATTATGAAGCGTGATTTTACCTGCAGTTGGTCCGATTGCCGACGATCCTTCGGGAAGGCAGAGCATCTTCAGCGCCATGAGAGAAGTCGTCAGCATCATCTGGGCTAAACTTCATTTCCCCAATGCTAATATCCCGAGGAACTAGATACCGGCGATGCTCGATATGAATGCCCATTTTGTCAAAAGCGCTTTGGTCGACGGTATGAGATATCCTCCTTTCCGGCGCTGCCTGGCCTGATGGGTTGTGAATGTCAGAGATGTGATGACGAGGCATGCTGCTCTCCATGGAGAGGCTTCTGGCTCAATCAAGAAACCCCGTAAAGTGTCATGGTAAGTAACTAGCTGTCTTCCTATTACCTAGTCATCAACTATTTCTCCTTTTATTAGCATTCCATGTGTCGCTTCCAAGCTTCGTTGTGACGGACAGCCGGTTGCACCTTGTCGAAGATGTCTACACTCTGGTCGATCGTGTTCTTATCGAACAAGAGATAGCATGCCGTCCACTCCTCAAACACAGTTAAGTGACATGCTAGTGTCTTCTACCGCAACGGGCACTGGCTCAAGCTTGCCCACGGCGCAGGGGAATCCTGAAGGCAGTCCATTGCTCCGAGACAGGCAGAGTTCAGGTGCAAACATCAATATTTCCCAATCATCATTGTTACCAGCCTACTCGCTCTTGGGGGATGACCTTGCTGGAAATTCTCCATCACAACCTTCCGGTATGTTCTTCTGCCGCAGTCGACTTTCTCCACGCTCATCGAGTAATAGATGACTTTGAACCATTCTCGTTCGGTCCACTTTATGATCTCTCGATTGAGCCGTTTGAAAGTTATCTGGGATGGAACCTCGGTGATGAAGATATTGATCTAATGAAAAATCTCAACGAGGCTTGTCTCGACACTCCTCCGGCATGTTGGCCTCCTTCCGCGACTGTGACCCAATTTTCTGCACATCCAGAGTCGCAAACAGTGCAGGATGCGGCGACAATGCGGTTGATACGGGATTCACAGCCAGCCGATAGCCCCTGGGTAAGGCTTCCTATCTAAATTTGAGAATAGAATCGCCGTGCTCATGTATCAAAATCTAGCCGCATGTATACAGACCAAGCAGAGACGACGGACAACTCAGTATCCCGCAGCTCAATATCTCTTCAATTCCGCAGCCGAGCTTGCATGCAGCATATCTTGACCATCTGGATAACTCCACACGTGAGGCCATTCTGTCTCTCATAAATACTGCTCATCAACCTCATTGGTCACCTGTCGATGTGGCAGCTTTTCCGTCGGCTCGCACGTTGTCTATCTGCATCAACCTCTACTTTCGACATTTCCACGAGACGCTGCCTATCGTTCGCCGCTCAACCTTCCAATCAGCCGAAGCCAGTCCGGTTTTGTTACTGTCAATGGCAGCCATCGGAGCAACGTACTCTAAAAACGGTCTGACTGGAGTCGCTGTCGCTCTCAATGAGTTATGCAGGAGGACAATTGCCTACCTCAGGGAAAGTGACCGGCGTGCAATGTTTGATACGTCGATCGTCCAGGCTTGGCTGCTTCAGTCTGCCTTCGGGCTTTTCTGTGGCTCTCGGATGCTCTATCAGCACTCTGAGATTAGTCGTGGTGGATTGGTGACGGCTTCCAGGCGGATGCACCTTCTTCGTCCTGGTTTTTCATTTGTCAAAGAACTCGAACGGCACCGAGCCTCAGCATCACCTGAAGAGGTGGAGCGAGCATATGCAAAGGATGAAGAACGCTGTAGATTAGGATGGGGTATTTATGTATGCGCACGAAGTCGTTAACAGAAACCATTTGCTAAGAATTGTACATTTCAGCTCTATGACATGCAAATATCCGCGCTGTTGAATATTTCGCCACATTTCTCAATTGGCGATATTGACATATCATTGCCCTGCGATGAGGAGATCTGGGAATCCCGCCCTCCTCGTGGGCATCATGACTTTGCCCAGTCCGCCAAGGATACCCTGAACTTCCGACATGTGCTTCAGCGCCTGCTGTCCGTTGGCAAGCTGCCACAGCCATTGAACCCATTTGGGCTGTCTATCATCGCACATACCCTCTACAGGTGCGCTATACTTGATTAATTCTGCTCTCGTTGCTGACTATCGATCCTAGATTGTGCTCTGATGCCTCTGCCCTGGACCCAATCTGTCCAGCTCGGTCCCCAGAGAACGGCTCGTTCTACCGACTACAATTTTCCACAAACTTGAAACAGTAAGCCGAGACTTCGTTCATCCATTTATGTCCTTGAAAGACTTGTTGTTGTTGACTTGTCACAGTAATCCGCAGGAAATCCTTGATCAGCTGTCAGTGTGTTTTCATTTCCTGTCCTACACACCCACCGCCCTTCTTGTCAGTGTTTCGGCTCTGTCTCATCTAGGGCACCTGCAATTTACTTGGCCTGGGTTTTTGGATAAAGTAAAGATCGCCGCAGGGAAGTCCGGGACCGAGGAGAGTAAGCTCAGTGCACGTGCGTGGCTTTGCTTGAGAATCTCTGATGATGTGATCGGTGCAAGATCTATTCTTGTTCACGCTGGACAATTAAATGCCCTTCTGATTCGGTTCACATTTGAGTAAGTCTTCGCTACCAAAAGATGAAGGCTAGTGCATGTCAAATACTTACTAGTTCTCTAGAAATCCATGCGAGGCTATATGGACATTCTACGCCGCGCTCGCGTTATGGGCGATCATCAAATTTGGCAGTGGACTAAACATCTCGTCTTCTGGTCCGAAACGAACGGTCGTGACATGTAAGTCTTGTGTCTGCAGTATGACTCTCCGTGGACATTGCAACTGATATCTGCTATCAACCATTGTAGGGTCTGACTTCGACGATGTTCACGAGTGGATCCAGCATGGTGGCCAAGCTTCCTTCCAGGGACTTGGGAATTTGGTGGATCTGTCCGAGTCAAATCTTTTGTCCACATTTAGCGAAAGATTGGAGTCTATGTCATGGGGCATATCTCTCCAATTCCGCCATGTTTTGATGAATCTATCCAAAGAAATAACCTAACAATAGACGAAAGTCTGTCAAATTGAATCAAACAAATTGCTACCATACACCAAATCAAACATTTGAACCCTAGAGTTGGCTTATGTATTAGATGGTCCTAATTTCCTAATCGTTGGCTCAATGGAGTCATTCATTATACGCTCGGAGTCTCCACCAAATTTCTCCACATTGTTCACTGAGGGGCAATACCCTTAGGCTCGGTCAATTTGCCGACTATTTTACTAAACAACGACCCTCTACTTCATTATACGTACGCTTTTGACTCCACATCAGCAACTGAGATCGGTGTCTCCACCGGACTTGCTACGAGTTTTAGCTAGTCGCAATTGATAATCTGAGGAGTCCCCAGCTAAATGTCGCTTGCTTTATTCTCACAAAAGAGGCATACGAACTGCAATCAGAAAAATGTCTGTTCCGTCTCACTTTAAGCTCAACAACGGCACCTCGATTCCCTCTGTTGGACTGGGTACGTATGGCCTTCTTTTGATATGACTCGACCAGTTGCTAAACAGGTTGCAGGAACGTGGCAAGCAAAGCCAGGTGAAGTCGGCAAAGCTGTCGGTTATGCACTGAAGTCTGGATATCGACACCTGGATTGTGCCTTGATCTATCAGAATGGTGAGTTGGTCTTTCGCTCGCATGCACTTAGCTATGCTAAGGTTGTGGTTCGACTAGAGAAGGAAGTTGGCGACGCGATTAAAGCTTCTGGTATTCCACGAAAGGAGATCTTCATCACCAGCAAAGTGTGCGTCAGTCATGACGAGTAATGAAACGCTTGTTGCGTACTAATTTCATGCCTACTGCAGGTGGAACACCCACCAATCCAATGTCGCCGAAGGTCTTGCGCAGACGTTGAAGGATCTCCAAACGGACTATTTGGATCTCTACCTGATTCACTGGCCAGTGTTCGTTTTCGTCTATTGCCGTGTTCCCCGAAGCTTTTTGCTAATTTAATTTCGCATATCAGTCGCCTCATTCCCAATGAGACTTCGCAGTTGTTCCCTACCAATTCTGACGGAACCCGCTCTGTGGATCGTTCGTGGGATCAGCGGGAGACTTGGAAGCAGATGGAAGGGGTTTACCGTTCTGGCAAGGTCAAGGCAATTGGGGTGTCTAACTTCAGTATTCCCTACCTGGAGAATCTGGAAATGATTTGGGAAGTCGTTCCTGTCGTGAACCAGGTTAGATCCTCGGTCCTTACTTGCTCAACAAGGTGGCTGATTGATTTTGGGTTACAGGTTGAACTGCACCCGTACTGCCCGCAACATGCATTGAAGAAATGGTGCGAAAAGAGAGACATTTTCTTGGAAGCGTATTGTCCCCTCGGATCAACAAGTACGTCACTAAACCCGTAAACGATCCCGGAGAGATATGGAATTGACAACCTGATAGGCTCACCACTGCTGAGCGACGCCGAGATCGCCGGCATTGCAAAGAAATACGATGTGACCCCGGCAACCATCTTGATCTCTTACCAGGTCAACCGAGGCTGCATTGTGCTGCCCAAGTCAGTGACTTTTAGCCGGATTGAGGACAACCTTAAGGTTATTACTCTATCCAAGGAAGACATGGATATCTTGGAAGGAATGGCTGCGAAAGGTAAACAGCAGCGTGTCAACACACCGCTATGGGGACATGATCTGGTGAGCTGTGTACATCCGTCTATTTAATGAGCTTGCCTTGCTGATCCTGCATCATTATAGGGATTTGATGACTGGTATGGCCCTGGCAATGTCAACGCGCCGAAACAATAGATTTAAAATGAGTGAGATAGGGCTTGGCCTTATCAATTTGCCTTGCTCAATGGACATTGATCTGAAAATACATTGCCATAGCTTTTAATATATAGTAAAGTGGGAAATCTCAAGGCGATCCGGTCGGTACAGACAGGTCGAGGCACGAGAGAGAGAGAGAGTATAACAGGTGTGACGATGGGCTGCTTCATGGCAGATACCGAGATGGGACATACCCAGATGGGAGATACCAGGTAGGAGGTGATATTAAAAAAACCTCCAGTTAGATAGTTTTCTTCTTCTTCTTCCTTTCACCAGTCTTGATACCTTCGTTGAGTAGTACAGTTTGATCCAGGATCTTTCTCTTGACCCGTACGTAACAACAGGGACGCAGGTAGAACCGAAATAAACCTCCAACAGCGAAGCTGCCGCGAGAGAGAGAGAGAGACGAGGCGCAATCACACGGTCGGCAAACGCCCTACCAACAGGAGGTCCAACTGTCTTAGTAGAATAATTGAAGGAACGTCATGCTCTGCTGGAAGAGCTAGAAAAACGAGAGGGAAAACTTCATAGAAAACGCGTTCATTTCGACCGCCTATATTCCATGGGGTTTTGTTACTGCCGCATCTTCTCTTTTAAATAGACTGCGGCATATCCTCTCCATTGGATATTGGATCATATACCATATCCGCAATTTGAGGATAATGGATATTACTTCAATACCATATCCTCAATGAGGATATGAGGATCTTTTGCGGATATCCGCACTTGCATAACTCTCGCTTAATTATCTACTTATAGGTAGTCATGTGCCCCTTATGCAGCTTATCAATCTATTTCTCAGATCATAAAATACACATGTTCGGTCCTGTATCATTTATCCTGTTCCTTAATGAAATATTAAGAAATCGTCTTGTATTTAGTAACGTTTCCCGCCTTTACTATTGCTTATAACATTAATGTCATTTTTCAAGATATATTGGAGGATATAGATGAGTTTTTGTCGTTTTATAGCACTTTAGTATAGAAATATATATGTCGGATTTTATGCGATGTGCATAAAGGTGTTGTGTGCACGAGAAAGTATGTGACACAAGAATCGTAGGGTGAAGAGTGACTCATCAAGATAGAAGAGAGAAAGCATGAGATTAGCGATGTGCTCTGGGTCTGCTTAGGAAGCTCTATCTTGGGTCGGAAGAGATGTCAAACTTGTTTCATTCTAACTAGTGGTTATGGTGGTATTTATAACATGAGAGACAATTTGGATGGTCATGTGAAAGGTCAACAAAACATATCGAGGGAATGGAGTGTTGCGAATTTGAATTCGGAGGTTTATTTTCGAGTTCTGCTACATACCGGCCCTTCGTCGCCTGGAGCAAAGGGTATGAGGAAGAAGCTAAGATATGGGCCAAGCAGGAGTAGGAGCGTACTGGCAGGTCCCGCAGTCAGGGTCGTCATTTGAAAACCAACTCCGGAGTGGCACCCCTCTGCCGTGAGTGGCTCCACTTGAGGCTCCAGTTCAAGGACGACAAGGTCATTATGGCCATTTTTGAGGAGGGAGCCCGGAACATATAGCTGCTGCTGAGGCCCGACCATCCAGTAGCGCCCAAGGTTAAAGCCGTTCACGTACGCCTGTCCCTTGATACCACTGATTGCCAGGTAAGTATCTGCGGCCTGGCCATTGTGCTTATTCTCAAAGGAGCCGTGGTACCACATAGGGGGTCCATCATTCGACCCGATGGACTCTTTCCCCTGAAATTAGTTGGACCGGTATCAGCGGGCAGAGAGTATGATGTCCAGCCGTGAACATCAGTTCCGCCAACAGTGACATTGCCGACGATTCCTTTTCTCTGGTCTGACATTGCCCCATCGAAGTCGACACGTCCTAAATTTTCAACGAAAAGTTGAAGTTTATCAGTAGGACGAAGAGACACCGAAACTGTGTTGATAACTGTATGGATTGGGTCAATCACGCCTTGACGAACTCCATTGACGTAGACAATGACCCGGTCACGCGGTTTATCACCGGGCTTCACCACACCATCTATGGCGCCCTGGATCTTAGCCTCGTAAAGAACATAACCCGTGTAAGCATCCAGAGACTCCATTGTGACTGGAGACTTGGCAGTAACGTGCGTTACATCATGCAGATTGTCGGATAGTCCTCTGATAGGCTTCAACTTGAAACTGTCAATCTGCTGCAATGGCGGGGTGGTTGGCACATTGGGGATGCTGTTGGCAGATACATGCTTGGAAATGATGTTGCGAAGCTCATAGTACGTGATTGTTGGTCGCCCACTCTCGTCTAGAGAAGCACCATAGTCGTAGCTTGTAGTAAATGCCTGGCAACCGTCACCAAAATCTAGGGCTCCATTCCCAAAACCATAGTTGGTTCCGCCGTGGAACATATAAAAGTCCAGAGACCCATTGATTCCCAAGGCCCAGTCCGTGTCGTTGATAAATATCTTCCGTCAAGGGCCGTCGTTGTCATATGTCCAGTGGGTGTTGTTCGGGCCCCATACCGATGCCGCTCATCGTGTCCATATCCCATACCCGAATGATTCGATTTGTGGAGGTCGAAGCAACCCTTCGTCGGCTTGGCGAGAAGCTCATCCACATCACCAAGCTATCTTCGACAGTTTCCCCTTGGCTCACGTCGCTTGATGTAATTTCCGAGGACGGATCCAGTCCAGCTATTAGCTGTGCTCTTTTGCGAAGGTTCGACAATTCTTGTATTGATTTTGAATCCCGAAGTCGGATTCTGTTGCCAGCGCAAGTTGATATGATTTTTCTATCCGGCGAGAAAGCAATACTGCTGGCCCTATAGTCACGACTGAACCTTTGTACCTCCTGCCCTGTCGCTAGGTCCCAGAGTCGAACTGCCTCATCATTTGTGATCAAAGCTAGTAACTTGCTATCCGGCGATACCCTCAACTTTCTAATGGATAAGTTAGAGCCGCCAAATTCATGTTTCATCTCGCCGGTGGCAATGTCCCAGATTTGGACTCCATTGATTAGGGTAGCCATTGCACAAAGCTTGCTGTTGGGAAAGTACGCGATCGCCTGAACCGAAACCGAGGTGCTATTGATATGTCGTAATATCTCACCTGTTTGACGGTCGTGAATCGTAGCTCCGGGTGTCTTGAACCGTAGAGTTGCAACTATCTCGCCGTCTGGCGAAAAAGCGATCCTATTGACGTCCCGGCCGTATTTCGTCACCAGATTTTCGCATTCTGGAAAGGTCCAACATTCGGTTCTATAGCGAAACGATCGTAAGGCCACAGTATCAGAGTTTGGAGAAAATGTAGCCTCGACAGCTGCCATTCCATGAGTGATTCTCTGGCATTCCTTGCCTGTGACTACATCCCAAATCCGGAATATTTTGTCTTGGGCCGCCGAAACAAGCTTCTTCCCGTCGTGGTGAAAGTGATTCCGATCACTGGACCACCATGGCCCGCCAATACCTGCTTTTCCTCTCCTGTTGCAGTCTCCCAGAGCCGAATTGTCTAGTCGTATGAAGTGGCTGCTATTGTTTTTCCATCCTGCGAGAATGCACCTATCCAGATCGGCCCTCCGTGACCCTCTAGCGTCTGCAGGCAGGCATTCCAGTCCGTTTCGACCTTTGGGGTCTGCAGAATCCAGCTGGGAATATATTGACTAAACGTCTTTTTGATGATGCTCTTGACAGGAGAAAACACTAGTGCAGATGAATAGAGCTGTAGCGGAGCTTTATCCGCAATTGAGCCAAATATTCAGAATAAAACGAGCTGCACCATGCAAGAAGGCGCTTGCATTGGCATTGCCTGTCTATTCGCAAGAAAATTATGTTTAGACTGCGTTTCAAAGCTTGCTTGTATTTCACAAAGAAAACTTACTTTCACAAGCTCTTGTAAATGGAGATACTCTCTGAAATCTTTCCCAAAAGACTAAGGGCTTCAGGCCAATTAAGAAAATACTTCTGGAGAAACTTCACCACCTCATGATCATCTGTGATGGTACTGCCGCTCTTATCTAGGTGGTAGACCCAGTATAAACACGCATATCGGATGTGTACTGGCAATGCATATTGAATTGCTATCTCCGGAACATGTACCCGAGCGGCCCCCGGATTCTCAAGGCCACAAATATCCTGCTTCAGGTGATCATTCGATGACAGAAGACGGACACATTTGATTGCGATCATTTCGTGAGTAGTTTCCTCATGAACCCAAAATGGATTGCTGTCTTGTTTCGCGGAATCGACAAGAAAATCTCTAAAGGAGAGATGAAGCAATCTGACTGGAGCATCAATCGATTCCGGAACACTGAGAACCGAATGAAGAGACACCAATCTACGGCTGATGACTGCCTTTGGAATGTCAAGCAAACTTGCCAGAGAAGACACGGATAGGGGCTCCGCTAGAAGCACGATAGCGCCAACGACAATTCGAAACTCTTGGACAAGAGACCTCTGAGCGGACTCAGACCCCACACTCAACTGATCAAGGATCGGCCGATAAGTTGCGTCAAGCTTGTCAATTTCAGACCCCGGCGATCTCGTCTGATATTCCAGGATCTTTGCTAGCTGTCCTGCAGGATCAGACCACGCCCGGTCCCCGATAAAACGGCAGACAGTAGCAGCGAAAATGAAAAGTGGCACGGCCATCTGAACGAGTGCATCCAAGTTTCTGATCCCAGGCCAGTCCCCTGAGAGTTGAAGTTCGCTTGGAGTTATATTGTTGTAATCTTCTCTAATTCTCGTGAGCTCATAATCCAAAAAGGCGGCAATGTCCTGGCTTATGATTGGTCTAGGTATTTCATGGAGGATCAGATCCTGGTATTTGCCCTGTATTGATCTGAACCCAAGTCGAACCGGTAACTCGGGTCTACTCGTCATGAAAGCCCGCAGTCGCACCGACTCCAAGTTTCTCCCGAGTGAGATCAAATGAATGATGACCCTGATATCGTCGTCTCGATCACATTCGTCGAGAGCATCAATCACAAGCACAACCGTTCTTTTCACATTTGATTTCAATTTCTCCAAAGGCTTCAATACAAGCTGCTCGAATTGTTCCCGCAGAGATTTGCCGACAATCAAAGGATCGCTATCAAGAGAATTGCTGATGTCTGTCGCCAAAGCCGGTACCTTGATCGCAAGCTGAGAAGCTATCGTTGTAAACAACCGACTTGCATTATCACGGTCACGCTCGCCCCTTTTAAAGAAAAAGCTGGCGCCGAGAATTCCACTGTCAGAGAAGGTTTGCGCGACCGTCCGTGATATTGTTGACTTTCCTGTGCCGGCCATGCCATTCAGCCAGAAAATGCATTCACTCTTCGGGCCTTCCGCCCACTCAATTATCTGTTGACGAAGATGTACTCTGGTTTTGGGATGACAGCGCGGATCATGTTCGTCAGCATGGGAGTCAAACGCTGCCCCATTCACCATGGGAAGTTGAGTCAGGGTTACTGTCTGGGCCATATCAAATACCTGCACACTACAGCCCCAATTAGTGTAAGGAACCTATAAGCATACGTTTGATCAACATTGAGTGCTGCTGACAGCGTGTCCCGGTATCTCTCCAGATTTCTAACAATCTTGTTCACATCTTCACTCTCAAATGGCCATTTCAAAGCACGAAGACCAAATCGACTCATCATACGAGTACTGCCAGCATTGAGCTTTTTTTGCAGCTTTGCTTCGATCTGTGATAGCTGGGAAGAGCAGCCATAGAGACTAGAACGCAAGCGCTGCAAGGTTTGAAGCTTTGCGCCATTTGCGCTTCCCAAAAGTTCCCAACCACCTTCGAGAGTTATACTCAGTCGGTTCAATTCCCCTTGTAGATTGTTTATATCTGACTTTGCGGCTTTCACTTCCTTGGAGAATTGAAACACCAGCGAAGCTACCTTGGCAGTAAGATCTAGCACAGCAGCAATATTTGCGGCTACTGATAGACCATCCATGATGACGGAACGGGAGTTCGGACTCGAGGTCGCAAGGCGATAGACCCCGGTTTTTGCAAATGAAAACCGACTAATGGAAAACCGATCTTATCGAAGGGAACGGAAAGGGTATTCTGAAGTTCTGTCTCACGGCATACTAGTGGGGTGCGCGGGGTAAGCATGCTAAGGTGACTTAGGGCGCTTCGTAAAAAGCTGCTTCGCCACAGCCTGCGCCACAGTCTATACAAGCATGTTGTATTGCACTATAACTCTTAATGTATTGCGAATGAGATTCTTGAGGGAGCTTTCATGCCTGTGTCATCTTTGCAGACATTTATCTCAAATTTCAATCTTAATGGCGTCGATTCAAAACTTCGGCTCGACAAGTGTACTTTTTTCGGCTCATGCTGTTGTATATATAGTATGAACATACTCGATTTGTATTTGTCTGGCGGCAATTCCAGTAGATGGAGGAATCCATTTTATTTGAGGAAAATCCAGGTTCTATTAAGCCAAGCCAAGCTCACGCTTTTTGAATATCGTTCAGATATGCGGTCACCCTTTCAACCAGAATCCGCCTAGGCTCCGCTTGGTCGGGATCACTAAGTGCATGAGAAGCACCTGGAATGACCATGCTTCTATGATCCCAGAACTGACGCCCACCAGCATCAATAGCTTTCTGCCATCGCCGGAGAAGTGCTTCCTTATCCACCCAATGAGGCACAGACTGATCACGACCAGAGTACAACACCAACAGCTTTTGCTTCAATAATCTCCGCGTCCCCACCATCCCAAACGTTTGATTCAAACGTGCGTCGCTCAAATCTGAACTGAACAGGTCATCTTCCGACGGCTTCTCGGGGCTGTCGGGGCTGACCAGGCTTAGGAATCGTCGACTGCTGACTGGTGCTGTTGACGGGTATCCAATGCGGCTGGTCACTGAAAGAGGTACAACAGTGTCCACAGACTCTTTAGTCTCATATGTGTGTCGCTTCGCGTCTGCGACGGCCTTGTCATACAACTCCTGCATCGCGGCAGGGCTATCCCTAGCTGTGCCGCACTTAACAACCCACAGAATTCCCTCGCGATCCGACACAGGTGCTTGCATGATTGCCCCGTCCACTGGCGTTCGTAGAATCGGCTCCCAGCATTTGTCCAAGACAGGGTGCGCCGGTCGAGGGTTCGGGCAGTTGATATAGTGCATCACGTCTTGGCTGCCTGTCGAGTGGCCCATAATGACGACCTTGCCAGCCCCATAGTGAGGCTCTTTATATTCGCGGATGTATTCCACCGTCTGCGCAATTTCGTCAATGTCGGTACCAAGTCTGCCCATGCCCCAACCTCCGTACGAGCAGGAGAGGACCAAGTTGAACACGGTCCATTCGGTAGACTCGAGGGCCCGCACGATGTCACTGAGATATTCGACTGAGCCAAGACCGTCACCTAGCCCGCCGACGAAGACGAGTGTGTGGGGTTTGCGGGGACTGCCATTGGTGTATTCGAAGGAGACGAGGGTGGAGGTCTGGTAGAAAGAGGGAGATTAGCCTGGTGAGTCACGTGGAATTGAGCTGGAGGATTGATACAATATGGTGCAGGATTCCAGCCTGGCCTCGTGCTAGGGATGTGAGTATTTTGAGTTCCATTGTGCTCGGCAGGCGAGGGGCTGGGAGGCAGGGAGATTGAAAACCGAGCCTTCACGTCAGATCAGATAAGACCAAGACCTGATCAGATAAGCCGCCGTCAGGCCGCAACGGGCAAAGCCGGCACAGAGCGGCTGTGGAGTTACACCACGAAGGCGGTCTAAGAATTTGAGATCATTATAGGAATCTTAATTCCCTTGCAATTCCGTATCTCTCGCACGCGACCAACATAGTCTTGGTTTGACGTTGGATGCAAGCGTAGAGGAAACAGAGAAGCAGCGCTTCAAACGGGCTAAAGTTGTTATACTGTTGTTTTACTGAAGAGGCTTCCAAGAAAGGAAGACATGCTCTGAAATTATCATTAATAATTACGTGTTCACACAGGTAACTCTCACGTCCTAAACCCCGTTTTTCACTCTTTCTCTGGGGGCAGTATATCGGGAACAGGTCCAACCGGAACGACCAGTTGATCATTCCCAGACTTCCTACCCAACGAAGCAACATATCCAGGTTTGTACTAGAAATTATCAGCTTTGAAACCACAACTTATGTGACCCGAATGTACTTACAACATCAAAGTAGGTCGTCTTCTTGAACGCCCCTCGCGTCATCTCTGATTCATCATAGTAAAGCCGACGATACCATCGATCAATTCGAGGATAATCATGTCTGATCATCTTCAAATTGCACTTGAAGATCAAGTAATACGCCACATCAAAGCGGGCAATAGTTGTATACAACCGGACGTCAGCTTCAGTGATATTCTCGCCGAAGAGGAACGGCTGGTGTCCTGGTTGACCCAAGTGTGCCTCGACACGATCCAAAGCTTCAAATAGAGGATACAGATTCTCCTCGTACGCTGCCTGCGTGGTGGCAAAACCCGTCTTGTAGACGCCGTTGTTGATCAAGGGGTATACCCACGCGTTCAGCTCATCAATCTGGCTTCGCAGATTCTCAGGGTACAATCCACCTCCTGGACGATTGATTTCTCGGAGTTCAGCTGGCAGAAACTCGTCGAATTCAGAAGACAACATGCGAATAATCTCGCCGCTCTCGTTATTGACGATAGTCTCCTTCTTCTTATCCCACAGCGTGGGCACCGTATACCGCCCCTCATAACTAGGATCAGCCTTGAGATACAGCTCTTTGAGGGTCTTGAATCCATATAGTGGATCCTTTTCGTCGTATCCATTGCGACCAGAGAAGAACCATCCATCTGGTCTGAGCTCCGGATCTAGTACTGCCATTTGGATAACATCCTGCAGGCCTTTTAGGGTGCGTACTAGGTTAGCGCGGTGCGCCCAGGGACAGCCGTAGTTGATGTAGAGGACGTAGCGGTCCTTCTCGGCGGGGAATTCAGATGCTGGATCGCGGGAGATCCAGGAGCGAAATGTTGAGTCTTTGCGTCGGAAGTGCCCATCTGAGTCGGCGTGTTTGTAGATTTGGGTGTTCTATAAGAGTTAGTTCTACCTAGTGTTAGATTGAACATTTGCGTGGGCTCACTTGGTCTGCCATGTCTGCTCTGATAGTCTCGAAGAGATCGGCTGTTTGACGGACTGCAAAGAGTTTCAAAGTAGAATATCTCAGAGCAGAGATGTTACGATCATCTTTAGCTTTATACCAAATTGATCTAACTATCCAGAGCAGTAACTTTCGCTATTTGCAATCGCATCGAATATGTTTCATTGATGGGCCCCGGCACCTCGTGGGGCTGACAAATGGGATGCGGAATGTACTGCGTCATCGCATAAGCAAATCGCAAAGAATCCGTAGCTTACACATCACTCGATAATCACAAGTGCAAGTATTCACGAATGTCTGATTAGAATATAAGCTATGTATAGATAATCTCATCACGGCTATTCCGAAATACCGAACCGCCGAGCAACCTCAACAAACCCATCTGCATTCAAATCCACCCAAATATCTACAAACCCATCCTCCTTAGCCCGCGCCACCTGTTCAGCCGACCAAGTCTCCTCCTTCTCCCTCTCAACATAAACAGTCTGGAACCCACAGCCCTTTGCAGCCTGCAAATCCCTAAGATGCGCCGCAACCAAAGCACACTGCGACGGCTCTAGTCCCAGCATCTCAGCAGCACCAAGATAAACCTTAGGCGCGGGCTTATAAGCACCAAAGTTCTCCGAGCTAATCAAATGCGCAAAAGGCAAAGATCCAAAGTCCTTCAAGTCCTGCAACAGCGAGACATTCCCGTTCGACAGCGTCGACGTAACAAATCGACTATTTAACAACTCCAGTCCCCGCACACTATCCGGCCACGGCTTCAGTCTGTGCCATGCAAGCGTTAACTGCCACAGCTCGTCCGCGTTAAATAGTTCGCGGATCCCACGCTGCGTCAGGATATCCTGCAGCGCGGCATGATGGTGCTGATCGACCGAGACAAAGGGTTTCGATGCATCAAAGGTGCTGGTGAATACGCCGTAGGATCGTCGCCAGTCTTCGGCGACGCCGAGCCAGTCTGACTCGGTCAGCGTGGATGCCCGGGCCCGCGCGTCGGCCGGGATATCCCTGTTTGAATCGGCGAGGGCGTGCTGAGCCGCGCTGTGGAGGGCGCTGGACACGCAGGATCGCCATTCGACGACTGTACCGAACGTGTCGAAAAAGAGGGCCTTGGGTGCTGAGGCCATGGCGGGGGTAAATGAGTGGTGCTGCCAGTGCTTTGCTGTGGATTTGATCTGATTTGCGGGTGACCGATGGCCTGGGGAAGGACCCGCAATGTGGTTGCGATGGGGATTTTGGAGATTGTACAGCAGTAGATCAACTGTGTAGAATAGATCTTGGGACTGGAATGAACGGAATGTATTGATTATGCATAACGTGATTCTCTTTTTTTTTAGATCGAGCGATCGCGACACGTCGCTGAGTCATGGACCGAGGTAAGATCTTCCCCGCCTCTATCAGGCTGATCGTTTTGCCGTTGCGAGTACAGGAAGTCAACGAGTTAGGAACTTGTTTGGAGAGGTTTGACTCATCCAGTGCACCATGTGTGATGAGTCGAAAGCATGACGGTCATCCCGAGGCCTTGTATATACCGAATAAACCGTTCTCGTGGTTCGCGAAAGACGCAAAGCGGTATACTTTTACAAACCCAGTAGAGGTTATAACCCAGTTCCAGTCACTCCCAACAACCCTCCACCTCCATAGTCTAGTGGATTAAGAAATCATGACAACCCCGGCTGAGTTTCCCACTAGACGGGCGACTTCCAGGAAGGGGTCCACTGAGGTAGAGGGATACCCTCTTTTTGTGCTTGCGATACCGCGACTCTACCGCCTACAGTCGACTTTTCATGCCATTTTGATATATATTTCATACCAAAATAATCCTTGGATTTAGGAGAATTTAATAAACCTTGAAGATGGCGTTTTGATGTTGTTGGTGGTTGGATAAGTCCGGTATCAGTTAGGTGTAAGCATCGTGGTGATGTATTCGAGCATCGCGGAATGTCGTGAGATGTTTGTATGGTGACACTGAAGTTGGGAGTTCAATTCACAGAGGTAGCAGAATGTTCCATTCTGACTTTAGTATCAATGATAATAATAATACTGTAGGTTGGTTATTCGCATGTGGAAGTAGGTCGAGTAGATCCCTAGGCTAGTCAGCTTAGTTTCAGATTTAAGTTTATCTAGGCTTGGATATATTCCGAAGTGAAGTCTATTTTAGCATGAATCTAATATTGAGACTACTCTATCTCAAACCAAGCTAATCAGTTAGGTCTGGGGGATCACTGGGCTGTGCCGCTGTAATGATACTTCGAGGCGTCCAGGAATGCTGCCATGGTTGTGAGGCACCACTGAACATTCCTCTCGACGGGCGCCTGAGCTTACTTCAACGCAACCACAACCCTCCATCCTTCCCCACGCGTCGACGCCTGACATGCGCTCCTCAATCACCGTCGTATTGAGAACTGGACTACCACTCCCACTGCCTTAAACGAGGAATCATTTCCGCGAACCATTTTCAAGGCTGACCACCCACGGGGGGACCAGGGTTACATATGATAATGAAACAGCACAAAGTCCAGACACGGAGCCGTTTGGGCGTTGACAAAGTTGACAGGTCGACTGGCCGCTACGACTCGTCATTATTTTCGATCCCATGCAGCAGCCATGCAGGGTCAATCCGCGAGTTTCTTTTTTTCTGACAGGAGCGCTAATGCAGCATCTAGGTCTGGAACCGGGCGCCCGACCAGAGAATGGTTGGTTATTGTCAATAAATGCTCGAGTGCCGTGGCTGATTGGCTGCTGGTGGAAACCTTCTACCTCTTTTTTTTTATTAGCCGCGTTCAACTCCGACGTTGGTGACTGTGCGCCCGGCAGTTGTGTCTTGGTTGAGGAATGTGCCCGAGAAGCGATGCACTTGCAAGTCGCGACCAGGGTTTGTGCTGCTATGGAGGGCTACTGCGAGGTACTACTGCAGAGCATGGTACAACCAAGAAACATAATGGCCAGACCGTGGGGGGGTGGACGGGCCACAAAATCAAAAATAAACAACAGTGTACACTGCACAAATAGAAAAACTCGGCTCTCGTTCGGAGTGGACTCCTCGAGCTCTCTCGTGGTGGAGACCTCGGATGGATCTCGCGGACCGGTGACTCCGTTTTAGTCTTTCCCCCTTTTTTGCGTCACGCATGGGCATTGGGAACAGGCACCATTCGATGCGGCCAATCTCAACCAGCCAAAAAAAGCTAACTGGACGAGCTAGAAAAAATACGACGGCCCGGGTCGTCGCTCCGAAAGACGCCAACGGCCGACGGCCAGCGATCAGAATTAGATGCGATCCGATACAGTGTGATTGCAACCTGAAACAAACCAACAACTGAACACAGACCACTGACCAGCAGGTCCCGCGGGGCCGCTCTTCGACAGAACGAAATTGCCTGCGACGATCACCAGCGCCAGACCTCACGCTAAGATAGACTGGCCAACGCCCGCACAGGGGGATAGTGTTGCCCAAGCACGCTAGTTCTGCACTCCTTTTCCGCTTCGAGGGTGCTGTCTAATTTATTCGATTCACGAATGACCTCCTTTTGGATTTTGAGTGCTTGGTGTTGGCGTCGCCAAGTCTCTTATTGGGTCCTCTGGGGCAGGGCTTGTCTTTAATTTACAGTACCTCCGCTATTGGAATGTACTTTTGCGAGGGATATTTCGAAAGTACTGACCGAGGAAACAGGTTCTCCGAAAAGCCTTCACTAACAATCAACTCAAACTGTTATTCTGTCCAGGAATTGGGAGGACTCGAAGAGACGGGATAGGGGGAGGGGCCAGATCGTGCTTGACCATGACCAAGCTCCCTGAGGGAAGCTGACTGAGTGGAACCCTCGAGGATCCCAGTTCCAACTTCTAACAAAAGTTTTTTTTTGTCACGAACGCCTTCCCCATGCTGGAGTCCGCGGCGGATCCCATCATGTCGATTGTCGACTCCTTTTTCCGACTCTCCCTGGGATTCGCCGAGATTATTCTGACGCCTCGCTCGTTCTCCAAAAAAAAAAAAAAAGCTTTCTTTATTCTTAGTTTCTGACCTGTTTCTTTTCTTTTTTTATTCTCCTTTTCTTTGGGTCCTTTGTCCGAAGGTCTATGCACTTCCTTTCATCCTCTCCTTGTTTTGATTTCTCTTCTAGAAGCGGTCGTCCAACTACGGTACGACTGCGGGTTTCGCATGCTTTCCATGGTCGACCATCGATAGGTTCCTGTCATACCTCTGAAGCCAAAACCCCTGCGCCACAGTTTAAATGTTTTCTGTAAATTGTTGCGAACCTGCCAGTTTTTGATGCATGGCTCTGGGCGTTCCCATCTCTCGAGTTCCCCAGCGATAGTTTTTGAGCAATCGTCGTCAAATCAGTCAAACTTTACTCTGCTAGTGCTAGTCAGCCTAGTCCAACTACCTCCGTTAGGGTCTTGGATGGCAGCTTTCAGTGGAGCAGGCTGCATCCTGGCTAATCGGGTTGGCTTTCTCGTTTTCCCATGGCCCCCCCTTTTCAACGACCCAACTACGCTTCTCCGTCCACTAAGGCATGGTAGTTCAGTTAGTTCCGTTAGTGAAGTCGCTTCTTCCAACGAACACCCCCTGGGCCTTTTTGGATCTTGTCTCTTCTTGGAGACGCGCGCATCCCGAGGCTGAACCGTAATCAGCCGTGCAGCCCATCCCCAATTCCCCATATCGAACCTCTCCAATCGACCCTCTCGGATCGCTGCCTCGTAATAATTCCATCATCATCATCAGATCGTGCTCCGAAACGGGATCCCGGGCACTCTTCTTTCTGACCACCCCCCCCCCCCCCCCCCAGACGAAGTACTTCCAGCCCGTTGCTCGCTGTCCGCCGTCTGGCCTCGATCGCGGGTCTTCTCCTCGAAGCTCCTCCCCGTCCTAATCTCTTCCCCAGTCTCTCTCTTTTTCTCTCTCCGTCTTCACGAGACAAGACGTCTGATCCATCTTTCACGCTCATTCTCGATTCCAACCTCCCTCAATTGCAACGTCCTGCATTCCCTCCGTAAGTAGATCAAAGGGAACTCCGTGCATACGCAAATCGCCTGCATCGGGTTCTCTCCCCTCGCGCTCAGGGCGGACATCCCGCTTCCCGCGCTGCAACAAAGTGGCTGACCGATTGTTGCACCGCAGCCACCTTGAATTGCTCTTCCTTGCGCTCGTCCGACACGATTAGATAAAAGAAAGTCGTGCAAGTTCGTCCATTTTGCAACCCACCAAGCCGAACCGACCAAAAAAGAACGATTAGCACGAGAAATCCTTCCCCCTGAGACCACGACGTTTCCACTTCTGCAACGAATGATTGAATTACGGTAGACGGTCGATTGAATGGAACTCGGCCGTGTCGTGCTCTGGTTAGCACAGGGACCCGACTCGCCCAGTTCTCCCCAGGCAATGCAGTAGATCGAGAACTTGCACGGCGCAATTTTCCAATTCCGAGATGGCCACCGACTTACAGTCCCCCGTGCCCTCCTCCATGGCTCAATCATCTCCCGCCCCGTCCTCCCCCCGGGCTCACTCCAAATCCAGATCGAGATCTCGACCAGCCCGTCGCCGGCGAAACTCGTCCCCCGCACCGCCCTCCTCCCCACCCGGCCTGCCAACACCCGCATTCTCGCCCGACGGACACAGCGATCTGGACGATGAGCTCGGGGAGCAAGATACGCTGTCGCCATTCGATGCCCGCAGAATCACGCCCACCCTTCATGCCTCGCTGGTATCGGAGATTCTCAATCTCCGCCGAGAGGTGGAGAATAAAACCAAAGCAATCGACATGCTAGAACAGAGTTTAGATGAATCGAGGACGGAAAGTGAATCGCTGGGCGAGAATTTGTCCCGGGCGACCCGCGAGGCGCGGTCCCTGAGGCACCAGATCCAGTTGCTAGAGGGCGGGACGTCATCGGCGATGACGGAGTTAGCCCGCGAGCGAGACGAGGCAGTCGAGAACTTCAGCGATGTCCGCAAGAAGCTGGAACAAACGCAGAAACGGGCGCGCAGCCGTGAGGAAGAAGTCGAGCGAACGCAGATGCTGTGGGACCGCGATCGCGAAACATGGGAGAATGAGCGCCGGAATTTAGAACGCAAGGTCCACGTGGTGGAGGGCCGGTTGAAAACGGTCCTGAGCGAGGTTGCGGCCGCGCAGGAAGCGGGTACGCTGGTCTCGCAGCATAGCGAGAATGATGATACCGAGAAGGATAAGACGAAAGAGAGTGACACGGCTAGCGTGGCGTCGAGTAGTCAGGGTCGTCGGCGGACGAGTATGACCAGCGTGACGACGGATGAGGGCGATAATGATGCTCATTATCCCAATGTTCGGTACTCGGTTATGAGCATGGCGCCTGGGAAGGGTGATTCGGGTTTGAATCTGGCTCAGGAACTGGCTTTCGATGAGGAGGAGGAAGATGAGTTTGTCGCGTCTGATGATGATGACACTCCCGCCTCGCCAGAGGCGCTTCCAGAGGAACGGCCGTTGTCGGTTCATTCAGCGGCATCGCATGATATTTCTTCCAAGGCGCGGAGGATCCTGGGTCTGTCGATGCAAAGCAGTGCATCTGCTATCGCTGCTGAGTTCCGTACGATGGAGTCGATTGGTCCTGTGAAGGTGGAAGGTCCGCCTGTCGAGTATCGCGATACTGGTATTCAGTATTCACCTCCTCCGTCTCCTGAAGTATTGGCTGTGGTTGATGATGTTGAGCCCGTGCCTGTTGAAATTCCGACACTGGATGTCCCCAACGAGAGCGAGGACGAAATGTCTGAAATGAAGGATTCCTCAACATTGACCATCAAGGTCGAAATGGTATCAAGCTCTTGCCAGACGATTGGCGAGCTGCCCAGTCCCCCATGGACACCCAAGGTGCCGGAGTTGCCTGTGCATATGGAAGAAGTGATCCCAGAGCCAGTGCAAATGACATCGGCCGCGACCCAGACCGACTCTCTTCCCGAGGCTGAGCCAGTCTCTGAGAAGGCTACCTTGTCGCCCAACGCTGCTCCCACTCAGATGTATATCCCCATGATTGCAATCCATCCGCCTGCTTCGGAACCACCATCACCCCGTGACAGTGTCGTCCTCCCGCCGCAGACCAAGAATGTGTCAGTGCAGGCTAATTTCAGGCCCGTTGTCGAAGGTCGATCAGTGGCTATTCAAACTGAGGAGATTCGCATCGATCAAAGACCCGTCAAACTCCCTGCCAGCCTCTTGCCTTCCGCCATCCCCGACCTTCCAATTCGATCTGAAGTCAAAGAGCCCGTCTATCAACCTTACCGTCCACCGGTACCTCCGCCACGTTCAGCGAAGAGGGACCAGTGGCCGCTCAATGCTGAACGACCTGCAAAACCACCTCGTGCACAGCCTTCGTCGGAGCTTGTACAAGCTTATCCAGGCAACAACGACAATGGTCCGCTCTCAGACGATTTGGTATCATCTGGCCTGCGACGACCTTTCCGCTCCAGCAGTTTGTTCGCCGGATTTGAACAGCTGAGCGACGATGAAGATCCCGCTGCAGAAGAGCGGGATATCTTCACGGACGACGAGCTGCTCAGCCGCCCATTCGCGTCGTACACCCTCCGCCGCGGCAAGATGGTCAATGCCAAGTCACGACCCAGCCTCGACGAGATGACACTTCCTGAAATCGACGAGCATCTTTCCGACCCAGAGTCTCGCCCATCGGACGTGGCTCGTGGTTCACGACCCGTCCTCCGATCCGCTGCAAGCGCTACTTCCTCTGTTCGTCAGCCTGGTATGCGCAAGATGGCCATGATCTCCAGCGGTGCGGCAGCCCACCAAAGGACTCGCGCCCGTAGCCCTAGCGAGCCTAGTCTCGATAGCGGCAGCGCAGGATCCAGCATCGCCCCTCCATTCCCCGTCCCTATCCGCCTCAGTTCTCGAAAGATCCCGCTGAATGGCAGCGATGGACCCCCAAGCCCAACCCGCTCAGCAAGACAATTCTCAGACCGTGGTGGCCGTGCAACTATCGTGCGCCAGCCAACCCTGCGCCGTGTTCGCTCTGCAGCAGCCATGTCCAACACGGATCTGCATGAACACCCTGAAAATCAGTCATCCCCCCACTCAGCATCCTCGTTCGTACTAGAAAGCCCAACTTACAACCCGCCGCCAATGCCGTTTGATGATATCACAGCTCCGCGTCACCGGCGCAATGTCCAGAAACGGGCCTCGCATCGTGCAACACCGTCTACAGGCTGGGACCATGATCGGCAGGACTCGACGGGCGGCGTGCAACCGACTAGTGTGGTCGATGCTATTGCCCAGACGATGGTCGGTGAATGGATGTTCAAGTACGTCCGCCGCCGCAAGTCGTTCGGCATGGGCGAGTCCAAGGATAATTGGGAGGGGAAGAACCCTGATGAGGTATCGGCCAATATCACCAATAGTGGTGTCCGCCATAAGAGATGGGTTTGGCTTGCGCCGTATGAGGGTGCCATCATGTGGAGTAGCAAGCAGCCGACAAGCGGGCCTGCCTTGCTGGGCAAGAGTGGTCGAAAGTGTGAGTGAAACCATCGCCAGCCAATGCTCATCAACTGTATATTGAAATATACTAACCCATTTCAGTCACCATTCAATCCGTCCTCGATGTGAAAGATGACAACCCTCTGCCTAAAGGCGCCAACACTTCCGCTCCCTTCAACCGCTCCATCCTCGTCCTCACCCCTCAACGCGCCCTCAAATTCACCGCGCTCACCGTGGAACGCCACTACGTCTGGCTCACAGCCCTCTCCTTCCTCAGCCACTCCTCAATGGGCCTCCAAGACCTCGCTGCCATCCCCCCAGCCCCGCAAGAAGAAGCCGCCTCCCCAGCACCCCAAGCCGCCCTCCGCCGCAATCCAATCCGCGACTCCATCCGCGTCGCAAAGGGCAAACCCCGCCCAAAGCCAAAAAGCAAACGATCCTTCCCCGGCGCTCCAGTCCCAGAACTCCCCTCCGCAGGGGATCTGGACAACATGGCCGCCGACGCGCCCCATGTACCCCGGTTCTCAAACCACAGCAGCCACCATCACACTCGCAAGCGCAGTAACACGGCTCCACGACCCCCCGCGCTCCACGCTATCCGCAGTTTCTCAAGTCAAGGTACCATGCCATCGATGCACAGCGGGACAACCGGTTCAAATGAGCCGTACTTCTCCCCCGTGGCACCGCCGGCTTTACCACAGGGTATCCGAAGTGGTCGGAGCAGTATCAGCCGTACTTCGGAGGGTAGTGGACGCACGATGAATACTGCAACAAGCAATATGTTTGACGTGGGCACTGTCCGTATGGAGGCTTTTATCGATCACCATGCCGAGCAGATTAATCGTCCGCGGGCCGTGCCGTCTGTGAAAATGCGACATGTGCGGAAGACGTCGAGTCAGTGGAGTGCATATGATGCGCCGTCTGTGGATGAGAGTGAGCTTTCTTTCCGATCGGATCCTTTCCGGGGATTTTAGGTGACTCAGCGAGCTTTGGAGGGCTGTGTCGTTCATTCCTTTTTCTCATTTCTTCTTTTTCTTTTCTATCTTGTCATTTTGGCCCTTTTGCGCTCATTATATATGCTTTTATTCCTCGTGTCTTGGCGTTCACGAAGACATCGACACCGACTCGATACGGTCCTGACCATCCTATTTCTGACCAACATACCTTGCATCCTTTCTCTTTACACTTATTCTTGTCGAGCACGTGAGCATCTTTGGATCGGTGCTCATTCGATTTTGGCACCATTTGGACCCTTTTTTTTTGCTTTGATGTTGATACCATTGTGCGACTGGATACCAAATTCGAAGTAGCGATGGATTTATGGATTATGGGGCGTTGGAGTTGAATTATTACCTGTCTTTGTCTTTTCATTCATATTATACCGTGCTTATAGGTACTTTGTACAGATAATGATTTATTTCTCTGCTCTTGACATTGACCAACCTACACTAGTATCAGCGTACAGGTAGGTCTACATGCGACGGACGCGGATGGATATATGCACAAAATAGAAATGTAGTATAAAGCGGGTATAAAACACATCTTTCTCAATACTCCAATTCTAATAATCCATATCTAACAACCACCCAACCAACTTATCTTCATTCACAGGCAAGGATTCGCTCACTCAACAATATGAGCTGAAACGAATGCGTAGATAGTTCCTCCGGCAAACATTTTCCAAAGGCACGTGTACCGCAGTAGCCTGGCGTTTCGCAACCCCCCATTTATGGCTCGCTCTTATGTATGCGTATAGTTCGACGTTACACGGCCCTCACAGCTTCGCAGCATCCTTGACATCGCCGATCTTCAGCTTGGGCGAGTACTTCTTCAGAACGGACTCGTTGTGGTACTAGACATAGTCGCCGGATATTAGCACAAGCCACCGGATACCGCGTATATAACAAGACGACGGAGTAGATAGAAGCGCGAATATCTTTGTTGTCGGGCACATACCTTCCAGAACTGCTTAGAGGCATCCTTACCAGCAACGCGCTTCAGGATCTTCGCGCCGCCGGGGTGCTCATCCACGAACTTGGTGACGTCGTAGACGGACGAGTCGACGATAATGTACATGCCCTTGTCGGCGCTGTTGTGGGCGGCGACCTCGGCGGGGGTGAAAGTCTTGGACATGGTGGGCGATGGTGTGGTGTATTTTCTTTTGTGGGTGGTGGTGGTGATAGGTAGTTGTGGAGATTCAAGAAGAGGAAAGGTGGAAAGTGACGTTTAAAGGCCTGCGGAGAGTGAAACTCGGCGGAGTTCGAAAGTCTGGGGGGAGAGTCAAGAGACAGTAATCAGCGGGGCCGAGGTAAATCGGGGTGTGCCGCGGTCGGCCCAATTGCGAATGCGTCGCTGCTGATTGGTGTGGATGGGGGTCCGGAATTATTTAATTTGTTGGTGGTTTTATTCCGAGATTGGTGTAATTATTCTTATGCATGTTATGATAGTACGAGGGGTGTTTCCTATATTGCAGATGGGTCTATAGCTCTATACTTGCACAGATCCCTTAGAATTAAATGGTAGCTGTAGAGGTGTTCGGCTATTGAGCTTCTCCGATCGGCTATAGATCTCTCCTTTTCCGGTAGCAAACTGACAGCGGTGGCCATCTAGTCCTGGGATTTCCACCACCTAGCTTCATGACCTTCTCAGGTCTATAACAGTATCTTTTAAAGACAAAATGATCTATATCTTTTCATTGGATCTTAGTTACCACCAAACAAGAATGGTGGCTATCTAAATCCTAGTCACTTGGATCCTTCAAGTCACGAATCATAATCATACGTAGCTTGCCTCCGTCTCAACTAGTTCCATCAACCAAGATCTCCCAGAAAGACTCCGGGAAGCCATTCTTGTGACCGGTTGAAAGTGCGTGTTTTGAGATTCAGCATTGAAATGACTCGCTCGAAGACCTATCCTTTGATAGTCACCTGGAATGTAAACCATCTTCTTGCCATGAAGCTCAATCCATGAACCGCGGAAATAATATCCCAAGTACTTCGCCTTCTTGACGAGATCCTCTCCAGTAGAGATAGGATCAGATGGACTGCTGCGGATAGCAACACAGGAATCGCCAGTAATTAGGAATGTGTCATCAGAGTTGAATGACAGGCTTAGAATGAAGCTCTCCATCGTGATCGTCTTTATAAGCGTCATTGTAGATGTGCTCCAGATATCAATACTGGGACTTAATTTATGTGCATAATATTGTGCCTCGGCGAGGAGTCCCGAATCGTGTGAGAATGCGAGACAGAAAATTGTTCGGTGACGGTCTGTCCCAGCTTGCTTGACTGGTTGGGTTCGGGGCGCCTTTTCTATATCCCAAATCTTGATGTCGAACGCACAAGCTACTGCAAAAAACCTCGAGTCGTGCGAAAAGGCCAGGCCGTTTTCGAGTTGAATCTCATTGGCAGTTGACAGTAACAATTGGCCTGTCGCCATGCTCCAGATGGTAACAGGGCCCCTTTTATCATCGCCGACTAATGCCAGATAGTTGCCATCAAAGGAGAATGTGACCCACTCCGTTCTTGGACCTGGGTGTCTGAGTATTTGCTTGATTTCTCCTGAAGACAGTTCCCCTATGTTGGTAGTACCGTCATCCGCCGTCCATGCAAAGAACCTCATGTCATGAGACCATCCAACAAGGCGATTTGTGTGGTCACCCAGTTTGAGTTGCTTTTCAACCGCCCCACTAGAAGTACTCCCGACGGTGATGGTAAGATCTCCCGATGCTGATACCGATGATGAACGCTTCAGGTCCTCGGAGAAAATAGGTCCAAAGGCTTTTTGACTCGGCTCACTGGCTCTGTGCTCCTGAGAAAATCTTTCCATGTCCCAAATTTGAATGGATTGAACAGTTATATTGGACCCCAATGCAAGTAGCTTGGAGTCATTTGAAACAGACATCAAAGTCAATCCTGGGTTGAACCTTCGTGATGTTTGACCATCAATAGCTGGTATGACAGACCAATTGATAGCATTCCAGACTTTCATGAGCCCATCTTTCGATGCCGAGATAAATGTTTGGGAGTCTTGAGAAAATTGAAGAAACACTATCTCGCTCACATGATCTCGAATCGTTCTTTCCAGTGACGATGAAGTGACATTCCAGATATAAATAGTCCCACTCTCAGATCCTGCTGATAAGAGCTTTGCATCATGTGAGAAGACTATCATTGACACTGGTTCTTCAAGCTGGAACGTTCGGCGAGGTGAGCATGTAGCGGTATCCCAGAGCTCGATTTTCCCGCCCGATGGTAGAGGAATGAATAGCTCCATATCAGGAGAAAAGCATGCTGGCGAGAGTCTCCCCAATCCAAATCCACCGTGCATCTTGTGAGGTATCGTTTTTCTCAGCGACCATGTCTTTGTTTCCCAAATTTTGCTATATCGATTATAGCAAACACCCAAAAGATTAGAGTCGCGTGAGAATGTCAATTTATTCACTTGGTCGGTGGCCATGATGGCCTCGAAGCTCGCAATAGTCTCGATTGTCTCGGTGGTCTGGATAGTATGTTTTCGAGCGCCTGTTGCGACGTCCCAGATGACAATATGCCCACTGACGGATGCCGATGCAAGCAGGCTTGAGTCATACGAGAATATTATCGCGCAAGTCGGATAGTTCCATCCAAGTTCCGTCATGCCGGACTCGAGTTCGGCTCTGATCAGCCCTGTTGAAACATCCCATATTTGAATACCAGAAAATGATTGCGAGGCCAATAATTTCGAGTCATGAGAGAATGTAAGCCAATGAACCACACGGCCAACATCAATGCTATGAATGGCCGATCCCCATTTTTGGTCAACTATTGGTTTCTTCGGTATCCATCTGGGCTCATTTGCGAACATTCTTCGAGTCAACGATTCACTCGGGGTGAACAATAGAGCAGATACATATGCTTGGAGCGGGGCCATCTGGATCATGGTGCCATTCTTGAGAACAAAGCGATAGATATCTTCTATCAACTCCTTCAAAGTAGAGTTGCGAGTGGCATTCTATACTTTGTTAGACAAGCCTTCTTGTTCGGTTGTTGTTAACAATCGCACTCCACTAACCTTGATGAGCGTTTGAAGCTTTATAACCCCATGTATCACGTCTGCAATGACTCCTACCAGAGATGAAGCTTCGAGCCAATGGAGGATGTGATTTTTGAGGAATTTATGAACTTGACTATCGTCTTGCAGGATATCTTCAAGGCTCATGCCGGTCTCGTTCCAGTCCCAGAGATGATTGACCCAGTAGACGCAAGAGTACCGTACTTCCCTTAGCGGATCAGGCTGCGGCGTTCTGATTTCTTCTATTAGTGTCCCAGGAATTTCAAGCTGATACATGTTCCTCTTCAGCTTCTCTGACAGAATGTGGATGGATCTTGTGAACAGGTCGAGGTGTGTGACTCCATTGGCAGAAGCAAAAAGAATGCCTTTTGAATGTTTGTGCAAGTATTCCTTTGCAGATTGGTGGATGAGTTGAACAGAGTCATTCTGAATCCTGAAAAACGATCCACACATGTTCACAATCTCCTTGATGTTATCTGGGTCACTGGAGATCTCATCAGGCAGTCCAGCTAAGACTCCCATCTCTGCCAAGCGAAGCGGACGGTACGCTAGAGTAGCTGTTGCAAGAACACGGTAACAGAGCTCTGGGTCGTCCATTTCCAGATTTTCAATATGTTTCATCATTCTGTCGTACAGACCTTCCAATCCAGATGGAACGCTGTCTAGAACATTGAGAACATTCCACTTCTTCACTTTCTCGAGCTCCTTGGCAACGATGGCTACCCATAGGAATGTATTCGCTGCTTTGTCACGCATGACATCCCGGACTTGGTTTTTCAGCTCGTGGCTAGCCCTCAAGACTGAGAGTTTTGCAATCCTGTCATCAATATAAGCATTGACTGCCTGAACGACCTCGTCTGGATTTTCAGCCAAATCCAAGTGTATTTGAATCTCAGGGCTAGTCTGGCTGAGCTGATCAATGATGTTCGACACGTTGCGACTCGAAACAATCCACTTGACAGAAGCTGACACTGAGATGTTCTCGGCGATGAAGTTGAGGAGATGATCTTGACTTGTTTCACACTCATCAAGAGCATCGATCACAATGAATGCGCGCCCTAGTTCGGGATCTCGCAACATTCGGCCAGCTACATCTGACAAGGCGAAAAAAGAGCTTCTATCTTGAAACAAGCCATTATGACGATCATATCTCTCTCGCAGATGGGTTATCAGTGAAGGCCGCGATATAATGAGACGTTAGATGAGACCTCTGAGGACAGCTGTGGCACTATTCATGTGTGCATTTGGGCCTTGACAGAAGAAGTAGGCAAGTCCAGCCTCAGGTGATGAGTGCTCTAATTCTTTGATAATGCCTATCAGCAGCATGGTCTTTCCATGTCCAGGCTCACCCCTAATCCACAGAAGTCGCTTCTGATCATCGGTCTGGAATTGTCGAGAGCTTGGATGATGGATTATCCATTCGTATGAGTCTCTGAGGAGACCCCCTTTCCCCTGTTCGATGTCCCTCATGTGGTCCTGAGGATCGGATACACCAGGATGGGTGGATAGAAGGGCTGAAAGACACTCATTTTTCGTGGTATCTTCAGGATCAGACACGGCCTCCGGTCAGCGACCTGATCATAAAGTATATAAAGAGGCTGAACGATTTTCAAAGTACCTGGTGCTAGTGCGGCATTGATAGTTCCATAATTGGTTTTAACCTGAATTCCCTCGTTAAAATCGCCAAATGAGGTTACATTCGAAGTCATGATCAAGGCAGCGATCTCAGCCCATGAATCATGCTCCAAGCTTTGAGAATGAAGGAATTGTTACTATTCACGATGGTCTTTACATCAAGGAGGGGCAACTATTCAGCCTCGCTATCAGGTGACCTGACGGCGCTAAGAGCTGCATGGTGATTGCTTCATTTCTTTGGCTAGCCCTAACACCTAGGATTTTGGTTTGAAATCATGCAGTTCCGGAATCTATTACTCACTTATTGAGGCATCAAATGTCAATCATAGGTATTATCCACTTGAAACTGTACTATACACAACAAAAACAAACACCTATCCCAACATATCTCATCTAATCCAACCCCAAATCAAGTCCGACTCTTCTCCCCAGCCACCCCAGCCCCCTTAGGAACCTTCCTATCCAACCCCAAAGACTCCAAATCTTTCTTTTTATAATAATGCGGCGCAACCTCCACCAACCACTCCGCCTGCAAAGGCATATTACTCCGCATATACTCCTTACTCGTCAACACAAGCTCAAAGTAAATCACCCACCGCGGGTTAACCTCAAACAACGTGCTCGACGGGTGCAAATACACAGACTGGCCGTTCTTAATCGTGCGGTAACTATCGCCACCGCGTTGCAGGCGTGCTGCGTTCGGGAAGAAGCCGGACGTAATGGCCTTTTGGATGGGGACGATGTTGTTGGAGCCGCAGGTGCTGACGGTGACTTCGACGCGGTCGCACAGTTTGGCGAGTTGATCGCGGACGTCGCGCGCGCGGGTGAGACTGCGTTGTTGGAGGAAGTTTTCTTTGGACCAGACGACGCTGAAGTCAGAGTCGGCCCATTGGTTCCAGATGTTGAGGAGGGTGAGGTGGTCACCGCCTTCTTTGATGGTGAAGCGGTTGCGGGCGCTGTCAGCGTGGATCTTTTTGTCTTTGGGACGGAAGAAGAGCGCGCTGGCTTCGCCGAGCATTGAGACGATTGAGAGGACCTCTTCCACGCAGCCGTACTGGCCTGCTGCGAGGATGGCCTTGGCGAGCATTGGGTCGGTTGGGAATTCGGCCATCTGTCGGCCGACCTTTGTGAGGTCGCCTCGATCATTCAATGCGCCGAGTGCGTAGAGTTGTTCCAGCGCGCGAATAATAGTCTCAGCTGGTGGTGGATCCATGAAATCGAAATCGAGTAGCTGATCAATGCCAAGCGACTTTAGCATAAGAATCACACTGTTGAGATTCGTACGCTGGATCTCGGGCGTGGTGTTCTCTTCCAATTCATTGTAGTATGCCCACTTGGTATACAATCGGAAACATTTTCCAGGTCCAACACGTCCGGCACGACCAGCTCGCTGATTGGCAGAGGCCCGCGAGCAGGGAGTCACGACGAGACTTTCCATGCCTGTCCGGGGGTTGAACACATTCTCCTTCACAAACCCAGGATCGATCACATAGACGATACCGTCAATCGTCAAACTGGTTTCGGCAATATTTGTAGCCAGGACAACTTTGCGCGCCTTGGGTGGTGTCGGTTCGAATATCTTTGTCTGTAGTTCAGATGGCAGATTGGCGTAAATAGGACAAATGATCATCTCCGGTATTTTGCTACCAAGTTTCCGTGCCGTCTCCTGTAAACTTTGCTCCGCGGCTTCAATTTCTTCTTGACCTGTCAAGAAGACCAGAATATCACCAGGACCCTGAGTGACATGAATCTGGAAGACCGTGGTGATGGCAGCCGCGAGATAATTGGCTTCAGGCTGAGAAGTATAGTGCACATCGACTGGGTACCGACGACCGGGAATATTGAAAATGGGCGCATCATCGAAGTACTTTTGGAATTTCTGCGCATCCATAGTGGCTGAGGAAATGAGGAGCTTCAGATCGGGTCGCGCCTTGGCGATATCTTTCAGAAGACCACAAGCAATATCAGTTGGCACCGTTCGCTCGTGGGCCTCATCAATCATCAACGCCGCGTATTGACCCAGGTCTGGCTCCGTAAGTAACTCTCGCAGAAGCATGCCATCAGTCATATACTTCAGGATAGTCTTGTCGCTGGTGTTATCCTCGAAACGAATAGCATAACCAACTTCATTGCCGATCTTGGTACCCATTTCATCGGCCACACGCGCAGCAACACTCATAGCAGCCACTCGACGCGGCTGTGTGCAGCCAATTTTCAACCCGTCCTTCGTGAAACCAGCCTCATGAAGATACTGCGGGATCTGGGTGGTTTTACCAGAACCCGTCTCACCAACAATGATAAGAACCTGGTGGTCATGCACAGCCTGAATGATCTGGTCGCGGAATTGATAAATGGGCAGACTCTTCCGCGTCTCCTCCATAGTCGCGGCCTTTTTCTCCGCAGCATCGACTTGCTGCTTAAACCGCAATTGCTCCTGCGTCATCGGCTTTTGCGTGCCCTCGATCTTGGACTCCATCACAAAGTTGATCTGCTGCGTATCATCGAAGACATACTCGTAGTCGCCCTCATCCACAAACTCAGCCTTCTTGATCTGCGCTTTGGCTTTGGCAGCCTGCTCCAGCTCCCATTCCTCGTGTTCGGTAACGAACTTCTCCTGACCTGTCTCGTCACGGTCCACGTATCGCTTATACAATGCATCCTCCTTCTTCTTGCGGTCAATCTTGCCCTTTTCCGTAATATAATCCTCAGGCATCATGTAACCATCGAGATGATCATCAATCCGAAGTCGCTCCTCCGCAATCCGTAGAACTTCCCGATTCCGCGCAAATTCTTCCTTCTCCCGACGCGTGAGGTTCGGGTTCTCGCGCAGCTCCGTAGCCTCCTCTGCAACCTGGCGCCGCAGCAGAGCAAGTCTCTCCGCCTCGCGCTTCTTCAAATATTCCTGACGCGAGCGCTCACGCAGATCAGGCATCACAGACGCCCGTGCGGCAGCATCATCGGCCAGCGCACGTCTCCGTGCAGCTTCACCATCCCGCGTCCGGTCTTCCACAATCTTCTTGGATTTCGAGCTATCCTTATTGGCCAAACGCTTCGCAAACTCGTCTCTCTCGCGTAGATCCTTTTGTCGCTCAATCTCCTGTTTCGTCTGGGGGTCGATATCTTCGACTGGCGACGAGGCGCGCGGCGATGCCGAGCCATCTTCAAGTCGTGTGCGCTTTGGCGGTGATTCGGCGAATTCGTCTTCGTCGGCGTACCGTTCATCTTCGGCGATTTCTTCATCACCCCACCGGTCATCGAAATCGTCTGCATCCCTCTGTCGCAACTTCTTCGTGCGCGGTCGGTCTCGACTCTCTGCGTCCCGGCTGCGATCTCGTTTCCGGCTATCATCCTTGTCGCGACGACTTCGTTCTCGATCTCGATCACTCTCCCTCTCTCTATCACGTCGCCGCCGTGTGTCACGCTCTGCCTCGACGTTGACGGGACCTAGTGATGACGCAGGTTCGGGAAGATCCTCACCCATATCCACAAGACGGTATTTTTTCTTTGAGGATTCCTTGTTCGCCGTAGATTTCGAAGACGATGCACTGGGTTGACTGCTCTTCCCTACGCGGGAGAAAAGCTGTCCGCAAAATGCGCCAATCTCGTCGGGGCTGCCATCGAGGAAAGAGACCAGTTTGTCTTGGAGGGAGGATGCAGATTTGGCAGATGAGGCTTCAGCAAGGACAAAGTCGACGGCAATTGGATCTGAGGCGCCGGTTAGGCGGATGAGGGAGTCGGACACGAAAGTCTTGTTGTCCATGGTCGGCGCGGAGGTTGGGGAGGATCAGGGTGGTCTTTAAGTAGCTCCGCGGGGTGTGATAATTCTCGGAAGTTCTCAAGAGATAGGTCGCATGATGCACAGGGAAAGGTTATGAGTTGGAGTAGTCTGCTGGAAGCTAGTGAGGGAGAAGTCGGCTGGGAAATAAATTTGAAGGTGTCACGGATGCGGAGAGCAGAGCTCGGAGGTCGTGCCAAGACGAGTGGCGATCCCAAAACCGCAACGGCGGGAACATCTTGTCTTCCGAAGTATATCAGTCCATCCACCAAATTGTAGATACAGTACACTAAAAACACTCATTTTAGAAATGACATTGGATATTCTTTTACTGGAGCTGATAATTACAAAAGCGAACAATGATTTAACTGTCTAGTTGAGATTGTAATCGGTAGGTGTCCCAAACACTACCTAGGATCAAATATATATCCCTGGATCTGGTACTAATTGACCATCCTAGGTCAACGCAACCCATCACGCTCAGATTGACAAGATACCACGTCTAGAAACTTCTGGCTTCCAATATCATGTCAAGTGGGTCTACAAATGCGTATTACAAGAAGCACAAGAAGTAACAAATAATCAAACATTTCATTGGGATATCATTCGGATTCCAGCCGTCCATGAACGTGGAATCAATCTGGCCACACACCAAAAAAAGCAAAAACTAAGCAGATCTCGCTAATCTAACACAGCATGGTCGCAATCATTCGTCGTTACTCAAACAGATGATGGTAGAGAGTACAGGAGAAAAGAAAACAAAGGGGGGGGAAGTCCAGGTCCGCTAATATGCCAGGTAGTCACCGGCACAGATCGCAGAATGAGGCAGGTCTAGCCAACCGGCCAACGAGTCGTGGATAAGGATTTCCAGGGAAAAAGACCGAGTCAAACTGAGCCAACCGGTCAATGAGGAGTCCCCGCAATGCAAGCCAGCTTCCACAAACCAATCTAGTCGAGGACAAGCCCAGGAAGCGCGATGCCGATTTACACCAACCGAAACGTAAAAGTTGCAAGGTCAACCTGATCAGGCGAGAGCAGCCCTGGCATCTCGAGAATTCAGGAGGCCATCATGCATGGGGAAATATTGGTACATTTGTGACACCCGGGAATGCTGGGCGATGGTACAAAGGAAATGATAAAAAAAAAGAAAAGACCAGACGGAGAAACGCCGCGCTGAAACGCCGGGTATTGCGACCTTTGCAAAACTCCTCCGGGTCAGGACAAACGATGGACATAGGTCCAATCAACTGGATTGAAAGATGTGATGAAACCTAAAATCCGAGGATCAAGATGGGATCACAAACGAAGGACCGGTTGAGATGAAATGGCTTCGACCCGAGAAGCCGAGAGTTGGGTGAAAAAAGAAAATCGTCACGATCAATTAACGTGGCCTGGAAGATAGGCAGGAACCAGATGAAAAAAGAGCAAAACGCCGAGTTGTATCGACGCGAGAACGACAGATGACAAAGGGAAAGAAGAAAAGAAATCGACATCACGGAACGCCCTCCATATGCACAAGAAGTTTGAGAAAAGGGGAGATAGATTACACATCGATCATCTCGGCATCTTCGGCCAAGATCTCGTCAGCGGGGCCCCAGTTACCCTCGAAGACGGTAGCGCCGGCGCGCCGGCGGCGGTTCACGAACTGTACACCGTAGTTTTCCAGAATCTGATCGGCAGTGGGCCGATCAAGTGGATCGGGAGAGATCATCCAGCGAACAATCTTGTCCAAGGCTTGATCATGGCGAGCATCGATCATAAAGTTGGGAGGGTGGACGAGCTCGCCGCTGCGAGCAGCTCGGCATGACTTGCGCGGGTTGACCTTGCGCACACCCAGGAAATCGTCACCAAAGTCGTGGCCACCGAGCTCAGATGCACAAAGCTCGTCAAAGGACTGCTCTTCAGAGATAGGATTGCCCGAAGCATCGCGGAATATACTAGTTTCCGAGCTCCAGGTAAGGCTGGGCACATCGCTCATGTCGCCGTTGCGAAGCTTCTGCCAAGACACTCCATTGTCGGGGAGCTCCACATTACCGGCAATCTCAAACATAATCAGACCGAGGGAGAAGATGTCGGCAGGCTTGTCGAACCGGCCCATCAGGATCTCGGGTCCAATGTATTCACGGTCACCCTCGCCCTCGAAGCCATTCTCGGCAGGCCAGCGGGTGGCCATACCAAAGTCACCAATCTTCAGGACACCTTCGAAAGTGACTAAAATATTGGCAGGCTTCAGATCAAGATGAATGAAGCCCTTGTCATGGATGTGCTTCAATCCCAAAGAGAGTTCGAGGAGGATCTTCCAGATGCGGAAGTCATCAATGCGAGCCTTAAGGCCAGCCTGAGCGAGGAAAACATCCAGGCTACCCTCCTCGCAATACTCAGTCTGAATGTACAAGTGGCGGTGATACTCCCAGCTATCCATCAAGTTAACGACGTGGTCCGAGTTGACCAGCGCCTTCAGGATATCCACCTCGCGAATGCGACGCTCACGATCCTTCAATCCCGTGTAGGGCTGCTTGCTCTTCTTCACAGCCCACACCTGGTGGGCCACATCCGTGGGTGATTGGCACCCATTGGATGGCAGAGAGAACACAGAACTGAAAGATGTGTTGCGTGGCCCAGAAACTCGGAAGACCTGTGAGAACTCACCAGTGCCGATGAGCTCAACCTTTCCGAAGCGAGAGGTCAAGCTAGAGTCGACATTCGGAGCCTCATACCCGCTAAGCTGGAGGCTAGGTCGCTTGCTCGAGAGGAAAGACTCGCGAGGACCAGTGGGAGTAGCAGGGAGGTTGAGGCTGCTACCAAAGTCGGGCGGGACAGGTTGCTGGTCATTTGGTACAGAAATGGACAGACCACTTGGGTCGGGAGGGAAGTACTGGTCGCGAGGGGTGCGAGGGGTAGTGGAGGCCTGCAAGAATCGGTCACGCAGGGGAGTCGAAGTGCCGCTGTTCCTCGTCTCTGACAGACGCTCCAGAGAGGCGATCTGAGAGGTGGGGGGAGGATACGTGCGAGAGGGGAGGAAGGTTTGTTTGGTGGGAGTGGGAGGGAGATCGGAGTCGGTCATCGGCTGGCTATCATGGCGTGAAGAGGGGGACTGGGCCTGTAGCATGTCGTCACCATCGATGCTGACAACGCTTCCTCGACGCGATGCTTCGGGACGCGAGAAACCGTTGCCAAAGATGCCCATGCCACGAGCAAATGGACCCGGCTTGGGGCGAGCAGACGAGTCAGGTGGGTTGAATGGGGATGCAGGCGCCACCTCAGGCTGTCGACCAAACTGCGACTTCTTGAAGAATCCCTCGGGGATAGGAGAATCCACGCCAGCCGTGAACAGGTTAACAGGACGCTTGCACGGGGTATCCGGCATGTTCTTGTTGAAACCACCGCCGTGCATGTCATCAGCGTTGCGGTTCTTCTTCGAGATCAACCCAGTTGACATGAAAGCAGCAGGCAGAGGCTTCACCAGCTTGTAGTTCTCGGGTGTCGCGAAGGACTCATTTGAGGTCGACTCTTCACGAGTCACCCGGCGTACCGGCGCAGGACGCGTGGCACCAGCTGGGAGCGACTTGGAGAAGTTCATGATGGGCCGCGGGGCTCGCTCAGGCTTGTGCAGGGGTTCGTGAGTGGGGGAGTCTCCCAGACTTGACCCAGAGGAAGACTGAGTGATGGTGCGGGAGAGAGGGTGAGCAGAAGGGCGAGGAGGTTGGGAAGTTCCAAGGTTTGAAGGGTTGGAGTTCATGGCTGTGTTGACGGGGGGAGGGTTGGGTGAGAAGAGAGGACTGGCAGGAGGAGGAGGGCGAGGAGAAAAGAAGTTGGAAGAGTCTTGACCCGACTGGAAAAGCCCGCTGTCAAAGGACATGCGAGGTCGAACTGCCAGCGGGGTACCAGGTGAGGCCTCACCGTCACCCAGAGCCCTGGACCGACCAAAGAGAGGGCGCTCTACTTGGCGTTGCTGAAGAGTCGATCGCCGAAGTGAGGAAGATCGCTTGGGGATGGTTGCGAACGGATTGTGAGGTTGAGTTGGAGTTGGGAAGTAAGAGGTAGCTTCATCACCATGTCCAGCGGGACTTGCAGGCGCAGTGTCACTTTCATGGTCAAAGATGCTAAACTCCGTCGCAAAGTTCGAGGCATGAACACTGCGTCGCTTGGCCGAGGGGCTGCCACGAGACGCTTGGTCCAGATTCATGATGCCGTCACTACGCTTCAACGGACTTACCGTTGCAAAGGAACCAAAGGTGCCACTGCGACGCTTCTCAATGCGCGACAAAGTCGGGCGAGGCGCAAGTGTTGATTCGGGAAGAGGGCCAGTTGGTGTGGTGCTGAGACACGGACTGGCGCACGAGTTGCTCTCACTTGAATCGGCCAAATCATCCAATGTCAAGGCATTCTCCTCACCTGGCGCGATGGAAATGGGCTGAGATGAAACTGAGTTGCCTCCATCAGCGGACACGGCGAGAGCGCATTTGGCCGGACTGCGTGGAGACGTTCGTCGCCGCATGACCGGACGAGTGATCTTTGCGCTGGGAGGATACGGGACTGCCAGCGGTGATGGCTGGCCAGTCGAAGGGAAGAGGACAAAGCTGTTGTGAGAGGACCGCCGCGAGGGCGACAGCGGTGACGACACGAACGGTGTGGGCTTGGATGGTGAGTGAGTGCGCGAGTTGAGGAAGAAGTTGGAGCTCTTGGAAGGCGAGCGCGACAACGAGCGCCGAAGCTGTCGAATGGCGGAACTGGCATCGACGTGATGGAGGGGCGAGTGAGAGGAGAGATGGAGGGTGCCTCCGGAGTCCCGATGAGGTGAGAAGGTCGCAACCATTTTTCGTGGAGGGAGGGGGGAATGTTGGACTTCGAACGTGCCGCGCAAAAAGTCCAGAATGAGACTCCTTCGCTCTGATCTCGCACTCTGTTTTGATCTCTCTCACTTCTCTAGCCCAATAGCGAATCTTACGATCTTTCCAACACACTTCAAAAAGTCTGCGATCCGCGGTTCCCAAATACTGCGTCGATTGCGAAAAGTCAAGTGGCGATGGTTACCTCCCCAAAAGATCCTCCACAAGAAAAGGCGCCTCTGACGCGACTTGCAGAGAGGGGCACAACAACGCGGCCAAGAGGGATAGTGTAAGCGTTCAAAACCCCCGAGTGAGTCAACAGGATGCTTATGCTGCGGACGGCCCAGCGGCACTGGAATGCTGGGAAGGCGCAGCCGCAACACAAAAGTGGTAAGAAAACAGCAAAAAAACAAGAGCAGTTCACGGTTCACCCACTCATCGCGAGGCAACAGGAATTCCGTCGTGTTGGTCCTCCGATCGGGTAACGGGGGAACTACCAAACAAGGCGCGTGCGTGTCTGAGCGACAGGGCGAGGCGTGCTGGCTGCCGATGTCTCGCGCTCTCTCTCTGCCTTGTGTTTCGAAAGCGTCGCGTCGGGAATGTTTCAGGATGGCCACACAGACATGCGCAGTTGGCGGGCCTCCAGGACGATGGGATGATGGACTTGATGACGATGTCGATGTCCTTTGTTCCTCTTCAAGATTCGCAGAACAAGGCCAGGGCCAATGGTTGAGAGCGGAGCTTTCTTCCTAGAGTTCCCAGGAAATCAAAGGGAAGAGCCGTGCAAGGGGTAGATCCCCCTCCAAGGCGCGGACGTGTAAATGAGATCAGCCCACGCGAGGTTTTGGGCAGGAGGGGCCAGGAATGTGGCTTTGCGATCAAGTTCGAGTTTCTTTGTTATTTTGGAAGGAGAAAGGATTCCTGAAGTCGAGAGGGCGGAGAAGGACGGGATCGAGCACGGCGACGCTAGGAATGTTGGGAAGGGATTCCGAAGCAGTGCCAGGTTGAGAATAAATGGAACTTTAGGCTCTCTCGAGAGTCGAGAGTCGAGTTGGCAGGTCGATCAACGCGCCCGTCGCGTTGTTGATCCCTCGAGGCCCGTTTGGGTTTAGCGGCGGGGGACGCGTCGTGACATAAACAAATAGCGGGTTATGTAATCATCGGCCACCTGATCTATACCGCCAGAACTACTCCGTACAGAGCGAAGTACAATCTATGCCGTTGATTAGTGTTCGATTATCAATATCTACCCCTCGATGGAACTACACTTCCCATTTCCATCCAGGCTATTACCTGCAGAAGAGGGGACCAGAGTGGTTCCATCATCCACGGTCTGTGAGATCCGGCGCTTGCTGGGGATGGGAGGCAATTCCCGGGGTCGCCCCTGCGCCAGACCCAAACGCCACTCAGAAGGATGAACAGTGGACACTGGACACTGCACACACCCCAACAGAGTCCGTGTCCTCTTCATGATCCCCGACCATGCAGCCTTTGTGGATGAGAGAGAAAAAAAATGCTATTGTTATACCGCTTCTCGGAAGACCCGCGTCGGAGCCAGTCCCATGCATCGCGACTTGGGCCCACTTGCGCCATGTCTGGTCATTGTCCATTGTTGGGGCCTATCAAAGGTCCGCCACGCGAACTCCCCTTGCATCAATCGCTGCCAGCGACCAGCCTGCCACCGAATCAGCCCACATCTGTATGTACAGTGTACAGTGTACTCATGTTGGATCTTTGCTCAGGGCAACCAGTGGAATGACCGCCAATCCTTCCATCCAGCCACACTCGACGCCAAATGGTCCCGGCTCGCTCCTTCCGGCAGGAACTAAGTTTCACTCTTTTAATCTGAGGCAACAGTCAGACGAAGCTCAGCCTCGGTGCGGACCGTCCACGTCCACGGTCCCATTTTTGGTTCTAAAGTTCAGAGTTTGCAGTCCGCATCCCTCATTCCCCAGGCGTTCATGTTTATTTACCCGGTGGAGACGCGGCATTATCAACAAGCCCTGAATCTCCTCTGGTCCCCTCGGGATCCGCTCGTCCCGGAGCTCCCGTGGGTCCTCCAAGCATCGAATAATTTCTTTTGCTATTCGTCAAATCATCGGCTATGCGGATTGGACGCAACTCGATATATTGACAATGGTACGGTGGGTGAAAAACGAACACATCCAAACGCCAAATGTTAGAGGAAAAAGCAATATATGCACGGGAAAGGAGACGCACACAGACAGTGGAGCGTGGACACACCCTCTATCTCTGCCTCTCGCTCCAGTTAACCAAAACACAATGGTAAAAGAAGATTTACAAGAAAAAAATAAATGAAGGCCAAAATAAACATGTCCCAGGGTTGCAGAGCACATAGCAGGATGCCCCCCATTGAGCACCTCTTCACCGATCTTTTCTCTCTCTCTCTTTTTTTTTTTCCTTTTTGTAATTGCTCCTCCGAAGCTCGCTTCTCTGCGGACCTCTATGGAGATTCCAAAGAAGCAACCAACACTTCCATTTCATACCTCATCGTCTCCATCACCTTCTCGGCAGTGGGGCGATCGAGACGAGTATCCGGTGCAAAAACACCAAAATCCAGTCGGTCCTCTCGGATAGCAGCCTCAACGTCGATCGTAGGCTGTTCAAAGCGTAGATTTTGCATTAGTGTCCGCTGCTTGCCATACTGGGTATTTAAGGGATACGTCAAACTTACCCAAAAAACGTCTTTCATCGCCGTCATCCAAGTGCTGGACCCGGTCGTCTGGTCTGATGTGGACGGGGCTGTGACGCCGTTGGTTTGGGGCGGGGCAGGTGGGTGGGTTTGCGAGGTAGATAAATTCGGTGGTGCTAGCTCGTCACTCGAGATGGTGTGGAAGATCACTTTATCGCTTGCATCGTCGTTGGAGTCTTCTAGCTCCGGCAGTCGCAGGAAGTTGATGCAGGTGTTGATGTGTACCCCGGTCCATTCGGCAATCTCTACAAGTGAGACTCCGGCGTGTTCCACCAAGCTAATCTCGTTGATATCCTCCTGGATCTTCCGGGCAGCGATGAATAGTGAGCTATGGTCATTGCTGAGCTTGTTATCCAGACGGAGTGGAACAATGTTGACGGTGGGGCCAACCAGTTCAGATAGACCCTCCATCCCGTATGACCGATTGGCAAGATACAAACCGACCACGAGTGGTCGGTTTGTTATGTTATTGTGAGTATCCTGGGCAGCGAAGACCCGGGTATGCACGCGAGCATAGACGGCCAAGAAGGTTGATTGGATGCTAAGCCCCTGTCGGTTGGCGGCTCTCTCAAGTCGAGACATATTTGAAACTAGACCGGGCCGATAGTCATGCTGGATAGCGCCAAACTCACCCACTCGATTATCTCTGGCGTCTGATGTTGAGATTTGGCCCAGATACTTTTGCCAGAATAACCGCCGAACATCAATGGGAGAGTGGATGTGCTGGAATGCCACGAGGTGGGACAGGTTCTGCGACAGGTGTTTCGGTTCGGCCTTGGTCTCGCTGCAGAATTGTGCAAGTCGGTCTATCATGCGTGGAAGACTAACGGCGTCATACAGGGCGTGGTGAAGGTGCAACATGAATGCTACCCCTCGAGATGTGCGGCAGGCATGCAGGGCAACGGGGACAGAGCCAAAGTCACGTCTGATGCTGATAGCATGATTGAGGTCGTCGTGCCAGGTTGGCGGGCTGTGCACTGACTTGAGGACTGTTTGGACATAAGGTACCCGAGGGTTACCCGTTTCAAGGAAGGTAGTTCGGAGGATGGGTGTCTCGTGTATGAGACGTGACCAGGCGCTGTTCAGAACACGGGGGTTGAACTTTTCTGATGCCAAGTAGTAGAACTTGGGATAGAAGACATCTGGGTTCTGGCTATGCATTGCAAGGAAGTATGCCTGTCCAGCAGTGGCAGGTATTGTTGTTTCGGTAGCCCGTGGATCAATTCCAAAGGACTGAAGCAACGAATTGACATCGAGTCCTTTGATTGACTCTTCCAGGGCTTTGTCAATTTCATCTTGGGTAAGAATGGCTTGGCTCTTGTTCACTGCCAAAGCCATTTTCTCGATTGTCCCGGCTCTGAGCATATCACTGACTACCAGCTTGACAGATTGTTTCTTCAACAGCGCAGCAACCTTGATGGCACTGATACTGTCCAGGCCGAGCTGGAAGATATTCGCTTCTTTATCAATAGCTTCCTCGGGAACTCCAGACACAACGGAAAGAACATTACGAATCTTGGACTCGACGATTGACCACGCTTTCTGAATGGATGTCTGTGCCGCGAGCACCGGGGCCTCGCTAGAATATCCCGAGTCTTCTTGGACAATCGAATTTCCGCAAATCTTCATGGCATCGCCGGAGAATTCGACAGTCTGCCGACCAGGTTCATCGACGATTGACATGAGAACCTCAGCCATGCGGCCCAGAAGCCCGGAAGTGTCATTATCGCCCAGGACGCTGCCGCGGCAGGCCACTCGCGCCACCAGGTCCTTTCCATCGGATTCAATCTCAGCGCATACCGGATATTCAACACTCGAAGCCCCTCCTGTGGATTGGTACAGCGCTGCTCCTTGGGACTGGTTTTCAGAAGGTCTCTTCTGATAGATGAACAGAGTGTCAAATAATTGTCGCGACCTTGTGTCTGGTCTCGCCCGTCGCAGCGGGAAGTGCTGATACTCAGACATCTCGAGGAGAGTCTCTTGGACGTACTTGACTAGTTCTAGACGAGTACCGTGAAGAATGACTCGCATGGCGACCGTGTTCATCGTGGGAAACATGACATTCTCAGAATCAGCCACGTTGCGGCCAGAAAGAACAAGACCGAACATGACGTCCAGGTCGTTCACATAGGTCGCCAGAACAAGGGACCAGCAGCTAACCAAAAGTGCTTGCATTGTGATGCCATGACGCTTGCAGAAGTCCTCCGCCTTGTTAAGAGGCACAGAGAGCGGTCGCTCAGCGCGATGAACAATCTGTGAGCCCGGCTCCGCATCGTCTCCTGACGGGAAAGAAATCGGCTTGGAATTTGACAGCGTCGCCCTCCAGAATCTCAGAGCACGATCACCAGATGATGCGATTATTTGCTCCAGAATAGCATCAGCGGATGGTCGAGTACAATATTCCCCAGAATAAGACTTGGCAACATCTTCATGAAGTAAATTGATCGACCAGCCATCGTAGAGAGCGTGGGAGATTGAGAGGACTAGGTAACGAGAATTTCCATCAGCTACGACGGTCAAACTCAGCAGGGGGCGACCAGAAAGTTCCGAGACCGCTCTTTTGCGTTGCGACTCAATGACTGATTCCACAGAGATCCCATCCAGATGCACAGACAGAAAGTCAAATGCATCCTCGTTATGAACGATCTGAGCATAAGATGCCGAGATTTCGGGATCCCACACCTCGACAAAGGACGTTCGTAGTATGGGATGGGCTTTGACGACTGCTCTCCATGCGTCTTGAAGTCTCATGAGATCAACATGAGACTCAAGTCGAAGAACTTCGTGATTGTAATAGTGCTGGTACGCGGAGGCAGACATCTCGGCGACCATCGCCTCTTGGATTGGCGTTGCGGGTAGAACCCGACAGGCATCTTCAGGCATGAGCCCCTCCTTGTGCAGGAATTCTGTCAAGACTCGCTCCATTCGGCTGAGTAGTGGGTATGAATCGTTTTGTTCGTGATGATTCGTGTCTGCAAGCTGGCTAGTCATGGCTGTCACGGTACGATACCGCATGATGGCGCTCACAGGCAGCTTGATACCCAACTTGCTTAAGCGTGAGGACAATTTTATAGCATCGATACTGTCGAGACCGACTTCGAAGATTGATGTTTCTTCATTGACTGATTGAACATCAACACCAGCCAGGGTTGCAATGACATCTCGAATTGTGGAAGCTTGACTTGTCCATTGGAATGAAGAGTCACCCGCATGGTCTGTACCGTTCAGGCCGTTTGGCATAATTATCTCGCCATTGGCATGCGCATGGCTCTCGTCCGCGACACCGTTGATGTAAGGAAGCCCGTGATCTGGATTCTGAGCAAATTCGGACAATATCCGTTGGAAGTTGACAAGGAGCTCCTCCGCCGCTTCTGAAGACAGGACATGATCCTTAGCCGCAAGAGTCAGAGTCAGGGACTTATTTCCATGGCGCACAATTTCAAAAGCCAGTGGGTACTCATGTTGTGCTTCAGAGTCCAGCGGCTGCCACAGACTGCCGGTCAACGTGTCGATATCGGCATTTTCTCTCTGGAAAACGAACAGGGAGTCGAAAAGGTGCGCATCTGGGCTCTTCCCAAGCCATTTCATGATGTTTCGTAGAGCGGTATACTGGAATGGCATCGTGGAAACTTGATATTCATGGCACCGCCGAGCGACTTCAGACCATGATTCAAGACCATGAAGCTGCACGTTACTAGGAATGGTGTTGAACAAGGGACCGATAACATTTGCAATTCCTGGCACATCAATTGTACGTCCAGATGCGATTATACCGATGGGAGGGACAAATGCATAGTTTTGGTGAAGGGTCAATAGCCAGCAGGCATGGAGAATGGCCTGCTCCGTGACATTGAGCGATTTCCTTAGGTGATCCAATGGCTCTGTTGTATCGATTTGGGCCTTGTGGACCAGCGACTCAATAACGCCGTTTGTTTGTTCTGATTTTGACAGAGCTCTAGGTCGGCTGCTTTTCAGATGCTCTTTCCAGAAAGATTCCTCTGATGAATCTTGGCAAAGGGGACCCAGGTGCAGTAAGTCTAGGAATTGAGGTGCATTTTCAGATGCACTGTGCTGGTCAAGGTAAATCTGGGCAACCCGATCCAGAAGCAAGGCCAAGCTGTTTCCATCATACAGAGCATGGAAGATATTGAGAGACATCACCGATTTGTCGGATGATCGAATCACACCAACCTGCCACAGCCGTGTCGACAGTTCTCCAATGTTAGATGTCCAGTTTTGAACTTGTTGCTTCCGCAAAATCTCGATCTGCTTCTCGGACGCAGCCTGCACATCAAACCAAGGAAGCGCATCATGCTTCAAGATGACTTGAGCGTAGCCATCCGGAGAAGGCGAGAATCGCGCTCGAAGCATCTGCACCTGGTCTTGCGCTTTGCTCCATGCATCTCGCAACTTCTCAAGATCGGTCGATGCATGGAGTGCAAAGGTGAATGACGAGCAGTAAAGCGGCTCAGTACTGGACAGGAAATGATATATGATACCTTCCTGGAGTGGGGTACATGGCGCGATTTGTTCAACATCACTGTCAACAACTCCAATACTTTCAATAACGGAATGGAAGTGCTTGTGAGCGAAGGCCTCAATGTTTTGCTTGGCATTCCTGTGGAGGTTGCTCTGGGAGATGGAAGACGATGTGGATGTCTGCAAAGCTGACGCCATGCCTGCAACAGTTGGATCTGTTTATGTTATTAGAATGTTTTCTACAAACCGCGGTACTGAACTTACGCTTCATGATAAGCGATGCCTGGGCTTGAGGGAAGCCAGCTTCCCTTAGGCTCCTGGCAAATGAGATCACAGAGATAGAGTCAAGACCCAACTCGAAGATACTCGACCACGAAGAAATGCTTGCTTCGGGGGAACCGATAAACTTGGACAGGATTGCGATGATTTCCTTCTCTTGTGTGCTTTTCACGGTCTGTTCGACAGCCATTGAACTCAGTCTCTGCAGATCTTCTAACGAAAGATCCTGGTAGATGCTCTTCAAAACCTTCATCTCAGCCTTGTTGTTGGCAGACAAGGGGAATCGTGTCATTGGAATGATGTGTGTTGGCACCATATACCCGGGAAGGTGTGTGTGACAAGCGGACTTGATCGTCGATAACAATACCCGGTCCTCCTCAGAAGACCGCACTTCCACATCTCGAGATTTCTTGTCGACATCAATTCTGGTGACGAATGACACAAGCTGGTTTTTGGATTGCTTCGGGTGCTTAACGACCAGCGTGGCCACCTCGTTCAGCTCAGGACTTGCCTGTTTGATGACTTGGTTGATTTCGCCGATCTCAAGTCGCTGACCACGGAGCTTAACTTGATCATCGATCCGGCCCAGGAACTGGAAACTTCCATCATGCAAGATCCTCACCAAGTCTCCCGTTCGGTAGATACGATCCCCATTTTCTGGCAGGGTCTGGAATCGCTCCTTGGTGAGTTCCGCCCGGTTCAGATAGCCCTTGCCAACAAGGGGACCCGATACACAAAGCTCGCCGAGGCCGCCGCGCAGGACCGGAGTGCAAGTGCCTGGGTGGAAGACATATGAGCCTACGTTGTCGAATTGTGGCCCAATGTTGGATGGTTTGTCATTTGCACGCATCCGTGGGAGCATTGTACATCCGATGGTCACCTCAGTAGGACCATATCCGTTGTAGATCACCCCATGCTTGCCCCAAGCATCGAGGATCTCCTGTTTTAGCTGCTCACCACCGGTAATAAAAACACCTCGACACAGTGAGGGTACCTCGTCAGGGCGCACCAATCTCGCCAAGCTTGGCGTCAGATCAATGTGGGTGATCTCCAACTTTTGAATTGTTCCTGGTAGATCTTCAAAGAGCAGATCGCGAGGGCACGAGGTCACACAGATTCCAACACTCCAACTCCAATATTGCTCGAGAACGCTGACGTCAAAGTGGAATGAGGCAAATTGGAGCCATCGCGAGTCTGCATCCCAATGGGGTGAAAAGAGTCTCTGGAATGCGAGCATGGCTTGCACAGCATTGTCATGTGTGATTTCGCACCCCTTGGGTGTACCCGTCGTACCGGAAGTATACAAGCAATAGCATGTATCAACGGGTTGGATCTCCCGAGTTAAGGATGGTTGTGCTGGGGAGAAGTGGTGATATTTCCCAGGCTCATCTAGCGCCTGAACATCGACGCCCGAGAGTGCCTGTAACTCTGACTTGCGTGATTGATTGCAAAGCAGAAACGTAGTCGAGGAATCTTCCATGATGAACTGTTTACGCGATATCGGGGCGGAGGGGTCGATAGCCAGATATGCACAACCAGCCTTCAGGATACCCAAGATTGCAAGTGAAGCTTCTGGACACTTATCGAAGCAAATGGCGATTATTCCACCGGGCACGACTCCCTTGTCCTGGAGGAAATGAGCGACCCTATTGCCATCTTCATTGAACTCTCTGTAGGACCAAGTCTTTTTTTGCAGGTTGTCCGCATTGGGGCCGAATGCAAACTCAAAGGCAGTCTTTTCTGGAATCTTGCGAGCACTGGCTTCAACGAATTGGTGAAGCAGGGCAACAGTTGTGGGAATCCTATTCTCCTTCGCGGGAGTGACGGACAAGAAATGATCTCCGAGAGAGAGATAATTGTTTGCACTGGAATCTGGCGAAAAGATTGTGTGCTCCAACAGCTTGTTGTATTGGTTCAGGATTATCGCGGCTTGCTCTTCCGGAACAAGGCCACTTCGGCAACTGATTCGGATTTCAAGGTCCGTGGCATGCGGAAGCAACTCGATTGAAACGGGGTACTAAAGAGAAGTTAGTAAACTCGTAATCCAAGCACAGGGAGTGTATGAAATGTACATCAATCTTCGTCTCCTCATCGAAAATCTCCCATGCAGATTCCTCAGACTTTGTCGAAAACTTTTGATAGACGAACAAAGTATCAAAAAGCGGCTCATCGCTACCAAGCCATCTTTGAATCTGAGCCAGGGGAGTAAATTGATTCTTGACTAGAGAGGCATTCTGTTTCAGAGTGCGATTTAGGACGTCATGGTTTGTGCCCTCGATGCGCGATGGCGATGGCACGGTCACGAGGCAAGGGAATACAGCATCTTGTGCAGCCGTGGACAAGTTGCGACCCGAGAGGACAGTTCCAAAAACAACATTCTGCTCGCCAGTGTATGCAGCTAGCAATCGAGCCCAGGCGGCTTGGCCTGCTGCCTGAAGAGTGACTCCTGCATTACGGCAGCCAGCTTCAAGTTTCCCGAGAGACTGCGAGCAAAGAATCGAGCGAGTGAGGAGTTCTTTCTTATCGATTCGAACGGGATGTAGATCGGGGAATTTGGTGGGATGGATATCTGCGGCAAGACCTTGCCAGAACTCCTGAGAGTTTTCAATTTGTTTCTGACTTTCGATCAAAATCGGGCCAAGGGTTTCGGGAATAGAAGAAGGCTGAGTGAGAGCCTTTCCTTCATAGGCTGCAATCACATCCGAGAAGATTTTCTCCAAGGAGTGCGCATCGTAGAGGGCGTGGAGGGCTGCGAAATGTACGGTGGTAATTTCATCGGTAGGTTCAATCCGAACACTCCACGGGGGCTGGTGTAGGTTTTCAAGAACTTGCTGCTCTTGAGTGACCGCACCCAGCGTGGTCGATTCTTGCCATGGAACAGCAATGCCTTCCCGATACGTGATCATGGCAAAGGGATGATTCTGATCGCGAAGCTGCACGAAGCCGGTACGTAGCATCTCATGCTGGGCCATGACCTTGGACCAGGCTTCTCCAAGCATGATTTCATCCAGGGGCTTGGGCGACTTCAGCGCCATTCGGTTGTAGTACATGCTGCCCTGTGAGTGATTAAAGAGAGCCAACATGCCGCATTGAACTGGAGTACAAGGTCTCAGGGACTGCACTGATTGTGAAGAGATACCCAGTTGCCTGCAGACAGACTGGAGATGTTGAGTCTCAAAGGCAGAAAAGTCATATTCAGCTTCCTTGATCCCTTTCTCCGTTGACTCTAGAAGAGCGGCGATCTTGTCAATAGAAGCAGCCTAGAATGTATTAGCGAATTGAACGAACATCTCGGAAATGGTGAAAGTACCTCGAGGATGTCACCTGCAGAGATTTCATAGCCCATTTTGCGCAACCTTGCAGATATTTGCACAGCATTGATACTATCCAGCCCAAGTTGGAAGATGGTGGTATGCAGGGAAACAGCGTCCACATCAACTCCTGAAAGATTGCAGATAATTTCTCGAAGAGCTTCTTCCTGATAAGACCAAGCCCGTGACTCTGTCTTCTTTGATGAAATCCCATTGGTTTTAGCAGGCGATGGCCCCTTCTCAAAAATCCTTGAAAGATCATTCCCAATCACCCTCTTGTCACAAGCTTGAGCTGAAGGGTATTGAGTCGTATGCTCGACGAGCGCAACAAAGTCCCGCACAAGGCTCTCCGCTACGTCACGGCCGAGATGACATGTCTGGTAATGAAAGCATATCTGAATGGTATCTTGTATTTCATCTGGCACGATCTCACAGATCAGAGGGAACCCCATGTTGCCTTCATCAGCGAGAATCTCCCAATACCGAGCATCAAGTTCAGTGCTCCTTGACTGGAAAATGACCAATGTATCAAAGAGTCGAGAGCCTCCTGAAAGTGTGAGTCTCTGTATGCGTCGCAGAGCACTGAGCTGATGAGGCAAGATGTCGCTGTTGTGCTTCTGAGAGAGCTTCAGCACGTCACCGTTCGTCGATGCCGAAGAAAATTTGACTCGCATGGGAAGTGTGTTGAAGCAAGGCCCAACAATTCGGTCCGCGCCTTCCAATGGGATGGTTCGGCAGCTGAACACATTTCCAAAACATACATCGTTCGTGCCGGAGTACAAAGCGAGAAGCCTGGCCCATGCGGCATGGAAGACGTTAAGCGGGGTGACTGAGAGATCCATACACTGTCGTCTGAATGAGGCAAGAGAGTTGCTGAAATTGACGTGGATCTGCTGTGAAGCTGCCTGTGTGACAGATCCATTGACCGGGGTCTTCTTGGAAAGGGAGAGCAACGTCGGTGAGACGCCCGATAGATATCGATCCCAAAATTGATCAGAGGCATCGGAGTTGACGGAGACCATATACTCGATGAAGTGGTGGAAAGGGATAGCTTCAGGGAGTTTCTCGCCCGCAAAGGAAGCCTGGAGCTCGTGTAGAAGCTGGGCAATACCTTCTCCATCGTATAGTGCATGATGAATTGACAATAGTAAATGTGTGTTCTGCGAGATTGAATCTATGAAGACCGTCAAGCAATATGGAAGATTGCCGCTGACTGGCGACTGATGCTCAAACTCTGATTTCATCCTTGCGACATCCGTGTCCAAATTTTCAGAGGAAGTTTCAACAACAGTCCAGGGTAGGAGTGCGGTGTCCAGCACCACTTGAGCATATGCAAATCGCGGGTCATTAGTTTGCCTGAAACACGTCTTCAGAATCTCATGTCTCTGTAGCATTTGAACCCATGACTTTTTCAATTTCTCAACGTCGGTGTGCACCCGAAGACGCAAGTGATTGAAATAAGCAGAATCAACATCAGATTCCGCTGCAAGCATAGCTTCTTGTAAAGGCGTGCAAGGGTAGACACCTTGGACAGATGCGCCTCGAGCACCAAAGTTCTTCTTGACTTCATCGATGAAGCTCTCATCGAACACTGACGAAGGTTGCTCGGGAACAGGTGGCTGTGCGGGTTGACGGCCATTGGACATCTCAGGAGCAGGAGCAATAGTCGCTAGCTGGGCCACAGAGCTATGCCGAAGGATTGTGGAAACAGGAAGTCTTCCAAAACCGGAGTCCTGGAGCCTTCGTGAGAAGGCAATGGCAGAAAGAGAATCCAAGCCCAGCTTGTAGAAGGATGTGTGTTTTCCAATACTGTGTTGCTCGACGCCAATGACCGCGGAAAGAGCAGTAACAATTTTCTTCTCAACGTCGCAGAAAGTTTCATCGTGGATCTTATCATTGATACCAATGGAGAATGCTTTGAGAAGCTCTATATCCATTTGCTGAATATCCCGCTGAATCTTTGCACGATCAGCCAAGAAAGCCTCATTCATTGGAATTTCGTTCATCGGGACAAGGAGCGTGGGGAGCGCAGATAAAGGCAGCTTCGAAGCCAACTCGCTCAGCAGCTTCTTGGCTACCTCGTCAAGCTTTTCAACGTGTGATGACGTTCGAGCCTTTTCTGAAGGAACCCAGACAGAGACCATTTGCTCCTGCTTGGCGACTGGATTTTCCATCACCAGGCTCACAGAAATCTGTACAAGCTCCGATGATAGCAGGGCTTCGTCTGTCTCATAGAAAGCAACATGCTGACCGAGCTGTGCAATCCTACCATCAGGAAGGATTCTACCCAAATCACCAGTTCGGTAGAGTCGGCCAAATTCTGGGTGCTCAAAGAAGTCATCCCCAGAAGATGTTCCCTAAGAAGAAGAAAGCTCTTAGCATAAATATTTCCTCTCACGGTCTTTTCTCGACTTACTACTTGATCACCACCCAAGCAAAGTATTCCAACAGCACCACGTGGCAAAAGATTAAAGCCCGCCTTGTTTGCAATGACCATGACAGATGTGTTCTTGGGTGGCATTCCAATGCTCGTGATTGTGCTGGATGCCTCGATCTTCACTGGTACCGTGCAAAGGCCAGCCAGCCCGCGAATGGTATAACCTGAAGAGGAATTTATCAGCACGAAGATCATAGCAAGATCGATAGGGTGGCTAAAAATACCGTGATAGAGACCCATTCCAGCCCAATCCCGATGCGCCTTTGCCATTAAGGGCTCTCCGGAGGTACCTAGATACCTGACACTAGGAACACTCTGCGGATCCAAGCGCGATGCGAGTGTGGGCGTTAGACGAAGATGGGTAACACCCATTGCATCAACAATTCTCCGGGGATCTTTAGCCATGAGTTCATCCGGTGCCACGCACAGCGTCACGCCAGCATTCCATGCCATGAACACGCCGATGATGGAGTCTATACAAGTTAGAATAAGAAAAAAAAAATACAAAGCAGGTAAAACGTACCAACAGATGCAGCCGGATAGGCAAAAAGCACCTTAGACTCAGATTGGACACTGTACGAATCTGAGAGAGCTTGTACGCAGCCTTGTAAATTCTGCGAAGAAAAGATGACCGACTCCTTTGAAGTACGATCAGTGCAGATGAGTCGGAATCCGTCATTGACCGGAAAGGGGGTATCATTGTGAACATCATCAAAAGAATCAGGGAGAAGAATTTGTCGGACAGAATCCGGAATGGTGAATCCCTCATGGCGTTGGAGGTATGAAGGGAGGATGCAAAAGCCAGCGTTCAACGTCGACAGAAAAGCGCTGACATCTTCCGAGGAAGTCCGGGGAGACAAGGGTGCAAGGCCGGCTCCTATCTTCGCTACAGCCAGCACAGTGACGCAAGAGTCTATCGATTTGTCCAGAAACATGGCGATTAAATCGTCCCCTGTGATGCCCATTTGGCGGAGATACTTGGCAAGAGTGTTCGCCCGGGAGTCCAATTGGCCGTATGTAATGGTTTCAACCGCGGGAGGCACAGAGTCCAGCCTTCTCAAGAATTCAACGGCAGTTTGAGAAGAGTTGGTAGAGGCGAATGTCTTAACCGCAGATACCAAGCGTGGCAAGTCACCTTGCATTTGACACTGAGTCTTCACAACCGACATCGTATGTTGAGGAAGATGGCTCCCGACATCACCAATCGCCAGCGCGGGAGTATCAATCAAAACAGACGCAACAAAGTCAATCTGCTCTAACAGAATATCCACCTGCCCTTTTGACAAAACAGATTGTTGATACGTTGCTTTGGCACGAACCTCGTCCTCTCGAGGCTCAAACTCTAACAACAGCGCAAACTCCAAGAACTCCGCCGTACCAACTTCCCTGAACACATCACGGTACTCCTGATCAGACCAGATACTCTCCTGCCAGACGAGCGCAGTGTCAAAGAGATTCGACTGCGGGTCAATCTCGGATGCTTTCTTGATATCCTGGAGCGGAAGGCTGCCGTGCTCCAGGCACTTGCGGTTCATATTTTGAATTGCCAGGAGAAGATCTGTGGCAGTTTGCATTTTGCCGAGATTCATTCGGGTGGGAAGTGTTCGGATACAAGGTCCGAGGACATTTTCGATGCCTTTCACTGGAAGTGTGCGGCCGGAAAAAACCGTACCGAAGGTTATGTCGTCTGAGCCAAGATAGGTTGAAAGGATGTAGCAGTATGCGGCCTGGAAGATTGTCTGGCGACTGACTCGCAACTTTTGAGACACTTCTGTGAGTTTGGATGGAGAAATTTGTAGGGCACGGGTAGCTTCTTGTGTCTCGGGGGGTAGATCGGTTGTTCCGTGGAAATTGGGGAAAGAAGTCGGCGAAGAACCCTGGAGTTGATCGCGCCAGAAGAGTGAAGATTCGTTCGCAGCTTCGCTCAGCTTGTACTCGATGAAGAAATCAGATACCACGTTATACGCAGGCTTGGGCGGGAGTTCCTCGCCGAGCAGCAAGCGATGGAGATCTTTTAGCATCAATTGCCAGGACCATCCGTCATACAGTGCATGGTGGATATGCACGAGAACTCGGACGCCCTCATCTGTCTCTCTCAATTGGAAGCGGAGAGGATGGAGCAGATCGTGCTCCGCGATCAGCCAGAGATCGTAGTCGAATGCATCCCGTTTTTGAAATATACTCTCATCAAGCGATTTGTAGGTAACTCTAGCGTACGACTGATCCTTGAGGCCGATCTCAATAAAACCAGAACGAAGTATAGAATCCTGTTCCAAAAGCTCTCTAAGCGCATCTTGTACGGCAGAAGCACTGATTGACTGCTGGAACTCAAGTTCAATCCAATTGCAGTAAGCGTTCTCGTGTCGAACAGTCTCCAGAATCATCGCCTGCTGGATATGGCTGCACGGCTCGATCGTTGCAACCTGTGCGCTCAGCCCGAGAGTCTCTATCCTCGCTTTACCAGCATCCACAACCAACTGTCGGATTCTCTGCAGACCCGCTTGCGTGTCCTCACTAGACTGTGACGTCTCCGCTTCCTTTGCAAGTCGCCAGATTCCATCCACAGAATCTGCTTCAAGCAAATGGGCTACATCTAGTCGTACACCAACGTCCAGAAGATGAGAGGCAAGTCGAATGGCAGCTAGAGAGTCAAGACCAGCAGCACTCAAACTCTCGCTCGGTGGGAGCTGTTTACCGAGTACGTCGGCCACGCACGACGCGATCGTCTCTTCGGTCTCATCGCGGAATGAATCTTGCTCAACAGATTGTGCTTCATTGCGATGGCGCACGAATTCAGCTTCCAGCGCTTTACGATCAATCTTTCCAGAAGGTAACTGCGGGAACTGATCGACCAGGATGAACTCGCCCGGAACCATAAACCGGGGCAGCCACTGGCGGCAAACATCTCGTAGCGCACGTTCTGTCGTCCCCTTGTCGTTGACAAGGACAAACGCAGCCAGACTGCCACCACTCACGATGGCCACCGCGCTGCGGACATCCGGCGCACGACAGACGGCATGTTCAATCTCACCAAGCTCGATCCGCTGCCCTCGAAGTTTCACCTGGCCACTCGAGATTCGACCGAAGCATTCAATCTCCCCCGAGGGCAACATCCGCGCCTTATCGCCAGTCCGGTAGAGTCGGCCGTAGAGGGGACTCTCGATGAATGCCTTGGCATTCTCTTCAGGTCGATTGATGTACCCATCTGCCAACTGCGGCCCACCAACCACCAACTCGCCAATCTGGCCAAGCGGCAGCGGTTGCAGTCCTGCGGGGGAAGAACCGTCCTTATCCTCGTTCCCTAGAGACATGATAAAAGCAGAGACAGTCTTAAACACCCGCCCAATCAGATTCACCCGATCATCGGACCGAAAGTGCGTGGCAGCCGTGCAGTGGATCGCCGCCTCCGTCGGCCCATACATACCATGGAGAACCCCATCTGCATGCTGCGACTGCCCAAATTCATCAACGACATGCCGAGTCAGCATCTCGCCAATCGTCAGCAGAACGCGCAAAGACGGCGCTGCGGCTCGACTGCGCAGTAGTTCTCCGGCTACGGTGGGCGTTAGCTCGGCCGCGTCCACGCGCATCTCCGTCATTACATGGCCGATGTCGAGGAGCATTTGCTCGCGGTCGCAGCCGATGAGAGTGGCGCCGCGGAAGAGTGGGAAGAAGATTTCAAAAACGGAGACATCGAAGGTGGGTGACGCGAATTGTAGAAATCGGGTGAAATGGGGTATCAAGTCGTTGTGCGCGAGTAATGATTGTGTTGCGGCTAGATGGGAAATTCCTACACCTTTGGGTCGACCTGTCGAGCCTGATGTATACATCACATAGGCGAGGTCGGTGGGTGCAGTTTTGACGGAGTGGTGCAGCTGCAGCTGTTCCATGATCTCCGTTTGTTGGATGTCTGTCTGCGTTTGCAATTCGTCGACGGTGATCACCGCCAGATGTTCATTCTGGGGTATCCTTGTTGCAAGGGCGGTTTGCGTGATCACCACCGATGCCGCAACATCCTGTAGAATAAACTCTATCCGGTCTGATGGTGCGTCGATGTTTAAAGGACAAAAGGCACCGCCGGCTTTCAGGATAGCCATTTGAGTAATGTAAAGTTCCAACGATTGAGGTAGAAGAACAGGAACTACCATCTTCCGCGGCTCCTCTGCATCTAACCTCGAAGCAGCATTGATTTCCGCCGCCAATTTCGAAGACACTCGGTCCAAGGCACGATACGACAAACAGCGAACGTTTCCATCCGCCGTCAAGAACTCGATCGCATGATTGCCATCATGGGCACCGCTCAGCGCCAACTCATGGAGCAGCTGCGGTCCCGGCAGGGTGCAAGGGGATGGATTCGAGATGGACAATTCCAATTCCATCCCAGAAAGCTTGTCCGCCGATGCAGGCAGTTTCACCTGCATGCCCGACAGAGCGGCCTGGTCCTGCACGATGCGCTCTAGCTGGCGGCCCAGTTGCTGCACGAAAGCTGTATCCATACCCGTGGAAGAATGCAACGTGCTCGTTTGAGTATTGCGATTGAAGCACCAAGTTAGAGTACAAAAAGGAGATGATGATGCGTGACTCTCGATAGACTCGCACTCAGACGGGGGAGTCCCGGCTAGTTTAGGCTCATCTGTCAGACGCACGGCGGTGTGCTTAGCAGAGAGTTCGGCGTGGGCATCCACCGTCGCTGGCTGGATTATACGAGTAAATAGGTCTGCTTTGATTGGTTGATCGTTCAACAAGAAGACCGGAGATTCTTCGGTTGTGTAAGCTCGTAATAGCACGGCCCATGAGAGGGCCAACAGCTCCGAGGATAGGAGGGCTGTATCCACCGGCCATGAGAGAATAGCGCGCACAGCGCCATCGTCGCCAGAAAAGCCGGTTTGGCTGTGGATGGGGGGAAATGGGGTGAATCGATCCATCACGACAGTTCCACCAAGCGCGGCGGTTGGGTCTGTGTTCAAAGGTGCATGGTCCAATGCCCGACGATGGTTATAGATTGCTTATGGTAAGCCTTCTGAGTGGCTCGTTAGGAGGAGGGGGTAAGGCCCTGTGGTGGTATGCAGGTAGTAGCCGCCTTTGGGAGGGAAAAAAGCAATGAACTGGCGGCAGGCTGGGTCCGTGAACGAGGAAGATGGGGGAGAAGGGACGAGTAAAAAGCAATGCAGCGCGAGGGGGGTTGCAGATGATGGATTTCCAATCATGGCCAGATGAACATCATGGCAGGCCCCCTCTTCCTCGTGGGATATGCAGCAAAGAAAGAGAAAAGTATCGAGGATGATCAAGGATGATCATGGATGATCTTTTCTGCTTGGCCTGCAGGGAATGACCGAGACAAGCGCCCAAAAAGTTGGAGTTGGAGTAGTCGGACCCGGATGACCCAATTTGACTCGTGGACTCGTGGAGGGGCAGCAAGCAGGCCGGAAAAGTGGAACTCGAGTTGTCAGTCCTGGCCCCGTCGTTGGGCATCGAAGAATAAGGAAGTTTGGTGTCGGAACAGATATATGGAGTATAAAGTTTGGAGTCGCTATTGCACAGTCGTACCGCAAACCCGAAGTCGATGCCAAGGAAGGAATCAAGCTCCGAGAAATCTGCGTTACTGTCTTCTGAAGAACGAGGGGCAGTTTGGAAGATCTACTATGATGATGGCAGAAATACGGCTTTGTGGAGATTTATTTAATGGGATAGTATTGATCAAGGATGGTAGAAGTTACTCATAGCCTGTTTTCAGGGTAGTTTCATTCCAACACTATTATAGATATAGCTTGATCAAAAGTTGGTCTACCAAGTCGCGCGCGTGTGTTTTTGCCCCTCCATCGGGCGCTTGCCAACGGGTTTGGATGACGTACATGAGTGAATACTTAGTCAGTATGGTATGCTGGAGTATGATACAGGAAGATGGTACGGGGGTATGGTAATTAAGGTATTGTAGGTTCGCGATTATCAGATCATCACGGAAAAAAGATCTCTTCTCGGGATTGCTCACTCTTTGCCAAGACTCCAACCCTACCGAGCCTACTGTAGCTTAGCGAAGGACTTGACAAGAAAAACAAAATAAAAACAAATCCATTGTTTTTTCCGAGGTCTATCCACAATGACAACCCCCAACTCCCAGCCACGAGTCCACGACTGGTAAAATCCGAAATCCAGTCAAAGCGCGTGATCTTTTGCAAACCCCACGTTCTAGGCAAATTAGACGACGGGCCAAAAAGAAAAAAAAAGCAAAAATACTCGATGCATCCAGCATGCACATGGCCTAAATCAAGCCCAATCAGAATTTTCAAGGGACATATTTCAAGATGTTTAATTTCATTTCCAGTTCCGACTGAATTAGGAGAACGGTCTTGGGTGAAGCGGTGACCAGTCAAGACACGCAAGGGGGCTTGTTTTCTTCCCGTCTCTGGTCGGCACACTTCCAGATTCGTATGTATACTTCATATAACTTATGATATGATTAAACATAGTGTGCTGGCGTAGTAGCGATACAGAATCGCCAAGTCTTTCGGTAATCCCTTTCTCTCTGCCCTACCTTCCTAATTGGCAGGTCTAACCTGGAAGCAATCCCCACTGTCATATACTGTACCTAGTAGGGTATATACATACCCAGGATCCTGCTAAATACTATACACCACACCGTACAGACACGATCTTTCACTGGTGGCCAGTGATTTTTTTCCCCGACATCGGGCGCCCGCGGAGGCCCGTTATTCTTATTACTGTAGCCATTGGCGATCTTTCTTCTTCTTATGTATTTCCTCGATTACTTATACTTCTTTGTCATTCTCGCATTTGCTTTTTCCTCTCCCTTTATTTTGTCCTCGCTGCATGGCGTCTAGGTACAGGAACCGGGGGAGTGACTCGCAGAGTGGAGCAGCAACAAGGCCAAGCGAAAAAGAAATATAGTATCGTAGCTCAATTAGGTAATACACGTAGTACTCCGTATATCATGCCATTATGAGATCTTCGAAGCCGAATAGGCGAATTGATCTCTAGTCACATCGCACCGAGGTACTGTACTTGTATGCGGGATCGCTCGGAATTGCGAACGCGACCAACGAAAAAGGAACAGAATGGTGGAGACTGATTGATAACCAGAACCTTGGAAATAATACGCCTCTTAATCTTTCGTCTATCTTGTCTGCTCTTCAGCATTTAGCGACGAGCTCCTAACTACGAATGACTTAGTGGCTAGTCCTCGGTCTCCATCGTGACTCGTTCGAGTCGTCGCCCGGTCTCGTGAATCTCCACTCCACGAGATAATTTTTTATCTGATCCGCTTGGAACTGTGGAGCCCACCGGGATGAAACGTATTGTACGGGACGTTCAATTGAATCCAAAGTCCATGCCTCTGGCCTTCCCAACTTCACTTACTGTAACTAAATCTCCACCTCCACCTCGTCGGCTTTCTGCTTTTTTGAACATCGCACCACCTTTTCGCATCGATCCGACCACCGAATTCTCCGGAGACCCGCTGGATGGGATCGGCCCAGTGTACATAACGCGGACGCCTCCTGCCAAAACCCACAGCCTTCTTTCTTTTCTTCCTTTTACTTTCTGCATCAGCCTAGCTTTTGGCTTTTACTTTCTAGCTCAGGCCCTCTCCGGTCTTTCTGCTAGCTGCTTTGCTTTTGGACCCCCCGTGCGATTGAACCTTGGATTCCTCTTCTCTTTTAATCCACCGTGTGATACGCTCCACAACCCAAAAAAACACAGCTATATACACCATGGAGCCGATCCCTCGAAAGGCCGAGCTCCCCTTCCTGACCGAGATGGCTCCGCGCGCCCAAGCTCCTGCCAACCGCACGCTGCTCCGCTCCGTCCCCACCGACGAGATGCACGACCTGCTCTGCGTGGGCTTTGGTCCGGCCTCGCTGGCCATCGCCATCGCCCTACACGATGCTATGGACCCGACTCTCTCCTGCACGGCGACAGGCTCCTCCTCCTTCAGGCCCAAGGTGTGCTTTCTCGAGCGTCAGAAGCAGTTCGCCTGGCACGCAGGCATGTTGGTCCCCGGCTCGCGCATGCAGATTTCCTTCATCAAGGATCTGGCCACCCTCCGTGATCCCCGCAGTAGCTTCACATTCCTGAACTACCTGCACAACAAGAACCGTCTCATCCACTTCACCAACTTGGGCACCTTCCTGCCGGCCCGGATGGAGTTCGAGGACTATATGCGCTGGTGTGCGCAGCGTTTCGAGAACGTCGTGAGCTACGGGGAGGAGGTTGTCGATGTGGTGCCGGGAAGCAAGACCGATGGCGTGGTCGACTACTTTGTCGTGCGCTCGCGAAATGCGGAGACGGGCGAGATTTCCTCGCGGAGAGCTCGCAAGGTCGTTGTTGCGCTGGGTGGCAAGGCCAAGATGCCCCCGGGCTTCCCCCAGGATACCCGCATCATGCACTCTTCCAAGTACTGCACTGCCCTGCCCAATGTGTTGAAGAACGAGTCCGCACCTTACAACATTGCCGTCGTGGGCTCTGGGCAAAGCGCCGCCGAGATCTTCCACGATCTACAGCGTCGGTATCCCAACTCACGCACGACATTGATCCTCCGCGATACTGCCTTGCGGCCCAGCGATGACTCGCCATTGTACGTTTTGAACCATCCCATCCCTCTACCCAATTGCAGGCGCGTAGCCTCGCACTCCCCAAACGAACCTATATCAAGCTATCATATCAATCTTGTGAAATTACGGCTAACATCCCATCTCAGTGTCAACGAAATCTTCAACCCAGAGCGCGTAGAGAAATTCTACCAACTCCCCCAAGACGAGCGCCACGCGCGCATCGCCAAAGAAAAAGCTACAAACTACTCCGTCGTCCGCCTCGAACTCATCGAAGAAATCTACAACACAATGTACCTCCAGCGCGTCCAGAACCCCGACGAATCCACCTGGCAACACCGCATCCTGCCCGAGCGCAAGGTCGCCCGCATCGAGCACCACAACCCAGCGCACCGCATGCGCATCCACGTCAAGTCCGTCAAGGACGATGCCTCCGATGGCAAGGAGGTGCTGGAGGTGGACGCTCTGATGGTGGCGACTGGTTACCAGCGTGATGCGCATGAGCAGCTGCTTGAGCAGGTGCGTGGTCTGCGGCCTGCCGGTCAGACGGCGTGGGTGCCTGGTCGGGATTACCGTGTTGCGCTGGATGCGGGTAAGGTTGGTGCTGGGGCGGGGATTTGGTTGCAGGGTTGTAATGAGAAGACGCATGGGTTGAGTGATAGTTTGTTGTCTATTCTTGCGGTGCGGGGTGGGGAGATTGTGAGCTCTGTGTTTGGGGAGGAGTTGGCTGGCAAGACGGTGCAGGACACCCGGTTGCGGGCTATGCTGTGAGGTTTCCATGGAGGGATCTGAACTGAACAGTTCAGATTCTGGATGTTTTGGGTCCAAGTGCTATGATGAGCACCGAGTGGAGAGGGTGATACTGAAAAGATCTTCGATTTGGCCACGGGCTGAGGCATGGATGTCTAGACGTGTGTTTGTGTTTGTGTTTGGATTTATACTAGGCCCTGCGTGGCCTACTCTCCCTACGTTGGTCCAGGGGAGTTGGCAAAGAAGATGCTATAAGCTATAAGCTATGCTATATTAGACCACATCATGTCTTCTAGATGGTTGGTTTTGTTCTTGGTTTTGGTTCTGGTTCTGGAACTGTTTTATTTGGTTGATTATTCTTGTCTCCGCTCTAATGATATGATGGAATCTCCATTAAATATGATCTTGGGAGGCTATTTCAAAAGCCAACACTCGAATCTATATGCATCTTCACCTTAAAAGTTGCCTGAGAAGAAAATATCTATCAGTATCAAACTCCGAAATCGAAAGTATCAAAGGACACAGATACACCCGTCTGTCTTCTGTCTATGCTAACCTACACTTTTTTATTCCCAGGCCCAAATAAAATCAATCTACAGTACACCATCTTGATCTTCTTCAGAAATTCCCGATTTCCGGCCCCCGGCCCACCTAACAAGGACTTCTCGGATATCGCGCGAAACACGGAAGTGACCCTGCAGTCGGGAGTGAGAGTGGGTTTACGGGTTGCTGAGTAGGGTAAGTACTAGAGTAGGGTACTTAGGTGCGACAGATGTAGACTAACCTTGGAAGTAGATTTGTGTGGCTAGACTCCACGTGTACGTACCTGCTTCTGCGAAGCACCGAGGACTCTTGTGAGTGACGAATGATCCTTGTATTAACATCTTCAATTGTCAGTCACTGCGATAGTCTTGGCGAGCAAGGTTATAATAGCAACGAACGGAGTATAGTGCGCTAGGATGTACTAATCCGTGCTAATTATCCTCGGTACATATACTTTCTTTCCTCGTCAAGGCCTAGGCTATGTCAGTAAGCGTGAGAACACTAATCCCGATAGACATAGACAGTTGCTGGCATTAACCATGACCATGGCCAGGCTCAGTCGAAACCGAGGGACCCTCTGGTGGCCTTGTGAGAAGAATTGGAGGTAATCGGAGATGGGGGAAAGGTACCACAGTACCAGTCTGAAAACCTGTATGCGTTTCCATCATACCAGGTTTTGGATACGAGAAGAGTAGGCTGGGGAGGCTGGGCTCGGTATACTGTTGACGAATGACACATGGAATCTTGACTAGTCTACTAGTCTAGTCTGGGACTCCATTTTAGTCCGGTCTTGGCTGTATATTACGATCTGATAACGAATCCCTGCTCCACCCGTCATTCGGTGGTTGCAGCATAGCCATAATTTCATGAATTTCTCTAGTATACACTAAATCACTCGGTACGAGAATTAATTCCTTTCTTTTCTTGCGGCAATATGAGCTGGGATCATTCAACAAAGACATGTCGAATTGTTCACCTACCTATGATGAGCCATCGTGAAGATCTCTTCAAGCAAAACGATTAATTCCCACAAAAGACAAGCGTACCCGTCTTTTCCTCAGCCTGTACCAAGCTAGCAACATGTTACAGTTACTTACTGTCAGAACGGAGTCTCCGTATTCAGTAGTCAATACCAGTTTCTGCGCCTTTCAAACCGAGACATAAGTGGGTCCCCCTGCGTGGCGCCATCAGATAACTCGCAATTTTAATTTTAAAACGTCCGGGAAAATTTTTATCTGATGAGAACAGAAACGCCACGTCCGATCCCGGTTCAATGGGTAGATTGTACTGTACTCCGTCTCCGGACTTTGTACACCGTAGTCTGTGGGTATGGATTAGGGCCCGAGGAATGGGGTTATTTTCATGGATGAGTCCTAACAACCCCTCTGCCTTCATCTACATAGGAGGAGCTGGACAAAGGAATATTTTCGTTTTCATCGGCCGGAGGGTTTCCATATGGCGCGGGCTGGAATTCTGGGAAAATCATACTGTGAGCCTAGAATGGGGGGAAAAATCCCCTATTCATACTGTAGCTGTAAGTACATATGACGGTGGATTTTGGGCTGGACTCATCCCGTCCACCACTCCCCTTCTTTGCCTAGTGAGATGGAGCCACGAGAACGTGGTCCATTCCTAGACCTCCTGCCCTGCCCTGTTCTGTCTTGTCTTGTCGTGTCTTCAGTGTCTGCCCCCTCTTGCCACCTACATGCCAGGCGCTTTCAACCGACACCCCGTCACCTACCCCTTCGAGTAAGTACCTAGGAACTGTAGTGACTCGTGAGGATACTTGCATATGACATATGAATAGACACTGGACCCATCTGCCATAACCATTCCGATTCGGACGACAAAATGGAAAACAGGGCACGGAGTACGTCCCGAGGGATCCGCTCTGTGCCGATTCAGGTGAAGAAGACCGAGGTCATGCATTTTGCCTTGCTGTGCTCCAGGCCCAGTCCAGTCCAATTCTGTCCGTGCAGAGTTTACTCCATGCAGGGGCAGACTCGGATTCCACGTTCCGGATGAACTTATCTATTGAACTTACCTCAGCTGGAGCATGGACGGAGCTCGTGTTTTCTCTTGAGCCCACTAGATGAGTGGCATGTTGCGATGCGGTTGATGTTATACTTTTACTCTTGTTCCTTTCAAGTTGATCTAATGGCCGAGACCGAGACATGTCTACGACCGAAATACCAGACATCATTGTCAGTGTCAGATACCACATACAATCCTCTATGTCCGCGTTAGCCGCAATTCAAAAATGAGGACTGCTTTTGAGTCTCGACACGAGAAAGCTGTGGTTCGGGCTGAATCTTTCCTGCGTACTCGATGTAAGCCCTAATACATATGGTAGTCACTGTCAGATACCACTACTCTGGTCTCGTCCCAGGATGCTGTACTAGTCACTGGTACCCAATTCCGTGTGAGTAGCGTTAAACTTGCAGTAGGAATAGGTATCCTTCCAGAAGTGTAATTGGAACTCCACGCAGAACAGAATGCAGGTCGCAGGGATCGGCCCTGTGCCGGCAAGTACTTGCTGTGCTAGGCTCGATTATGAGACTACCTTAGCTGCAGGACCCTAGGTTAAGACTCTATCTGAATAACAGCTATACTGCGGGGAAAGCCAAATTCTGTACGCTAATCTGGCATTTCATGGCGCCAGGGGTCCCAGATCAAGAAAAGAAGAGAGTAGATACCGAATGCAAAGAAAGAGACAAATTCAGTCCCCTGAAAAAAAAAAAAAGAAGTTCATTATCTAGCGTCATCCACTGTACAATTCTCTAAATGCAAGGCAACAGCAAAACAACAATCGAAAAACAGAACAATAATGAACAAAAAAACAGCAAAAATGAACATGCCACGCAAACAATGCAACACCGAGACGCTGCAGCTCAGTTCAGGTCATACATGAGAAGGGGTGGGTTCAATAGGGAAAACGTGGACTATTTATTATACGTCATCAATGCAAAGTCTCCAAATAGGTAGGTACCAAGGTGGTCGCTCGAGGTCTTCGTTGCATATGTCACAGGGATGGAAGTGGAGGGGAAGTCAGGAAAGGGATTTTAAATACTATACTTGGATGGAACGGGGCTCGATAGGAGGGATTTTAGGCTCAGGGCAAAGGTGCAAGATAAGGGATAACAGAGAAGGAGAATCATTTCAAACCATCTGCTCGGGATCTTCGCCTGCCACACTGCGGTATGCACCGCCGTCGGCCGTCCGACTACCCATGCGCATGCGCGTCGGGGTCTGGTACATTTCATTGTAGCTGACAACTTCACCACCCAGCATGCCCGAGCCAGTGGTGCGCTTGCCAAAGATAGGCGCGGGGTCACACCAGAAGTCGCGGCAATTGGTGACCACGCCGCGGGAGAATGGGTTGCGTGGCCGAGCAGCCTGCGGTCCATCGCGAAGACCATCGCGCGCCGTGGCGAAAAACGTGTCGATTCCCAGCAGTGAAGACCACTGGGCACAGAAACCGTGTCGCCGGCGGGGTTGGCCTGGGCGGGGGATCGCTGGGTTAGGTCCTGCGCCAGAGGCAGTGAGGCCTGCGCCTTCGAGGGAGGTTGTGCCGGCGGCCATGGCAGAGGCGAACGCCTGGGAGCTTGGATATGACCGGTCGATGTGGTGGCCGCGCATGTTCTCGTAGGTGGTTTGGTTGCGGGAGACTTGAACGAGCTGCACGGCGCAGAGCATCGTGACCCAGACAAGCTGGATGACGATCCAGATATTGAGGACGAGTGTGAAAGTGTCACGAGTCACAATGTCACACAGTGTATCATTGATAACGTTGCACTTGGCGCCCGTAACGGGTGGCAGGCCTTGAATATCTGCAGAAAAAGTCATTTAGCACGCTCATTTCTATCAAGCGGGCAGCTTGTCGGATAGTTCACTTACAGCCAACACTGATCTGCACGAAGAGAATGATGCCGATTTCGAGAGAGATAATGTATAGGACAAAGTGGCGCAAGTTGTTGGCTCCGACGCAGTTGTCAATCCAGGGGCAGTGACTTGGACCGGTTAGCTCATAGTTCCAAAGAAGGCAGTGGTCTGCTACATACTGGTCATGCTTAGCAACACAGCGGCCACAACGGCGACAGTGCTTGCTACGGAGAGGCTTTCTCGACAAGCAGGGCACGCAAAAGTTCTCCTCGTCGAATTTCCACTGCTCAAACAACTCCTTGACCATCTCCCTCTGCTGGTTTCGACTGCTGAGCTTCGGCACATAGCCCGGGTCTTCGATCATGGCCAAAGCGTAGAAGTAGGTGGTGAAACTGAAGAAAACCGCAAAGAGGATATTCAAGATCGGGGCCGAAGAATAGGTAGCTATCGTGGAGTCAGAAATAGGTCCAGACTATATGCTAGCCTTGATAGACTCACCTGGTAGCACTTTGAAGACATAACGGTATCCAACCCAGAACAGCGACGCTGCAAAAACACCAGCCAGAAACGGCTACTCAAGTCAGTTTCATGAACAAGTGACTCCCTTCTCGAATAATTATCAAAAACATACCGTCTTCTGCAAGACACGATACTCCGAAGGACCGCGATTCGCCAACTTCTGTGCAACATATTGCATACCAAACACCGTCGCCGCCGTAAGCGGAACACCCAAGAAGATCGGCAAATGGCTCAGCATCCAAAGCCCAATCAAAAGGGTCAAGAACGGCCAAAGGAAGAAGAACTTGCCCATCACGCTCTTATTCCGAATATACCCGGACAACCCCATAGGCACAGCCTTCTGAGTACCATCAGGCTCATACCCCCGCTCAGCAAGAGCGCGCAACCAAATCCGCGAGGAGTTCATTTCTTGAGCCACCGTACTGGGCGACTTGCCATCGCGCGTTTCCGCAAATCGATCCGCGCCGTACTCCAACAGCTTCAGGACACTAGGTAACGAGCCCTTGACCAGCGCCCAGTGCAGCGGCGTCAAGCCACCCTCATCCACGGCATTGGCATTCGCACCCCATCGCAGGAACAGATCCACACATGCTGGATACCCCTTGTACGCAGCCCACATTAGACCCGTGTGTCCTTGTTGGTCGACTACATCGACGGAGATTTCTTGGTGGAGGAGGAGGAGAACCAGGAACGCGTTGCCATCGATAGTCGCCAGGTGCAGGATATTGTAGCCTTGCACGTCGGTCAGGAGCGGGTCTGCGCCGTAGGAAAGTAGGAGGTTGACGATGTAGTAGTGGCACCGCTGCGCTGCCCACATGGCCGGCGTGGCTACCGATTCGCCGCCCTTGGCGTTGACGTCCGCGCCCGAGTCGAGCAGGAACTTGCACATGGCATATTGGTTGTTGATGGCCGCCCACTATGAAAAGATATACCAGTTAGCGAAGTGTCCAGGCTAGACAGGTATTGAATAAAGCGCCTATGAGTGTTTACGACCGGCGACAGTGTGTGTCGCGCCACGCATCTTGGGGAAATCGTCGAGCGGAAACATACATGTAACGGCGTAATGCCCTCTTCATCGCGATGGTTCGCAGTCAATTTCTTCGTCGCAAACAAATTCTGCATCGCGGGGATCTCTCCAATCCGAGCTAATTGCATGATATCCTCGCCCAGTGGGATGGAACCCTTGGGCGCATCGGACCGCATGGTCTTCAGCTCGACCTCGTTCGCGGGCGATGCGGTTCCCTTGCTATTCATCGACGTGGAGCCCGAGGTCGTGCCCGTGGGGCTACTGCCCAGTGTATCGGGCGAAGTTGTGGAAGCCATGTGCGCGGAATGGGTGTTTTAGGTTGGACCGTTGCTTGTGTATCGTCGTGGGAGAGAAGGGGAGGGCAAATGGACGGGAAGCCGCCGCCGGACACGGATACGAGGTTCGAACGGAGGTAGAGTCGATGCGGTGTGATCAGGGTCTGTGGTGGAATATTGCAGGTCTCTAAGGGTTCATTGCAGTGTTTCTTTTCCCCCGTTGCACCGTTTGTGAATCTTGCCTGTTGTCGACAGATAAAAAGGGGAGTTGCTGTCGGAGATGATCGCGGCGAGAAGGCGGAACCTTTTTTTGGGAAGTTGGGGAACACTTTCTAACGCTGACACAGCCCCGTTCTGATACACTGTACGTCGGAATTTGATCTGTGAGGTAATAGCCCCTCTTTGGAATAGATTCTTCAAGGATTTTTTCTTCCGATCTCGACTTTCACCGATGTCTACGTCCTCGTGTACCTGATTTCCCGAGAACAGCCTTGCCCCTGCCCTGGTACCACACGGTGGGGATTACTCAGCCCGCATAGGCAGCCGCATTTCCTTTGGAAACATTTCGATTTGGGATATTTGAATCGCTATTTACAAACAGTACACAAGACATGTATTCGAACAGGTGAAAAGAAATAGTGGGAGGAGAAGGTGCATAAATCAATCACTCTTCTCCTCCAAAGAGTCAGGCTCGGATAACTGCAAGTTCTCAGTGCAGTGCATCCTCGCCTCGTCCATCAGCATCCGCGCATCCACGCGCAGCTCAAAGTCAGCCAGGAAGCAAAAAGTAATTTCAAGTTTAGAAAGCTCATGCTCAGAGACTCCGCCGACTTTCGCGACACGACCGTGCGGGAAACTGAGATCTTCGAGGGCCTTCGTGGCTACTAACAGACCAGCGAGGACGAGCCGGTGCATATTCTTTGGTGTTGGGCGGACCACTTTCTCCACAAGAGCCATCTTGGTGATGTAGACGCTCGCAGCGAGAAGTACCGCGGTCGACATGGGGCAGTATCGGTGTAGGCGCTGCAGGTAATCCCTCAGCGCAATCGGGGGAATCTTCTTGGAGAGAAACTTTCGAGAGAGTATGCGCAGTTGAAAGGTGTCTTCTTTGGATCGGTCGCTGTGCCCGTCCTCTGCATCACCACAGTGTAATCCCATGCTCCTCGCCGGCGGTTCTTCTTCCGTCGGGGTCTGGGGCTCCATCGGGGTCGAGCTATTGGAGGGTGGGTAAGAGGAGGCCGAGGCCGGCAATTTCTCAAAATGTGCAACCAATTTCTCAATGTTGTTGCATAATAATAGTAGCGCGGTCTCGGGCACAATGTCAAAGACACTCGTGGCGCCCTTGAGCAGTGATTGGGAATCCAAGATCTCTGTATCGGCAGGCGGCGAGCCGAGTTTTAGTACAGAGCCTGGGGATCTGGTATCGTCCGAAGACGCGCACTGAGTTTGTATCATGACGGCGGCCATCTTGCCGTCGTGGAATTATTGCCCGCTGCGGGAATGAGCCGCAACCGCGGCTGTCGAGTACGGAAGAGCACACCTGGACGTGCAGGTTGAGAGCGGCTCCCCAAGTGGAACTCTCATTGTATACCGGCGGACAACACTAGCAGGAGGCTCTTCGGGCGTAGGGGGTGGTGTGATGTCAAAGCGGTTCGGATGACAGGCAAGGGAGGTTGGAGAGTGGAGTTGGGATGCGCGCAGCAACTTGGACAGAGCAGCGGAGAGCGAATCGTTGAGCTTATGATGTATGCGATCGAGGTCTGTGGAACCTGTACGGACCTGGCTGCCTGATGGTTAATCAAAGTCCGCAGTCCCCTGCCCGGAAAGCCACGGATCACACACTCACTGCAGTCCAATCGTTCTCAACACGGGCGAAGAAGATGAGATGAATACTGCTCGATAAGGATTGCAGGGTGTACCAAATACCAAGAGTCGAGGCAGAAGTGAAGAGGGGGAGGAACCAAAGAGCCAGGGGCAAGAGGCGAAACGAGTGAAAGATAAGAACGTTCTTGGATCCGCCTGTGACGCCTCCTGCTGGATTCGGCCGATGCCCCACCGTTCCACTGCCACATGGATAAGACTGCCACTTCACCCAGCTAGCAAGGTTTCGGAACTGAAGGAACGTATGGAAATGTAGCATTAGACTTTCGAGTCTAGCTGATGTACAAAGGGCTTCTGGTTAGCCTGCTTTCTACATAATCTTGAAACTACTATTAGTGTAGTATGCCATAGTATGTACTCCGTAGTACGCGAGATATATATCGGCTCTACCCCGGGCACGGACTATTCTACCATGGCGCTACTCAGAATAGGGGGTTCCTCAATAAACTATCATGCCTTGCGACTAGCAAATATGCATGAAATGACGACTATAATGACCAAACATCCACAAGTTAACGAGGCATAACCAACGCCCGCCCCTTCTATCCAAACGCCCCTTCGCCCGCCAAGAAACATAAAGCAGACGAATATCAACAAAGGAAAGTGAAAAAAACACGAGAGACATTCATCAATCATCAAACATAACGCCTAGAATCCTGTACCCTTCCCTGCACCCCCCTCGGCTCCCGAACCACATATATCACACCTCCACTCACAACACGATCCCGCTCCCGTCCTCGTCCTCGACATGGTTCACGCCGCACATCTCCAATCGGCGACACTCTCCTCCGCTCAACCCCCGGGTGTCTCTCAACGCTCCCCGCCGGACTTCCCCCCCTCGGATGCACAATAACCACCCGCCTAGGTCGAGGTCTAGGTTGAGTACTTACTCGGGACGGACCAGGACGGTAATCAGAATCACAGTCAGAGGCAGAGGCAGAGCTAGAGCCACAGTTAGAATCAAAGTACACCGGGCCACCAATTTCCTCGTGACCCTCACGAAAGCGGACTTTCCTTGATCGCGCCGGAGATGCTAGTTCCGGAGAATGAATGCGTTTGCGATTGCGATTGATGCGTTCGCGGACGGAGTCATGGTTGATGATATCTGCGTAATATGGACGGCTGGAAGTCGGTTGAGCGGTGGTATAAGATCGGCCTGTTTGAGAGGTTACGGCTCTAGGATTGCGCTGGATTATGTTGACACGAGAATGTGCATTTGGTCCTGGCCCTGATGGCGGTGCAGATACAGGCACAGGAACGGGGGACGTATACCGTCCCCGTCGAGGGGGTTCGCGTTCATTGATCGGGCTGGATGGTCGTGCAGGCCGAGGTCTTGGCCTGGTATATGCTGGTTCCTGCTGTCTGCGTACATCTCGTTGGACAAATTCATATGAGCGGTAACGAAAACGTGGTCCGGGCGATATAGACCGGACGCCTCGGCGTGGAAGAGATTGAGATCCCGCGCGCCGATGAAGAGGCCGTGATCGTGGAGGTGACGCTGCACGTCGTGGAGGATTCATCCTGGGACCTTCCGCTCTGGGCTCATCCCTGTACCGCGGTCCATGGGAACGAGTATATGAGTATCGATCTCGGGATAGCCTCGGTATCGGTCTTTCTTGTTCATGCCGTGTGCGTGTCTCCTTCACGCGCCGGAAGATATCAAAGTACTCGAGCCCGAAGAGCGAGCGCCAGAAACCCCGGGGTCGGGGCCGGTCCATTTCCACGGTTATAAAGTCAGGTCTTGCGCTATGCGTTGTGAATGGTCTCGCCCTGGCCCGCGGGGATCTAACCCAGTGCAAGCCTCTGTTTTCTGAGGCGTTGGTTCCCGAGAATGGTGGATATGTATACCTCCGGCGTGGAGCTGGAGTGGAATTTGCAGTTCGACGGCGGCAATGATACTCCCGCAGGTCTGGACCACAGGTCTCGTAATGATATTCTTCTGTGGTATATGTGCCTCGTATCCGCAGTCGTCGTAGTAGACGTATTCTTGCGGGCATGGAGTCACAGAACAAGGCGAGCACGATATATAGCACTTTGCTAATCCTAGTTCCAACGGCTCGACCGATACAAAGATTCTCAAGGGAGGGTCCAGCAGATACAAAGGCATGATCGAGGGAGGATAGGTTGGAGTGTGCTTCGTGTTTCGAGTTGAAGGTGATGGCGTTGTTCGAGGTCCCGATGTCTCCGTGTCTGCATAGAAGAAGAATAGAAAATAGAAACAGACTTCTCTGAAGAAAGAAGACAATGGGAGAAGCGACCAGGATGAAGAGATTCGAACAAAAACGGTAGTCGAATGTCCAGGTGTGTGGGTGCAGTCATAGGTCCGCTGCAGGTGATACTTCCCTTCTTTGTGTGTTGCGGATCAGGGACGGCCCATTGTTTTTGTGTGTTTTTGTTTCTGGATTTAGATTTTTAGACGTTTGGCTTTGATGTTTTGTTGGAGGATGTATCAGAATCAGAGCAGAAAATAGAACGTTGATGAGAAGCTTGTAGGGGCTTGTCTCTGTAAAGAACAAAAAAAACATCTGGTACAAAAACAGTCGAGTCTGGCGATGCAGCGCTCATTTTGTATGTTTGACTCTTAGATTTAGGGTTGATATTGGAGTGTCTTTGCTTTGGGTATGGCATAAGGCAACAGTCTGTTTCGAGCGCGATATATTTTTTTTTTCGCTTTTTCGCTTTTTAGCCCTTTAGAACCCCAGAGACGAGAATCGAAAGACTCGATACTGTGCAGGGCTAATAGTCCCAAGTCCTTTTGCCTTTTCCTCTTTTGGTGGTTTGGAAGGTCTGGGTCACAGGGGCGCAGTCCGAGTCAGCTGGGACCATACAGGTGACGAGGAATAATGTACTTTCTACTGCCATGCCACGATAATACCATCATGATATCAGGATATTATCATAGTTGTTCATATCATAGTGGTATCTCTATTGTTCGCACTATATCTAGAACCTTCACCCGACACAAACTGTACTCATGATGCCGTTCGATAGGCCATCGCCTTACCAGGACCAAGCCAAGTTTCTGCGAGCCAGTCAGCCTTGCGCGGGAGCGACCGTCTCCCAGCCGGCGCTAATTCCCGTAGGAGGCTCATTATTGGTGCCCAAAACAATGTTTTGCACAGGGCATAGGGGAAATTGACATCATGGACAATGGGTGGATCTCGATATCCCGTTACCCAAGAGCAAGTCTTGCAAGTCTTGCAAGTCTTTCTGTTCTTGATCGCTTAGGGTAATAATTGAGGCTCTCGATGCTGGATAGGTGGACCCTACAGAGTAAGAGTAAGAGCCTAGGAGACCAAAGTCCTGTTGATCGGCGAGAGAGCACAGCTGTGGCGCAAGTCTTGCTGCACCAGCCACACTCACCATCGAATCAGAGGATCGGCCATGTAACGGTGCCTGATGCCCGTGAGGATGTGCTTTTCATCCTAGGAAAAATCATAGGATGAGAAGTTACGAAAAGTCTACGATGAATGCCCCGGTGGCTCGGCCACACACGGTGGCGAATATCCAACATATACTGATGTTGGTGGTACACTAGCTACCAAAGCAGGCATGGCGTATATCCATGGGTATCATCATCGATTACTCTCTAGGCAGCACACCCTCTTAACGGATGCTCTCATTCTTGCTGTGCTTCAATCTCCCAACTACTACCTTACCCCCATCGCTCAAGAAACCGATCCCGTGTCTTATCCCGCTGATGCAAGACATCCATATCAAGCCCCTGCACACCCTTCTGCAACTCACCAAGCTCACTCTCCAGCCCAGCCAATGCTTCCTCTAGCTCCATATCACGCAGTGATACTTCATAGCGCGAATTCGCATGTAAAGCCGACGAAAGAAGATGTAATGCCTTATCCGCCGGAACTAGCTGACTCACTAGCGGCTTGTCAACGGCCATCCCCAGAGCCCGTAGTGTCTCCGACAGCTGGATTCGCTTCTCATGTAGACCCTGAGCCCCGCCGTCCTCTGCGCGCGGGCGAATCACTGATTCCGGCGAGACACCGCTGCGTCGGAGGAGGCTCTCTAGTGCGGGTTGTTCGGGCTGCGAGGTGGTGTTGGTGCGTGGGGCAGTGAGGAGGAGTCCTGGTTGCATGGAGCGTCGTCGGAGAGATTCGCGACGGGAGGGGGGCTGGGTTGCGAGGGGGTTGCCTACTTCGGTTTGGTAGAGGGTGGCTAGTTGTTCGAGTAGCTCGCAGGAGGATTCTCGCTCGTTGAGTTGTTTGGTTATGGTTTCTTTGGAAGTGGTCATGTCGATGAGTACGTCTAGGGCCTGGTGGATTGTTTAGGTTAATATGGTATGCCAGTCCTGATTTGTAGAGCGGGGAGCGTACTCGTTCCAGCTTCTCTTCGGACGCAGCCCGGAGCTGGCTGTGCTGGTTATGGATTTCTCGTAGGATAGGCTCGTAGAATTGCTGCTTCGTGGACATTTCTGCCAGAATTTCAATCTCGGGGTATAGAGAGTCCAGCTCTTCTTGCAAAGCTGCTATATTCTCGTTTTCACAGGTGCTTTGACTTGTCTTTGACGATCCAGGAAGGATAGTTTCGAGGTATAGTCGGTCAAGACGGTAATGGATCTCTTCCGCGTTATAGTCTGCCAGCATGATGCTAAGCTGACTGGCTCGCTTAACCGTAGCTGAATCGTTGCCGTTTGACTTGATTCCCGATATAAGTATCTCTAGTTCAGCAAGAACTTTGTCGTCCTGCTTTAGTCGAGTAGACAGTGTGGAGAGAATCCGTTTATTCTCAGCGCCTGTCTTCTCAACCGCACTCCTAAAGCTAGCCTCGAGCTCGTCCGATAGATCATTGGCCTGCAATATTTTTGATCAAATTAGTTGGGCATTTCCAAGACCAGGTTTGTGGTATGAACTGACTGCAATGGTCGTGCTTTGCCTGCTCGCTTCATGCTTCTTCCGCAGACGTGCGATGTCCCGACTTTGGTCTTGTTCCCAGTTCTCTTGTTGGCGCATTTGTTTTTTGAGTGTCTCGCACTGAAACGATAGTGTCTCTGTCTGTTTCTGGATTGTCACCGTCGATGCCTCGAGGGATTCTATCGCGGACCGGATATCGTCTTCTAGGAAGGGTCGTGTCGCGCCGAGTTCGGGATCGCGGAGGATAGGTTGGAGGGTGCCGGTGCTCTCAAGCTTCTTATATCTGAGAGCATAATGTTAGATGGAACGATATGATGTGACCGTCAAGCTTAGACATACAGGACAAGCTCCTCCCGCGAGAGCAGGGTGTTCGGGTTTAGGTGTTTTGATACCCATTCTTCAGTCTTCTCGCCCGTGGACCCATCCGTCAGGGCCGACTCAATCACATCACGCTTGGTCAAAAGGTCTCGCTCCTTCAATGTGGTGAGGATCTCATCGGTCAGGATGTCGGTTCGCATGGTGGGTGAAGTGTTTATGGTTCGCGGGGCCGCGGCGTGCAATGCGGCGAGCCGGAGCTCGGCAGTTGGTAGCAGTTGAGTGGGTCGTCGACAAAGGGGTATTGATGGCCGTTTCAACCCAGTTCAGCGACCCCAGAGTCAGCAGCAGAAGAATCGCAGTCTGTATGACTGAGCACGTCGTAATTGTCACTTCGCCGTTCGAGGTGATCGGTCTACTTTGCGGAGCTGAGTTGCGGTGTTTACAATCACGTGATAGTATACAATGTCCCCCTTTGGGCGAAGAATACGAGTTGAATCAAGAAGACACCCAGATAAACAGGATAAGATATTATGGTACTGCAGTAGGTGCAAGTACATGCATATATGGCTAATATCGCGAAAATTTCCAACTCTCTCATCGCTAAGGCATCCCATGGGTTAGGCGCTGTTCGTCGAAGCCACATCCACTTTGGGGTAATACCACGAAGTGACAGCGATAATAAAGTAAACAAGGACACACAAAGTGCCCTCCAAATAATTCGACTTGCCATCACGCAAGAAGTTGCCAACTACCAAAATCGACAACACAAGCAGAACAACCATGAAAATCTCAAAGTTAAGACTCATATTCTTATCCAGACCCCAGCCCACGAGCACCGCCAGTGGAGCATTGAGCAGAGCCGTCTGGATAGAGGGACCCAGACAGTGGAAAAGTGCAAAGTTAATCTGATTGTCCCATGCCTCGTCCACCGCGGTGAGATGTTCAGCGGCTTTCTCCACAAGGGGGACTAGGATGAGACCCATGAAGTTATCGGAGACGCCAAGCTCAACGATGTGCTCGATCTCTTGGACCAGGAATACGGCAGACATGCAGACGCAGGCTAACGAGATGACAATGGCGACAATGCATTCGGCAAAGGTGAGCTTCGCGCGTCGCAGCTCCAAATGTCTGTCCTCGTCTTGTGCCTCGTCCTTTTCAAGGATCTCGTCGAAGATTGTGTTGTGGCTGTGGAGGTTGAAGATCAGGTACCTAATGCAAGGTACTGTTAGCCATGTCCGCAATGCAAGTCAAGACAGACAGGGCAAAGTCGAGAGAACTTACGTCACGAAAGCCACCAAAAGAATAACGGCCGTAGCACGACTGATCTTCAGCGAATAATCACTCAACATTTCTATTGTGAACTCTTCATTGACGGCACTTTTTAGCGCAGAGTAGAATGCACTGGGAATCAACAGACCAAAGCCCGCCACCAATAGCAAGCCTGTTCCAACCTCGCTGACTGCCTCGTGGAAGACCTGCTCACTCCGTCGAAGACCACCGACAAAGAAACACGTCCCCAGACAAAGAAGCAAGTTCGCCAGAATCGAGCCGAGGATCGCGGCCTGAATGACTGGAAGCAGGTGACCATCATGATCATTATGCAGCAAGACCATGAAAAGCACGATCTCAACCACGGCTCCCAAGAACGTCTCCAGCAGGACTCCAAGCACCTTGGGCAGCTTCTTTGCCAACTCTCCGCCTGCAAATCCGAGGACATTGGCCGAGGGCACTATCGCGATGTAGTTGAGCGTAAAGACCCACACGTGCAGCTCTGGGCGTGCGAAATGCATGACGATCGCGGCCGGTACAAAGGGCCATAGAATGTTTACGATCATTGATGCCGTACAGATGCTGCGGAAGGTGACCTTGAGGAAGTGCATCGGGTGGATGCCCGTCCGCCCGCTCTCGCCGGCACTTGCCACACGGAAGAGACCCAGCACATATCGAGACGATTGATGCTGGTTGTTAGTTGGAAGGATGGAATGGGAATTCTCTCTGGCCACCTTCTCCTGCGACGTGGATTGCTGCAGTCCATCACCGCCAGCAGACTGTACGCCTGCCCGCGAGGTGGAGGACCTGATGGAACCCATTCCTCTGGGCTGGGCAGCTGAGGTGTGGGAATCAAGGGTCTCGAAGAGCGGCACGAGGTTGCTCACACGAGGTCAGAGCTTGGCAAAGAACAACGAAGAGAATACACGCTGGGCGGGGTCAACGGGGGGAGAAAGAAACAGAGCACAAGAGGGGAGTGTCCAGGATGAAATGGGAGTTCAAGTTAAGTGGCCTGGAGAAGAGAAAAAAAAAAAGCAAGTTGTCAATAGTGGACTTTGGTAGTTATAGAGTTACAACCATAAACAGGCGACGGCAGGACAAATCAAAAAGGTCATCCACACTGGTGCGCTGGCCAGGTCGCGCAGCCAATCACGAGGTGAACGATTGACTGACGGGAGCTGCAATGAGCCTGGAAGGTCTTGGCAGTCAGCTTCGATCTGATCTCGCTTTGGCCGTCTCCTTTTCTTTTTTGTCGCGGCTGTAGGACTGCAGCTGGTGTCTTACTGACCTACAGTCTGCAGTAGTCTGCCCAACCCCTCCTGCACCCTCCTTGCCAGCTCACTCGAGCAGTGGAAGTGCTGCCAGCTGCTCAGGAGTCAGGACATGTCATATTGGGATACCCGCTACTGTCCATATTTTCGCTCCTCAGGGATGAAACACACCCGAGTTGTGGGGAATAATCTCAGTGTGCCAAGCCATGGCTATGCACAGCCGCACGATTAGCTTCTAGCCATCTCCGCTGGCGCCGACCCCTGAAGGAGGGATCGTCTATGGTGGCGACAAGACTAGCGGGATATCTGGTTGGATATGGAGGACTGACGTAGTGGGTGGTGCAGAAATTAAGGGTTCAAAAGAGAGTAAGGATTCAAGACAAGATGAGGTGGTGGTGTTGGTTTGGATATGAAGTTGCATACCGGAGTGCATCCGTACTGTCCCACGGTTTTGGTCTCGTGGAAAGTGGAGCTTTCTGCATCCAATGATGGGATATGTACAGCCATTCTCGAAATTGCCTTGACCAGTATAGTGCCGGGTAACCTGATGATCTTCTGGGCGACTTCATTTCTCCTTCTCATCCTGTGCAGCAATATCGCACGATATTTCGCCAGCCACCAGATCCAGGGGCCACCATAAAGTGGTGGAAATAAACCGAATGCTCTCAGTCGCTATGGTATCTATGCATACTTTCTTAACTATCTTCAGGATTGCCTCCCCGTCTCTTTGGGGCTCGTCGTATTGAGGTAGTGCCCCGCGGGTGCCTCGCGCCGTCGACAAAGGTTAGTGTCGCTTTGGGCCCGTGAACAGCTTGATATGCTCCGCAGGCATAAATTTGCCAAACACGGGGTCCTCAGGTCCCTAAGTCTGAGTTAGTACAGAGCATCGCCGCGACGTCAGACTCTCATATGCGTACTTGGAGCCAATACACAGGGCACCTAACGTCACGGAGCCTGCACAGCAGGCTGTTCCTCTCCATGAGGTTCGTAAGCGCCATGCGCAGCTTCTTCTGCCCCTCGTCGCCGCTATACACCTCCTTGAGTGTCTGGTTCCAGAACGAAAGCGTCTCCGGGCTGACGACTCCGGAGAATCCCAGACCGGCGACCATGCCCCGCCACTCCTCATCGACGACGAAGTCGCGTGTAGGCACAGACCATTTGTCATAGAAGGGGCCCAGCTGCGTCTTAGGGTCCTAGCATCCCTTCTCGCAGGACGCCGCCCGCTCATAGTCCATGGAGGTTCCCAGCGGGAGGACGCCGCGGATCTAGGCTCGGTGAATCGGATTTAGATCGGTGAGCCCTAGTGATGGCTACAGTCAAAGTCGAAAACAGCTTCCCCTGCGCCGAGTCTAACATTATTTCTCGTGCTGTAATTAAAATAGCTATTACCGTGGAATGATCCAGCTATAAACTATTCTTCGGATCATTAGTCCATAACTTACCGGTCATACCATTCTGGTTTAGTTATGTCACGGGTACGAGCCGAGAAACAACGCGTGTGCGTCCACGAGGGAAACTGTTTTCGACTTTGCTGTAACGCATGGCGTTGGCACGTACCCTCTCAGGAGCCAGCAGGGCCATCCATACGACAATTTAACCTCCCTGGCTGGTTTCTAGAGCAAAGCCCTCCATGACGCCGAGCACCTCCATCACCTGCACAGCCATGATGGCCGAATCCCAGTAGGTGAAGCGCTCCGAGGGATAGCTAGTGGCGCCATGCCCGAGTAGTTCGATGGCCAGGAGATTGACCTTATCGGCGAGTGACTTGCTGTTAAACTGATCATTGTAGAGCGAAGACGTGGTAGCCTCCTGAAATCTGCCGTTCTGCACGAAGCACGATCTGGTGGCTGGAGGCACTTTTTGCACTGGCTATCGTTAATGGCGTTCCCCATATGTCCGCGGGACTTAGGTCGAGCGGCACATGAACAAAAACCACCACACCTTGCATCTCGCCCGCTCTGTCACTGAGTGGAGACCAGAATCAGCAGTCTTCCGGTGATGGAGAGAGAAATTCGAGACCAACCATTCAGGTACAGACAGAAATGCTACGCTCTAGCTTATAGTATGACGGTAGTAAGATTGCTATGCGAGTACATTCTTTCCCTGGACTCCGGCTACATTCTGCTACAGGACTGAGAAGAACATAGACTTGACGGAGTGAAAGGTAATGCAATTTCTTTACGAATTGTGAACTTGTGCACTGTTTTAAATACACTATATTCGGAAGGAAGATGGTCATTTGAGTATGATATTTTACACGGAGTGATCAAAATCAGTAAGTGTCCACGACACATTTTGGCTCTGGCATAAGAATGTCGGCAGTCGGCTGAATTCTCGATCTAGGAAAAGGAATGAAATGTGGCCACGTCGCCGACGCTACCTATCCGTATTCCAAAGAATCTTGTGGCAGTTCGGTATAGAAAGTTACTGTAGTAGTTGGCTCAGCTGACCTTCCTGTTCTTGTCGATTGTTACGCCGACATAAACAAGTGCATTGACAAGGAAGTGCGACTTCTTAATTCGAAATGTCTAGGTCACACTGTGGCTTACATCGTGACAGTTGACTGGGCATTTTGTTGTCATTGGTATTTTGAGAGAGCTCAATCACATAACATGAGAGTATGGTGACAAAGTTTTTCCCTAAATACATAAATACTGGTTAAAGTCCATCTATGACCCTTCTTTCAATTTGTCTTTTTGTCACGACTGCTTTCTATGAGGTTTATTCCATGTACTTGAATATCTTTGTCACTTAATCACCGGACTTTCAGCTTGCTCCCATCATGCAACTGCTTTGGTATTTCCTCAGCTTAGCACTACCAACAATCACCTATGCAATAAATGCAAGGAACATAGGTGGTGATTTACTAAGCCCAGAATGTCTTGTCATCGAGATCGTGGTCGAGGTGTTGCTGGCTAGTCCTGAGGCTACCGAATTCTGCGAATCGTTCCTTGCTCCGACGACTACCATCTCCAAGACAGTGTAAGTACGTCCACGAGTGATATAAACCAAGACTAACAGATTCAAGCACTGAGACGTCCTCTAGCTGTGCCTATAAATATGCTGCGGCTCGGACACAGAAAAATGCAGCTCCGCAGGTGGGTCTATCTATAGGGCTTGATATGAACACCCCTTTATAATCATAATTAACAATCTAAGATCACATCTGAGCCCGATCGAAGCCTCGCCACACCTGCAGTATTACAAGGGCTTCCTAGCTCGGAAATCAGCCAAGCTTGCTCCTGCATTGACATCCCGGCATCCGACCTGACAACACGCACGCATACCCAGACGGCAACCTCGACGACCAAGCTCTGTCCGATTCCAACGACATGCGGAAATGAGGGTATGCAGTGGGCATATTACCAGCCACCATCTATCCCCTATAATTATAACTGCAATGGGGGATATAGTTGGGATCCAACAGCAATCAAGGATATGACTCCTTCATACAATAGTACAACAACATACATCGGCTTAATCGATGATGGAACCAGTGACATCTCGATCTACGGCTCAAATCAGCAGTTCAACTCGCAATTCTTCGCCCTGAATCATCGAGGGTATATCTATGCCGAAGTGTCTGGAGACTACACTTTCAACACACCCGGTGTAGACGACATTAACTTCTTCTGGTGGGGTCCTGATGCATACTCGGGATGGACAGAATCAAACGTCAACGCAAGTATTGCGTGCTCTGGTACTTCAGCAACGGTCAACGTGACGCTGCTCTCAGGGCAATATTATCCGATTCGCTTTATCTTTGCTAATGCTGAAGAAAATCTCGTTGAGGTGATGTCTATCACTGCCCCCGATGGCACGGTCATCCTCGATGCAAACTCTACGGGTTCACCTTATATTGTGCAGTATTCCTGTGACGGCACCTCGGCTAAGCCGTACCCTTTATTCGGACAGGAGACATAACTTACTGCAAAGCTTTGCTCATGCATTACCGGATAATTTAGGGTGGTTAGGTTTTATCTTTTCCCAACGTTGTTGTTTTATGTGTGTTCCAGCATACTCCTTTTAATTAGCATTTCTAGGCTCTTATAACACGTATGTGAAGGGCTGTAGCAGAATTGATTTAATTGTACTAGGCCGACATGCTGTCTACATCAATCTTGAGGAAGGAAGCTTTCCATGTACGTTCGGATTTAAACATAGGCTGTCGGACCAGTTATACGCTAAACCAATAGAGGCCTCTTGCCAGATGGTTACAGTCTGTCATTCTAGTACAGTCATTCTCGAAATCGCCTTGACCAGTACACACTGAGACTCTCTTTCTCGGCCCCACCGCCAAGGCCTTAGCGCAGATCATGTATTGAGCAGACCACACTTAGTTGAGGATGGTGGTAAAATATATTTGTAGGGTATTGTATTCCCTGCTGTAAGATTGCTGTCTGCGCCTTGATTCCTAGGCTATAAATCACTGTACTATATAAGTCGCAATTTACGACGGCCCTCAACTTAGTGCGGTTGCTCAATAAATGATCTGCGCTAAGGGCTTGGCGGTGGGGTTGGGAAAGAGTTTCTCAGTGTATATTGGTCAAGGCGATTTCGAGAATGACTGTACGAACTGTTCAATTCTGGCCCTTGAGCCGATGCATTACTGTAGAACCTGCGAATTCCATTAAAGACAGAAAGAGGGTAAAAAAAATGATTATTCTATACATCGATCTTATATCCTGCTGACCCAGAAGCTTGGTCTAAGACGTGGCAGTTCTCCTGTCCTCACTCTTCAAGGGATGCGACTGGCTGATCCATGCAGGCCGTAATATTAACCACAAAAAGTCTGCAGAAGCCGTTCCCATACTTCCCCTGGAGGCATGCCTTATCCATGCCCTTCGGCACTCACATTGCCTTCCTTTATGGGTGCGCCACATATGCAAACATCGTAGACGTTGTAACCCAGTTCCAGTCAGTCCCAGTAACCCTCCACCTCTATGGTCTATTGGTATAAGAAATCATGATAGTTCTGGCTGAGTTTCCCACTAGACGGGCCCCTTCCAGGAAGGGGTCTTCTGAGGTGGAGGGTTACTCCCCTTTTATGCTGTCTAGACACAGAGGCCATCACCGTGGTTAGAATTTGATCTGGTTTTGATAAGTTCCTTATATCCAAATAATCCATAGACCTAAGAGTATATAACAGTCTCTTTCTAAAGCCTTTCAATAATGTTGGTGGTTGTATAAATTTGGTATTTGTTCGGTGTGAGCATCGTGATAAAGTATCTGAGCATCGTTGAGTGTTGCAAATGTTTGTACGGTGACACAGAAGTCGGGGGTTCGATTCGCGAGGGTGGAGGGTCCTTTTTCATCGAGGCAAGGGTATGAGAATTTCAAGTGCATGGAGGGATTTGATCTGCATCGCAGTGGACAAGTTAGGCCTCGTATCGAGGTGTTCCCATATGAGCTAATGATGCTCAGAGTCATGGCATGCTAAATACGTGGACTTCTTGAGAAAAGAAGGAGAGGGCCGATATGATAAGATAAAATCTTGGATGGCACATAGTCCAATTGATGATTGATAGTCCAATGTGCAGTTGATTGGACACCACTGAAAAAGGGTTAGTCTCTGAATTGATGATCCCCTCTGATCACTGATCACTGATCAAGCCTAAATAAGCTCAAAATTGATCGGCGCAAATGGGCCCCCTCTAAGAAGAGGCTAGATGGGATTGCTGCATATAATCATTCGTCAGCAAGTCAGCAAGAGTATGCCCTTCTTACCCTACTAATAATCCGACCCTTCTCTCGTGATGTTTACTGCTCTCTTCTCCCAATGGATTTTACATTTGTCACACGGGCCGTGGCTGGCCCCGTCCAGATCCACCACCGCAAAGAAGACCCGCGGTTACCGTCGGGCGGGGCGATAAACCTTGCAGGAAAATCCCAATCCGATCAGACGATGGCGAAATCTTCCACTCTCGTCTTGACACTCCTCTCCTCCCCTTTACACCCTCTCCTCCTCTAAACATCAACAATTGGATGCTAACCGCTCGCATCCATGGCCTCGACTACTCAACCCGCCATCCCTCCGGTGGCGCTCGACACTATCACCCAGCACATCGGCAACACCCCTTTGGTTCGTCTGAACCGTCTGCCTCGCAGCTTGGGAATCGATGCAACCGTCTACGCAAAGTTGGAGTACTTCAATGCCGGTGGCAGTGTGAAGGATCGCATTGCCCTGCGCATGATCGAGGAGGCAGAGCGCGAGGGTCGCATTAAGCCTGGTGATACTCTTATCGAGCCGACGAGTGGCAACACGTTCGTAATTCCTGGGTCCTGGTGACGGAAGTTGAAGTGGGAAAGCATATGCTAATTCCTGGCGATATGACAGTGGTATCGGCCTGGCTCTGGTTGGTGCTGTCAAGGGTGAGTAACTTTCTGGCATCAATTCAACACCATCTTGGGGCATACTAAATCATCCCTCCGTGCTCTCCAGGCTACAAGACCATCATCACTCTTCCCGAGAAGATGTCCGCCGAGAAAGTCGCCGTCCTCCGCGCCCTGAACGCAACTATTATCCGCACACCTAACGAGGCTGCGTTTGACTCCCCCGAGTCCCACATCGGTGTCGCCAAGCGCCTGCAGAAGGAATTGCCTAATGCTCACATCCTCGATCAGTATGGCAACGTGAACAACCCCAATGCTCACGAGTTCGGCACCGCCGAGGAGATCTGGGCTCAGACCAAGGGCGAGATCAAGGCTGTCGTGGCCGGTGCTGGTACCGGTGGTACTATCACTGGTATCGCCCGCGGCCTGAAGAAGCACAACCCCAACGTGGAGGTCATCGCGGCTGATCCGCATGGTTCTATTCTGGCTCTGCCTGCGGCTCTCAACGACCCGCATGTCAATGAGCCTTACAAGGTTGAGGGTATTGGTTATGATTTCATTCCCGACGTGCTGGACCAGAAGATCGTTGATCGCTGGTACAAGACTGCCGATAAGGAATCTTTCCAGTACTCGCGTCGCCTGATCGCCGAGGAGGGTCTGCTTGTCGGTGGTAGCAGTGGCAGTGCCATTGCGGCCCTGGTGCACGCTAATGAGGAGCGCAAGTTTGCCAAGGACGATGTGGTCGTGGTTGTGCTCCCAGATAGCATCCGTAGCTACCTCTCCAAGGTATGAAAACTCACCTTTGACGTAAATATGCTTGCTGATGCTAACTATTTACTGCAGTTCGCTGATGACGACTGGCTCGCCGCCAATAACCTTCTCCCGGAGCTCCCTACCGAGCCCGCTGAACCCCAGCAGCCCCCTGTTACTGCCGACCCCCTGGGTGACGCCAAGGTCAGCGCTCTCCGTCTGAAGCCCATTACCACCGTGACCTCCACCTTTTCCTGTGAAGCCGCCATCGAGATCATGCGTGACAAGGGCTTTGACCAACTGCCCGTTCTCGCCCCGTCCGGTCGCCGTCTCGTCGGCCTGGTCACCCTGGGTAACGTTCTCAGTCGCCTGACCCACGGCCGCGCCACCGGCAAGACTCCCGTCTCCGAGGTCATGTTCGACTTCTCCAAGATCCCCGAGGTGGTCACCGACCCCCGCTCCTTGGGCCGGTCCAATGGTGCCGGTGTCCATCGCCAGTTCATGGAGATCACCATGGACACTCCCCTCAACGTGCTGAACCGCTTCTTCGAGTGGAACAGTGCGGCCGTGGTCACCGAGAAGGATGAGAGCGGTGCGCTGAAGCCGCTGGCTATCGTGACCAAGGTCGACCTGCTCACTTGGATGCTGCACCACGGCAAGGCCAATGGCGCTTAAATGATAATTGATGACTGTTTGCCCGGGGCTAGTATGGGTTACCACCGGGTTCACCTGCATTTCGCGAGATACACAACGTGCCGTGGATGGAGTTTCAACATTCCTGGATTTTTGAATGATTTTACTTGTGTTTTTTTTTGGTTTGGGAAAGGCGTTTCTTCTTACAGTAGGGAGCCGTGAGGCGACCCCCGATCTGGTTCAACACAAACTTGTGGTGGAAAGGACTCTTTTATAGATCATCCTGCGCGGATAAATTGTGGCATCTATACATAATATACATCCTCTATAGATCCTCGTCGAATTGACATGGGACAAGATAAAATCTGTTTCAGAGATAACTTTGTATGCTTGCTATTTTTTTGCCCTCGCATTCTGAGGTCACAGGTATGACGTATCCCGCCTTATCTGTGCCACCTTATCGGCCCCCAACGCTTATAGCTGCACTTTGATTTGGATAACATCGATCAACTCAGTAATACATCCATTGTTACACACGAGATGTCGGGGATCTTTACGTATCACAATTTCTCGTTACAGGACACCCCGTCTCTGAAGGGACAGATCGCAGTGGTGACGGTAGGGCCGAAACATACATACTTCATCCTCCCATCACATGCTAACCAACTTTCCAGGGTGGCCAAGCGGGCATTGGAAAAGGCAGGCTTAAGCCGTTGTCTAAGCCTCTCAAGGAGATATACCGAGACATGAAAATCTAATTCTTCCTTATTCCGATGTAGAAATCACAACTCAATTACTTCTCCACGGCATCGAAAAGGTCATCATCGTCTCCAGGAGCGAAAACAAGTTCAACACCGCCTATGAGGAATGGAGAGGACGAAATGGAATTGACCTTGGGGAACGCGATGACCGAGTCATCTTTGTCAAGTGCGATCTGGGTGATATCGAGGATGTCTACGCCGCAGCGCAGCAGATCAAGAAACTGACAGAATACATCCACATCCTGGTCTGCAACGCAGGTATGCCTCTCCTTGTCTTCTCTTCTGAGCATACCATACGTCCTTGTGAATTCATTTCGATCATATACTAAGGATCTGTACAAAGGCCTGGGCATTCAACCCATAACCCCCCTAAACACCTACGGCATAGATCCCATTTTCACAACAAACTGCATCGGCCACCAAATCCTAACAACACTCCTCCTCCCCCTCCTCAAACGCGCAACCTCAACATCCCCAACAGGCACCGCCCGCATAGTCGTCTCCTCCTCCAGTCTCCACCAACTCTGCCGCACCCTCAACCTATCACACCTCACCCGTCCAACCCGCAAATGGCCCGCCATCTACGACTCTGTCTGGCGCTATGCCCGCTCAAAGCTAGGCAACATCCTCTTCACCAAGGAACTTAGTCGGCGACTCTTGGAAGACGAGGATCCCGCATCGAAGATGGTGTATGTTAATTCGTATTTCCCGGGAAACGTGGTGACGCAGCAGTGGCAGGGGTGGAGTGAGCATTTGGGGAGTTGGATTGGAGCGTGTATTCGGTGGTTGGGGAAGCGGTTTGGGCAGAGTGTTGAGGAGGCTGCGGCAACGGCGGTTTATTTGGCTGCGAGTCCGGAGGTGAGTGAGATGGATTCGAGGGGACAGTATTATGTGCCTATTGCGAAGGTGAAGGAGCCGACGAGGTTGGGGAGGGATGAGGTTTTGGGCAGGCAGTTGTGGGTATGTTTTATTTTCTTGTTGATGGGAGGTGGCTGCTAATGTGGTTATACAGGATTGGATTGATGATCGGGTTGCGCGGACGTTGGGGGAGAATTGGCAGAGTGGGAAGTGACTTGATAGCTTCTGATTGTGGTTCAAGGTGTATAATATTAAAGACTTTTCTCTTCACCTTCCCAGTTGGTACCCAATGATGAACTATAATAAATGTAGATGGACGACAAGTTTCGAGGATTTACTGTAGTTGACGACCTGGGGCTGCCTCAAGACACTCTCATACTCATTCCCCCTTGTAGATTCCTTGAAGATTTTGTCCCATAATTAAGATCGCTTGCTTTTGGTCATACTAAGAAATACCAGAGACTCTTGTGATGACACGCACGATTATAATTCACAAAGGAGATGGGGCTTCAGATTGAGCGATCGCAAGCTGCCTCCTGGATTTGTAGATATGAAGTGTATCTAGAGAGCATTAAATACAAAAACAATGATCAAATCAAAATATTGACAAAAGCCTGCCCTACCCTCGATGCCCATGGACAGGATTCTTCCTGTCCTAATCACGGGTAAGACATACCAGCTGGCTTCTGATATCCATTAAGCTCAGGTCTCGTATGTAACTCAGCCTCCTTCTCCTCCTGAATATGAGCACAGCAACCGCACCAAAACGAGACACAGCAGTCACCACAGCAGGAGTCCTTGATAACACACTGCTGTCGTATCTCTCCTCGACTGATAGTTTGGAGGATCCATTGCGAAGCACCGAGACTGAGTAGAATCCATCTCGTGCACTGGTTGCTTATTAGCTGTCGACTGTCGCCACTTGCACTCATTCAGTGACTTACTGAGGCGTTGCAATTGCTGAAGCTTTGTAGACTTGGATCTCGTAGTCTGGCTTGAGTTTTACCGTAGGTATGCCATTTATAAGCGGGGAATCCGGTTAATTTTGCTAAGGGCAGAGCTTGTGATGCTCCAAGCGATCACAAACTGTAGTCCATTATAGATACAAGAAGTGTATGTTCGATCCGAGAGGTAAGGCTAGATCCAAAAATTGCACCAGCAACAACGGTAGAAGTATTAAGGCATATCATAGCAAGGAAAGTCTCCAGGGGAAGCAAGAGCTTCAAAAGTCTCCTTTCTCACAAACACATGCCCACCCACTCTTCCCAGCGACGCACGCCAGAGCCAAACTCCTCCTGCTGGTCACCCTTGACGGCACCACCAGTCACATCAACCTTAATGCCGACTTGTTCCAGAAGCGTGAAGCTAAAGACACTCTGGGCATCATCATCGCCCAGGACGTCATCATCCTCGGCATCCAGTTCAGCACTGTCCATGCTAGCGTCCATGAGTCCCTTAGTCTTGGACTTGCGGATACGATCAATCTCCGCTTCTAGCTTTTCCCGTACCGATCCGGGAGGCAGAGCCGTGAACAGGTCTTGCTTATTCGCGGCAACCAGAACGGGGATCTCAGCCGCCCGTTTCGTGGATGACTTGCCCTTCCCCAGCGCCCGCTTCTGGAGGACCAGAAGAACGTCGTGCAAGTAAGTTGCGGTATCCCGGAGGGTGGCCTCGTCTACCAGAGCGGCGGTGTCGACCATGAAGATCACGCCACGGAGCTTGGTCTTGGTGTCGGTGGATGTGGCCATAGCCTGGAGCTCGGCGATGCCCTGCGAGGCACGCAGTTTGCCATGGCCGGGAGTGTCACGTAGGCGGTACTTGACCGGGTTCTTCGAGGCTTCTTTCAGAGAGGGATCATTGACGGATCGGTAGCGGTTTGAGGCCGTGGGGACAGTCGGGGGCAGAGTGACAGTGATGAGTGTCGAGGTCTGGGAGGTGTGAGTACTGGTCGACTTTTTGGGACCCAGTGAAGATTTGGACTCGAGCTGTAAGTTAGTGTAAGCAAGAAAGTTCATACTGAAAAAAATGAGACCGGTAGCTTTACCAAGGTCGTGAAAGCTGTCTTGCCAGCTCCGCTGGGACCCAACAGGAGGAAGTTACTTGACGGCGGCGACGCTGCTGCACGGTAGAAGACGAGATGCAAAAACACAGGAACACCAAAAGCAATCACAATCGCAATGACAATGGCAACCAAATTGCCATCCAGCAACAGGGTCGCAATGCCCGTCACTGAGTTCCAACCGGCCTGACTCGACATGGTGTGGGCTGATGCGGACGGAGAAAGCAGCGAGTTGGTCAGTCGACGGAACAAAAGGCCCGCCCGATAGCACGGACCACCTGGCATTATCGGCTTATCGGTTCACGGCTTTATCTTATCGCTTATCTTAGCGCTGCACATCATTTGCCCGTCTGGAAGTGTACTGGAATGAGACACTCCTCTCCAGGGTGATGCACCAACTACATACCACGGGCCAAGGGGGGCCAAAGAGGACAGCATTTACCCCCCTTGACCCATTTGTATCTTCTCTCCATCTTCAATCTTTCCGACAAACCCAGTATGAGATTCGACCGATTGTTGCCCGCTCTATTCTCCCTGTTTACAGCGGCATCGACCCAGACACTGAGTGGTCTGACTTTTGATGGCCGTAATGATGTCAGTCTGATCTGGGCCTTTGATGGCCAAACAACGGGGCGTTATGACTTCTATCTCTGTGCTGGTGACGAGTCAACGGGTGTATATGTAAGTGGAATTGCCATCAATATGCGCGAGATCCCCGCAGAATACAAAACTAACTAGATCTATACAGGAGTCTTTGACGCGCGTCATCGCCGCTGGCAGCTTCGCGCCTGGAGACCGCGTGTCTTTCCGAGTTGACCAGGACGTCGGTGGAAATGACCCGAATGCATAGTACGAAGACACCCAGAACACGAATACCCAAACAACGGAAATAACAGTTATACTAACCACGCCCTAATCAGCTTCCTCAAGGTCGTCCCTTCAGATTCCAAGGAGCATTGGTCCGGATTTACCTCACACTTCACCTTAACCAACATGAAAGGCGCCTTTTCAACGACAGTATCCAATGCAGTCAAATCAATCCAATTCATCATCCTCCCTTTGCTCCCAGACGCAGACGCAAACCTGCTCGACGCAGCCGACGTACCCTCAATCCTGAACAGCTCAATCCTCAACAGTGATACCGGTGATGTGACAGAATCTTTCCTACAATTCCCCACGCCAACTATCCCCACTGGATTGGACCACAATGAGCTGCGAAAGCGTTATGTGGACCAGCACACGGTTCCCTACGGAATGCAGACGGGGTTGACGAAGTATGCCCCGATGCCTAAGCGAGCTGGCACCACTATCGCAACTAGATCACCAACACCTCAATACCCGCCTTTCCCTTTCTCCATTGCCACTACTTATCTGGGGGCACCAACGGTGCAATACACGGACACTGCGTATCTGACTTGGACTACGCACAATATTGAGAATACGGTATGTAGAGCCTATCACGGGTCTTGGAGCAACCCGCTAATCTATTCAGGCTGCCCCAGCCGCTGCACCAACGCTGGACAAGAGAATGCAGCAATGGTTGGAGCGTTGGAAGGATTAAATACAGGCTTCATGGACCATCTGTTTACCTCTAGGTTCAATTGAGGACACGAAGATTGAGCGCAAGTGTTGAGCTTACACTCAGCTCTTCAATTGTTGATTCTTCATGATCTAATGTAGTTTTCCCCAATCACAATGTGATGAAACTTTTTGTGCTGTTCGCATCGTCCCTTCGTATTTACCCACATCTATATGTTCTCTCCCTCTTCATTCATTTTCACATAATATCATGCAACGTTATGAACGCCCGTTCGGCGGCGACCTTGGCGATTTCCATTCCTCCAGCGCGGGAGTAAGACATGGTGTCACTGGGTGGCTTTCTTCCGGGTGGAAAGAAATGTTCTCCCGCAAGGCGACGTACTCACTTTCAGACCAGCCGAGCAAGGACTCGATATGTGTGCTTCGGTGGCCCTTGATGAGCGCGATCTCCATGGAACCATAATTCACCAGCGCGCGCCCCACTTCCCGCGGTTCCTGCGCGTGGTGGATAAAGTCGCCATCCAAAGCATCTGGCGATGGTCTTTCTGCGACTACCAGTCGCACGGCTTCTTGCTGTGCGAAGTGTCCCTCGACACCGACTACACCGGCGGGAAGTAGACTGGCCTTGTGGTTTAGTATCGCGTCGTAGGCGCCTTGGTCGATGTATAGAGTACCGTGAGGTGTCAGGCCGTGCAGTAGCCAGAAGGTGACGGATTGAATCGGGGTATCCGAGGGGAGGAACCGAGTATGCAAGGGAGGACGTGGGATATCGGAAATCTGGTCACCGTTGGGGGCCTCTTGAAGCCGTTGGAGGTACTTGACAATATCGTGGACGTTTCCGGGTTTGGAGCTCTTGGTAATGATGGTTGTTACGCCAGCACTAGTTCCAAGCTTTGCGGCCACGATTTTAGTGCTCATGCCACCAGTTCCGAGAGCTGAGCCAGCGGACGAGACATCGGCCTCCAGCAGCGAGATATCGGAGACCACCTCGATGGGCTCGGCGTCTGGGTTTGTTCGCGGGTTGGCTGTGTACAGACAGTCGACATCGGTCATCAAAAATAGGTAGTCGGCTTTGACGGTAGCCGCTGCAATCGCTGAAAGGGTATCGTTATCGCCAAATTTGATTTCCTAGGTAGCATTAGGTTGGGTCCTCGATGGTCCCACGGTCATGGAGAGAGAGCCTCGTACAGAAACAGCAAGGGTATCATTTTCATTAACAATGGGAACAACACCCATGTCAAACAATTGCTCAAAGGTATTCTGAGCATTGATGTATTGGGTCCTCTGTTTCGGAGGTTAGAGATCCATGCATTGAGAGCGGGTATTTGCATCTTACGTCTGCAATGTCATTCCTCGTTAAAAGAATTTGAGCCACTGGGACTCGGAGATGTGAGAACAAGTTGTCCCAGAGACTCATCAGCCGACACTGGCCAACGGCAGCAAGTGCCTATACGACTCCGTATCAGTATTTCGGCTCATTGAAATGTGTCCACCACGCTCCAGCACCGTTGCTTGCTCCAGGGCCAAACTCATACCTGTATTCGGGGCAGGTGGGTTGGCCGTTTGTCCCAGTCCATCCTCCGCAAGCCAACGCCAACAGCGCCCGACGAGACCAGCACCACGCGATGCCCATCTTTGCGCAATCGTGCTACCGTCTCGACAATCAGCGTTAGAATTGAGAGGATCGGCTCGTGTGTTTTCTCGTCGACAATTGAACTCGTCCCTGTCAAAACATGGAATATGTTAGTTGAGTCATTGCAGTTATCATTCACAAAATATATTTCCCCGCACCCAATTTGATCACAATCGTGAGCCCCCGGGCTGCCATGGTTGCGCAAGGAAATCAATCAAAACGAAAAGAAGCCCTCCCCCGACGCACTGGACTTGCAATTTCCAATAAATAGCGAAGGATCGCTGTACCCCGCAGTTTGTCTTCCGGGAAAGATTCGTCAAGCCCGCCTTCATCGGAGCATCTCCCCCGTCGTTCTGCCGGCTTCCTCCGCCCATCGGAGTTTCTTCGTCTCAGCCAACGCGCTGTTCAAGAGTCTGGGAGCCCCAAGATGTCTGATTCTCAGTCGCCAGGTGCGGTTGCACCTTCAAATGAGAAGCCGGAGACTGGATATGTTGCTGGAGATGATACGTTTACCCAGTTCCGCAATATCTACCGGATCTTGACGGGGAAGATGACCTCCGAGGGCATCGAGCAATTCCGCGTTGCGCGAGACTTGCGAAATGAGTCTGCGGATTGCAAGCGCTGCGAGGACCAACGTGATTACCTGCTTCAGTACAGTGAGTGAAGAATTCTGGTGGTGTATGGTTGGAATCGAGAGACTGAATCTTTATCTGTACAGGCCCCGTCATCCGTTACCTCAGCGATAACATCCGCCAGCTTGGAGGCGATCTCCACAGCCATAACATCTACTGTCGTCGTTGCACGAGTCGAAAGGCTGGTGGGTTCGACCCTGAGTATGGAATCCTTCTTTGCGCCAATGAGATGAAAGATCAGGGCCATTTGGAGGACACCATGGCTCACGAGATGGTCCACGCTTACGACCACTTGCGATTCAAGGTCAACTGGACAGATAACCTTCGGCATGCTGCTTGTTCAGAGGTATGGCATATAGTTGGAAATCTCCATCCTCGTTTTTTTGGTCTTATACTCATTCTCGACCTATAGATTCGAGCTAGCTCCCTGAGCGGTGAATGCAGATGGGCGCGAGAGTTCTTCCGCCGAGGCCAATGGAAGTTCACCCAGCAACATCAGGAGTGTGTACGGAGGAGAGCAATCCTCTCTGTGAGGGCACGACCGACCTGCCGAGACGAGGCTCATGCAGAGCAGGTGGTGAACGAAGTGTGGAGCAGCTGTTTCCGAGACACGAGGCCCTTTGATGAAATTTACCGATGATACCAAGTTCCCCTGCCGTTGTGTTTCTTTTCCGTCTACGACTCCACTCGTCCTACATACCGAATACTCTGTACCATAGAACTGATTTGAATGTACCATATTTTGCATTGGCATCGAATGAAAACAAAGATTAAAAGGCCCACATTTCCCATATCGCAATGCCTGCCCGACTATACTCCGTGAATGAGAAGAACTCCGATAATGCACACCGATCGACGCCAGGAAACCATGTCGTGTGGCAAGGCTGAATGAGAGGAAAAACAAAGAAGAAAAGAAACCGGAACACCAATGTACCATGCAAAGGTCATCATGCTTTCCCATCCTTGGAGGAACCTGAGCTTCGCTTTGGGTCCTTCACACAGTGCTTGACGATCCAAGGGTGGCGCTGAATCTCGTCGAGAGGAATCCGCTTCTCGGGGTCAAGGACAAGAAGCTGTGGAAAGTTAGCAAAAAAATCCATAATTGACGTTCACAATAAGAACTAACCCTCTTGATCAGATCCTTGGCCTCCGCGCTGACGAAGGACGGTACGGACATGTCTGCACGGGCGATTCGCCGCTGGGTCATCACCGGGGTGTCCTCGAAGGGCGCCTCGCCGACCAAGAACTCATAAGTCAAAACACCCAGACTCCACAGGTCAACCTTCTCGCTGTAGTAGTTGTCCTGCGAACCGGGCTTCAACATCTCTGGGGGCAAGTAGTCGAGGGTTCCACACATCGTCTGGCGGCGGTTGTTGGGAGCATGCACACTCCAACCAAAGTCACTAATTTTGATCTCGCCATGAATACCGACCAGGATGTTCTCAGGTTTGATATCACGGTGCATGACATGCTTCTTGTGCAGATACTTCAAGGCTGCTGCCATTTGAGCGATGTACTGTGCAGCCTTCCACTCCGGGAAGCGGTGTTCCTTGCGAAGATGCTTATACAGCTCTCCGCGACCAGCGAACTCGAGGATCAAAAAGATGCGCTTGCTGTCGTGGAAGTGACCATACAGTCTGAGGACGTTGGGATGGCGGAGGTTGCTCTGAATCTCAATCTCACGACGGACCTGCTTTTGGACACCACCCTGCTGCAGCTCCGACTTGTGAAGCACCTTGAGAGCGCAGACAAAACCCGAGGATCGCTCCTTGGCAAGGTAGACACGACCAAACTTGCCCTTGCCGAGTGGCTTGCCAATTTCAAACATTCCCAGGTGGAGCGCTTTGGGCTGATCGTAGAGCGGAGCCGCGCTGCGCTGATCACCATTCTCGTCGGTGTTTCGAGACACAATGGCACCCTGAGATCCCTTGCCAGGCGACGGGGGAACGTTCATTGCATTGACCTTATTGTCATTGGTGTTTTGAAGCGCCAGCTTCAGAAGGTGAGCTCGGTTGGAGTTGGACGAAGAACCGCCGAGGCCAGATAGAGAGACGGCCGTCGAGAGGGATCCCTTCAGTGAGGTCGAGTCAGCATATTGCTGTCTCGTCTCATAATTGAAGCTTTGTATTACCTTATGCTTGCCATAGGTGCGGTCGCTTCCGGTTTCCTTCTCGTCCTTAACGGACAGGTGCTCGAATCGAGCTTCCAGCGTCTTGGTCGCCATTGCTAGAAAAGGGTGCGAAAAAGAGAAGAAAGCGACGGGGGGAAATAAAGAGAAGTGTGGGTGGTAGTGGTCGGAAAAGGGCAAAGGAGCAAAAAAAGTAGTTCAAGCTTTCATAAGCATCATTCAAGTTTGTGTGTTTGTCGAATGGGTCGGATAGTTGAATGGAGAATGGAGAATGGAGATCCAGAAGAGAGGAACGGGTGTTTAGATGTCCGCCCCAGCGCGTCGCCCCAGCAACCCCTCGGCCCGCCTCTTTCTCCGTGCGCCCGCGGGGCTATCGCTATCAGCCCAAGATCGCAAGATACCGCTTTCTTCGTGACGACATGGTCTAATTTTGATCTGTCCATGGCTTCCAGACCCTCGGCTGCGCCTACGGGCCATGCGGCAGTCTCCCCCGAGATGAAGAAGCCCCATATGATCTCGGTCGGGGGCTTCCGCATCGCCACCCAGAAGCTCCCCATTCTCAAAGCCGAACCGATTGAGGAGATGACAAAGAAGCTGGGCGTTGCACCACCGGAGATGATCTTTGGGGACAATCATGTTGCGATTGAACACGAGAAAACGGGCTGGGGAATCGACTTCAACGCATTTGATGCGCTGGACAGGGTGGACAAGACCGGGCAGTCTATGCTCCAGGTCGCATATTCCAAGGAATGGCAACAAAGCAGGTAATGCAAGGGATTCTCCGTGATATACATCTTTCTGCTCGCTTTTGGTCTGACGAGGTATTTTTGAATAGAGAGAAAACTCACGACGGGATCAAGGAGGTTGTCAAGCCGTTCGACTGGTCCTACAGCACCGATTACAAGGGCACACTCAGTCCCAATGCGCCACCATTCGAAGCGACCGAGAAGCCGATTCCTATCGAATTGCTGAAGCGCCCGGACCCTATCCTATTCTTCGACGAAGTCGTACTATATGAAGACGAGCTGGCCGATAATGGCATTGCAATGTTGTCGTGCAAGATTCGTGTGATGCCAGGCAGACTTCTTCTACTTTCGAGGTTTTTCATGCGCCTAGACAATGTCTTGATCCGGCTTCGTGATACCCGCGTGTATGTTGATTTCGAGACTCGTGAGGTGATCCGGGAATACCAATCCAAGGAATGCGAATATGAGAAAGTTCGACAGGTAGGACTATTCCCCTAGTGCTGTATCTTGCTGTTCTTTACTGACCCCTTTCAGATCCTAGCAGGTACTCGCGATGACATTCCCGCCTTGATGAGAGATCCAAACCGGCTGTCTGAGATCTTACCTATTGTGGAAAAGCACTCCGAACGAGTGGTCCTTGGTAGTTGAGACCCTGTCAGGACCTACTCAGGATGAATCAGGACACAAGATCTCAAGCCTATGAAGTATGAACATGAATATCACGTAAAACGAGGCCAACCCAACAAAGGATGAATGAATATCATAAAAATTTCATGAGACAAGCGCTCTCTAGAGATCGTCTTGTAGTACCAGGCCCTAACACGGCCTTTAGCTAGATGGCTCATTGTTCTTCTCATCGAAACAAATACACAAGGCAGCGATCAATGCTGCATCGACTCCTGGCGCCACCACGACGGCATACGTCTGTTGGCCAAAGATAAGATCACGGCCGCTTAACAGCTTCCGGTCAATGCGGGCTACTGTGTGGCCACTCTTCTCGTCTACAATGTCAGCGGTATGATCGAACCAGCCTCCCTTCATCTTTAGCGTCACGGCTTTGCCCTGAGAGTCTGTGAGAGTGGCGGTCGCCTTGGAGCCGAGCACTAGATATAGTCAGCCTCGTATCCCTGGATCCCTGTATCTTGCGTAGATTCACGAAAGACAGAACTTACATGAGAGATTGTTCTTAACCTCTGCGATCTTCTTGCGATGGGTGTCTTCAAGTGCATAGGTTGTGTGAATGTGTAGATGCTCCTTGACAATGTCAAAGAGATGCTTTCCCTGGACGTCTTCGACCTTCTTACGACCAGAGAGCGAAGCCCAGGCTCCGTGAACTTTCAAAAGCGACTGCCCACTGGCCAATTTGACTTCGAAGCTATCGTTAGAGACGGAGAGGACCTTTTCTTTCATGATCAGCGTCTGTGACTCTTTGGCCACGAACTGATCGAAGATGGCGATCGGCTCGGGCAATGGCGCGAGGTTGGAGTGGCCGAGGATTCCCATGGTGGTGTTCTCGTGAGTTTCAGGTTCTTAGAATGGTATAGATGTAATAAAAATGATAATCATTCATGTACGAGGGATTGACTAGGAAGTTGCGGGAGCAAGATCAGCTTTTTAAGTTGATGATCGCTTCAACTCAGCGGGGCAAGTGGGCTGTTGGCCGAATCCGGTCTTCTCTGGTTCGATCGACGCCACCGCCTACACAGTGGCTATGGCTCTATCACAATCAGATTCATCACTTTGAGTTACAAGTGATCAGTTACCTAAAGTATATCCGTACCTAGCGCGGCACGGCAAACGAGCTTAGTGGCGTTCACAGATATCTATCAAACATTTAGTGGGGCTTAGTTTGAGATAGTATCGCTAGGCTGATATTGATAGCATCGAATACTCTATGACAAAAGGCAGCACAATGGCAGAGACCGGCATTGTGATTTCCGCCTCGAGAGTCACAATAATAACTACTACTCCAGTAGTACCTATGCTGCTAGGATCTTGCCCAATCCTGACCCGAGGGGTGGCTATGTGCATACTGTATGTTCCCAGCCCAAGTGGGTCAGGGAAGCTGGTCTGAACGAATAATGTCAATACCAAGATTTAGCCCATGAGGCTGGCGCAGCGAGCGTGCGACTGATTCTGGTCTCCTCCGTGTGTCTTCAGTGTCGAGAGAATGTGTTATTTGAGGGTGCTAACCACCCATCTTCACCTCCTCTTTTTAGGGGGACGTTCTTCATCTCCAACGCTCGAGTCAACACCTTGCAAGTATAAATCATCCACACGAGTGAACTTTGCACGACCAACCGACTTTCGAAACATCCCCGCATTAAGTCCATGTCATTCACAGACCGAGCATGTCTGAAAACCCCCACTTCGTTCACGGGGATTATACGGTGGGATGGATATGCGCTTTGCCCGAGACTGAGCTGGTGGCAGCTACAGCCATGCTCGATAAAGAACATCCAATTCTTCCGGCAGCGGATCCAAAAGACAGAAATTCATATATTCTGGGCGAGATCAGCAACCACAATATTGTCATCGCGTGTCTTCCCTCAGAAGCAACAGGCAAAGTATCTGCAGCCACTGTGGCTAACGATATGCTCCGCAGCAGTTTCCCAGCCGTAGATTCGGACTCATGGTTGGGATTGGAGGCGGGGCACCATACTATCCGCAACCACAGGCTACAGGAGATGACTCTGAAGCTGAGGACGATGACGAAGAAAATCAGAGACATCAGACTCGGTGACGTGGTGGTAAGCCAAAACACAAAGTCAGCCGAAGCTGTCGTGCAATATGACTTTGGCAAGTCCTTGCAGTCCCGGGGCTTTGTTCATATGGGCGGCAAGCTGGACAAGCCACCTTTGATCGTGCGGACGGGAGTCTCGTCCCTCAGGGCAAAACATAAATTAGGAACAACATGCTCCGCGAGCTCTTAGATGAGGTATTGAAAAGATACCCAAGCACAGCTGGATAATTCCAGTTTCCGGCCTCGGCAAGAGACCGTCTGTTTAAATCGAATGTCGTTCATGTGCACAACAAGAAGTCATGCAAGGCATGTTGTGGGCCGGAACTTTCTGACCAGTGAAGCAGTCGCTCTTTCAGAAATCAAGGAATATCTCCAACTGAAGAAGTGTACTTGGAATCTGTCAATGAAAATGACGGCGGATTACTATTGCCACACAGAATGACAGGGCTACATCTTGCGGCCTACTTTGGTCTAAGTGGCATTGTGAGGATCTTGTTAGACCAAAGACATCCGTCGAATCTCAGAGATGATTATGGGGATACACCACTCTCATTGGCGGCAAAACATGGACATGCGTCAGTGGTATATGCGCTGCTGGAGAGAGGCGCCGCAATCAACAGAGGTAGTGAAGATCATGGGCCACCTATTTCACAAGCGGCAGAAAGAGGGCATTTATCAGTGGTGAAGGCTCTCATCGAACACGGAGCTAGTCTCGAACTCAGGGATGGCACAGGCCAAACGCCTCTTTCTATAGCGGCAGAGCAGGGACACAGGGAAATTGTCAAAGCCCTCTTAAAGGCTCGGGCCACAGTTGATTCCCCTAATATTGAGGGTAAAACACCGCTTGCACTGGCTTCAGCAAAGGGGCACTTAGAGGTGGTAGACATCTTGTTCAGGAAAGGTGCAGCAATCAATTCAAAAAGTCTGTCAGGTGCGTCGCCATTCTGGCAAGTAGTATTTTACGATCACAGAAAGGTCGCCAGATATCTTCTTGAAAGAGGGGCTATATTCGATTCAGAAGACAAAGAGGACAAAGAACTTCTATCGATGGCCGCCTCCCATGGAGATGCAGCACTTGTGGACTTGCTGCTCGATCTAGGTGCACCAATCGACTGGAGTGATCGATATGACTTTATACCACTCCTGGTGGCAACATGGGAAGGGCATGAGACAGCGGTGAAGATCCTTTTGAAAAGAGGTGCAAATATTCCTTCAAAAGACTCGCAAGGTCATACAGCACTATTTCAAGCAGCGATGCATGGGCGTGAGTCCTTAATCAAACTCCTGCTCGATAGCGGGGCGGTAGTCGATTCGCAAGACAACAAAAGGATGACACCTCTGGCATGGGCAACGGTGAATAAGTACTTGGCAAATGTGATAGTCCTTCTTGAGAGGGGTGCAGATCCCAATTTGAAAACTCATTATGGGAAAACACCCTTGGACTGGGCCAGGGAGTGGGGACATGAGGATATAGCGCAAGCCTTGTTGAAGAAAGGCGCAACTCTTCCATGATGTACATAGTTGATTAGCGGAGCCCGATCATCTGTCCTGAGGAGAATACGCGAGCATATCTTTATACTCGTAATCACAACCGGTACTATTCCAGATCTTGTTCGCAACTCACATGAGACTATTTTTACTATCCGCAGGTCTACAGATGTCATTCAGCATAGAGGCTATGAGTAACTAGGTAGCCCTCATCCACAATATCAAAGGCAATAGAAACTCACACTTACCCATAGCACCCAAAGATTAATTGTAATCTGTTAAATTAACAATATAAGAGATGAATATCTAATAGAAAGTCCACAGCCTCTTTTTAGAGAATCTTCTGTGACGAGCAGCTTCCATAGAGCTTCAAGTAATCCAGATCCCCCGTATCATATATACGAATTAAGCGATTATCCAATATACTTCTTGCGATAATAATAAAACCACCCTTGTTTGCAAGTCACATAGAGATCTTCGCCCTGATGAAAGAAACACCAAGTATGTTGGTAGACTCCAGACGGCGATATAAGTTACGACTGTGATGTTTATGCAACAAAATTAACCGAGTCTATACTTCGAAGAAAGACTTGTAAAAGAAAGTAAAGAAAGACGTGGTGAATGCTCATTAATATATTTATACCGGATACTGGTATGCAGGAAGCATCTTTAAGATTGGAAGGCTAATTGCATAATAATGTATAAACAGGATTAATTAATGCATAACTTGCTAACCACGTTGGACTTCAGGAGGGCTAACAAAAAGGGGGGAAAAAAAGAAAGGAGGGAGAGGGGGAGGGGGATAATTTTTGACCACGCTCAGCTGTAATATGACCACACTGTTCTGCAACCTCCGTGTGAAAATTACGCAAATTCTTATACAAAATTATCTGTAAACGTGAACTTGGAGGCTGCCTGCAACCAATTCAATCAAAGTCTTGTCCCAGTGTGCTCTGAATATTATATCAAGAGCCAGCCACGACCCAATCCATCAACATCGAAGACCTCACGCATCAGAGAATCGGGAAGCTCCTTTCGTTTCCAGTGATCTTGAAGGAGTTTCGAGGCACCTATTACGTTTAAACAACTCGTAGAGTCCCAGAGCCCACGCAATGATTTCATGACAAAAGCTTGTTGGCTTTCTGTCCAACAGTCCAATCCAGCAATGAATGTCGGCCAAAGGAGGCATTTAAAAAGTACGGGGTCGTTTTGCAAGATTTCAATGAGGCCAAGCAATTGCGACACCAGATCCGTTGCATCGGTGGCTTCAGCATTCAAGGCACTGAGCACCCGCCTGCCGTACAATAAAGTCGCCGTTTTGTATGCTTGTGACAACGAAAATAGCATGGCGACTTCGGTCGTAGGAGATGCTGCTCGTTGCTGGAGGTCTGATGCCCACGCAAGGCAATCAAATCGTTCAGTTAGCTCAAGCATTATCACGGTGTCACGTATGATTGAGGTATTCGAAGATCCATCGGCCCGCTTAAATTCAGCAATAAGACATCTTTGGTCGGAGAAGAATTGTACTGCTCTCAAAAGAAATTCAGGGCATCCCAGGAAGCTCCTGACAGTTGACTCTTGATGCTTCGTACATTCGTTTCTGATAAATGCTTCAGACACAGTCTTCGTAGATGACAGGGCACTTCCAAGAGTTTCGATTCTGTGTAGTATCAGCGACGCATTAGAACAATCTTTTACTAGTGATATTCAAGGGTATGATCACGTACAATGACAGCTGTTCAGTTATGAACTTTCTCGTATTTCGAATCGTATCTCCCGGATCGGCTTTCGCATAAGAATCTTGAACAGGTTCTGCTAGGGACTGATTGAGGACGAGTAGACCCCTCGCGCCTTGGAGGTGAGAGTTCCAGCCGTCGATCCCGGATTCAAGAAGATCAAGGAATATGAGAAGTAGAATGGTGGCCATTGTTGATTCCGTTTTCCGAGGCCCTGGATGGGACAGTGACGAAGATAATGCCTGGATAGTTTGCTTCTTGAACAGAAGTGCATCCATTCTAGCATGCATGAATCGAGGGGCCATCACCGCATCAGTCTCATCAAATGAGTGACCTGTATTGGCAAAGTGTCGAGCTGCGAGAGCAACGATAGCTTTCTGCAAAGCCAAGTCTTCTAGGCCAAACGCGAGCAAGTTCCGGAACGGATTGCTGTCACTGTCGAACAGGATGTAAAGCTTGCATATTTGTTTACAATCTATGCTCGATATTAGTAACCCAACATTCTCTCTTCCGTTTTGCCAGAACGCGAGCCTACAATAATCGACATAGAACCTTGACAGTTGATCCAAGTTAGACATGTGGGGATCCTGCATGCCAAAGGCAGGGGTCTGGAGTATTTGTAGCCGTTTCGCTGAGGTGAGTGAAACTTGTTTCACGTTCGATCGCGGGGCTCGAGAATCTTGAGATGCCTCTGAGGCGTCTTTGAAAACAAATCCTCGCAACTTCCCCCGAATCGCCACGCCTGTCACCCATCTCAGAGGTTTTTTGTCATGGCATTCTAGTCCCGCTTTCTCGCATTTTAAACAAGGAACGCGAGATTGATCGCACCGCACCGTTCGGCTGCGGCATGTCCAGCATGGTCTGAGCATCTAATAAGCTCGTTGTAAGTACTTTGCAGGGTCTTATTGGATGGGTCGCGACGCAAGCATGGGCTACGTGGAGGTAACTGGACACAGCTTGCTGACACACGTGATGTCATCACGGACTATATCAGTGACACTGGTCGGAAATACAATAATCCGCTTTTGATCTGGATTATGTAATAAACCAACTTCCCGTCTGGGCATTGATTGGCGTTTTGCCTTCAACCCCAATGGCAGGTAGATATAGGTATAATGCGTACCTACAGTAGGTAGACAACGCACTAGCGGACCACTCACTGGACCGGAGAAATGCCCGTTAGCCATTTATTCAGATGGGTCTCGCCAATGACGCCTAGAATAGGGCAGGTCTTGATGAGGATATCATTGTTGTTGATGGTCTTGCCTAGTAACAGTCAACGCTCGTTGATGAAGACGATAAGCCACGACCAATGAGGAAGAATTTGTGTTATGAGAGCAGTCAGCACAGATAGATACTTATATGTGTTGTTGATTCGGCTGAATGACGGCTGGAATTTATCCTCGCAGTTGTATCTCTGGGCGCCACACACTACAACTTCCCTGCTTCGACCACAGTTTACCAATCGCATTCTGTGATACTGTACGAAGACTTGGATAATTATCCCGGATTTTCTCCTTTTCCCTCACAACTGCACCGTTTATGCCGATGTCGCGGATAGCGAATATCATAAAGTACTGGTCAGTCTCCTCATCTGGAAATGCCCCACATGAGATAACCTCCTATTCGGGCAAGGCTCCACATGCCATGCCTAACAAACCTCCGGGCCCTGGGAAATCTTTGAGTGGATTAGTGGCGAAACCTGGATTGACAAACAAATAATGGCACAGCGCTATCGGAAGCCAAGGAAAATTCAGAGTGCATATCTCAAGTAATGATGCAGTGTGTCATATGGGGAAACGTTAGTATTTAAAGTCATCACCCCATCCCTGGGTATCACTATTTCCCTGTAACTCCCGCTATATCCTCGAGAAAAAACAACTGCCCAAACCGGGTTTCAATATCGTTCAAAATCTTCTTCATTCTTTCGAGCTATTCCACCACGCTATGTGTCACGACGAGGTTGCAGCTAATGGCTGGACCAGCACGCCAGCCGATGCAGGTGCTATCTTTAGCGACCAGTCATTCATCAGCAAAGCAAAGCCTTTGCCTCTTAATGACATCAAGTTTCCATTTGATGACCCCACCGTCGCGAAGACATTGAAGTACGTAAAAGATGCGCTACACCCTGAAACCTTCAACCATTCAATGAGAGTCTACTTCTACGGTAAGCTTAGATATTGCGTGTAACTCTGGTTACTCACGGATCTATATCTAATGTGTGAATAGGAATGGCTATCACCAAACAACAGTTCTCTGAGCAAGCGGCGGCTTTAAACCCGGCGACTTGGGCTTTGACATGCCTGCTACACGATATCGGTACCGCCGAGGCAAACCTCACTGCAACCCGAATGTCCTTCGACATCTACGGTGGTATCAAAGCTCTGTATATTCTCCAAGATCTTGGCGCGAGTAAAGATCAGGCCGAAGCAGTTGCTGAGGCAATCATCCGACACGAGGATATGGGAGTCGATGGAACGATCACGTACATTGGTCAACTTATCCAGCTGGCGACCACTTATGATAACACTAGTATTCATCCACACGTCAAGAATTTCGGGGAAATGATTCACGATACAACTCGCACTGAAGTTAGCGAGGCCTATCCACGCATCAAATGGAGCACTTTTTTTCGAGCATCGTTCGCAAGGAGGAGCAAATCAAACCTTGGTGCCATTCAACTCATCTTGTTGACTTCGCCAAAGAAATTGAGACGAACACCCTTATGAAGCAATTTGAATGAGAGCTGGTGGGGAAAGTCAGACGCCTGCACAGCCTGACACTTCAAGGCTATACTGCTGTCCACTCAATGTTAAACCGATTACCGGGAAATTGAATTTCAAATATCAAAATAACTGAACGAAATTGAACTTTCCAAAGCCCAACAATCAATTTCCGCTTTATGGGTGACATCTGGGCATAGAAAACATTAGAAGTTGCATCAAACACCCGTCACATAGTCAACGCGCTGAAACATATGATCAGATCCAATTGAATCAAATTCTCAATGTCAATCATCACAACAACCCAGACTGTTGGAGGATGTTGCATGTTGATAATCCCTGGTTGTAACCATAGCTGGAGCAAATTTGTCTAATTCAGCAACCTGTGAATTCAGTACCAGTATTCTAAGCACCATTGGATTCCATAAGCTTGAGGCACCTCAGGGAAATTCAAAATCATCTCGTCAGCCAGTTTCCAAACAGAAGCCGAATTATATTGCTCGGACTATCTAGAAATACGTTTCAAAAGACAATCGGAAGAATCTTTCCCTTTTCTCAGTCTCTACATCAGAGGAAGTTCGAGGCAGGAAGGTGTGCTAAATTTACAGGTCCTTTAATACCAATTCAATTTTGGATAAGGAAAAATGTAGATTGATTCTTGCCATGAACGCCTTCTCTTGCCATGCACACTATTTATCAGAACTAATTCTGGAGCATGCACAGTAAATTATAAATAGCGCCGGGCTTGGTAATTGGCATCCCGTCGAGACAATCTTAACTAGATGAATCAATAGGTCTTCTTAACCATAAATCCACTGAGTTTTTCTAAAGCTCTGGTTATGGTGGTTGTTTCGTTGATGCGCTGAGGTTGAATTCAGGAAATAAAATCCCGGTAGGCACACCCCATATGAAGTGTCAGTATTTTCATCGAGGTATTGACGGTCAACAATTAAACTGTGTATCTATTCATTCAGTTGAACTACAGGGTAGGAGAGAATTTTGTCATTCCCATAGCCCTGGCTCAGACTGCTGCTCCGTTTAGTTGAGCGATGAGTTAGAAGCTTTTGTTAATTGCTTTTCGCGGCGGCCGGGTCTCTCAATAAAGGTTTAGTAAGGACCACGGGAATCTTGTTTTCCATTGCTTCAAAGGCCGAGTGCATGGGATATACCAAAGATCCCGGTCGGCTGCTGCAATGAAAGGCGTGCGAGTGCCATTCTTATATTGCTCGTCTTTGAGATAGAAGAGATTGCGAGACCGTAAGTTTTCGAATGAATGAGGCGCATTACGTTCGAAACACAGACGAGGGCTATGAACTGGTAGCAAGTATTCCGGGTCAATTAAGTCAACCGAGTCATCAACCGATTCATTATTATAGAACGTCCTAGGTCGTAGCCCCGTACGAGTTGCCCACAGTGGGTCCTCTTCCATATGGCCAGGGCCTAGGCTGATCCACCTTGTCATGACGAGGGCTATCTTTGATTCGAATCCAAAATTGCCAATTTCGACTTGGGCATCTGTATTACACTGGGCGCAATAAAGGTGACGGATGCTGTCTCTTTGCCAGGCAAGGCCTTCAAAATATGGTTTGCAAAGCCAAGAAGCTTTTGGTGCGGACAGAGTTCAAAACGATCAGAAAAATATGCCTCGATGTCAGTCCAACCATCCGGTGTACTCAACTCGTCCTTTGTTCTAGCGAGCAGTATATCGTGCATCCTGATTAGAAGACCGCGGGGCCAATAACATATCTGTGCTTCGCGTGAAAACAGCGAAGTTATGTTTATGCTTGGGTCGGACGACGGTGCAAAGCGGTGGAATCGTAGAGGGTGGCGGTAGACTTGCGTATAGGACAAGGAATCAGTGGTGATCCCAGACTGTGAGCCATGGGAAAACCCCCTCATCGCAAGCTTAAGGTGAAGGAAAGTAAAAGGATTCTCTGAATGATCACAAGAGGAGTGTGTCCTTAGGCGTCGCTTGATCGCATACCAACTGCCTCCTAGGAGACAGGGGAATCGGAATTGTTTTTCGTTGAGCAACTCACTCAGGTCGAGACTATAAGATCCGTCATAGGGATGAAGGATGTAACAGATTTCACAAGCGAAGTATCCTGGAAGGTCTCGTTCTAGTCGGTTCAATATCGAGATCTTGTCGTGTCATGTCACAGGTGGTAGCCTGCTGATTTGACTGAGAGATATCGCATGGAGTCGATGATTGCAAATCGACAAGCAGGCAAGGTCAACAAATGAGAGAAAGTCAGAGATTTCCAATAATAGCTCTGTGGGGAGATTGGCTAGAAACTTCATGTTCGAGTCGGCAGGTAGACGTAGTGATTTCAAGTCAAAACTGTAGGGGGAAGACGAAAGATGAAAACCGGATGTACAGTAGGAGACAACGATATGGACTTTTAGCATGTTCATCAACGAGTACAGATTTGGACAGAGCTTCCAGCTTTAGACGGAACATCCATGGAACATCCAGTCGCCAGCACCGCCCAGTGATTTAGCAATACTTCGCATAGTCCGATTCCCATTTGGGCGAGTAGACCCTGCAGCGGTCTAGAAGCTTTTTTGTAGATCCCTGGTTGGTCAAGCGGTAATTCCGTCTTCGGTCTCCCGAGAAAGATCTTGGCAATGGAATTTGAGTATGGGGCTTGGGGGTACCTTCCTGTTAACTGTACATAGAAATGTGTGGGGGTCAACTTCAGGGGAGAAGTGAACTTGGGGTAAATAACCTCGAGTCGAGGATTTCCGTCCCTTCAAGTGGGGGCAGATGGAAAATGTTCCATTTTTGCCGAGCATTCTGGAACTCTGATTAGCTCTTCCGTTTTCTCCGTTGGCTTAGTTCGCGCCTCTTTAACCGGGGAGATTCACTTTACGGACAGCGCGCGTGACGAGAGAACTGCTGTCAGTACTGTAAATGTTTAGTTTTGCTAGCTTAGCCTGTAAACACCCGCTCAATTTTGAAGTTGCGGAATTACCAAATTCGGAAGATCCCATGATGAAGCTGTCGATGCCACGACCCGAGACCGTGTCGGGCATGAATATTATTTAAGAACCCGTCCCAATGTCAACTAAAAGCTGACGTGTGCAAATATTCCGCTCTTTTCTCCAGCACTCGATCGATTTCCAGTCGGCGAGTCCGCTGTGTACGTTGAATCATGTCTGGCAAACACTATTTTCCCTCCACGAGCGCGAATTCTTTGGTTCCGAGAGCATTACGAGCTCTCGTATCTGCGAATGACCACTTGACCTTGGATTATGCGGAAAGAGTCGTTGCAAATGCCTTTCACGATGATTCAAAAGTCAGCATCATCAGTGGAGGTGGCTCAGGACACGAACCAGCGTGGAGTGGCTTTGTCGGTGATGGCCTACTCGCAGCAGTTGCTTGTGGTGATATTTTCGCATCCCCCAGCGCGAAACAAATTCTCGCTGCAATTCGAATGGCCCCGTCGAAGAAGGGAGTTATATTGTTGATTACCAATTATACTGGTGATCGTCTTCACTTCGGTCTAGCCGCTGAAAGAGCCAAGGCTGAAGGGTTTGTCGAAAACGTCGCGATTCTGCATGCCACCGACGACGTCTCGATCGGAAGAAGCAAGAACAGCCACATGGGCAGAAGAGGTCTCCCTGGGCATGTTTTTAGTAAGCCTTCCACAGTTTTTCCCTGTGACGCATATATCTAATCTACCGTAGCTATGAAGATTATTGGGGCCGCGGCCGCGGAAGGCTACTCCTTTGAACAGTGTCTTGCCCTGGGACAAGCAGTCAATGGACACACAGTCACAATCGCTTCTGCGCTTGACCATTGCCATGTACCAGGTAGAAATCAGCAATCATCTCTTGCGGACGATGTGGTCGTAATTGGCGCCGGCATTCACAATGAACCTGCCCAAGTTCACATTTCTCCAGTCCCATCGGTTGAGGATTTGATTGGGCGGTGTCTCAAACTCCTTTGTGACGAATCCGATACAGAGCGAGGTTTTGTCAAGTTCGAGCAGAATGATGAAATCGGGTTGCTAGTAAATAACTACGGAGGCCTCTCGGTTCTCGAATTACATGCCTTGGCCGATGAAATTCAACTCCAATTGAGCTCACGATGGAATATCAAGCCTTACAGAACGCTGTTTGGCGCTTTCGAGACATCTCTCAATGCACCTGGCTTCTCTATCTCTCTATGCAACCTGACAGCCGCAGCTCGGCAATCGAATGAGACTGTTGCTACCCTGGTTCGCCAATTCGACAGTGCTACGACCGCGGTCTCATGGCCCAATACTACCCGTCCCTCTTCTTCTCAACAGAAAATAACTTTGGACCATCTCGATGCGAAAGCAAATGGACCCGTCGGTGGCTCTCCTAGCATCAAACTCGACTCCGTGCTCCTTGAAACTGCCATTCGGACCTCATGCGAGAGAGCCATCGCAGCGGAACCAAGTTTGACACAGTGGGATATGGTTATGGGAGACGGAGACTGTGGTGAGGCTGTCCAGGGCTTGGCCGAATCTATCCTACGAAGAGTCGATAAGGGTTGCACAAAATCTGGCGACGTGCTTGAGGTCATACATTCCATATTGCAGGGTGTGGACGACATGGGCGGCACTCTTGGGGCAATTTTTGGAGTTCTACTATCAGCCTTTTTAACTTCTTTGAGGAGAAATGCGTCCGAAGGCAAAATAAACTCAAGCTCGCCAAGGTTTTACGCAACTGCTCTCGAGTCTGCGGTTACATCTTTGAAGTCGCACACAGGAGCGAGGATAGGAGACAGGACAGTCATGGATGTGCTCCTTCCATTCCAGGAGGAGTTCTCCAGAACAAATGACCTCGTTTCGGCAGTGAAGGTTGCAGCGGAGAAAGCCGAGGGAACGAGGTATCTCAAAGCGAAATATGGTCGAGCAACATATGTTGGCGAGGATTCGAGCCAGGAGCTTCCAGATCCCGGAGCTTGGGCCCTTTACGAGATAGTTGCTGGCTTGGCCGATGGTCTTGGATTCGCCTCAAAGTAGTGGATTACACATCTAAGCTATGTACATGGGCCTCCAATAAAAGTGATTTCCATTTTACCTCAAAGCATAAAGCTGTGTAATTCGGTTCGATCAAACTTATGTTCCCAGCAAATTTCCGTCCAGTATTCGGATGCCCAAGTCTGTCAGAGTCAAGAGGCTCTTGCCACTCCAAATCTTTGAGAGAGCACCACAAATTGACAAACACTAAACGCGACTCGAAAAGCCCACGGATCTTTCTCTTGAAATGCTTTTTGCACAAGTACTTGTGTTCTTGCCCAGTCTATAAACCCAAGTGCATCGACATTCTCTCGAGAAGTCAGACGACAGAATAATTGATGCAGAGGCCCATTTTCTTCAAACTTTGTCGGTCCCAGATAAGGCTTCTTTGTCCGTTTGTAAATCTCATCCGTGACGAATGGACGAACCGCCTCTCGCAAGACATACTTTTCTGTGAAGGATCCATCTGATGAGGAGTATTTGATCTTGAGGCTTGGCGGTATGTTGTTGGCATACTCTGATAGATGATGATCTAGAAACGGAGGTCTAGTCTCGACGTGGTGAACCATATCGATATTATCACCTAGATACCGAAGGAGCATGTTGCAGAAGAATCCCTTGGTCCAGAGATATTCTGCAGTATGAAGTGGATGCCAGCGATTGATGATAGCCTCACGTACCCGTCCGTCGAGTCGTTCAACCTGTGCAGTTTCGGGGCGTGTCGCCGTGAAGGAGTCGGTCCATTCAGCAAACGGTAGACGGCCGATAATTAAAAGTCTGCTTAGTATTGAGGTATTATTAAGCATTCGACGTGTCGACTCGGGTAGTCCCCTGCCTGGTTCAGGCATGCCTTGCAGGGAATAAGTGGCTTTCGACTTTTGTGCTACGTCTGTGAGCTCAGTTCCTGATAGGGAAGAGGGCCACGACAAGTCGCTTTCGAGCAAGAACTCGTGAGTCAAATCTTTGTATCCGCCGAAACTTTCGTCGGATCCCTCTCCTGCAGATACAAGGTTTAGACCCATGCAATGGTATTGAGTGCAAAGGATACTTACCAGTTAAGATCACTTTGATCCCATGAGAGTTGGCGACTTCAGCCATGGCGAGTCTTCCTATCCCGTTTGTGTCCGGCATTGGTGTCTCACTGTGCCAAACAGTATCCTCGAACTTAGAGGTAATAACATCCTCTGTCACTGGTACCGTATGAAAGTCAGCGCCTAGCCACTCCGCGGTCCGCTGCGCAATGTCTACCATTAATTAGCTTTTAAATTCAAAAGACCACTGAATCTAGGGCTCAACATACCGGACTCATCAGCTCCGCTCTCCTTGTCAAACTGCACCGTGAAGCATTTGATTCGTGAGAGGAGGTGGCTATCATCATTGCCAAGTCGGGCGCCTTCTTCCTTGACGAGATGGGCTACCATGCCAGCCACGGCCGACGAATCGATCCCACCACTCAGGTAGATTCCCAAAGGTACATCGGCACGAAGTCGGACCTTAATGGCTTCCATCAGGCGAGTCTGCACGCCCTCGATCATCTCTTCTTCTGATCGGAGCTCAGGCGTTCGCTAAAGCTATTTAGTGACCGGGGTTAGGTGTCGAAGTAGGCAACTCCGGCTTACCTTATTCGGATATTCGATATCCCAGTAGACTGCGTCCTGAATGGGCTTAAAATCCCTGCTCATGATGTAATGTCCGGGTGCGACCTGGGTGATATCAGAAATGATCAGAAAGCCAGTGAAGAGTAACAAACCGAATGAACCCCCTTGAACAACGTTCCTGCGCCAAACAGCCAGCCACATTCCCTAAGACTTTGGACGTCCCACTCCGGCTTCCAACCAAACGGAAGAAAGCATTTCATCTCAGTTGCCACAAGCAGTCGATTGTTCACAACAGTATAGTAGAGAGATTTGACTCCATACCGGTCCCTTGCCCCGATAAAAACCTTTCTGCGCGCATCCCATAAGATCAAAGCAAACTCTCCTCGAAGGTAAGACAAGAATGAAAGACCGTAATGTCTATAGAGAGCTAGTACAATCTCGCAGTCACTGCGACTATGAAAATCGTACTCGCTGCCCAGAAGATTTCGATAGTATTCGTCATCGTATAGTTCGCCATTGACGATTGCATAAACATCGTCTACGCTGTTGTGGAAGGGCTGATTCGCTTGCGAACTGAGGTCGACAATAGATAGTCGAACATGTCCTAGATCTAGGGAGCGTCAGTCAGTTAGCTTGAGATGGCTCACTTTTCTAGCTTCCTTCATTGAAGTCGGGCGCTCACAAACATTGCCGTCCCCGCTATTCCATTTTCCTCGCGCATCGGGTCCACGATGTTGAATCAGATCCAGACTCTTGCTAAGCTGATCATCGAGTTGGTCTAAGGCGTCCTCATTCGGTGGTACGGGGCAGCCTTTCAGCGAAAGAACGGCGCTAATTCCACACATCTTGATTTATTCTTAGTTGCTTGTCAAAGATGCTTGCGAAACCCTGATTTGGTAGGTAAGAAAACTATGATTGACGACAGTTCAATGTGGCAGCTTGACAAATAAATAAACCCCGCAAATGGGATCTTCCTTGGGGCGCTTTTTTAATTTGTTCAGGTGGCTATATGCAAATGCCAAGCGATCCAGGTTTTGACTGGGCCAAGATGGCCCCCGATTTTAACAAAGCGTAGTGTTACATCGGTACTTTTGAGCTGACGACGCGCCGTGACAGTCTATCAGTAGCAAACAAATCGATCAACCTACCGTTGAGACTTTCTTACAAGGCCACTCCAAGCATATACGACCACGTGGTGGTGATATAGGGCCCCCCGTCCACTCAAGTCCACAGTTGCAGATCGAAAATTTGAATCGATCGACCTATTGAGAGACGTAGCTGAATACGCGTCAACCTTTGAAGGTATTAAGTACGCCTACGCGCATGGAGGAAGCCTAGAAGAGAACGGCAAAGAAGTCCGAGTTATATTGATCAGAAAGAAAGAATGGCAAAATGCAAATCGAGGCCTAAATTGGCCCCTCGAAGCAAACGACAAATGCTGGTCCTGGAAACCTCCGTGGGAAGATCCGCTAACGGAGATCTCCCAGAAGGAAATTTCCCCACCAACTTCCTCTTCTTTTTTATGATCTCCGAATGCCTTTTGAAACATCTCCTGGATAACTCAGGTCAAATTCCTCAGTTTGTCTTTCAAAAGATGACCGATCAGATAATTTTGAGAGTCTCCATGCCACATGAGGTTTCAAACCTCTTGGACCACTCTACTTAAATCACATCTCTTACTCGGCCATTCTTTATTCGCCCTCGTGGGTCAGACTACGGGTTAAGCGCAGCAACATAAAGACCCTGGATTTGCCAGAGATGATGTAAATCATCTAGATCTAATTAATCAAATATTTACAAGCCTGAGCTATACACCTTCACCAACCCCCCAAACGAGTCACGTGGCTTTCAGGTATCAAGGCATGAACAACCCGGAATAGGCTTAGTTTGAGAGCGGTCTCGGCCACCATCGACCATTTGACTTATCATGTGAGGCGCTGCTCGCTTGACTGGAACAGAGATTATCTTGATTTTGAAAGCTAGTTTGTGAAGGCATTTTATCCGAGTCGTCCCCTGTACTCCGTAGCTAACGTTTATTGGTAAGCCGGCGAACGTGGATCATTTAGTCCGAAAGTCTGGCCTCCTCAAAAGCAGAATGACTTCACTTGCAAGTGCCACTTGCATCACGATTTTAAGACAAAAGGCGAGGGAACAAGAGTGCATCGTATAAACCACCGACTGTGGGGACATACTCATAGCTACAATCATATCTCTGAATCGATAAGGCCCCATTGAGTATATCAATTTCAGATCTACATCTTGAAAGCATACTAAAACCATCAAACAACGACGTCGCAATGCCGAAAGGTTCCTGTCTGTGCCATAAACTCGAATATGAGTTTCACGGAGAGCCTTTGTCGAAGGCAAGAACCAAAAACCTCTAATTATAACATCGACAGTGACTGATGCACACATGCAGGCACCATGCTTCTGCTTGTCCTGTCGCAAGATCAGTGGCAGTACCAACACACTCAATTTCGTCCTCCCAGAGGACAAGTTTAGCGTCATTGCTGGCTCCACTAAAAAATACTCTGAAATTCACGAGAGCGGCAAGAAACTGACAATCTACTTCTGCGGTGACTGCGGAAGTACTATCTACAAAACACACGAGCTATTCCCTGGAAGTGTTGTGGTCCTAGCGGGTACACTAGACGACGTCAATGGACTTGAACAGGCAAAACCGCAGGTCGAGTTATTCACAAAACGCCGGCCTTCGTGGCTACCCGGTCTTTCCTGGGCTGAACAGAAGGATGAGTTCTGAGATTACACTGGATTGTTGATTCTATTCCCTGACTCTAGTTTGCGGTCCTTGGTGGACAGGTATGTAGAGGCAGTAAGGTAGTGAAATTGTTTAATGTGACCTGGACTCAACTTTAGTAATACAATTGGTAGTATAACTAACTAACTACCTATGATAGCCTTCGGCTTCGTGAAATGAATAACGAGTGCAGCTGGTTACCTAAATTCCTAGACTTTCTACCTAGTTTATGATATCACGCTATCAAGTCTAGTTATTCTACCCGTAACGCCACCCACATACCCGTGACGAGATAAGTTCTCGTATCCTCTCATCTATACTGTTGAGAAGACATAAGCACTTTAATTTGTAACTAGTTAACTACCCAGTAGTGTGACTTACCTCAGCATGGCTTTGTTGAGTCGACAGAAAAATAATAAGCCGAGACTTCCATCCGATCTCGTGTGATCGCTACGATAACAGTATACCAATGAGAATTTAGATCGATAATACTGAGAGTGAGAAGTTTGCTTCCATCCCGGAGTCTCATTTTCACGCCTCTGGCATCTAGACGTCATCAATAGGGCCATCATTTTCCTTGATCAGGCTCACTCAAACATGCGGTTCCATCGTTCTCAAAAACATGCCATTTGCGATCCGCTCTACTCCTGATAACACCGATGTATACTATAGTCATCTAGTATGTACTAGATAAAGGCATAATTATACCTAGAAGAGTGGCTATCCGTGATTCTGAGATGGAGATAAAAGATACTGTTTAATATGATAGTTATCCCTTTTCTTGTTTAGTCAATCATTATCGAATTAGTTATTGAGAGCAGTATTCCACATATATCGCCTCACTGTATAAAACTATATGGTGGACAATCCACCGAATACGGTACAAATACCCGACCCAACCAAGCTCGTGACCTCTGAAGATGTGGCGATCGGCGGCTACTCGAGCCATTGCAGCTTGGCCGGTCAGTCAGCTCCGAACCTACGGCCTGCCCAAACAAACAGTGCAAACAGAACCCTCACATCCAAAAAAGATCCCGAACCAGCGACATCCAACCCGGTCCTGGAAATAAATCCAAAACACCACAACCATGTCTACTGCTCGATTGTCCGCGTTATGGGCGCGGGAACTCCGCAGCTCCCAAAGCCAATGCCTCCAGGTAACTATCTCTCCTAATTATCCCAATCCCTCCTTTTGCAGCCATCTGCCAAAAGCATCACTAACCCGACGACAGCGCCAGTTCAACCAGCGCGCATATCTCTCCTCCACGACCTCAACCCCCGTCCGCGTCGGCAGTGCTAGTCGCAATGCCAATGCTACTTCAAAGTCACCACTCGCCACCTCGACACCTACGCGCTCTTATTCCCAGGGCTCCGCTATCTCCCGCCTCGCCAAGAGCGCCTTGTCCCCCGGCGCATCGGCCGAAACCTACATCGCATACGGCATGACCCAGAAACTGTTCCAGGCATGCTCAAGTCAGGCAGACTATGAAGTGCCACAAGCTTCGCAGAAGGGTGTCCCCGTGCCGACCACAGAGTCCGGCGAGCATCTCGGTGTTTCCGAGAGCTGGTGGTATAAAGGTGAGCTGGACCTGAGCTTTGCTTTGCGTAAAAGAGTAACAGCAAGTTAATCATGGTATTCATTCGTGTTTGCCGCGGCAGAACTCGGCCTCGTCCCAACATTCTCAACCTGGTCCCAAATCACCTTCCTACATATGTACCTCCTCACCGTGCGCCTGCGCGCCCTCCCCAACCGCGAAAGTTTCCAAACTTACTCCCGCCACTTAATCGATCACTTCTCGCACAACGCCGAGCACCGCATGGACGATCTGCATGATATCGGCTCCCGCTCTATCCGCAACAAGTACCTCAAGGACCTCTTCATTCAATGGCGTGGTATCATCGCCGCCTACGACGAGGGTCTGGTTAAGGGTGATGCCGTGCTTGGTGCCGCGGTGTGGAGGAATTTGTGGAAGGCGGAGGCTACGGGGCCCGATGGGAAGGAGCTTGATTGGAGGAAGGTTGCTTGGGTGGTGGCTTATATGCGCCGGGTGACGGCGCAGTTGGCGAAGATGGATGAGGCGGATATTGTGATGGAGTTGAGTGGGGCGAGTGGGCAGGAGTCGAAGATCTTTGGGTTTTCGCCGTTGGATCGGAAGTTGGTTGAGGGGTTGAAATGAGATGGTTAAGGTGAAGGTGAATTGGGGGGGTTGGCGTTGGGACTTCTCCATTCTTTTCTTCGTATTGCGTTAATATAGGAATGGGGACCTCGTGGGGGAACCCGCTTGTTACGAGATTAATTCATCATGTACAATAGTTGATCGGATGAAGCTGCATTCATTGAAATTTGGTGCATAAAACACACTTTTTCTTTCGTTCTGCTTTGTCTTTTTCTAGCTCTCAGTTCTGCCGAGAGTCTACTGCTTACCGAACAAGTCCTTCTCGACCATACCCCGGCAAATCGGGTGGTAAAAGTCCTTGTACTTCTCAAAGGTCTCAAGGGCGACGGGACGGTTGATCTTCTGCAAGTTGCGGAACAAGGGACGCACGAACTTCATGCGGCCAATGCGACCCAGCAGCTCGGTAGTAGCCTCGATGACACTCTCGTCACCGGCCTTCATACCAACCTGCAGATACAGGTTGGCCACCTCAATGTTGGTGCTCTTGGACAGCCCATAGACCTCACCCATCAACTTGGACAGTTCGGGAGTGAGAGGCTTCTCCCACAGCAGAATCTGCTCCAGGAAGACCAAAATCTGGTTCGCCGCCAGACCCTGGAGATCGCTAGCCGAGGGCTTGAAGGACGAGTCGGGCAGGGACTCCCACTTCTTGGCGAGCGCGTAGACCACATCTACCATGGAGGTGTCGAATTCCGGCTTGGGGGGTAGACCGGGTGCGTAGAACCAAGTGTCCCAGTCCAGCTCGTTCAGGAGCTTGGAGGCCTCGGCATCAGATGCGAAGAAGTCCAAGATGGTCGCCTTGAACTCGTACGAGTCTAAGGACTTGCACTTGAAGGTGGTGAAGTACTAGAGTGGAGGTTTAGTTACCGGGTTCAGCGCAGGTGACAGTTCATGCAGAGTACATACGTGAGGAATGAACTTGTCAAACTTCGGCTTGCCCACGAGGTTCTCAATGTGGAACAGGAAGTTGAAGCCCTTCTCGTAAGGGATGCTGGAGAAAGCATCATCCGGATCCTTACCCTTCAAGTCCGTGATCAGCTTGGTGAACTCGTGGTCGTGGCCAAAGTGCTCCACAGAGTCCTTCAGGGCCTTCCATCCGATGATGGCGGAGAAGTGGCGGTAAGCCTCGCCATGCCTGTAGAAGTTAGGACTAGTCAGAAAGGGTCTTTGGTATAGATACGTACACGGCAGCCAGGATCTATGGATTGATTAGTTTAGCCACTAGAATAAGGGGTTGATCACGGGGTACACGAGGCACATACTCGGCGCTCAAGGTAGACAGTCCATCCTTCGTTGAGCCAGAAATGCTCCCACGAGCAGTTCGTCACGAGGTTGCCGCTCCAGCTGTGAGCCAACTCGTGGGCGATGACATCGACATTCTCGCGGTCCTTGTTGACTAGTCAGTTCAAATGTCAAATAACAGCGTTTCTCCTCTTTTCTTGTGTGAGAGCGCACCTTGGAGATGATACTGGGGGTGGCAAAGGTGAAGATCGGGTTCTCCATGCCACCGTATGGGAAGCTAGGTGGCAGGATGAGAACATTATATTCACCCCAGACATAAGGGTAGACAATTTTCTGCATCGGGGTTAGCATAGCGCACCACTCCAGACGGGCAACCGTGGACAATGGAAGAGGGATATACCTCAATGGTGTTGATAAAGTTCTCCGTGTCGGCCTCGAGCTCCCATTTGCACTCATCCAGCTTATCCGGGCTGGTGGCAACCACACTGCGAGGACCAATGGGGGCCTCGGAGACATCACTAGAGAGAGAAAGTCAGAGGAAATTTGATTACATAGTAATTGGAAGAATGCCAGAGATTGCTGCTTACCCAGATGCAATGGCGAACAGATAGCTGGGGATTGGCACCGACTGGTGGAAGCGGTACAGCTTGTTCCCAGACTGAGAGGTCATGGAAGACTGGCGAATGGGCAGACCACTGGTCATGACGGGAAGTGGGGAGGTGATGTTGAAGTCAAAGGTGCTCTTGACATCGGGAGTATCCTGGCAAGGGAAGATAGACCGGGCATGGATGGCCTGGCATTGCGAGACTGATGGGAAATATTAGAATGAGAGTAGAAATAGCAGAGAGAGCATAACTTGACATATTGTACATGGAGGGGGATCACTTACACATATAGGGATGTTTCTTGTTGGAGGTTTGGGCCGGAGTGAGCCACTGCAGGGCGGTGCACTTGTCGGTGGTTTTCACAGCAATCTACTTGATTTAGCAATGTCGTGAACTCATCCGAATGAAAAAAAAAAAGACATACATCGACCTCGACGGTCCCATTGAGTTCGACTGGCTTGTCCAGGACGATCTTCAGCGGGGTTCCGTAGGGAGCGACGGCAGGCAGCCACTCCCATTGGGAGGGCTGGCCATCCACCTTGATGTCACCAATGTCGAGATGGCTGGTGTCCAGGATGATCTCCCGGGACTGGGCGTCAGTGGTAGACTTGAATTTGTGGACAACATTGCCAACCAGCTTCTTCTGATCGAAGAGGATGTCAAAGTTGGCGGTGACGTGTGTGGAGCGCCAATTGATGTAGTTGCTCAGCGTGTTGGGATCACGCGGGGTGGTGGAGGCTACGGCCATGCTGGATAAGACACGAGGGCGAAACAAGTAGGAACCGAGATGATGTTTGGAGGACGAGTAGAGACGTCCAAGCGGGCGAAAGCGAAAGATGGTGGGATAATGATTCATGCGGTGGTGGTGGTTGAGGAATTTTTGATTTGTGATTTTTTTTTCCTTTCCTCACTTTTTGGATCCGGTTGTAAGCGGGAGACAAGTAGTCAACGCGGGAAGCATCATCCTAAGACTGGGTCTGGCGTAGGGTTACATGGGGGAGAGAAGACCGACGGTAAGGAGGCATGTAAAGAATAATATGGATCTAGGATATGATATATGATTTATGACTTATGATCTATGATTTACTATATACTAGATTCTACATTCTCCATGATCTCTGATCTATGATCCGATATGATACTGTTGATTACTGTCCGAGTCATGTGGAGGTCAATTCGGATCACTCTGATAACTCTAAACCCTCTGCAGTCTTGGCTTGGAGGTATACACTCGACATCTGCAGGTAAATGGCAATCAGCCATCTCTTCTCGTTGAAACAGTGTCGATGATCATGATTCTAATCTAGAATCCCCTACTGTAGAGTATCGTCCTTCAGATCCCCCTTCTCGACGGAGAGACCAGCAGACCAGCCCAAGAATACCCAGACACCCCCTTTTTGGACCCGCCCACAGTCCAATCCAACCTCGAAAGGCCGCTTTTCTTTTCGATTCTTTTCTTTTTTTCGCGGAGAGTAAAGGAGTAAACATCTTGAAGTCTAGAAGGTCCCGTTGGTTCTTCTTCTTCAGCTGTGTGCCTCTGTACATTTTTGCTTTTTTTTTCCCTTCTTCTTTCCTTCTTTTCCTCTCTTCTTCAGTCTTTTTCTCTTCTTCTTCTTCTTCTTCTCCTCCCCGCATCCACTTGCTCGGCACTCACGGACCACCCCTGAAACCTGAACCTGAACCCGAACCCGAACCAAACCCCCCAAAAGCCAAACCAAATCGAACCAAACGGACTTTCCCCCCCCCCCTGAAACCTCCTTCTCTGGACTCGCCCGTTGTACCCATCACACATATCACATTCACATTCACATACGTACTTGCGACAAAGAACCAACTCTCTCGCCCCCACTCCCCCCCCGGTCGCGGCTCTCTCTCTCTCCCTCTTCTTTCCTCCGAATTCTGCGCCCTCGACCTCTGAAGAACCTCTATCTCTCTACCCAATTGTGCGACATGTCTTTCCTGCCCGCGATCACCTTGCGATAGATCCCCCTGGACACCGCCCGATAGAGCGATGTGTAGGAGTAGCACAACCCTCGCTCAAGACGTGATTCGCCTTTGCTGATCTGGCCACCACCCATCGAAGAATGAACCAGTCCATCTCGGAGACTCTGCTATCAATCGATCGATTTGCCCGCCTGATCTCCGAGGAGTAGTTCAACATCACCGCTCCGAAACACCCCTCCCCACCACTGTCGTGAACAATATCGCTCCTCTAATGCCAGGCTTCGGCCTATGAACCCTCGATAATTCCCTGATTCTCATCCGCCCTCCTCGAAAATGCTGCACCGGGCGGCCCTGGAAGATGAACCGCGATCGTTCCACCCCAGACGTCCCTCGGGCCCTCTCACGGAGCCCCCGTCGGGCCCCCTCCCCAATCGACCAGCTTCACGCTCTTCACGGCCAGCCTCGCGGAACAGATTCGGGAATCCTTCCGGGACCAGTGTGTCCACGGGATTGGGGGTTGTGTCGGAGAATGGACCGGGTCGGCATCCCACGTTGGTGCAAACGAGTCCCATTAACGAAGGCCTGGGGACCCTAAATCGCTGGTCGCAGTCCACCGCATCCAGCAAGAGTCCATCAGAGCATAATGGCCACCGGCGCGGCAGCTCCAAGATGTCCATCTCAGGCCACAGTCCACACCGAGGTCCCAAGCTGGCTGAATTGCCCGAGTTGAGCCTCCCAGAGTTAAGAGCATCGGAGATCTTTTCCACCGACCCAACTACCTCCCATCTCGACCTTTCTTTCACGGCCTCGAGTCAGATATTTCAAAGTTCTTCCAACAATGATCCTCGAGAACTGGGCAATCTTCCCCCTTACCACGAGCCGACCGCAACGCGCACGAGTGATGGCGCGGCTTCTGCAGATGGCGATGGTGACGGAGAGAATCGACAATATGGACAGACACAGAAAGCAATGCTATCCAAAGCACTGCAGAAGGCGAATACGGCTGTACTTTTGGACAATGCTGCGAATTTTGAAGGCGCCATGGAGGCTTATACCGACGCCTGCCAGCTGCTGCAATTAGTGATGTTGCGGAGTAATGGAGGCGATGAAGAGAAGATTAAACTCCAGGAGATTGTAAGTGTACCGATCAAAATCAGTGATATCTGATCAGTGATGTCTGTTGAGGTGAAAATAAACGCAACTTCAAGCTAACTTGCTTTCCAGCGCGATACCTATATGATCCGCATTACCGAACTCCAGCGCCTGGACTTCCCTATGCCGGATAACGATGGCAAGGCGCTTCCGGAGCGTCCCTTGAGTCAAGAGTCCTATGGCGAGCTCCTTCATGCCACGGTCCACGATGACTCTCATATCGACAGCCAACACAGCTCAGCCCATTCCAGTCTAGGCCTTCAACCGGCATTTGAAGAATCCAGGTCTCTCCCGCTCGAGGCGATCCCTCCCCGCCGCCAATCGCTCCGACCATCTGCGCAATCGGGTAGGACTACTCCAGCCGGTCTTGGGAACAACCTCGCAGCTTATAGTGGGCAATTCCTTGAGCCCGCGGCTGTGCAAGAAACCAACGAGTCAACCTCCTGGCTGGACACCATCGACGAGTCGGGTGCCTCCTCGCCGTCATCTGCCAACTCCAAGGCCTCGTCAGTGTACCTGCGCCGGCGAACGAGTCGCCGCCTCAGCACCGATACCGAAGCCGAATTTGATGCCGCACTTGACGCCGCGGTGGAAGCTGCATATGACGAGGGTCTCGAGCCGGTGATGGAATACAATGACGAAGAGAGCGATGACATCGTAGCCAATGCTCGCAGAAATATTGAGCTGGCGAAGCAACGGGTACGAGAAGCTGAACTAGAGGCTGAGGCTGCCATGAACCGTGGTCGAGAGTTCCGCCATCTTCAGGAACAACCCAGTCTGGACAACATGGGCCGGAATTCAGAGTACCTGGATGAAGAAGCTGAAGAAGAGGAGCGACTGCTAGAGGAGATGACCAAAGGCTACGTAATGGATGATTTCGAGTTCGGTATCCAATCCAAGTCTGCCCTTCCTCGCGAGTCAGACTCGAGCAACATTTCTGGGCGAACCTGGGAAAGCTCGGCTGCTTCAAATATCACGGGCACCGGCGGCGCGACTCTGTCCACGCTCACGGAGGATGATGATAATATTTTCCCTCCCGACTTGACCGACCGAAACCAATTGCCATCCTCTCCCCCCACGGCGGCATTGCCTCCCATTCCTGTTTCGTCCGACTTCCCTGGCCTACCACCTCACCGAGCATCGTTGTCCGCTCCCCCTCCCCCTCCGCCTCCCATGGGACCCCCTCCTGTTCCCGGGGTACGAGCTCGGAGGCTGTCGGGACATGCGTTGAATGAACTGAAGATCGAAACTGGCACACGTCCTCGCGGCGATTCCTCTGTCTCGAATGTCGATCCCTTCACGGCGCCCTCGCCCTCGCCGGGCCCTCCCCCGCCTCCCCTCCCCAAGGACGAACCTTCACAAGAACCTCCTCGAGCTTCGACGCCGAGCTTCCGTGCCAATCTGCATCCATCGAAACGTAACCCCTCAGTTGGATCTGTCGTGGACAACCTCACCTTGGCCAAGACCCGCACTCACGAAGACGATGATCTTGGAATTCCCCCTCTCCCCGCCTCTGCACGCCCACTGGGTAAAGTTCCATCCGCTCCAGACGGCCTCGACAAGGCCCATACCAACTCCAAATCCTTCCGCAGTCGCAACGTCTCTGTCCCTACTGCCGATACCGCCCCGGGCTCTCCAACAACCCCGTGGAGTGGTTCGTTCCCATCTCTAGACACTCAGAAGGCCGCAATGGTCCCTAGTGTTCCCATCCTGCCTACTCCATCGGCGGCACACTTCACACAGAATGGTCTTCCCACTGGTGGTCTCAACCTTTTCGACTACGATATTCATTCTCCTACTGCTCTGGGCCGCCCGAACTCGCTGGTGCACAATGCTCCGCTCCCTCTTGAACCTTGTCCCGAGTCATTCCTCCTCCGGCCCTTCTGGCTCATGCGATGCTTGTATCAGACACTCTCTCATCCCCACGGCGGTTACCTCTCCGCAAAACTCTTCATTCCTCGTGACGTCTGGCGCGTGAAGAACGTCAAGATCAAGGCCGTCGAGGACAAGGTGTCAAACTGTGATCTGCTCACGGCGGCCCTTCTCAAACTGGCGCAGGTGGACATGTACGACGCGGATGCCGTGCTAGAGGAGATGCAATCGTTCGAGGGTGTTCTCGATCAGGTCCAGATTGCATTATCCAAGAAGCTGGGCAGTGAAGTTGGCGTCCACGCCGCCATTCCCTTGTTCAAGCCTACCGCGTCTTTCGATGATTCTGCGCACCCCGAGCCGGCCTCTTCCAGGAGCTCTGGTACTTCCAACAAATCTTACAGGCCGACGTGGAAACGCCTGCGATCTAAGACCTCGGGCATTAGTACCGTCAACTCGACGTTCTCGACGACACCTCGCGATAGTAACAAAGAGCACCTGACTTTGACCTCAGTGCCCATGACCACGGCGCCAGTTAGTCAGACTCGCCGTAGTGTGACCTCGCTGGATTTCACGGGTCCGAATTCTCATTATATGGGCGCATTAGCACGTCTCTTTGATGCTGCTCAAATACTGGGTAGGTGATAGATCCACCCCCGTCATAGTTCGGTTTCGAGTAGCCCATGCTAACCTGTTCTAGATCAAATCGCCCAGCAAGTCGAGGACCCAGGTCTCAAGCACTCCTCTCCGACCCATGTTGGCCTGGAGCTAAGCACGCGACACGCAGCCGAGTTCTTTGGCTTTTACATCTGCCGCTTCGCTTTGGCTGATGTAGGTCTCATGCTTGACAAGTTCATCAAGCGTGGCAGTGAGTGGGTGTTGATCTAGCTTTAACTTTGCCATGTCGTGATATGCGCCTTGCCTCTCATAGTGGAGATTAATCTTCACCCTCCTTTCCCCCTCCCCCAATCATCATCTCTTGTCCATGTCAACCGAACCTTTGATCAGGCTTTCGTTCTCCCCGCGACTGCCTGGTCAATTCTCTCCGATTCATCTGCCCATATTATATTTTTGACGTCTATACTACATTGACCATCCTCCGCCATGTCTTTAAGATACCATGATTCGCCTCGTTGATATATGATTTGAAGAACATAATTGCTATTGTGATGGGACTAACTGAATTGTACTTACCTAAACCATGGCTGTTTTCTTGCCTTTGATCCTCTTCATGCCTCCCTCCCTTTGATACTCTGCTAGTGTTGCACCCCTCCTCCTCCTCCTCCTGCTCCTCCGAAGGCGCCCCTGAATTGGATTGCATACCCTTTGTTGCATGTTGCATTTGACACGCGAGCTACGACTTTCCATTGGTTGTGATCCCATTCCATTTGTTTTTCCTCCTGATACGAGCATCGGATAGAGTATATACATCATGAGAGAAATTTTAAGTTGATCATGAACTCATTCTCAAAACGCTGTAACATACAATCGAACGCCAGAATCTTCTACCCGTTGATCTTTTTTAGCAAGCAGACTAGAACCCCTTCTTACTCCTGTTCTAAAGACTGATCCCCGCCGAACGAAGACAGATCTGTCGTCGTCGCTCGGCATCTCTTATGATCTCTGAAGACAACTTCAAACTTGGGGCTAGATGAGCATATCGCTCCACCTCGGCGACAACGCTCGAGATAATAGCGTCCACCCGCAACGGGGGCGGGAGCAAGGGAGATAAAGTCGGCGACATGGTCGCCCCCATGATCAATAATGTCTGAGAAACCATTGACAAAGCTCCCTGCCAGAGATACGGAAGGTGACCCTCGCGGTGGGAGGTGATGTGCTCTAGCTGTCGTAGCGTAGCGTCAAGACACCTCCGGCAACATTCGCGGACGCCCGGGTCCGCACCGGCTTGCTCGTTCTCAAACACGGCTAGGATGTAGGGGCGGTATATGATCGTTCGACAGGCGTTGTATCGTAACCTTAGCACGGTTTGGACGGAGTTGGAGAGTGGTGTTGTGGTGAGTGGGAATTGGACCGGTTGTGGGAGGCTTTCGTACCATTGGGAGAGTTGGAAGTCTAGTTCTGAGACGATCGGGCCTAGCGAGGCGAGTGTGTGTGTGCTGTCTTTTTGGTAGATGAGGTGGCTGACCCGGTTTAGGAGTCTGCGGAGAGCGATCTCGGCGAGGAAGTACCAGAGTTCGTCGCGTCCTGTGTATTCTTCTGCGAGGCGGCTGTTACGGTCTTCTTCGTCGTTTTCACCGTTCATGCCCTCGTCCTCGTCGTCGTCTTCTTCCTCGAAGCCGCCTGGTAGATCAACGACTTCTTCAAAATTCACGATCCCGGAATGGGGGAGGTCCAGTTCCGCGAGGAGGTCACTTTCGTAGAGGAGCGAGTTCCAGTAGACTCGGACGCTAAGTTCTTTCCACTGGGCGGGTACTCGGTTGGGGTTGCCCAAGAGTAGTTGGAGCTTCATGCTCACATTGGACAGCAGTGTCCATGCTTCGAGTGGTCGAACCAGGTAGAACAAGTAGGCCGATGCGAGGACCATGCACTGTGCGGCAATTGCTGAGTTCCGCATCATCACAGAGGGTAGGATTGCCCATGCTGCCGCGAAATAGGGTAGTCCGGGTGGCTCGTGATCTGGTGGAAGGAATGAGATACTCCCACTGCGACTGGCAGCTCCAAGGGCTAATACCAATAGCACGAGACAACTCACGGGCCCATCTTGGAATCCTTGCGCGAGAGCAGTTCGGTAGTACCGATTCCATGTATATGGATTCACGCATGCATACCAGATGTTGGCATGATTGAAGAATGCCTGCACATACGCTGGCGCGTTGGCCAAATCAAAGCCGGAATTCGGATTCAGGCGCAGGGGTTCACGAGCCATCTCTAGTTGGAGAAGATTCTGTGGATCGTAGGGCCCCGATACCAGATCGCGGATCAGGGGCCATTGGAGGAGATGCAGGGCTGGGGTGCTGTGTACTTTGGGCATGGTGGATATGCTAATGCTGGGTGGTGGATTAGCCCAGGACCCAAGTCCCACCGTCGTCATTCTCCCAGATGTTGACACTCCACTCATTCTGGTGATCGGGTCCTCGCTCCCGATACCGGTGTCGTTGCTTGTCGCGGGGGATGTCGATGATAAGGCTAGATGAGGACCTTGTGCTGCTAGGCTGGAATGAAGCAGCCCCTCAATTCGAGTGAGATGTTCTAGAATGAGTTTATCGCCAGCATCGAGCTTGATTCCTGGCTCTCGGTACACGCACTCGGCGTCGAGATCGGAGCAAAGCTGGCATTTCGGACGAGCTCCGTTACATCGTGTCTTACGCAAGCGGCAGATCTGGCACTGTCGAGCGTCTTAGCTTGTCGGTTTCCAGCAGCAGCAGCATTGCTAGTTGAAAGTCAAGGATACCCACAGCAATAGTTGCTCGTCTCCGCGGATACTCTGCCGCATCTTCACTGGAACGTTTTTTGGTTCCCTCGAGCTCGCCCCCGGTGATGGGATCAATGTCCCGCTCTGGGGGCGGGGTCATGATCCTCAGTGACTGGCGAAAAGTTGAATTGAGAGCTCAATGTTGTGAACAAGTGGCGGTCCCCTCCGGCGAGAAGATGATGCTTAACTCTGGTCCACTGGCGAACTTGTCGTATAGCGTTTTATGCCATCACTGATCGAGAGATTGCGCATGCTAAATCCAGAACCAATCCCGCAATGATGGGCGGGAGTGACCGTCTATTTGAACATGATTGCGTGGAGCCAAAGTAATAAAGGAGTGGTGTGTTGGTTGCAGTGCACAGTACCATCGAAAAGGTCAGCTTTGCGACGACAAAAAGTGCGCTCGAGAGAAAACAGTCCGGGGAACAGCGGGGCATCTCATTGTTCCTGATTGCGTTGAGCTGCGCCGCCCATCGAGGTTTAACCAGTCTGGGTTTAGTGGACCGGGAAGGCTCTCATCGCAGCAAATCACCGTGGAGGGACCAATGTCTGGCACACGGGGAAACTCGTCCGTGGTTAATTTGGCAGTCCGATCAGGATTAGGATCAGGACCAGGCCATCAGTCTGGTTGCACTGGGGGACGATAAGCAGATGGTGAATCGGAGATGGGAGGTGGCTAGAAAGAGAGTACTGGCCAGCTCATTGACAAAGTCCAAGTATGTATGTAGAGTCCAGTGTGTTGGTGGATGTGTCCAAAAAATCCCACTCTCGATGGATCGAGTATGGCAGACGATACCGGCATTCAAAAAGAAAAAAACTATTCACAGAGAACAATTTGAACCGGTCGCTTTCACGGTTGCCATTTTCAAATAGAATAAAGGACGAGAAGTCATGATAGAAACAGCTCTAAAGTCCACGATGAGACCAGATGACAGGTCTGATAAGATGATAAGCCGATAAGGCTATCACACGTGGACGCGTTCGGCCCAAAACAAACGCGCCTCACTTTTTCTCCATAGACCAAAAAGCCTCCCTCCCCAATTCCACCACCATGCCTCGTCCTGCTCCCAAGCGAAACAGATTGACGAAAGGCGCCAAAGTCGCTAAATCCAACTCCACCGAGGAGCCCGATCAGACCGATTCCAATGCTGCCAAATCACCACCTGCAGAGAGCGCAGAGAGCGCGCCTGAGGATCCTCGACGCACCCTCCGAAGCCAAACACCCTTGACCCAGCGAAATGATAATGCGATCGAGTCCTCACCTACTGGTGAACGGCCAGGTACGGGCAGTCGCCCTGGAACAGCCAGTCGGCCCCCGACACGATCTCGTGGTTACTCTTCGACACTATCCTTTGCGGGGCGTAAAGGCGACACCAGCTCGCGCATTCCTGGTACACCTGGTTTCGAGAGCTCAGTTCTCAGCAACTTTCGGCGACGCCCGCGACAGCAGAGTATCCTGCATCATCTGCAAGCGGAGGATGATTCATTAGAGTTGGACGACGACGATTTCCTAGGCGGTCTCAGCCCCGAGGATGAATCTACACCGTTGCATCTTTCTCGCGGCAAGTCGCTTTTGATCCAACAAGATAATCAGTCACAATCGCCGTCAGAATCTCCACCTTCGTCCGCCGGGTCGCGCAAGCGCAAGCGTGCCGAGGAAATCCAAGTCCCTCAATCGCCTTCCGTGGTGATTACAAACAGAGTCGTCGATACCATCGAGGACACCCCCAACCCTACCCCTGCTCTTCGTGAGCAAACTCCCGATGAGTCCGATGAAACCCCTCGGCCCTTGCGACTCGCGGATATCTTGAGCCAAACGATGCTTCCCCCTACCAGCAGTCCCATGAGCTCCATCGCGACGGGTCCTGGGTCACCCAGCGTCAGTTCGCAGCTGGGTCGGGCAGGCAAAAAGTCCAAAATCCCAGCACACTTGTCCACTGCCATATTGCAAGAAAGACTGCTTCCACGGCGACGACAGCGTCAGCGCAGAGGCCAACCTGCGGGCGAGTTTGATCTCCCTAGTGATGAGAGTGACGATGGCATGCACGATGCAGCTTCTGGCGATGAGGATGAGCTGGGCTACCTACCAGTACGACGATCAAGGCGGAGGGGAACTTCGACCAAGCCCAAGCCTCTGGGCAATGCTCAAGATAAGTCCAAACTCAACAACCAGACGCGAAGGATAAGTCGGTCCAAGTCTGCGCCACCTGCGAAACCGGCGGAGGCCTCAAAGCGGACGAGACGGTCGCGATCGCGCCGAAGTGGAGATATCGACAAGGAGAACGAGCAGCACTTGTCATCACCATCGTCTTCACCTCTGTCCTCTCCGCCCGATTCAGAAGCATCCGAGTCCGAAGCAGAAGTGCAACCACGTCGGTTCATGAGCGAAGAATTACGCGCTGCTGCAGCGAAGTTTGCCGAGATCGATAAATGGGAGATGGAGTTTGAAGATGTCTCTGCATCGGAAGTATAAGGTTTCTGGTGGAGTCCCTGACAAGTTTACAGTCTTTTATGCTACAGTTCATGATTCCATATATCCCCCCCAGCTGAGAATTGATGCCTTGACGCGTAATGATACAATTTTATTTTATTCAGTTCCTCTTCCTCTTTGTTTAGATTCTCGATTTCTAAAATACCGCCAATAGCCGACGCCCCCTCAACCAAAAAAAAAAAAAGATGAAAATGAAAACGGAGCCCCGCAGCCAATGCAACGTGCAACGCAACCCCGCGAAATCTTGTCATCTGCCGCCCTCTTCGTCACTTTCCTTCTCCTCAATCGAACAGTAACTCTCAATGGCGTCGGTTGATGAGATTCTCGCCACCAAGTATCCGGCCAAAGCTCATGCGCGCCGTGTCGCTCAGGTCCTGCAGGACAAGCACGGTGATGCCGGCGTGGTCTACCTCGAGGCGCAAAAAACTCGTCTTATCGAGGACAATGACGAGGCTATGCCATTCCGGTATGTCGGGAAGACATCCACGAGTCTTTTTACTTTACGGCTTGGCGCTTCCGGAGTTAGGTATGCTAATTGAAGCTCCCCCTCTAGCCAGCGTCGCCCCTTCTTCTACTTGACTGGATGTCTCGAGCCCGATTCCTCGGTCGTCTACGATGTCAAGAAGGACGAGCTGACCCTCTTCATCTCCCCCATCGACTCCGACTCGGTCATCTGGTCGGGCTTGCCCCTGTCGCCCGAGCAGGCCAAGCAGCGCTACGATGTCGACCACGTCCAGTACACGACTGACGTCAACGAGACTTTGGCCTCGATCGCTTCTGCACAGGGTGGAAAAACTGTGGCTTTCGCTATTGAGGAGCAGGTCTCCAAGGGCATCCACTTCCAAGGCTTTGCGCAAACAAACTTCGGCGTTCTGAAGACTGTTATTGGCGACGCCCGCGTTGTCAAGGATGCGTATGAGATTGCGCTGCTGCGGAAGGCGAATGATATCTCTGCCCTGGGACATATTGCTTCCATCAAGGCGGCTAAGACTGCGACCAACGAGCGCGAGGTCGAGGCTGCTTTTATCAACACCTGCATTGCCAATGGTGCTCGGGAAATGTCTTATCACCCCATCTTTGCCGGTGGTGCTAACGGTGCTACGCTGCACTACGTCAAGAACGATGAGAGCTTGATTGATGCCGGATCCCAGCAGCGCAAGGGTAACCTGTTGATTGACGCCGGTGGTGAATACCAGACTTACTGTGCTGATATCACTCGTGTCGTTCCTCTGGCTGGCAAGTTCCCGCTGGAGACTCGTCAGATTTACGAGATTGTGCTGGAGATGCAGAATGAGTGCATTGCTGTGTTGAAGGACGGCGTGTGCTGGGATGATGTACACGCTTTGGCGCACCGCATCGCTATCAAGGGTCTGCTCAAACTGGGAATTCTCCAGGGCTCCGAGGACGAGATCTTCGAGAAGCGTGTGAGTGTGGCGTTCTTCCCTCACGGTCTGGGTCACTACCTGGGCATGGACACCCACGACACTGGCGGCTATCCCAACTACGCCGATACCGACAAGATGTTCCGCTACCTGCGTGTCCGGGGTAACCTACCCGCCGGCTCCGTGATCACTGTCGAGCCTGGTGTAAGTTCATGATATACCCTCCTCTTGCCCGGTTCGTTCCGTGATCAACCGTAACTAATCGATTTTAATAGATTTACTTCTGCCGCTTCATTATCGACCCTGTCCTGCAGTCCCCCGAGCTGAGCAAGTACATCAACACCGAGGTTTTGGACCGCTACTGGAGCGTCGGAGGTGTGCGCATTGAAGACAATGTGCACGTCACCAAGAATGGCCCTGATAACTTGACCTCGGCCCCCAAGGCAATCGCGGAAGTCGAGAGCCTTGCGCAATAAGAAAGCCACTCTTAAAGTATCAGTCCACGCAGATTTTTAGATACGGGAGCATATAGCGAGCATTCACGAAATTGCAATAATATGGGCGTCTGAAGAGACGCATGCAGATCTCTTTATTGGCTTGAGGTTTTGAGTTAGGACCTACTAAAGTGCTCGTAAATGGGTAGAGAACAGTATCGTCTTGTGAAATATGCGAATTGTATATTCGGGAGTATTTTTCACGCGGCCCGCAGATCTTCGATAGGGGTTCTCTTCACTTCTCACCGGCCCTCAGGCGCTTGCGTCCCCTTGGGGTCGATTCCGTCTCTCCAGGACCAGACTTCTCCTTACGGTCCATGAGAATTTTGAGAACGTCGGATGTGAATTCAGGGACTTCGAGGCACATGTTGTCCCAGTCCGCTTGAACATTGTGTCGCAGCAGATGACCACGAGAGGCCCAATACGAGGCAACGGGCTTACGGATTGTTGTGTCATCAGGGGATGTGTGCGTGTACACATAGCGAGCATAGGACAGCTCGCCGCGAGGAGTACCGTTGACGCGGTGGATCTTGGTATGTGCAAGGTTCTTCAGTTGTGGCAGGCCCAGCTTCTCTGCCAATGTGTAGATGCGCGCATGGCGGAGTAGTTCTTCTCCAGTCTTATCGGTCGCTCCCTCTGGCTCCTCGGAGGCGGAGGGGGTCCCTAGTTGTGTAACCGTGTAATCTCGAGTGTACTCGAACTGCAGGAAACATCCAAAGGCGTCTACGTCTTCGTCTGGGAGATCGATACGGCGCTGGTGAGAGCATGTCTGTCAGTATTTCTAATTGATGGATAGAAAGTATATGACGCAAGACCCACCTCGCCTGAGGACTCGAATTTGTCCACAAATTCGGACAGAAATGGGGAATCCAGGAGCAGGCCCTGGTGAGCGGATAGCTTGGTCTGCTTGTCGCCTTCGCCAACGTAGATATCAACAATTGGGGAGGTAAGGAAACTAAGAAATTTGAGCAGAGTGTTGACGAGATCAGCCTCCTTTGAGGAGAGGTGCGCTATGTTTTGCTCCATCTGGATTGAGCCGGGAAGGGCCTCGGGGGAGAGTGTGTTGAAAGATGGGTCCAGGGGTCTTACTCGAGGAACTTGAAGACCGCGCTCTTCTTCGCTGGATTGGGAGGTTCAGGATCAGGTTGCGCATCAACTAAAATGATGTCCTCTCCAGCTGCAACCGTCTGTTCTGGCTTCTCAGCAGGTTCAGACTGTGTGTTTGCTGCCTCCTGAGTACCGCCCATTTCCACCTCGTTAGACGGGTTGTTTGCTGTGTTCTGCGCATCGGATTTATGCGTGCCGGAAACTTCAACTTTGGGAGTATGATCCATATTGGTGGTCTGTCGTCAATTGAGGGTTGGGAGGTGGAATTGAGAGAGTGTGCGAGGGAGAGACATCGAGTTGGAGGTGAGAGCAGGAGAAAGTTGGAGAAGAGCAGCTTCCCCCCAAACAGTCCCCGAACGGTCTCCTCCCGCGCGGGGCGGACACGAGCCACATCTTCCACCTCCACCTCCTACCTCAATCTTCAATCACGAACCTCACGTCTGAAATTATGAGAAGCTGTCGCCAGTAGATGGCACTGTGAGGGATCTTCGGAATCTCTCGAATCTCGGACTTTCAAGTTGTGACTTTGCCCTGGTGGACCTCGGGGATTCGGTCTTCCAGCCATTTCCACGGCTTCGTCTTCGCGGCAGATCATGTCAGATGGGTAACGTGTCCAATCCCGAGGCTTCTCATTGATGTCATTTGTTTACTCGCTTCGGTCTTGCCACTTGAGATCCGGACTACCCGACCCAGCTGCCCAGGCCGATGAAAGGGTCTAGGCAAAGGTACATAAAGAGTCAGCCCTCACGCCTTCCTGTCATCTAAAGCTAAAGACAGCCCTGCCCGCCTGTGGATCTCGGATCGCCATGAGCGGACCCCGCGACGGCGAAGCTAAACTACTAAGAGGCCGGCTGGCTGCCACGCCTCCCAGCTCCAGCTCAACCTCTGTTTCGAGTGCTGCAGCAGTTGAAGATGAAAATCAACCCAGGCGCCGAAGTATATCGGTAGAACTCCGGGAAACTACCCAGGCTGGCCAGTACATCCTGACGGCAGAGGATGCGGAGCTCCTGCAAGAAGTCTTACGGGATAATTTACTCTTGGAGCAATCCGAAGCTTCTTCAAAGCGCACCTTTCTATTTCGAGACCTCCATTTCACTAGACAACGGAGTGCTTTTGATCGCCAGAATCCGTCCTTTTCCTCCTCACAGTTCCATGGCTTCTTTACACTCTTCTGGCTTGGTGTGACTTTGATGTTGGTCAAGGTTGCTGCCAATAACTTCAGGACCTACGGAACTCCATTTGGCACAACGGAGATTATCGACCTCATGCTCAGCCGAGATGTTCTGGTACTAGGGATCACAGATCTTGTCTTGTGTTGGTCAACCTTGTTCTGTCTTGTCCTTCAACGGTTGATCTTTGATGGATACTTGCGTTGGAGCGGCCCGGGTTGGGTGATCCAAAATGTACGGCCCCTTGGGCGCTACCAAGTTTTGTTTTGAATGCATGGACTAACTCATCGACTTACAACCAGATTTGGCAAACTACATACCTCGCGGGGTTCATTTGGTGGACCTACCATCGAGACTGGCCATGGACACACACCGTATTTATGGTCTTGCATTGCTTGACAATGTTGATGAAGCAACATAGCTACGCGTCTTACAACGGCTATTGTAAGTGGGATGCCTGGGCTTGGAAACCAAATGTCGGGCACTTATTCTGATCATGGCAGTATCTGAACTGTACAAAAAGCGGGATTTACTCAAGGGCCGGCTAGAGCGACTAGAGAGACATAGCAGCCAAGACTCCGTGTCCAGCAGCTACTCATCCTCAACACCGAGTGTCCTAAACTCTGAAATCACAAGTTTGAGAAAGCAGAACAAACGGCGCAGCTCGACAGAGTTCAAGAGTATCCATGCTACTCGCGATACTGATCACCTCTTATCACTGTCCGAGACCATCGAAAACGGCACAGCCCTAGAGCCGGCTCAACTGGTGTCACTCAAGGGTCTCCTAACGAAAGAAATTGAACTTCTATCCGAGGGTCTCCGAGGCCAGTTATCCACGCATAATCAGTACCCGCGGAACTTGACTATCAGCAACTTTTGTGAATTCATCACACTGCCTACCTTGGTTTATGAACTCGAATACCCACGCACCGAGCGAATAGACTGGACATATGTCGCGGAGAAGGTTGTAGCCACTTTCGCCACAATTTTTGTCATGATCGTGGTCTCTCAGTATTGGATCTATCCCGTGGTCATGAGAACGTTGGAGATGAAGGAGCAGGGCTTGACAGTGCAGCAGCGGCTTCGGGAATTTCCCTGGGTACTCAGCGATCTGCTTTTCCCTTTCATGATGGAGTACCTGCTGGCATTTTACGTGATATGGGAGTGTGTGGTGAGTCTTATACCCTGTCCACTGCCTACCTAACATGCCCTATTGACTAACAATCTTGCAGCTCAATGCTGTGGCCGAGATCACCAGGTTCGCCGATCGGGGATTCTACGCTGACTGGTGGAACTCGGTCTCCTGGGACCAGTTTGCTCGCGATTGGAATCGACCTGTCCATAACTTCCTGCTGCGGCACGTTTACCACAGCTCCATCAGCTCGTTTCGCCTCTCCCACGTTTCGGCTAGCTTGATGACCTTCCTGCTGTCGGCCTGTGTACACGAATTGATCATGCTGTGCATCTTTCGACGCCTGCGAGGATATCTGCTTTTCCTCCAGATGACCCAGTTACCATTGGTCTCGCTGAGTCGCACTCGGCTCTTGCGGGGGAGAAGACTAATGGGGAATATCTTTTTTTGGCTGGGGATCTTCACTGGGCCGAGTCTGCTCTGCAGTTTGTATTTGATCATCTAGACTAGACGGAAGAAAGAGGAAAGAAACTCGCATATTTCCATACTTGATGAATAGGAGAGGCTCTTGTTTCATACGAGATCACATAGTCTCCATACTCACTGGGGTCGAATAATATGGAGACCTTTGAGGAGTGTAAACAACAGAAACTACACTGAATATAGTACCGTCCCGCTATTTAGGCCTCGATAGTACTACAAATTAATCATCCGTTTCATTCAACTTGTATACTCAAATTGGCAAATTACTATCGGTTTAGTTTAATCCTTCGCGCGAATTGACCGCACTAAACACGACAAGGATACCTTCGTTCGAATACCCCGTTTAAGATACAAGGATATACCGCTTTCCACCTAGAACACCAGCTTAATTTTGTACGGTTGTTATCGTTTATAATCTACACCGGACAGATTTGTCTAACATCGTGATATAGTAGTTGTTGTACATCAAGCAAATATAATAGCAAGTTTTGGTGATTTCAAGTCAACCCATGACAAGCTAAGCTGCGAGTTTCACCTCGACATACGCTAATTTTCTAGTACCACCCCAACCCTAGTATAGTATGACCTAGCTGCATGCCCCTGCATGCCCCTGAATTCTACAAGAGACTACTTGTTTCTATCAAGCTTCAACTCGTCTAGTCAAGGTCGTAGGCTCCCACGGCTACGCGGCGCGGAGAACCCAATAAAATGTGGGACACTACCCCGCTGATCTCATCGATCCCCGACATTTCATTCTACCCCGTTTCTAATCGTCCAACACCTTTGTTCTTCTTCCTCTCTCACACATCTATTCCAATTCAACTCAAACAATCATGGCCTCCAATCCCCCCGCAGCATGCTGCACTGTCGGCGTCAAGCACGAAGGCGAGGCTAAGGGCCAATTCCAGCAAGTCGGTGGAGGTACATGCCCGATCCCTTGGTTCCCCATACAATTGGGCCATACCAAATCACCCTCCGCAATGATCAATTCATGGCTAATGAACCCCGCGCAGTTGATACTTATGTCTCTTACCCGGCCGACCGCTCTACCAAGCGTGCTATTCTGCTGCTGACTGATGTAATCGGTCATCGGTTCATCAATGCCCAGTTGATCGCTGATCAATTGGCTGCTAACGGGTACTTCGTGGTTATGCCCGATCTGTTCCATGGCGACCCAGTGCCGCTGAATCGCCCTGCGGGCTGGGACTTGATGGCCTGGTTGAATGGCCCACCTGGCCATCTGCTGCCGCGTGTTGAGCCCGTCGTCAAGGCTGTGTTTGCTGAGATGAAGTCCAGCCTTGGCTGTGAGAGAATTGGTGCCATTGGATATTGTTTCGGGGTAGGACTTTCAGAACACACGGATTGATTGACCTCGTACTAATCGGTTGATATTTTGATCTACTACAGGCTAAATACGCTGTTCGTCTGCTTCAGGAGGATGGTGTGGATGCCGCCTATCTGGCCCACCCTAGTTTCGTGGACGCTGAGGAGCTGGCAGCGATTAAGGGCCCTCTGTCCATTGCCGCGGCTGGTGAGTTGGTTTTTTTTGGTGCTGAGATTGCGCTTTTCATATAACATATGGCTGACTGTGATCATACAGAGACTGACTCTATCTTCCCGGCTGAAAAGCGTCACCAATCCGAAGAGATTCTGGCCAAGACGGGCCAGCCTTACCAGATTAACCTGTTCAGCGGTGTCGAGCATGGCTTCGCGGTTCGTGCCGATATCTCGAAGCCTGTGATTCGATTTGCAAAGGAGGCCGCATTCACTCAGGCTGTGGCTTGGTTCAACCAGTACCTTTAAACTGTCGGCCTTTGGATATACCTCACTCTACAGCCTCGAAGTACTATCATGTCTGCTACAGTGTCTTCTGTCAAGGACAAAACAAATGCTTATCACATTTTGAAATCGAGCCACTCCTTTCATTCGCCATGTTTAAAACACAAGATGTACATGCATCGTAAAACTCTGAAGCACAAGTGGAGGAGTGTGGAAAGATAGAAAGACGAGAATATTCATAAGCCACTACCAAAGTTTCTGGCATAGCTAGCCCCATCCACATTGTGGGACCACAATCGATATGTAAATGGCTACGAAAACACGAGTGTTTCTTACATTTTCTCGTGAGTCGCCATGAGGGAACCTGTAAATCCAGTCAGAAATTGGACAACCTTGACAAATGAAGTCTAAAAACATACCGATGAAAGTAGTCACCAGGCGAGAGCGAACTTGGCAAATATCCTCTGGCACCAGCCAGATAGTCGCACCCATCTTTCTGGCAATACTGATACTCAGCTTGGCGTTGGCATAAGCTTCCTCATCAGACCGGCCAGGGGTAACCAGGTCGTAGTCCACGTAGCTGCTCTTCATGCCGTTCAGCACATCCAGCAGGAATCGGCCAGTGCCAATAGATGGGTCCTTGAAGCTGCGGATGGAGCTGGTCTGGCCACCACTCTTGGACATGTCGTTCGCCCAGCGAATCATCTCTGCATCGGTAATCTCACGCTTGCCCAAACGTTGGGCCAGCGCAGAGAGGGTGCGCGTGATATCGCGGCGCATCAGCTGCCACACCAGTCCCAGAGTCAGGGTTCGTTGGCCATCAGTGATATCCGCACCCTGCACACCGACCAAAGAGAAACCATGGTGCTTTCCGAGCTCAATAGAGTAGTTTGTGTTTTCCACCGCCTTGAATCGCATCAATTCCCCGCCGGACGCAGGGGGCTTGTTAACATGCCTCCAGTTGACGCTGCCCGGAATCACCTTGTCATAAGCCTGCAGCAGAATAGTACCATCGCGCAGATCATCGAACAGCGAGTTGACGGCGGGCTGCACATCCAAGGAGTTCAGCCAGAGTGTGAAGACACGAGCCTCGCGCTCGCCCTCAGCATCGAAATCTTCCACCTCGAGCTTCTCCTCTTCGGTAATGGGATCCAATCCAGGGTGGGTGTTGAAGAGGTTCGCCACGAACGCAAGGTTAAGCTTGGGGTTTCCGGCAACTAGGGAAGTTGGGGTCAAGAATTTCCGGCAGTCCAGCTTATCCGCATTAGTGAGAACCTCCTCGGCGCGCTGGAGCAGATCCCGAGTCTGGAGGGGGCTGCGGGAGCAGACATCAGGTGCCAGCTGGTTCAGAAGAACCGTGTAGTTCTCGCCATCCTTCACATCAGTGGAGAAGTTCGTCACCCTACAAGTAGAAAGGTATTAGTCAGGGCTGTCTATTTCGCACTTACACCCGCGCACGCGGCGCGGATGAATTCTCAATGGCGCCTTACCGTCGCTCCCACTTGGCATTCTTGAGGTGATAATTGAACCAGCGCAGCAGAATCTGCTCTGGAGGAAGACGCAGGAACTGCTCCAGAGTCTCGTCCTCTTCCAACAAACGGTACAGCTCGGGGTGGAGCTTAATATCGATCTTGCCCAGCAGACCACGGCGAATGACCTGCCAGATCAGACCCAGGATCAAGTGCTCACGGACCTCAATGATGTCTCCACTACCAATGTTGACCACGGAGCAGCCGATGCCCTTGGCAGAGTTGATCACAATGTTGTTGTTCTCCGTCATGTGGAAGGCATTCAATTGCTTGATCTTCTTACCGGCCTTGTTCAACACACGCTCATCAATGGTATCCGGTACGCTGTCGTTGATCAGCTTCGCCAAGACCAAGCCGTCTTTGCACTTGTCGAACATCTCGAAGGTATCGGTGGGGAAAGGCAGCATGTCGCCAATATCGGGATCGCCGGCCAGGACAGCATTGATGTGTCTCGTGAATTCGGTGCGCTCATCCTCATTGATGGTGTGGGTAACGTTCGCCGAGGAACCCTGAACGTGAATGCGACCACCACCAACGCTGCCCTTGGAGACATGACGGGCTCCGCCTTGGCCCGCGCCCGCGCCGGCTCCAGCTTTTTGAATCACAGCCGCGGGGCTAGCGCTCTGAGCACCGGGAGCCGGTCCGGAGCGGAGTCGCGAAATAAGCTGTTATATTCTTAGTATCCAGCGACCAAAAGACTTGGGATGATGAAGCCAAATGAGGAAATCAAAACACAGCCACCTACATCAATATAGTCCTCCAGCTCGACACGGCGGGAGCTATCGAGCTCGACACCCTTCAGGGTCTGGCGCACCACATCGTACGGTTGGCGCTCCGATTGCTGAGTAGCCTTAATTACGGAGGACTCGTCTAGGTAGCCGCGGTCTTCGACGTCCAGCCTGCGGAATGCATCCTGGAGGGAGAAGATCTCGCCCTGGTCCAGCTGCGGGAATCGCCTAAATGAGGTAGCAAAGATGTAGTCAGCATCGAATATTTCCAGCGAGGAGTAGAAGGGACGCACTTCTGGAGCTTGAGGACGTTCATCTTGGGTAAACGACGGGAGGTGGGGGTTAGACGTTGAGGTGATCAGGCGCAAACGGGGATCACGCCGGGACACGACGGAGAGGGGGAGGGAGAATTGAAGAGAGTGAGAAGAAAGATCTCCGGAACGGGATCACAAGAGAAATACCACGGAATGGCCAGGCAGAATCCAATGGCCTCGAAGGGGGAGGAATGGGGAGGAAGCGTGGAAGAGCTGGGCAGTGCAAGAGGCAAGAGGCAAGCAGGCGCAGGAGGTCCCACGCTTTTAGGTCCAGTCGAGTCGGAGACTGTCCTCTCTCGAGGTTTGGGAGGTGGGGGAGTATCCGCGTATGTCAGCGGGGGGATATCTTACGGTATGGTATGGTCACCGATGACAGAAACAGGCGGCATTATTCATTGTATTTTACCAGAGAGAACCTAGGCAGTACTTGAACTTTGCAATGAATTGCACATCCATCCAGGTACTCTATAAGTATTTCCCACCATCCGGTTAATACCAGGCCCCTCCAATTGACCTTGCTGCCTTGGCCCGGATGACGTCGCGGGGCTGCTTGGAGAGTAGGAACATTCTGGATTATTTTGGCTCTTCTTCTTCTTCATCCTAGCCACGACTCCCTACAGTAGTAGACAGTAGGAGCAGTGGCTGAAGTCTCGGATCCTCGTATACTTCGGGCCCATTCCATCCTTCAATGGCCCTAGGCAGCCAGGTTTACCATGGCTGAACGCCATCCCAGCGAATAGCTTTCCCAACATCCTGATCTCGCGCTCCTTCAACTACATCGCGTACAAAATTCGCCCCGATGGCCGGGTCAATAGCTCCCAGCTGCCTATTCCGCTCCGCATTCCCGCCTAGTCCGGTAGCCAAAAAGCCCGGCGAAACACACCAGGTCTTCACTCCATCCTCGCTCAGAATCCGCCTCCATTCACGCATCAGCATGTTCATGCCCGTCTTGCTGGATCGGTAGGCCGAGATGGAGGGCGCGGTTTTGGGCCAACCCTTTGCTGGAGATTGATTCAATCGAATGGCCAGGTTGTCCGACTCGGTCAGCGTCGAGGTGCCGCTGGTGATGAAGAGCAGTCGAGGATCCGCGGACTTGACGAGCAATGGCACGAATGTGTGTGTGAGGATGTGTGTCCCGGTCGTGTTGACGTTCCATGACTTGTTCCACATATCGCGCATTGCCAATTCCCCGGAATACATCTGGGGATCGAATTGGCTTCCTAGAATATACTCGTGTGAGCAGGATATCTCTCTGTGATGGATCACCCCAACATTGAACACTATCTCAAAAGACATACCGGCATTGTTGATCAAGACATCCACTCGGCCGTACTGGTCAGCAACATAATTGAAGGCATTCTCGATAGAATCGTCATCTTCGATGTCCACCTGCACTGGGGTAACCACCGTGGCGGTATTGGGAAATTCGGCCTGTAACAGTTGGACTGCTGCGTGGGCCTTGTCTCTGCTACGACCTCCGAGGAGGATGGTGTAGGGCGTAGAGGAGCGCAGGAGGGATCTAACGGTTTCCAGGCCCAGTCCCGTATTTGCTCCGGTAATAAAAACGATTGTTTTATCCATGACAGTAAAATGATCTGAAGGGTGTGAGATCGGAATGTCTGCTCCTGTGGCGATCTTCTGGGCTCAGGTAGCTTTTATATTTGTAGGGCATCTTGATCATATGGCTCTTCCATGAATGATGCCACGCCTAAAAGAGTACCTGCCGCGGACTTAAGATGTCCAGGCGAAGCTCATGATCAAAGTAGGCATTCCTTTTACCCGATTAGGCAGATCGGTCGGCCGAGTACTATTTCCGAATGCGCAAGAGAGTCTCTCCATTCCGACAACACACTACGCCCTTTCACAATTCGATGACCACGACGGTGATGGATTTAATATAATAGACCGATTCTTTGTAGTATATAACCTCACATATGCACCGGAAGATTGCTTGTTCATACGACAGGTTATGCGAAATTCCCGGACGGTTCACGCTGGGTAGTAGGAGTATATAGTTCTACTATAGGCTCAGTCATTGTCTCAACCTGTAGCTGTATTCAGCGAGGTTCAATAAACACTCAAGGTTATTGTAATATACTAAAGCCTATTAAAATGATGAACATCTTATTTCTGTGGAGCTGGGCACCTCAACACTGTTGCTTTATCGAAAGATAGCCCGTCGATGGATTTGCTCTCCGCCCCCACGGGAGAGGATCCCCTCTTCAAGACCCAAGCACCAGTCTATAGGCGGCAACTCGGTCTCAACGTACTATGGAACTTGAAGACTTCAGATGCTAGTCATTAATCAAGAGAATGCCCGAGAATGTCTGATTTCTCGAGCTTCAAGGGCAAGTTTCGTGTTCACAAGGAGGCGCTCCACGGACCCACCGCCAAAGTCACCAAACGGCCCCGAGAATCGCTAGCCTGCAACCAATGCAAGAGAGCCAAGCTTCGATGCGATCGAAGGCAGCCATGTAGTTCATGCACCCGAAAGGATGAAGCTGCGCTATGCTCATATCAGCGCACCTCCCCCGGAAGTAGCCATTCGGCTACGGCGGAAGACCGACTCGCCCATCTGGAGTCCCTAGTCAAGGATCTGATGCAGAATCCCAACCTCGGACGATCTGAGATCAGTAATACTCCAGTGGAAGTCCAGTCGGTCGGAGACCCAAGAGTGGCAGATCAGAACCTGGACGAAGGTAGATATGTCGGCTCTACTCATTGGTCTGCCATCCTGGACGATATCCAGGAGCTCAAGACAGCCGTGGCCCACCGGCAAGATGCCCCAGGGCCTAGCTCGCGGGATCTACCACCATCACCGGGCTTCAACAAAGAATCTATCATTTTTGGATCACCTAGTGATTACCCCTTGGATCAGGTTATGGGCCAACATCTCCCTCCCAAGGTGGAGGTTGACCGATTGGTCGCGATATACTTTCAAGGAGAGAACTTCATCATTCCGTTCATTCATACACTTCAATTCCAACGCCAGTATAGAGCCTTCTGGGCTGACCCCGCTCAGGTCAATCCCCTGTGGCTGTCCATTCTGTTCTCGATTTGCTCGGTGTCCACCTTGATTCGTGGGGCTGTTGGCATCTCTCCGACGTCCAAGGAGGATTTGATTACCAAATCCTGTCAGTTTATTGAAGCATCTGGGAAATGTTTGGTTCGAGGAGGATACCATCGCCCTCAGCCATTAGTACTCGAGGCACTAATAATGTATGCGCAATGCAAAAATATGCAATCCCTCGATCCATCGCGCGAAGCTGGTGCAATCTTTGGGATGGTCGTTCGCATGGCTCACGAGATGGGATATCATCGGGATCCAGACTCGCTAGGGTCATTTTCACCTTTTGAAGGTGAGATGCGGCGGCGCTTTTGGGCCTTATGCAAGCAAGTGGACTTGATGGTCTCTTTTCAGCTCGGCCTCCCCAGCAACATTTGCCTTGAGAACTGCGATACTAAGTCCCCCCGAAACTTAACCGACTCTGACTTCGACATTGACACGGAGATCCTTCCCCCGTCGCGCTCGGAAGATGAGCCGATTGGGTTACTATGGTTCATTGTCAAAGATCGACAGATGGCTAGCTTCTACCAGGTATGCCGCGACGCTCTAAGTTTCCATGAAAAGTCCCATACAGAGATTTTGCAACTAGATATTGAAATCCGACGGATGTACACAACCATCCCAGACGTCCTACGGACACGGCCACTGGCTGACTCGATTGCTGATCCTCCATTTTTGATCATGACCCGGATCTATGTTGAATTCATTTATCTAAAGAGTCTGTGTGTCTTTCATCGCAAGTACATGACTCGAGGCAATCGATTCAGTACTGAATCTTGCATGGAAGCTGGCCAGCGGCTGGTCCGCCAATTTATCGATATTTATGCCGAGTTTTCACCCGGTGGTCGGTTGCATGGTCATCGCTGGATGCTGACCAACTTTACGATGAATGATTTTCTCCTGGGTGTGATGGTGCTCTGCTTGGTTGTTCATATCCACCGACGGGGCCCACGATCTTCAGTTACCGACCCGCAAGCCGAGGACAACATTTTGCCGTTGCTGAAGCAGGCGCATGCAATCTGCGTGGAAAAGTCCTCGGAGAGTCGGGATGCCCGGTATGTTTCACGTGCCATCGCAGCACTTTTAGATGGACCGATGACCAGAGTCGTGGCGCCCGCCTGTTCTGCGGACCAAACCTGCAATGCGATGGATGATGGTGTCTCTTTGGGTTGGTTGGACCCGTTTTCCATCGAAGACAACGAGGGTCTAGATTGGGGGCAGCTTGATTCGCTCCTTTTAAACCACCCGGGAGATGGGACAGGGAATGGATAATATTTAGAGACGAAGACAACTCACATATCTAACCTTATCCTAAGAGCGCATTTTAGGTTGGCACGTGGACAGAAACATGCTTATAAAAAATGACGAGGAGTAACAGTATATCCGTTTACTGCGGTAAGATATAAGTAAGGAAATGATTAAGAATACAACGACCAGGATGTAGCCCTTTTTCTACCTTTTAGCGAGGCGAACCCTGCATCTTGATTTTAATAATTACTATTATACATGTATAGTTGTCTAATCTAGTTGCATGCCAAGAATGATCAGCTGCCAGCTCGTCCCCACGCGATTACATCATATGCTTTATCTGGACCCGCGGCCAAAAACAGCGGAACTTGGTCCAGCTGGTCACTTCTACACACCTCGCTCTCTGGTCAAAATCTGTGCAATTGAATGGCGCCTATCAACTGTGGATGCCCCTAAATCGGCATCGCATTCTATCTCCAATTCTCTCGATTCCCCGGCCTCAAATCCTCCACCTTGTGCATTCTAGCTCCCCTTCCACGCTGATCCGGCCCGTGGTCCTGCTACGGACGCGCCCGACCTCCATGGCGGGTGCTGACCAGAAATCCTTCTTGGAGACACTCTCTCCGTGGAGTACCCCGCGAAGCTCCACTCCTCAGCCCTCTGATCGCACACCGGGAAACCCAGACGTCTTGCAACGGTCGCAGGGAGAGGACCACACGGTAACCCACCGACATAAACTGAGCTTGCGCCATTACCCACCAGACTGTCCACCGTTGAAAGCGAGGTGGTTCTATGCCGTGGACTCGCCCAAGCGAAAACCTGCTCTGCTGGACCAGAAGAAACCCGACCATAAGCCGCCGCCTCCGCCGAAGAAATTCATTCCCTTCTCACCGGGTGATTCGCAGTCGATTGAAGCCACCTTTCAGAAGCTGTCGGAAATTGAAGACTCTCATCAGGATGAACAGTCCCGGCGAGCTGCGTTACAACAAGTGTCGACTAAAGTTCCGGTGAATGAGGATTACCTGTTTGATGTAGATGTGGAAGCACGAGAGCTCAGCCCAGCGTATTGGATTGGTCCAGTGTATGAAGTTCGGCGAGGCACGTGGTTCATCCAAGAAGGGTCTGTCTTTAAGCCATGCGAGGAGAATTTTGCTACACAACTTGAGGAGGGCTATGTGAAGCTACGGCCATGGAAGATCCAGACTGAAGAAAGGGGAGAAGGTAGATCATCCGATACTATTTCGGGAGAGGGACACGGCGCAGATTCCCCAAACAGTGCACCGGGCACGCCTCGATCTACAAAGCCTCGTGAGAAGGCTCAAAACGTGGGAACTGGGCCGACTGCAGCTCTTTCAGAGCTTCAGCAGTACCGCTTGTTTGGAGCCTACATGAACACGATCGTGACATATCAGGACGAGTCGACAGCTTGGTACACCACTGACGATTTTATGACCCGTGTGAGCTCCACCGTATACCAAACGCTCGGCCGTGCTCCGGGCACTAGAGTAGTACGTGGGTTGATGGAGACCAGACGGCCAAGGGAGCCACTCGGCTCTCGGGCCGCAGAGCGCAAACAAAGCGAGAAGGTGCCAGGAACACCTCGTCGTGGGGCCATTCCTGCCTCAAGTACTGTACCACCTTCGGGGCACGATTCAGCGAACGTGTCAGGAAGCGAGGCTGAAGCAGAGGGCTTGCCGAGGCGGCCCATCTCCACGTTAGAGCGGCAGATGTCCTCCCTTGCTGGTGAACCCCAGAATCCGGCTGAACTCGAAGAACAGGCCCGTAGGCAGGAGGAGCAAGAGATGGAAGACTCTAGGGAAGTGGACAGTGAAGATCAAGGGCGAGATGTCGATCATTTGGTGCTGGTCACCCATGGCATCGGCCAGCGGCTCGGCTTGCGGCTGGAGAGCATCAACTTTATACACGATGTCAATGTCCTTCGCAAGACATTTAAGGGGGTCTACAAAGCCTCGCCTGATCTCCAAGCATTGAACTCCGCCTTCCCGGACAGCGATAGTAACTGTCGCGTTCAGGTGATCCCTGTGTAGGTTGATGTCTTTGAAGAGCTTGCCCACTTTGAAGCATACTAATAACTTGATAGTTGCTGGCGTCACCTTCTTGATTTCCCTTACCGCGGAGTTCGACAGAATCGAAAGGAACTCGATTTGACGGATGCGGATACCTTCGAGGACGATGCATATCCCAGTCTAGCTGATATCACCCTGGAAAGCGTCCCCGCCGTTCGAAATCTTATATCCGACCTAGCAATGGATGTCTTACTCTACCAAAGCGGATACTGTGAGCACATTGCGAGCATTGTCAAGCAAGAATGCAATCGAATTCTCGAGCTATATAAGAAGCGTAATCCATCCTTCAATGGGACTGTGAGTCTCTGCGGTCACTCGCTTGGAAGCGCCATTCTCTTCGACATCCTGTGCAACCAACCAGCTGACATTGATGCCGCTAAAGGCGGCAGAGCAACAGCCCTGGGTGCTGATGATTTTGCGGATCAACGCGGGGGAATGCAGAGTGCGCTGAACTTTGACTGTGAGGAATTCTTCTGTCTGGGATCTCCTATTGCCCTTTTCCAGATGCTGAAGGGAAAGACCATTGCTGGATATTCCCCCCTGGGAGCGAGGGATCGTAAGAGTGGGCTGGACATTGGTGACTTTGAATCTCACCGACTGGGCTCCATCCGATCCTCTAAGCGAGACTCTCATGGCAGCAGCAGTCGGGACCTGATTGAAAGCTCGACCATCATCTCCGCGCCCAAATGTCGGGACCTTTACAACATCTTTCACCCCTCGGATCCCGTCAGTTACCGGATTGAGCCTCTTATCTCCCAGGCGATGGCCAGTCTCAAACCCCAGCCTTTGCCCTTCGTCAAGAAAAGCCTGTGGACTACCTCCGGGCAGAGTCTCTCCATTCTGGGAACGCGCATGGGCCAGAGTGTGGGTTCGCTGTGGAGTAACTTCACATCTGGTGTTGCAAGCAGCCTGTTGAATCGCAGCCTGGGGCTGACTGCAGAAGAAGCCTCTGCTGCTCGGAGTACGGCCAGCGGTAAGCCATCGGAGGATTTGGCTGGACACAAGCGAACCCAGTCAGGCATGAGCCAACATAGGTCCTCGCATGAGTCTGATGATCATGGTGAGACCCTCATCGATCATGATCTCGAAACCCTGTATGATGGTTTCCAGAAGAGCCGGACCACCCATAAAAAGGATCCCGCACGATCATCTGGCGAGACCGAGTCAGGCCTCGACTCGGAAGACCAGGAGCGCAAATTGAAATTTGAAGATGCCAAGGTGCGAGCGTTGAACTCCAATGGCCGCGTGGATTACAGTATTCAAGAGTAAGTGAGATGGACCATTTCTTGTTTTGGTGTTTCCCTTCGTTATCGCTTTGGCTTCTGGTCCAGGGAACTGGTTCTTCTGGTGCTGATTCTCTTTTTCTTCTTTAGGGGTGCATTTGATATTTCTTTGATCGCCAGTATTGCCAGCCATCTCACCTACTGGGGAGACGAGGATGTGAATCACTTTATGCTCTCCCAAATGCTGTCGCGCAAGTCGCGACATCGGCTGAAGGGAGGCAGCGCGGTGGATAAACTCCCCAAGCCATAGATTCCTACGGAGCACTGTACATAGATCAAACAGTCCATAGATACCTAGGGTGATACCTCTCACGAGACCAATTTCTATCAACGTTCGGGTCAAAGTAGTCCTGTCATGGAGCCTCGGGCCCAGCTTCGCCCGCTTAGCGAAAGCCCCACAGAAAGGCCCGCTGAATAATTCTTCCTTTGCCGGACTGAACTTTTTCCCTTTTCTCTCTCCTCGTCCTCCTCCTTTCCTTTTTCCAACCTCCCTGGCTCGTCTCGACCCTCCCCCTTTCACAATGAGCGCAGAACTCCAACAAGTTCACAAGGTGTGGGAGCGCACCCGCTCAAACAGTCCGATATATGAATTCCTCCTGAGCGAGGTCGACATCTACGAGGCTGAGCCGGGGGTGGTTCGGGCACGACTCCAAGTGACTGCCCGTCAACTCAACTCGAAAGGCACTCTTCACGGGTCCTTCTCGGCCACTGTGGCGGACTGGGCCGGTGGCCTGGCCATTGCTTCCTGCGGATTGGACGTGACCGGAGTCAGCACGGATATCCACGTCAACTACCTCTCCACGGCCACGACGGGGGACTGGCTGGAGATCGAGAGCCGTGCCAACAAGGTCGGCAAGTCGCTTGCCTTCACCACGTTCACTATTTCTAAAAAGACCGATTTGGGATTGACTATTGTCGCCCAGGGCTCGCACACCAAGTACGTTCGGACACGATGAAGTCCGATCGGTGTGGGTTTCCCTCCTCCCATTTCTCGACTTTCACCAGCGCTCTCCATCCGCTGGGATTTGTTCACCGTGTAGATCAAGACCATCTTATAGATTTATACCCCATTTCTTTCCACCCGCAATCTTTTATCATCCGGCATGAAACACATGTTCTTTGAATGCCTGGGTTCACTCGGATAGCGGAGAGTAACGTCCACTCTGTTTAAAGCTTTAGATTCCTGGCCGTCTTATGACTGCGAGGAAATGATGAATGGATACAATTATTGTCGATAATGTCTCAAATATATTGAATCGTCTTATGTACCTGGTTTTTTTGGCCTGAGTTGATAGCCCTTTAGTCTCTGTGGACAGGGTTTATATATATCTACATATATATATCTATGTGCGCGAGAGTCAATGGAATTGACCGCAATCAATGGACTTTGAATAGAATTGTTTAATTCAAATTCAATTCTCGTGACTAGAATCAACATGGCAATATACTTCTACAAGAACAATGCATGTCTGCGTCCATAGTCGTGTGCCACATGCGGAAGGGCGCCGCCGCACTGACCCAACAAGTAAGCCGCGCACGCCTCGGCCTGCTCAGAGCGCGACGCTTTGCGACGATCTCACCCGTTGCTTGACACTTGCTACTCCTCTCTCCCCCACATCTCCCCAAGCCTGGCCGGTTCTCCTGAGAGGCATGGAGGTTGGTTTTTGTTCTAATCACCACCCAATTAATACTGATCATTGTCGCTAGAGTCACCATGAACCTATCCAGCGATGATGTGGTGGCCTCTTCAGCTACGACTCCTTTCACGGACTTACCGGCTTCTCCTGACAAGACAATGACGCATGGCGATCCCCCGACCAAACAGCATATCTCGAATACAGGACAACCTCAAGAACTCTTTGATCGCGCCCTCGATTTCATAGCCACTGCCAGCAATGAAACGATTATTGGTGTTTTTGCCCTCCTGGCGTTCGTGACATACATCGTGCTGGGCAGAGTGGGCCTGGTGCTCATCGGAGTTGGACTGGGGGTCGTCCTGCACGCATCCTGGGAAGGCGCAATTCAGTCAAGATCTAGCGAGGAATCCTCAACACCCAAGAAGCGGAGGGAACTGGCGCTAGAAGTATCTCAGAGACTCTTGGACTGGCCCAAACGCGCCGCCTCGGGTGAGATTGCCTCCCACAATGACAACGGCACGATCGCGACACCGGAAGATCTATCGACGGCCGATCTGGAGTTTACAACTTTTCAGCCTGCGACCGCCGCTGCCCTACGATCGCTCACGGATGCAGCAGTGAAGGACTATGTCAAGTAAGACATCGGACCCTTTCCCTCCATTCTCCTCCCCGCGTGCTCTCTGCTAATATAAAGTGCCAAGGTATTGGTATGAACCAATTCTTCCGAACGAAACCATATTCCCAGGCTCCTGCCGGAGAACCTTGACCTACTTTGTCACAACTATCTCGTCCCATCTTTCGCACAAAAGAACGGAGGATACATTTCTACAGTTCCTGACAAACTCCTCATCTATAATCATTGTGTTCTTGAACGAATTGGCGGCTGCGTTTACCGCTGCTGACCCTTCGTCCACGGAGGCGTCGCAGGTTGTTGAGCAGTACCTCAAGAATTCCCCGGACAGTAGCCTTGCAAATGTCCTATCCGAGGAGCAACAACGTAAAAAGCTCAACATGGTTGCGGACGACATTCTTTCGAATTTTCTGGATGCAAAGGCGTATAGTTGCTCCCCTGTACGGGATTTTCTTCGAGAAGTCTTTGCCCGGCTTGTATTAGAATCGACGGTCACCAGCCTCTCTCGCCCCGAGTTCATTAACGACTGGATCATCTATCTTCTTCAGGATGGAGAGTCTGAAATTATGCATGCAATCGATGCGGGCGTCGAGGGTGCACGCAATCAGAATGTTAGCGCTGCAAAGGTGTCCGAGGACTCGAAGAACGCTCTTTTAGAGTCGACCAAAGAAGAGGTGGCTTCGCAGACCGCTGAGCTGCCTTCAAGCACCAAAGACAAAGCAACGGAAGAAGCTTTGTTGGAGGCAAAGCGGTTGAGTGTTCTAATCGCATCTCAAGATCTCCAGAACTCGCCCAATGGACCGACCACCGAGGCAGTTCAATTCCAAGAACCATCAATATATGCAGAGGAGACGAATGTCCCAATGAATGGGCTTACGGGTGATCCTACAGAGCCTGCAGTAGCTCAAGAACCTCCAGCGTCGGTTCCGGTGTCCACAGCTGCACAGACAACGGGCCAGACCCCGTCTTCGCCTCGAGAGGACGCTGCATCACCGGCGGTCACGCTTCATGGGGCCAGAGTCTTGATCGACGATGATGGTGCCCGCAGCGAGAAAGGAACCATCAAATCACGGCCTACGTGGGATTACCTGCTCCAGATCGAACCAGCGTCAACTCGTGCCACGGGTTGGATGGTTTTCCGAAAATATGCAGACTTCCAATCTCTCCATGAAATGCTCTCGACTGTTTCCCGACTGAACCGAATTCAGAGTTTCTCCGACCAGTTCCCCACACTGCCCCCTTGGAAAGGCCGGACAAGACAAGCTCTTGCTCAAGATCTGGAGCGTTATTTGCAAGAAGCAATGAAGCACGAATCGCTTGCCGAAACTGAACGAATGCGACGATTCGTCGAGAAAGAAACGAGCTCTACCGATACAGGCTCTACCAAACAAGGATTCTCCTTCCCGAGTCAGAGTGCCTTTGAGAATATGGGTAAAGATCTGCTCGGAGCTTTGACTAATGCCCCCAAAGGCATGGCTGGAGGCGGTCGAGCGGTCCTTGACGGCGTCACTGGTGTCTTTGGAGGTGCTGGCCATAATAGGAAGCTCTCGAGCATGTCAGACCGGCAGTCTCAGCATCGGAAGAGTCCATCGAAAGTCAGTCATGATGTTCCCAGCAGTCCGGGCTCGGTCATTTCTACAAGCCTTGTCAGTTCTCCACTGATAGGCTCGAACCTGGGCGACTCGTCAATGTCTCCAAGACCTAGCGAAGAACGAGATTCTACTGCACGAGCCTCCTCTCCCAGTACCGCATCGGTCGGGCTAGGACTATCGAAGGAAGGCGTCGACAACTCTCCTGACAGCAGTGATTTAGGCAGCGGTGCCAATCTGGCAAACGGCGAAGAAGATGCGTCGGCCTCAGACTCAAGAACTTCTCCACCGTCTGAAGACCGAAAGTCAGTTGACGATGTGGAAGTGCCAGAGACAAAGGAGAATTCTGTCACGACCTCGCCCGAACCCGCGTTCGAGAGTGAGCCCTCCAGTGACTCCCAAATCGCTTCCCAAGGAACTCGCCGAAAAAAGATGCCCATCACTGCAGATGAGACCCAGATTGCGGTAGAGCTTATATTCGCCGTGATCAACGAGCTCTACACACTGTCATCAGCCTGGAATATTCGTCGAACTCTCTTGAACGCGGCCAAGACGTATATCCTGCGTCCTGGAAGCCCAACGTTGGAGACGATCCGGGGCTTGCTACAGGAATCTATGATTGAGGCTCATACATCGGACGATGCTCTTGGGGAGTATCTGAAGAAGCTCCGGGAGAATGCTCTCCCCACGGAGGATGAGCTAACGGCCTGGCCTGCTCCACCCAGCGAGGAAGAAAAGGCACAGTTACGGGATACCGCGCGCCGACTGTTCGTTCAGAGGGGCATTCCACAGGCACTCACAAGTGTCATGGGTGCAGCGGCTAGTCGGGAAGCTCTTGAAAAGATATTCGATAGCTTGCAAGTGGAGACCGTAGCCCGGGGATTTGTCTTCTCGTTGATGCTACAGGGTTTACGAGTCTTGACATTATAAGACATGGATAGAATACCCCCTACAGGGAGTTGTTTTTCAACAAATTCAAATGAGACATGTTTATAGGGAAATCCTAGTGTAGTAGACCTTCAAGTTTTGAAGACCGGGTAACCGATCGATATGATAGATGCACTCTACCTTGGATGGCTGGTTGTGAAAGTATCTCGCATTAGGCACATTCCCTCTAGCCCCATAAATCCAACCCAGAAAACAGTTTCGGTGATCTGATATCAGATTAGAGGCAGATCAAACGAGCAATGACGTATGAGATAACTGAGCTGTCAAGCTAATCCCTTATCAGCACGTGCCTCGACGCGTCTCTCCGCGTTTCTTTCAACTCGACTCCAACTGCTCATCTTTGTCTTCACATCCACCCATTCATTACCTTACCCACCATCATGGCCTCCCGAAAGCGCGCATCCGACCACCAGGGTCCTGGTGATGACACCCGAGCCGAGACCAAGAAAGCCAAGGTCAACTCAGGCACCGAGACTACAAGCAAGACTGATTCCAACGGGGATCGATCCTGGGAAATCTCCAAAATGCGCCGAGTGACCGTCTCCGAGTTCCGAGGCAAAACCATGGTCAGCGTCCGCGAATATTACGAGAAAGATGGCCAAGAACTTCCTGGAAAGAAGGTGAGCCTATTCCTGGCAATTCCCTTTGTTGAGATATCACTGTTTGGATCTTGAGGAGAGATTCCAGCCCATTCTACTTGTACTAAAATATGTATGACACAGGGGATTTCCATGACGCTTGACCAATTCTCGTCTTTGATTAAGCTACTCCCGGAAATCGAGCAAGCCGTTCAGCAACACGGCGAGTCGTTGCCTCGACCAGCGTACACTGGAGCCGCGGACCAAAATGATGCCGAGGATGACGAAGGGCAAGGTGAGGCTGGGAATATTGCGAGCCCTTCGAAGCAAAACATCGATGCTACGAGCGACGAGGATAGCGATTCATAGGGCGCAGATTTGACGGGTTGGGACATATTTGGTATCATGCCATAACAAATGCTGCTTTATCCTTCTATTTTTCTTTGGCGTATAATACCCTGATGATGAAGTCTTTCATGCTGGTTCACAGTTATGATCTCTCTAGTTTATGAATCCAATACTTTCACATGCTCGCTTCTTGCGTTGCCAGGCGGGTGGCAAGGGAGCCGCCTCGCCAGGCATGACGGGCATCTATTTCGTGAACAAGCTGTTGCTGGTTCCCAACTGGGCCCCATCCTCCTCCACCGGGCGTACGGATGATGATTCGCTCACCAGATTGCATTTGGACCGAGTTCTTCCCTCCTAGGCTGATATGTCGCTCCTCCCAGCTTCCGTCGGTTTTCTGGACTCGACGCACCCAAAGGTTCTGACCACATTGGGCATCCTCGCCTCCCTCCAGACCGTAAGGGTGGTAGACTCGACGCTCGGAGAGGATAGAGACCTGTACGGGAATGCGGAATTCGATATCCCGAATGACACCATCTCCGCCACGGTGCTGACCGGCGCCCCCAGAATTGGGTCGGAGACTGAACTCTCGAAGTAAAACGGGATATCGCCGTTCGAAAACCTCCGCGTCGGTGATTCGTGTGTTGGTCATATGAGTGTGCACTCCTGAAGTACCCTCCCAGTCTGGGCCCGCTCCGCTCCCACCGGCGATGGTTTCATAGTAACCAAAGCCTTTGGTCTCCGTCTCTCCTTGTAGATTGCCCCCAAACCCGAAGGTTAGGTTATTGGTGTCTCCCTGCGAAGCAGCACAAGCCTGGAAACATTTCAGGATCACATCCGTGACTCGTTGACTCTAGTGGTTTCAGATACAGTCAATCACGTAATCTTATTTGCAAGCAGCGTTAGGAAAAAGTAAATTGAGGCTTGACATACCGTCATTACGTTCCCTCCTACGACCGCTGCAGACTCGGATGGCGACAACAGACTCCTCGGCGGTATACGAACGTTAATTGGCTTCAAGCAGCCCTGATTCAGAGGAATATCGGCGGAAATCAAACATCGCAGACAGTAAATAATTGCTGAGTAGGTGACTGCTTCGGGTGCATTGATATTGCCTAGCAGAGTCAGAATTAACAGAGACTCGATATAGCCGTTCTGGTCCGGTACCCCATCACTTACCATACACCTCTGGGCCGGTTCCCTCAAAATCAAACACCGCTTCACCTTTCTCTGCATCAATCGAGATCTTCAGTTGAATCGGTGTCCCGTCGTCCATGTAGTCAATAGCGCTGAGATTACGGCCTGCGAATTTCTGGCTAACTTCTTTCAGAAGGTTGCGTACACTGAGCTCTGCATTATCTTGAATCTGATTCATGTAGAAGAGTACCACTTCTTCGCCGTATTCCTCGATCAAGGCATTGATGAGGTTGATTCCTTTCTTATTGGCGGCAATCTGAGCCTTGAGATCGTTCAAGTTGTCCGCAAGACAGCGAGTTCCACTGCAATTGGGGTACTGGGCCGGCTCTTTGTACAATAACTCAGTGATTCGCTGCTCGTTGAACTTGCCTTCCGAGACCAGCTTCTCACTCTTGATGGCAGCACCTTCTTGGTATAGTTCTTTCGAGTGGGGTGGCATCGATCCGGGCAGGATACCGCCGATATCAGCTAAAGAAAAGAAATGTCAGTCTAAGGCTTGTGGTGCATTGCTGGGCTGTGTTCACTCTCACCATGATGTGCTCTTGAGGCAACATAGAAGATGATCTTGCCCTGGCTAAAAGCAGGCTGGATGACCGTGATATCCGGGAGATGTGTGCCACCAAACTCAGGGTGGTTCGAGACAATGACATCGCCCGGCTTGAGTTTGCCATGCCAGAGCTGAGCTTGTATCCGTACGCAGGTCGACATGCTGCCCAGATGAACTGGGAGATGTGGTGCGTTTGCAACCAGCCCGCCGTCCGGATCGAACAGTGCGCACGAGTAATCGAGCCGCTCCTTGACGTTGGTACTTACGCTTGTCTTCTGTAGCGCGCGGCCCATTTGTTCTGCAATGGCCATGAAACGGTGCGAAAAGACGCTGAGTAGAATTGGATCTACCGTCTCAGTGCTGATATGGGGGCCACTCGCATCAGAATCTCCGATATTGATAACGACGTGAGTCTTCGTCAGGAGTGCGGAGGCCCCTGGGGTCACCACGATGGTTTGAGTCTCATCGGCAAGAATCGCCGGCCCTTTCACACGATCGTTGATCTGCAAGTCGTCGAGTTTGTAGATGGGTGTTTCGCGTCGCCCGCCTTCAAAGTACACCTGGGATGTTCGATATTCTCGGCCAACCACATCCTTGGGTGTCGACTCCTGCAGCTGTTGATCGACCGTCTTCTCAGACGCCTCGAAGCTCTTTCCAATGCCTCTCACACGCACATCATCCACGATTATGTCACGGTCAGGCAAGGTGAACCCAAATTCTTGCTCATGCTGTTGTATAAATGCTTTGCCAAAGGCCCACTCATCACCATCAAAGGCGACACTTGCATCTTCTTTGCTAGGCTTCAGGATCATAAGGGCTGATTCCGTGCCACGGTATCGCATGTTCAGGTATTCTTCGAAGACAATGGATTCGTGATTGAAGCCTTGATCTTGTAGCCTTTTTGTAGATCTCTTCTTCAGCTCGTCTAGTCTCCGTGCAAGCTCCTGGCGCACTTCTGGCTTATCACTCCAGATTTTGGATTCTGGCTCCTGGGTTTCATCAACCACATCGGCAAGCGCCATTCCGTATGCAGAAAGCACGGATGAATACCGATGAATCAGGATTTGCCGTATGCCCAGACTTTCAGCGATGGCTACTGCATGCTGTCCACCGGCACCCCCAAAGGTCGCCAGCCTATGCTTCGAGGTATCATGCCCCTTAGCTTCGGTTAGGGACCGAATGGGTCGAGTCATCGTCTCGTTGGCAACCTTGATAAACCCGAATGCAACCTCGTCAGGCGTCATTTCTTTGTTCTGCTCCCCTTGAGCTAACTCTTGATTGATTTCCTGGGTCAATTTCTCGAACAGACGATGACTGGTCTCTTCGTCCAAGCCTTGGTTCTCTTGCGGACCAAAGATCTTGGGGAAGAAGTCAGGGACTAGTCTACCGAGGAACAAGTTGGCATCAGTGACGGTTAATGGGCCATCCTTGCGGTAACATGCAGGTCCCGGATGGGCTCCTGCTGACTCGGGCCCAACAACGAAGAGCCCGTTGCGGAAGAATAGCCTGGAGCCACCGCCGGCGGCTACCGTGTTGATGTCCAGTTGAGGGGATTGAATGGTGACTCCAGCCGTGGTGGTCTCAAAGACATGCTCGTAGCGGCCGGACCCATAACGGCTTACATCCGTGCTGGTTCCACCCATATCAAACCCTATGACTGGAATTTTGGATTCAGGGTCGTATGAAGTCAATGCATATCCGACCACTCCACCAGCTGGCCCAGAGAGGATAGCTCGCAGACCTGAAAATTGGTCGACGTCGACCAAACCGCCATCCGATTGCATGAACTCGCAACGTGCGCCTCGAGAGCCCTTCTCAGATTTAACACTCTCGCTTCCAAGGCCACTGTTGAAGCCAGCTTGGAACCCTGAAATATACCTCTTGATAGTCGGGGTCAAGTATGCATCCGCGCAGGCTGAAGTGGCCCGTGGGACGAGCTTGATCATCGGCATGAGCTGGTGGCTCAGGCTCACATGGTGGAAGCCAATCTCTGTGGCCAGGCGGCCTACTAATGCCTCGTGGTCGGGAAATGTATATCCATGCATGAGACATACTGCTATACTCCGAATGCCACGATCGTATACCTGCTGCAACTGGGATCGCACCGTCTCTTCAACGGGGCGTTTGAGGATGCGAACAGCCTCAGATGAAAGCCCCCCGTACAAGCTGCGCATCAGGTTGGGACTGGTCTCGTGGAGCCGTGGCCGTTACAATGCGTTGTGGATCCTCTGCATAATCTTCCAGAGTGACCCGCTCATCTACCTCCACTACTTCTTCGTACAGCACGTCGGGCCGCTTGATGGCAAGGTCAAATATGCGGGGACGGGACTGGTTTCCAATCTGCAGGCAGTCACGGAAGCCCTTGCTGACTACAAGAGCAATCTTTTCCCCTTTGCGCTCGAGCAGGGCGTTTGTGGCGACAGTCGTCCCCATGCGGATACTGCTGATCAGCGAGGTATCGATGGCTTCCCCTCGTGGGATTTCACGGCCGGTGAATTTAGATAGAATACGTCGTATCCCTTCAAGAGGGGCATCCTCATAGTTGTTCGGATCCTCGGATAGCAATTTGATCACAATGTCATCTTCCAAGCGTCCTGTGCCAGGATTGCCCACGCAGTCTGTGAACGTGCCGCCCCTCTGGCCTTGAGTCAGTCTCCATTTTCAAATGCACTGGATCTGGAGCAGGTGATGCATACATCGATCGCAATACTGATCCCTTTCCCTCTGGATTGATCCATTTTAGCTGGGTCAAATGCACGTCTGTTGTTGATGGTAAGCGTCAGCAGGAGTTCGAGGTCGAGGTACAACTCCACCCATCTTCCCCGCACAATGTCTTCACTACGTCATTCGGAAGGGCAGTTCGTCCACACGGGCAACAGAGCCAGGTATCAAGGAGATGAGTGACATTATTGCCTTGTACAGTAGGATAATGACAAAAGTGCAAAGCAAGGAGCAGACTGAATGTATTTGATATGGAGAGAACTGCTGAGATCCTGCCGCTCAATATGTACTTTCACTATGTATATTTACCTTCTCAACTACGTAGGACCTACCCCTTTAGGCGATTCCCCAAGTGAGACGCCACACAGATCAAGTTGGAGGGTCCGTGTGGTCATAGAGCTTGACCGGTAGAGCCGCATACCACGTCCAACCAAATCCTTCCTCGTCGTCGCTACAAAGCACCCACGCGCATACAACTCTACAAAGGATGATTCGGCAAGGGTAGCGTCTTCCGTGGATGATTCCGGCCGATCGTACAGGGCGGGGATGGGTAAAAGGAGAATTCGTTTTGGAATTAAATCTGCGAATACGGCGGGCGGCGGGCGGGGTTTCATCGTGGTAAATGCAGGGACGAGAGAGAGAGACGCGGGCGAGAACTTAAACACGATCGCTCGACGTTCGTTTCGGCGGAGTCCGAGCTGCTGACCAGGATAAATACCAAAACCCACGGAAATCAAGTCAGACAAGAGAGGGAACCCATTCAAGGAACTCCCCGTCCGTGAGAAAGAACCAAACAAAACCGCACAAAGTCCGCGCTCGCCAGTTGGGATGAACTAGGAAAAGGATGGGAGAGGAAGACAGGAAAGAAGCCAGCGACAAAAGGAAACCAATTGACCCAGAAAATCATGAGAAGAAATGCCATGGAATGCGACAAGGTCTACCCTTGTTCGGAAGCGCCCAAGCTAAAGCTTGAGAGACGGAGCCCGTTTTCGGAGGGTATCCGTGGTCAGGAGATGGCCGGTAGATCGACGATAGTTCGCAACCCTCAAGCATGGTTCGGACAAATGGTCGCACTGAGTTGATCTACTCAGCAGTATCAAGCTCATCATGAGCAGAAGGAACGGGGTCCAGGGGTACTGGTCGATTTTATAAGCGGACCGGTAATTAATCAGAACGGAAGGGGGTTTACCACGAACCTTTCCTATCTTCACCATTCGGGACGACCTCACGCTCCTCTTCGCGGCGCTCCCGATCATCCTCGCGTCTCTCGCGATCATCCTTGACATCGCGCTCCCGGTCCTCGGGGCTACGAGAACGATCGCGAGAACGCTCACGATCACGATCCCGGCGATCATCGCGATCCCGACGATCATGGTCGCGATCACGGTCACGGCGGTCGTGATCACGGTCCGAACGATCGTGATCCCGTTCATAGCGGTCGTCGCGTTTGGGAGAATAATCTCCGCGGCTGCGACGAGGAGAGGGAGAGCGGCCACGGCGAGGGGGGTGCGGTCACGACGACGGTCACGGCCCGAATCGAATCGCCAGGAGGCCGAGGGGGAGTACGAGCCCACTAGATATGAGGTTTAAGATACTATCCAACATAAGGGGATAGAAAGTACGCGGTGAAGGTGAAGACATACCTCGATCTTCAGCAGATCGTCGCGCCCCATGCGCTTATTGTGCATCTCATGGTAGGCATCGTCGGCATCACGGCGACTCTCATACTCGACAAACGCAAACCTATTGGATCAGTCAGAAAGGCGCGACAAGAGCCCTGGTGTATCAATGCCGCGAAACTTACAGCCGACTAGAAGGAGTACGTGGCGCAGGGATATCGCAGCGAACAAGGCGACCGTAGCTGAATGGGGAGTTAGTATAGAAATCCTACCATAGTGACAAAGGTTATAATGACAGGTGACCACATGACCAATGACCACAATGACCATACCCAGCACCTGGGAAAGAGAAGGAGAGGGCATTCGGAGGCGGACTTGGTGGGAAAAGCTTCACGGTCACCAATTGGGACCCAATTCAGGGTTCAGGGGATAGACCGGTGGTCATCGTGTCGTCGACTCGTGGGTGGAGGGAGGAGGATGAGGGAGGTGATCGAAAGTCCGAGGGCTCAGAAGCGTGAAGGTGTAGGCGTCACGTACCGTTCGAATTCGTAGGCAAGATCACGAGCGCGAGTGCCATGGCCAAAGCCGGTGACATAGAGGGTTGTTCCCGATCGAGACATAGTCGAGGCAAGTAATCGGTAATGGCAGACGGGGGAGGATTGATGGACGTTGGTGGCCAAGGATGGCGGGGCGAAGGGGGTTGGAAGAAGAAAAGGGAAGAAAATGTAGTCTGTTGGAAGGAGTTCAAGTGGAGGATTTGGAGATTTGGAGGGCGGTAGCTGCTTACGGGAAGCTTTAGAGGCCACTTGTGCAGTCGACGCAAGCAACGGAGAAGACTGAGCGTATGGTAATATGTATCGATCTTCCCAGTACGCTACATATAGGTGTGGTCTAATAAGTTGGAGAGAAAAAAAAATTGTTATCATAGAGGATTGAGTAGGTAGTTACTGGATGTGTTAAGTTACTAAGAATATGGTTTTGACTAAGGGACACCTTACTGCGTTAGTATAATCATGCTTGCCCCCACTCTAGGCACAGATCACGGCCCCTACTACTGTATATATGCTAGTCTTTTAGGAACAGGAGAATACGGTTCCTAGAACTACCTTTTAATATACATCCTATCAGGATCAATGCTAAATATAGGTCTGATTGACTTACCTGATACTTACACAGATTCCTCTCGACTATCCTGTATCCTATATATAGACAGAGAATATACTCCTGTAAGATATGTACTGTACCCCACAGTTACCGTACCAGCTGGCCTCGGGAGGTACCGTGAGCATGTCGGCAGTCGGGATCATGTTTTCCTCTGGCTTCTCCTCCTCCATCGACATCACCTACACTCCGCCATTTCCACTTCATTGCTCCTGCCAACTCGTTTCTCCCTCACAGCCACCAAGGCAGCACCTCAATTCTCCTCAGGCCAACCTTTTGCCCCCCACCACTCTCACCTCTCTCCCTTTCTCTTCATACGACCACCTTCGATCCCGCGACCTTCGATCCATAACCTCCCCTCTTCCTGATTTCCAAGGAGAGAGCATCACAAGCACCGCCGGGGCTGTGCCTTGAACGATGGATCAGTAGAACCCGGAGCGAGCGACGACATTGGACTCCCTTCCATGGCCAGTACGACATATCTTGTTCCGATCCCCTATTCATCTTTCGTTCTCTCCTTCGGTTACCTCCACCACCTGCCTGGCCACCGGTTCCCCCATCGCTATCTGTCGCATTTGGTCTAAGGAGAAGAAACCAAAAGCGCATGGGAGGAACATCACATTGGACTGCTAGTTCCCCTCTTCCTCACCTGGGCAGACCCGAAGACATCAAACGTATGTCGCCAAGATGAGCCTCAATCGCCAGGACACATCACAGAAGAATGAGTCGGATGGGACAGCAAGACCGACCATGCAAGGATTACAATTACCTTCATCTACCGGCCCAGTCAAGGTGGGTTCAAACTCCAGATGACTCTCAAAAGGTTCTCCTCACCCGTCCACCCGCTTACTCATTTGTTACTAGGATTCTATCCCTGCACCACCCACCCTCCTACGGCAGACGAGAAACAGGCTGGCTGACCCGGTGGTGGCCGCATTCATGGCCGGAGGTGTTGCCGGTGCCGTTTCAAGAACGATTGTGTCCCCTCTGGAGCGGTTGAAAATCCTACTCCAGATCCAAAGTGTTGGCCGGGAGGAATACAAACTATCGATATGGCAAGCTCTCAAGAAGATGAAACGAGAGGAAGGCTGGCGAGGCTTCATGCGAGGCAACGGAACCAATTGTATTCGCATCATTCCCTACTCGGCGGTGCAGTTTGGAAGTTACAATTTCTACAAGAAAGTGAGTTCAACTACGCGCAGACCGCTGTGAGATCTGAGAATATCGAGGAATTAGGGTACTCACACGGACAATCCTTAGTTTGCTGAGACACCAGACGGCGAGATGACCCCAACACGTCGCCTTATTTGCGGAGGTATCGCAGGAATCACGTCCGTCACGGTCACATACCCGCTGGATATCGTTCGTACCCGACTTTCCATTCAATCGGCATCCTTTGCGGGTCTGGGAGCCCGAGATCCATCCCAAAAGCTGCCCGGCCTGTTCACGACTATGGTGACGATATACAAGAATGAGGGCGGCATGATTGCCCTCTACCGCGGAATCGTCCCCACGGTCACTGGAGTTGCCCCCTACGTAAGTTCCCCGCTTTTCGATCCTGCGCTTTGAGTTCGGTCACTGATGATGCACGTCAGGTCGGACTCAATTTCATGACTTATGAATCGGTCCGCAAATACTTGACTCCTGAGGGAGACAAGAATCCCAATCCCTGGCGAAAGCTACTTGCTGGGGCCATTTCTGGAGCCGTGGCGCAAACCTGCACATATCCCTTGTAAGGCTCTCTTCTCCTGCAGAAAATCTCCCGAAATGTGCTCGGCTGACGTGGGGCTCTAACTCAAATTCTAGTGACGTGCTACGAAGACGCTTCCAAATCAATACCATGTCCGGCATGGGCTATCAATACAAGTCCATCTGGGATGCGGTGCGGGTGATTGTGGCTGAAGAGGGAGCACGCGGGCTGTTCAAGGGCATCGGACCCAATCTACTCAAGGTTGCACCCAGCATGGCCAGTAGTTGGCTCAGCTTCGAGTTGACGAGAGACTTCCTCGTCAGCCTGAATGATAGAGATTAGTCACAGTATACTTAGACCGTTCTTTTCTCGAATGTGATTAAACTTCATAGCAGACGGCTGACTGACTACCCTCTTGTACCTTTTGGTTAGGAAAACGTTCCCGGTAGGTGTGTAGTGCCGGTTAGGATAGCAAAGTAGATCCTACGAGGCATGAGCGCATATTAGAGCTATTGACCGTACAGTTAAGGGAACACTGGAACGGGCTTGACTACTACTGTATTTGGTCGACTGTGTATTGTGTATACATACTCTGCTAAGGACTCTAGACCATGGCCGGAGCACTAATCTAATTCAGGCAAGCTGCTCCATCTATTAGAAGTACTGGATCCGCAATGAGCCGTCCAATCAATCAGGGATACCCTCTCTTAACCCAAAGAACTCCTTTCTTGTCCAGATATAACAACGGTCAATTCCTAGGTAGCATACTTAGAGAATTGGAGTTATACATACTGGTCTTCAGGTACTGCAAACTCTATCCGTTCTTGTTGGGACTTGGTACCGATGCCGAGACTATCAGCCTGTTATCAGGCTGCCCGTGGATTGAAACCCGGTCCTGCCCGTTGCCGCACTTGCTTACCTAATCCCCTTGCCGCTCTCCAATTCGAACTGTCCATTCACCGGTTCCACATCAGGTGACTCGTTTTATCGCCCTATTAGGACTAGCGTAGGGCTCAACCCACACACACCCGCGCAGCCGAAAGTTGAAGACCAAAAACCTCCTGCTCTTTCCATACGGGTGCGACAGCAAGCTAACTCCCAGGTGTTCAATTCATATCAGCAGCCATGGGTATGTCCAACCATTCCAGCCTCACAGTCTTGATCCTTCTGTTCCTAGAAGACATATTTGCTTCCTCCACGCCCGCTTTGATTCCCTCCTGAGACTAATCGATGTCCGAAATCTCTTAGGTATCGACCTGGACCGTCACCATGTGCGCAGCAGCCACCGCAAGGCGCCCAAGAGCGAGAACGTTTACTTGCAGGTGCTGGTGAAGCTGTACCGCTTCCTGGCTCGTATGACTCCCTTTCTTTTCCCATCCAGTATCCGAATTTCGTGCGTCGCAGAAGAACGAGGCGAAAAGACGAATTTTTTTTCTTCGAACATGAACCGGGACCGAAACTGATCTGGGAATCTTCTTTGACAGGCCGCACGGAGTCCAACTTCAACAAGGCCGTTCTCCGCCGCCTCTTCATGTCGCGCATCAACCGCCCCCCGGTTTCTCTTTCGCGCATCGCCTCGAACATCAACGAGTCGCAGAAGGGCAAGACCGTGGTCGTGATTGGCACCATCACCGATGACAACCGCCTGCTGAACATCCCCAAGCTGTCCGTCGCTGCTCTGCGCTTCACCGCCACCGCCCGTGCCCGTATCGAGAAGGCCGGTGGTGAGACCCTCACCCTGGACCAGCTTGCTCTGCGTGCCCCTACCGGTGCCAACACTCTGCTCCTCCGTGGCCCCAAGAACGCCCGTGAGGCCGTGAAGCACTTCGGCTTCGGCCCTCACTCTCACAAGGTCCGCATTCTACCCCTTGGATTTTACCTGAATGCTTATCTATTGCCTACGGCTGCTAACCTACTTGTGATTTTAACAGAAGCCCTACGTTGCCAGCAAGGGCCGGAAGTTCGAGCGTGCCCGTGGTCGCAGACGTTCCAAGGGTTTCAAGGTCTAAAAGGACTTTGTGTGATGATTGTGGGACGGACATGAACCCATCGGTGCAAGGACACATATTCCTGGTCGCACTGAAAACTCGGGTGTTTATCTCGCCGAGTCTAGCTGGAGACCTCTATTCGATGTACCTAAAGTGGCGAAATGTCTTTGGTTGGAATGAGGGATCAGAGTACGTGGTTGGAAGAGGGCAAAAGAAAAATGCATCCGGCTTAGTCCTCATCCTTTCTTACGATTGCGAAATGTTTCAACAAAAAAATACGTTTGAATTTTTTTCTCCCTCCACTAGGAATCTCGGTAAGAGAATTCGCAAAGGGTAGATCTATGTACACTATATCCTTAATCGCTGAGAGGTAAGCTTTTATGGAGATATTGTCGACCTCCTGCCCCATCATGGTAATCCCCCGCACCATGACCGTTGCCCCGAATCAGGTATTTATAGATGGTCAGACCTTCCAGACCAACGGGACCCCGGGAATGGATCTTGTTGGTGCTGATGCCAACTTCAGTCCCAAAGCCAAATCTCATTCCATCCGCAAACCTGGATGATGCGTTCCAAAAGACTCCCGCGCTATCAATGCTGTTCATGAACAAGTTTGCCAGCTCGCGTGACTCGGTCAAGATGATATCAGTATGCTTGGACGAATGCGTGTTGATGTGCGCAACAGCAGCCTCCACGGCTGATTCAGGAGACCCGGTTGCAGAGATGGTCTTGACAGCCAGCACCAAATCTAGGAATTCCGTGTCGTAGTCAGCCTCGGTGGCCGATTGAACCTGGGCAAGTTGACCGGCGGTTAATGTCTTCGAAAGGACCGCCTTAGAGGCTGAATCGCAGCGAAGGGAAACACCCTTGTTCAGGAGTGCCTCCGCTACTGCCGGGAAAACAGACTCGAGGACCTCCTCGTTGACAAGGAGAGTCTCAAGCGCATTGCAGGCCGCCGGGTAGTCCGTTTTGGAATCTACCACAACCTTCACCGCCGTGTCGATCTTAGCATCCGAGTGTATGTAGGCCGAACAGAGACCGTCGGCGTGGCCAAGGACTGGAATCTTGGTATTCTCCTTTACAAAACGAACCAATTCGTTGGATCCTCGGGGGATGACAAGATCAATGAATGAGTCCTGGGCAAGGAGGGAAGAAACAACATCACGGGTCTTGACAAGTTGAACCGACGATACGGGCACTTGAGAGCCAGCAATGGCTTCCGAAACCACATTTGCGATGGCTACGAAAGATTCCATGGACTCCTTTCCACCTATAGACATAGAGACATCAGTTCTGGGATGGGCCCATTGAAAAGATCAAAAGACAAATCGGGATCTTCCCCACCTTTCAAAATGGCAGCATTGCCCGACTTGATAGCTAGCGCAGCAATATTTGCGATCACCTCCGGACGAGCCTCGAAGATAATCAACAGGACCCCGATAGGGCAGCTCACGCGCTCCAGGGTCAAGCCCTCATCCAACAAAGTTCGTAGGGTCACTTTGCCAACTGTTATTTCCGTCTTGGAGTTAGCCTGAATTTTACTCAATTGACTAAAATTGTGGAGAGTCCAAGGGCGGGAGTCACACCAGGATCCTCCAAGTCTCGAACGTTCAAAATTCCTTGTAGCATGTCATCATATTTGCCGGGCCGTGAAAGGTCGAGTCGTTTCAGCACACTGTGATTGAGGCTGCCGTCATTGGCAGCCCTCGTAGCTGCCTCAAGATCCCGGGCATTAGCCGCCAAGATAGCATCTCGGTTCCTATCCAAAGCTTGGTGCAATGCGGTCAGCGCATCATTTCGAGCACTGTTTGACAGTGTGGCTAGGTGACGCGAGGCGAGCGATGCGCTGCGGGCCACATCCACGGGGGCCGAATCGGTCAACGACATTGCTTCCGTTCGATCTCAGAGCAGAGCAAAGGCAATTTCTGAATCGTAATTGAGTCCTTTCGCAGGAGCGAAGATGCGAAATGAAGGATTGGGAGAGTTCGACAAGCAAGAGAAAGAAATCACGGGATGTGGGGCTAGGTCTGGTAATGAGCAAAGGTGAGTCAAGAACGAGCTTCTATACTCCGAAGGCGGGGGGAGTAGTTATCGAGTTATCGAGGGGCGTTTTCTTCTTTTTTCACTCACACGAGGACCAGCTCCGCTATCGGCTTATCGGCTTATCAGCTTATCGGCCGCCGTCCGACCGCTCGCTGGTGCGGAGCTCTCTCCAAACTGCCAAACTCCGGGCTGTCACCAACGACCACAACAACTTTCCCCGTCTTCCTAAACCATCCGTGAGAGAGAGAGGTCTTGGGCCTGGTTTTTCTATTGGACCTTCAGAGAGCTTGTTTCTACAGCTACCTTTCCTCTTTCCACCTTCGTTTCCTCAAGCCTCTTTTACACACTCACCCATTTTATTCATCCTCCTTCAACCGCTCTGCTTCATATTTCCATCTCCAACCCGGCTCACTTTGGATTCGACCCTGTCTTTGCTTAGACTCCGAGACACATTTGCGATTGAGGCTGCCAGCTTTTCAAGATGGAGGTCGTCGAGGGCCTTATGACCCAGTCCGCCCAGCTGCGTGAAGCTGCGTATCTGTCCGACCAAAACTATGACCAACAGATCCGTGAAACTGTGGCATCTTTGAGACATGTCATTTCGAAAAAGTCTCTTGCTGCCTTTGCCAGTAACGCGTCTCTTCTTGATGTGAGCAGTGATCTCTCCCTCCAAATCTGATCTGAGTGGCCAGCTTCTAATCAGTCTGCCTTTGCCAGCATTTCGACCCAGTTGCGGACTCTCTTGTCTACTTGTTTCTTCTTCGGGCTCAAATCCAAGCCTTCCAAGAGGAATCCCGTGAAAATGTGCCACCTGCCTTACTTCCTCCCGGAAATCTTTGGTCGAGGATCGTAACCTACCTGAGAGCTTTCGACCCCGTCCAAGTGAGATATGCAGGCCAAGAGTGGCGCCAGTTGGTTGAAATTGTTGCGCAGGCTGCACAGGTAGTTTCCAAGGTATATGACCATCCCCTTTCTCAACCCTTCTCCTCCGTGATCAAGAAACTGACGGATTTCAGCCCATCCTGGCCGTGCGACCGGTCAGAGATGCCATGTTGCGGCTGGACCCGTCTTGTGCAGTCTTCACTTCGACACACCTACTACTTGTCCGTCTCTGTTTGCGTGCAAGGGCATACACCCACGCGCTGCCCGTCCTTGATAAATATGTCTGCCACTTCCCTACGTCGATTTCCCACGCGACGTCCAAATTTCCCGTGTTGCCGTGTGCAGCACACGACTCAAGCCTGTCTTTTATCACCGAGACCTCCGGGATTTCGTCCAAGTTGGCGTATAAAGACTATCTACAATACTTCCTTCTCGGTGGAATGATCTACATGGCACTGAAACAGTGGGGCAAGGCGGCACATTATCTCGGGGTTGTTATCTCGATGCCCACGGCGGGTCCCATTAGCATGATCATGGTGGAGGCCTACAAGAAGTGGATACTGGTGAAGTTGTTAGAGAACGGCAAGGTGAGCAAATTATCTCGCGGACTCGGTCCACCCTGGATTGTCCTTTCTGATCCTAAGATATTCCGGCGCTAGGTATCCTCGCCTTCGAATCTGATCCCTTCGCATACGGCCAAGCTTTATCAGTCGCTGGCTAGACCATATGTCAATCTGGCCCACAGTTTTCAAAGAGGCGACTTGGAAAATCTGGAGGCAGAGGTTGATGCAGGTCGGGATATTTGGTGCACTGTAAGTCAGCCATGGATCTGGAGCCCGCTTCACCCGACCGTCACTAATGCACACTCTCTTAGGATCACAACATGGGCCTTGTCTCTCAAGTGCTTAGCGCCTTCTCCAAGCATACTGTCATGGGTATCCGACAGACATTTGCCGCCTTGACAGTCAAGGAGCTCGCAGATCAGGCATCATCCATGCGGATGAGTGACGAAGCCACAGAGTCAGCCATAGCTTCTTTCATCATGTCAGGTGCTGTGAAGGCCACTTTAGTACAACATTCAAGCGGGACAAGTTCAACCATGCTGCGGTTCTCGGCCGCCCGCTCCTCACCTCAGTTCTCAGATGAGAGTAAGGCACAAGCCTGCCTTGCACGGGAAAGTCAGTCTCTTGGGGCCTTGATGGAAAGTCTTCACGAGATTGGCCATCATATGGGGCTGAGCAACGAATTCGTTGATGGTATGCAGAGGGGGCAGATTTGGGCAAATGCGGACGATGCGAATACTGGCATTGGAGAGGACGCTGGACTCGAGATAGACGAGGATCTGATGGGTGAGGTGCCTTGAGAATGTAAAGCTTGAGGGGTAGAGAGCTATCTACCCCTATTCTTCTTAATCTCTTGATCACAATAGCCGATGATAATGATGACGACGACGATGATGATGATGATGATGATAGTCCTGTTCTTGAATGCGATAAACAATGGGTGGGCCTGAGGCCTGGTTTGCTGTAGGACATATGACGGCCCCGTCTGGTTCATACTTCATCGTTTCGGTCCTGAACCCGACCATCACGAGGCCAAGCAAGGAGAAACTGCAGGGAATCGAGTATTCCACTTGACCACTCTGGCAGCTCCCCGGGAGACAGTCTTGTCACTCATGACTTTCTTCTTCATTTGATTGTCTACCTAACGCCAGTAAATCTTATAGTATATCTCGCGCTATTCTTTGCGTTATACATCGGATATATCTCAAGATATTAGCAAGCTGTGCAAGGTCCCTAGAGGACAATAAAGGCCTCCATAAACGTCTTGAAATACTCTTATTGGGGGGGGGTTGCACTGCTAAAATATCCGTACCTGAACGTGGTGCCTACACATCAGTGGGACTGCGCCTCCTCGAAGCTCTTGCAGCAAACTTTCACAAGCATATGAACACCAAATTCATGACCTATATCAGCTGAATTATCCCATTAGACTCCTGAATCAGAGAAGTAAACATCGCCCGGCCATTGCTAATGTTTTGACCATTCTCAAAGGCATGGAACACGATTCTGGTACCGTCCACAGAAAAGTCGGAACCTCCTGGTCCAGAGAGAGGTCCAACGTTACTACTATCACCAGACACGAGTAACGGGGCATTGGGTGCTTGTGCTTTGGTGTATGGGCCCGTAATATTTGATGCGGTTGCATAGCTAACATCGTATAGTGGGGTGTCGTACATGTTAGATGAAAAGGAAAGGTAATATGTGTCACCCCTTTTCACCAAACTGGGTGCTTCGACCAACGGGCCATCAGCGTCACTGCGATCCAGAATTTGGATAGGGGAACCGTATGGAGTCACGGCATCCGAGTCAAGTGCTTGGAGCATGATTGGTGTAGAGTGAAGCGTGCCATCGCCATCAAGGCTATTGCCATCGATCTTGTAGACCACGTAGAATGAGCCATCATCGTAAAAGCCGTCAGGATCTATAGCACCACCCTGTTGTAGAGGGCATGCTAGAGGTGCGTTTTCCGGCATGTAGGGACCAGTCACAGTCGATGATGTGGCGACACCAACACAATGCTTGCTCGTGTCACTCGCGGCCGCGGCAGAGAAATACATGACATACATCCCGTCCGGCTGAAATCATACACCTTAGCAATGTTATTGTCAGGTGTTTTGCAGTATTCATCCTGACTTACCCGTTGAATCACGTCAGGAGCCCAGACGGCGGGAGAAGAAGCCACCCAGGGTGGGAATGGTCCGGGCAAAGCGTCCACTCCCGAAAGCAGGTCCCAGGACATGAAATCGGTGGACGAGGCGATTCGGACGTTGATACCATTTCCATTCGTAGCAAACGCATAGTACCCTTGATCCGTGTGTATCAAACAAGGGTCAGGAAAGTCGGTGTCCAAGGCCCGTATGGGCTCTGCCAAAACATGATTGCTGAAGGTCAGGAGAAGAGCTGGAATATAGAGAAATTGGTCAAACATTTTGATCCACAATGTATGGGAACCCCAGTGGTGAGGAGCGAAAAGAGGTGGATATCTGTTTTTAGAAGGACAAGCAGGCCTATTGATGGCCTATAAATATATGGTGACCATATGAATGAAGAATAGATGGACCTGTTCCCGCCAAAAGAGGACGCACGGACAGGAAATCCGACATACTACGTAAATTACCCAAGTGCAAACTTTATGTTTTAAGGATAGTAAGAGCAAGCCATGGGTATAGTTCTGAATCGACGCAGAATTCAAGGACTGTGTGTTTGGTGTATAGTCATCGGGGAACGTCGGCGGCGTGCCTGTCAGCCGAGGATAGGGTTCGAAAACTGTATAGTCTGGATGGAGTAGTACTGTATGAATCCACCCCGGCCGCGTTTCAGACCGAATAAGGCCTAGGTCAGGTTTTCGACTAACCATTAGGGACAAGAATAACAAAGGTCTGTGGCACCAGTCTAAGATTAGCAAGGGATAGCTCGCCTGTATGACTCTGGATCTGCGGCAATTAGAAAGCTAGTATTCTCTGTATCACCACTATACGCATGAGTGAAAGCAGGGAAGCACCTCGCGTGGGTGGCATGTATCATACTATGTGTTCCGTGCATCTCCACAAGCTTCCTTAAATCGGACTTGTTGTTGGGCTTGTTGATCCATGTAACAACCGAGTCTTCCAAGTTGAACAGAGAAGTATGTTCCTCACTCGATCTCGATTGACATTTACTGTCTCCAGGGTGAGTTGAGATCCACAACGGGAGTCCACTACGACTGCCCAGTATGCTCTGGCCCGATGTTCCCCGATACTGGTCCTCGGATTGCCATACCGGGGACTGCCTTTGGCGCATTCGCAGTGGCTGCGTGAAATTCTAGTCAATCATCTAAGCAGATATTTAGACGCAGACCATCCTTCCCACTGTAGTCGTTTTTCTTTTCTGAATAATACCCAATGCCCCCCTGTCACCCGACCTCTTCTTGTTTGACCAAACACCCAAAACCGCTCGTTTGCAATGACTGTCTCAACCGCAACCAAGGCGATGGCCTATCCACGACCCGACTTTCAACGGAAGGAGTTGAACTGGGCCTCCTTGAATGGCACATGGGACTTCATTTTTGATGATTCTGATAGCGGCCTGTCAGAGCTCTGGCCGCTGAATGGAATTCCAGCGGAGGCGGCAAAACATGCGAAACGTGAAATCCAAGTTCCTTATGCTTTCCAGACTCCTGCATCAGGAATCAATCTCCACGAAGCGCATGAGGTACTTTGGTATGAGCGCATGATCCAGGATATTCGAACACCGGAGGAACAGGACAGAGGCAACCGTCTGATTCTCCGCTTCGGGGCAGTTGATTACGAGTGTTCCGTATGGATAGACGGGCAGCTTGTCGGTGGCCACCAGGGTGGACATGTACCTTTCGACCTGGACATCTCAGATGCAGTTGCCAGCAAGCGCGAATCCCGTCTCACTATGCGTGTCCGCGACTCACCGACCGACCTCACCCAGCCACGCGGAAAGCAATACTGGGGCCCTGTCCCGGAGTCGATCTACTATACCCCTACGAGTGGAATTTGGCTTTCTGTCTGGATGGAGAGTGTGCCCATGACCCGATTGGGTTGCGGTAGCTACGGCACAATTCTTCGCTCGGATGATATCGAGAATGGCCAGCTCCATGCGCGGCTTGCAGTTATTGGCAAAAGACGGCGCAAGACTACATACCGTGTTGAAATAGAAGCCCGCCTTGCTGGTATCCTCGTGGGTCAAGTCACGAGCGACGTCGCCACTGATAAGGATGTCGTGAACTTGGACCTTGACATGAAAGTTTCTGCCTCGCGGAAGCCGAGATTACCATTCAGTTCCGACAAGTGCTGGCGCGATGGTGTCGCCCTGTGGGAACCGAACCATCCAATCCTGTATGACCTGACCCTGCGTCTGTATACCTCAGGACAACTGGTTGATGAAATCTGCACCTCAACGGGCATGCGGAGCATCTCCTGGAAAGCCGGGAATGGTACGTTCCAAATTAACGGCAAGCCTATTTTTCAGGCTTTAGTCCTCGACCAAGGTTACTGGCCCGAGACTGGCATGACCCCTCCAAGCCCGGACGCACTGAAAGCCGACATAGAGATGTCGATGGAAATGGGCTTCAATGGCTGCAGAAAACATCAGAAGGTAGAGGACCCCGTCTTCCTATACTGGGCTGACAGATTGGGCTACCTGGTGTGGGGGGAAATGGCGAACGCTTACGAATTTACAAACGACGCCGGGCGGTTCAACAGTGAGTGGATAGCGGCTGTGAAAAGAGACATCAACCACCCATGCATTGTCACATGGACCCCTGGCAACGAAAGCTGGGGCTATACCTCGCTGAAAGATGACGCTGAGCAGCGTAATCACATTCGCTCCATATACTACATGACCAAGTAAGTAAGCCACTTGGGGTGTAATCCACTGCGGGGGTTTGGCAATACGTTGCGGGGGCTGACTATGGCATATAGGACCCTTGACCCCAGCCGTCCAATCAATGATAATTGCGGTTGGGAACATGTCCTGACCGATCTGACTACATACCACGACTACGCCGACTCATCAGAACTATCCAAGTCATGCGCCAAGATGGATGGGGGGATTCTGGGCCAGAAGGCGAATCGAGACATGTTTACCGCCCCCATTTACGAGGGTTCTACTCTTGTCGATGCCGGTGCACAGCATACGCCTGGTGCTCCAGTCATCTGTACCGAGTTTGGGGGGGTCAATATCGCTCCTGCGGACGGTACAACGGCGGGTGAACGGGACTGGGGCTATACCACCGCCACTGATGCCAAGGATCTCCTCATTCGGCTTGAGAAGTTGATTATGGCTGTCGTGCGCGGCGGCCATTCGTGTGGTTTTGTGTACACCCAGCTGTGAGTCGTTTCCCGGAATACTTTACCTGATCGCATCCCGAAATTAGGGAGTCTAGTATGCTAACGCCTGAGTTAGGTATGACGTGGAGCAAGAGGTGAATGGATTATACTCGTATGACCGCAAGGCCAAGATTCCGGCCGCAAAGCTCAAAACGATCATTGACAATGCGCAAACCTACTATTATGCGCACGTCATGCCCAGAGACGCCGCATTGGAAAATGGCCATCAAAAGAGCATATAAGATAAAGCTTGACGTCCGATAGAAATACCATTTGCTCATAGAATTTCCTCTCTCGCTCTCTCTCTCTCTCTCTCTCTTTACTAATGTATAGCTTGGCCGAGATTTTGCCGATGCAATGCAAAATCCCGCTCGGTAGGCTCAGTAGACGGTAACGAGTTCTACACCCTTGACCATATAATTTGCGATAAGAAAAGAAGTTCACAGTCCAGTCAAATCGCGCGACAGAGATTGAAACATGAAGACACGCGGTCGAAGATGTAATGCAGGTAGGCAGCTTGGAGTCTCATGTCTGTGCACAAATAATTGGGAGATCTACCTCTCATGCATCTAGCTACGTTTCATGAAATATGATGATGATGATGATGATGATGATGATGGATTTGAGTGAGTTATAGCTCAATTAGAGATCAGCACATGGATATGCTATCGTACACTAAAGCATAGTGAATGTATCGACACACAGGGACGAGGATCCACCAGGTAGACCCCGTGACTAGCAAATGCAACGTGACATGTTCGAATGTTCTAACTCGATCTGCTCACCCTTTGGGCGTCATCGCCTCGCATCGGGGAACGTCGGTGTCGATTGATGTCGGGGAACGTCGGGGCCTGTTCGGCGCCAAGGTATCGTATTATGCATTCTGATGCAGTTAGGCTCGCCTCATGGCGCGCTAAGAAAGCCTTTTGCTCCCACTCCGGCACTCTTTGGCTACTACTCCGTACAATCAACTCGATACTCTCCTTTCTTGGTTGATCGGCCATTGGCACCGAGATGATCAGTCAAACAAGCTCGAGTAGAAGCCCCACCACCCCGACCTTCCCCCGCAGTTTCGGTCCAAATCCTGTGTGCAATCTCTCCTCAAATCTGGAGGAGACGCCTGGGGAAACCTAAATCTCCCCCGCAGAGAATCTGTGTTGCTTTCTAACTCCGAGCCGCTTGGTGGACAAGCTACTGCTTCACTGGTCTGCCTGGCCCCCACTCTTGCAAGGGTCGTTCCGACGCGATCATTCCTCTCCGCGATAGATGGACGGAGACTTTCCAAGCTGCTCCTGTTCGAAGGCTTTAATTTAGCGCCGCGGAGCCGACAACATTGTGAGATCCCTCGCTTAAAGTCGTCCTCCAAATGGGACAGAAAGGCCGTGCCTTGCCAGGTTGCCTCAGTATAAAATCTCCGAGTTGCCCCACGTTTGCACAATGGCTCAGTGCCTGCTGGCTTCACGTTCACACATTAATATTGCCAACTGTCACCTCGAACCATGTCGTCGGGTATCCAGAAAACCCCTGAGTTGCTTCAGGGGGAAAAGCTGATGTTCTTCATTGCGAGGACGGGTCAACCCCGGATCTCTTGGACTACGCCTTTGAGGGCGAGAATCGCGAGCATGAGATGGGTGTGTGGGAAGCGGCCAAGAGCCACCCTTGGGCTTGCCTATGGGCATTCGTTATGTGCTTCACCATTGTGTGTTCTCTCTCCAGCTCCCAACCCCCCCTTTGCAGGAATTCCTCCTGTGTAGTGTTGACGAGAAACTTGATGTCAAGCAAGCACTGACGCCTCGCAGGTCATGGAATCTTTCGACATGTTTCTGAATGGGAACTTTGTCGCACTGGGCGCTTTCCAACGGCAATACGGTGTCCTAATTGACGCGGCAAATGATATATATGCCATCCCAACCCGATGGCAAAGTGCTCTCTTCCAGGCCGGTCAATGTGGAGCGTTTGTCGGTGTTCTGATGGCGGGACCGATCACGGACCGTCTGGGCTATCGCTGGACGACTATATTGGCGTTGGTCCTCATGAATGCGACGATCTTCATTTCTTTCTTCGTAAGTAGTACGACGCACCTGAATGTTGACCGGATTCGTCTGACTCCATTTACTGAAGGCCGACTCCCTTGCCGTTCTGACCGTGGGGCAAGCATTGGAAGGTGTCCCGTGGGGATTATTTATTGCGAACTCACCCGCCTACGCAAGCGAGGTCGTGCCCCTCGCCCTTCGGGGTGCTTGCACGGCGACTCTGCAAATGAGCTGGTCGATCGGTGGAATTATAGTCGCAGCTGCCACCTATGGATATAATCAGCGGGACGATCAGTGGGCTTGGCGAGTGCCGCTTGCTTTGCAATGGATCTTCCCCGTAAGTTGAAGTATCGAACCGTTTCACTCGCAATGACTAACCCGGTCAGACCCCCCTCTTGATTCTCGTCTTCTTCGCTCCAGAATCTCCCTGGTGGCTGATTCGTCATGGACGTAAGGAAGAGGCCCTTCGCTCCATCAAACGACTCGGTACTGGAGACCCAGAGACGGCCCAACAGACATTCGCTATGGTGCAGCGAACCGTGGAGATCGAAACTCAGATGGGCGGTAATCCGAGATTCCTCGACCTTTTCAAGGGTACTGATTTACGGCGAACAATTATTATCTGCTTGATGTACGCGTCGCAAAATTTTGCGGGTAATCTAATTGCGAATCAGGCAACCTTTTTCTTCGAGCGTGAGTAGACTCCTGGTTGATGGAATATAGTACGGATGACTGATTGTTTCCTTTTAGAAGCTGGAATTTCGTCAAACCGTTCTTTCGAGCTTAGCCTGATCAATTCGTGTTTGGGATTCGTTGCCAACGTCTGCTCTTGGTTTATTTCGTCATGGTTCGGTCGTCGAACTATCTATCTTTGGGGCACAGCAACCAACATTACTCTACTAATCATTCTAGGTATCTGTGCTTCTATCAAGCAGAATCAATCGACTAATTATGCCCAAGCGTGCCTTGGCATCATCATCTCCTTCGTTTTTGCGGGTACCCTTGGACCCATCTCATACACCATTATTTCTGAGACCTCGTCGGTCCGTCTTCGGGCTTTGAGTACTGGAGTTGGTCGTGCCGCTTACTATGTCGCGGAGATTCCTATGATTTACCTGGCCTCTCAGATGCTCAACACCACGGGATGGAATCTTGCTGGCAAATGCGGTTACGTCTGGGCAGCTACTGCTTGCGTCTGTTGGATCGGTGCCTACTTTTGCCTCCCTGAGCTGAAGCACCGCACTTATCGCGAAAGTGATATCTTGTTCAACCGCAAGGTTGCTGCGAGGAAGTTCAAGTCGACCGTCATTAGCGTCACGGAGAATGAGTAAAGAATAGGTGTCGTTATGAAACACTACGAAATCATAGCGGAATGACTGAGAAGAGAGGAGATTTTTGAACTATTCCAGCTAGTGCAGAGATATACGAGATATACCATCAGTTGATTAGCGATGCAGTATCCTTAAAAAGATGTTAGATATAAGAGCATCCTGTCTATAACTTAATGATGTATTTGTCTCCTTGTTAATACATCCGCACAACAAATCCGGCTAGGAGAATGTTGGTCCACCGATGGCTTCAAACACCGCTAAATAATCCGTTTGGGTGCGACAGAGACAGCTATCTATGAAACCAACCATAGCCACGAAGGCCTGTTTGCATATAACGCCCCGATCGATTTCCAAGTGGCTTGCTCAATTACCTATCGCTTAAACACTGAAAGCTGGACAATTCCGAATACTTAACGGACCCTGAGACCAATTTACCTGCTCTAAGACCATTTTTCCCTTTTCTCGAAGCTCGCAAGTTGCCAACTACAGTAGCCCTCCGCACTATCCAACTAGGTCACGTGACTGGGGGGTCAGCTTAATTTCCCCCGTTCGTCTGGCCTCACGGAAGTAGTTGCCCTGTTGTCCCACATTTAATCTGTCCGCTCTCCTCCCCCGCTCCTCCGCCATGGGAAATGTTGCTCGATGAAGGCATTCGGACTGCACCAGACTAGACGTCAAATCTGTCCCCGTTCGTTTCCCGGACATGGAGGAATCCCGCACTTCGCGGAAACGGAAATCACCGGAGAGCGGTCCTCCTCCTCGAGTTGCCGGTTCATACCAGCGCACTAAGGCTGTCAATGCCTGCTTAATCTGCCGTGCCCGAAAGACCAAATGTGATAATGTTTGGCCAGTCTGCGGCTTTTGCAAAAAGACCGGTGGCGAGTGCAGTTATACCCAGCCGAGTCCATTAAGGCAACAAAACGCATCAACAGACCCTGTAGCTCCTATCGGCATGCTGACTTAATCATAGGTTCGATCAGGCCAGTCTTGAGATACTGAAACGATTAGACAGCCTGGAAAGGGTGATCGTAGACCAATCCCGCAATTGCTGTGCCCGTCAGCTTTTGGAGCATCCTAGCCCTGATCAAGCCGTGAGCTTGGCCCCGGGCGTTCATCGATCTCAGACGTCACCGCAGGACGCCATATCGCCGGGACTGTTGGGCCCTGTGTCAGATCGGTCAGCTAATGATGGAAGCCTGCCCATACCTTCAACGGCCTCGAATCCAACTTCGCCAGGATATGGCTCCAAAAGATATGCAGCAAGCATCCAGTCATTGCTAGATGTCCCTCCTGGGCCCGACGTTCTGTCTCGTGCAACCGAAGAAATGGGTATTGAGGCTATGTTACGATGGCCTGTTTGCAAAGAATATCTTCATCAGCTAGGGATCTCAACTTCTGAGACTCTGGTGGAACTGTTAGGTCAGGTTTCAAGTCACATCGCACCTGCTACAATTGGACATGAATCACCGGGTTTCAATAGGCAGACTATTCTTCATCTGGTGGAAAATTTCTTGGTCAATAACAACGTTAAAAACCCCATTATTGACCCGGTGGAGTTAAGACGTGACGCCGAGGAATTCCTGGACTCTTCGTACAGACACGGGGGAAGATTTTGTCGTCTGGTGAGTAGACACCAAGTTGCATGGAGATTCATGCTAATAGCCCGCTGTTTTAAGCTTCTTGTCCTGGCTATCAGCAGCATTTCCACATCCCTCACAGATCACGCACCTCCAGGACAAGTTATGGTTCCCCGCGACGCACCGGAGTTTCGAGCTGCGGATCTTTACTTTCAGGAATCTCAGCGTCATATGGGTACTCTCTACTGTGAAAACACCCTGATTTCTGTGCAGTGCGCGTTTCTGTCGGGTGTTTACTTGATGTATACCATGCGTATAATGGCGGCATGGAAAGCGTTCGTCCAAGCTAGTACCCAGTGCCTGGGTTACTTTGCTTCCCGACGACGGCTCAAAGTTTCATTCGAGTCTCATGCCCAAAGTAGAGACGAGGTCTTAGAACACGGTGGCCAAACTTCTGCCAACTTGAGGGCTCTGGAGGATTCATTGTATTGGAGTTGCTTGAAAAGTGAAATGTAAGAAACAAATCGTCAATGGTATGCTGGTGCTTACTGTTTCTCTTTTAGCGAACTTCGTCTTGAATTGGGACTTCCAGGATCTGGTATTAGCGGTATACAGTATCCGAATATCTTTCCATCTGTCCCCAGTCTCGATTGCTCCGAAATCAACGCTCGATCAAGCCAAACATCATCATCATCTGAAGCTGATAGAGGATTCCTAGTCAATGGATGGCTTTTCTATTTAGGGGAAATCGCGCTGAAGAGAATGCAATACCGAGTCCTTACCTACCGCTATGAGCATAGCGATGGCAGCACTTGTCGTGAGGAAGACAGTACTGACGGAAACTCTGCTCTCTGGCATAGCGTGGTCGAATTCGACATGCAGCTCCAACAATGGTAAGCTAGTCTCCGTTCAGCCTGTCACGGCTTGACTGTTAATCACAAACATAGGTTGCAATGGTTACCCCCTTCCATGCGCTTCTCTGCCACATCCACCGAGCCTCTATACGACATCCTGCCCTGGGTGCTACGTGGCCATCACATTGACGTTATTGAAATTCTTCGATTTCCAGCCATTTTAGTGATTCTGAACAATCGCAAGCTCGGTCCTTCGGCAGTCAACGCCAACTTGCCGTCTGTATGCTCTGAAACTACCTCCCAATTGGCCAAAGAGTACCTCGAAAGTGCGGTCCGTCGAATCGAGGCGAATGCAGAGGGGCTTCTTCATCGCCACCAAGGCAGTTGGCTGACGATGCGTAGCTGCACGCGTAGCGCCCTAGCGTTATTGGCTTTGAAGCTGCATTGCCAGTCAGAATCTCAAAGCAACTGCAGTGAGGATCAAGTACCAGAGGACACTCGAGCAAATAATTTGACGCCCTCACGAGTGCCTTTGCAGGCTGACTTCATCCTACCAAGCCGATGGAGACATGCCGTAATCCTTGTGTCATCAATGTTGAAGGCGTGGGAATCGGAAAGTCCTGATGTTGGTCGATTAAGGCTTGTGGTTGAGGGCTTATTGAGCCTGTGTCGCGCGTAATTGGGGTCAACTTCTGGGATTTTAGCGCACCTTATTACGCATACGCAGATTCGTCGGAGAGATGATTTTCCCCGAGATGGGCGTGATATCATACCGAACATCCTCCATTCTAGCTCGAGATGATCGAACATACTTTCGTACATAATTCTATGTTATAAATACCCCGCCTCATTCCGATATCCTATGCCTTATCTGACATGCGGCTATTTTAACGGGTACACGGGGATCGTGATCGTCATTATATAGATAATTTGAACACCTAAATCTTTAATTTTTTATTAATTACTAAAATATCTCCTCTATTTCTTTTTAACTTTATTAGCTAGGAATTCTAATAGTAAATATTCTATTAGCTTAACTAATTAAACCTTATTTAGTAAGAGATTTACTACCTAATACTCTAGTAAAATAATTATTTAGAGAATTTTATAATCTAGATATACTAATCCTAACTATAGAGATTTCGAATTTATAATACTCCGTAATATATCTCTATACTAAGATCTTCTAATTTAATTACTAATTTAATTCTAATATTAAATATAGAATTAGATCCTCTATCTTATTAACTATTATTCGTAAGAGAAACTTTATTAATTAACCTAATTATAATAATTTTAATAAATCTACTACCTATACTAAGGAGAACTATAAAATTAGTCTCTGCGGAACTAATACGAAGATCTTCGAGACACCTAAATCTACGTTAATTAGGCTATAGTATAGTAAAATACCCTACAAAAGGTCGTATATAATCACAAGAAGATTGTGAGATATAGGGCAAGATGCCTAAACCGTTATGCAGCATATCAAGCCAGATTCATAAGGCCTATACAAGATGGCTGAATCTCGTATAGCTTTATACTATACCATCATCACTACGGTTTATGACATCAAGTAAGACGTATACAACAGTATACGATCTACATCATCACTACGGTCAATAACATCGTACAATCAAGCAAGACGCATACAATAGTATACGATCTACATCATCACTACGGTCAATGACATCGTACAATCAAGCAACCACCGATTAAATAGCTACTATATGAGATCACTATGCATCTAGATCTATCTGCATAAGATCATTATGCATCTAGATCCTAGATCTAGAACGATCACATGCAAGAAACAAGTTTGTAAAAGATTGATTATAAATATGCCCTGCTTTCTCTACCAAGATATCAATTATTAATTATACAGATCAGCAGATTCAATACAATCAACCAAGCTTTAGTCCTACCTCACTCTTCTCTTATCTTATCTTTATGATTCTAAGCCGAATTGATTTTATCCTTCCTATTCAATTAAGAGGAAGAAAAGATCAATCGATCTTATTTAATTATCTTTGATTTATCTTCCTCTTAACTAACCTACGCAGCATCGCTTACTTATAGGTTATAAGCCCGAATTAATCCTACTTCAATTCGGCTTATACTACTTCTTTAATCTTCTATCTTTAACAAAGAATCCCTTACTTTTAAGAGAAACTTCTCTCTCTTAAAGAGAAACAAAAAGCTCCTCTAACTTCTTATTTTCAAAAATTTATACTCGATTTTTACCGGTCGCGTCTACTTCTCTATATAAAACACTAAGAAATCTTAACTTTCTTGATAAAAACAATTATTTTTCAAATATTCAATCAAGCTTCTTTAACTCAAAATAATCAACAAACACAATATCGATCCTCTTAAAGGAGAAGGAAATTATATTACCTAGTCTATCCGAATTAAGGCGATTCTTAATTAAGAGAGACTAATTAATATAATCTAATATAATTACATAAAGCTTCCTGCTATTCAACAAGGCTAGATTCCTAATTAATACTAGTCTTATAAAAAAGTAATTACTCTACTACCTAATTAAAGATCGCCTAATTATAGAAATACTACGATTTAGTTAGGAAGAAGATCTAGTAGATCTAGAAGATCTACTAGCCCTACTATCTCTAAGATAGGCTAGAATAAGCTAGTTATTGTGAGCAAGCGATGCTGCGCAGGTTAGGTAGAGAGGAAGGAAGATTAATTGATCTTCTTCCTTTAATTGAATAGGAAGGATAAAATCAATTCGGCTTAGAATCATAAAGATAAAATAAGAGAAGAGTGAGGTAGGACTGAAGCTTGGTTGATTGTATTGAATCTTGCTTGTATGTATTATGAACATGATTATTATTTTGGTAGAGAAGGCAGGGCATATTTATAACCAACTTGTCTCTTGCATGTGATCGTTCTAGATGATGCATGATGATCTCATGCGGACAGATCTAGATGCATAGTGATCTTATGCAGTAGCTGTTTGATCGGTGGTTGCTTGATTGTACGATGTCATTGACTGTAGTGATGATGTAGATCGTATACTATTGTATGCGTCTTGTACGATGTCATTGACCGTAGTGATGATCTTGTACGATGTCATTGACCGTAGTGATGATGGTATAGCATAAAGCTTATAGAGATTCAGCCATCTTGTATAGGCCTTATGAATCCTGTATAGCGGTTTAGGCATCTTGCCCTATATCTCACAGTTATCCTATCTAATAAATTTAAAACTATTAATTAAATAAATCGAGACGCCCTATTATTAATTAAACTATTATATAAAGATAGCCTACTCTTTTAGCTAGGAGATACTATATCAGCCTACTAAGTATAGATTACCTTAGCTACTTAATATCGACTAAAAGGCTTTACTACCGAATTCCTTATATTAAAAAGCCTATTTAATAGCTAATTAAGCGATTTTAATAGTATATATAACTATCTTACTAAGATAAGAGCCTACTAATTGAACTAGTAAGCCTAGAAATCGATTTCCCTAAGTAAATCGTCTTCGTATAGGTCTTGAATAAATCGATTAAAGTTATATACCTATTATTTAAAATATTATTCAATCTCTTCGTAGAGATTCTAATTCCTATTCGATTAAATCGCTATTCGCTAATCTAATTAACGAATCGCGCGGTTATATTTAATCAACCAAACAAATCTTTATAGCTAATAGCTATAGCAATTATTAATATAAATATCAGGCTAATCGTAAGCCTAAATATTAGGTAAAGTACTAATTAAATTATTAAGCTAATTAAAAACGTCGAATTAGTAAAAAACCCTAGAAAAAATTATTAAATTTAGGAAGATACTATACGTATTACTATATACGTAGTTATATAGTATCTAATTACTAGTATCTATATCCTTCTAGTAGGCTAGCTAATTAGAAGCCCTGGCTAATTAGGCCTAAAACTAATTAAAATCATTAAAAGATTAATAAATAAAAGAGGATAATTATAGTAATACTTAATAAGAATAAGTAATCTAATAAGGAAGAAATCCACGTTACTAGTTATATAACTAATTACCCTGTAGAAGCTAAAGAAACTTTAGCTAGTAACCTACTACCTACTAGCCTATTAGTAAACGATCTAATTAATCTTAATAGTAATATCCGTTATATACTAATTAGTCTAATTAACTATCGATTAGATTATTAGATAGAATCTAATATACCTATAACAGAGACACAAAACCTAATAAGAGATCACTTATTTTTAAGTAATAAATCTATAGTGAATATACTAAGAAGTCTCTTACTCTACAATAACTTCTCGTATAAAACTAATCAGGTAAATTATCTACCTATTAAAATAAACTAAGAAACTAATTCTAATATCACTATAGAAAGTGTATATAATCTAATAAGTTTAGATCTTTCTACTATAAAAGTGATTTTTATTATTAATATAGCTACTACTATTTATATAGTATCTAAATTAGATTTATTTAATAGTATATATAAAACTAATAAAACTATTATATAGGGAAATATATAAAGATTATCTATCGATCTTACTAGAGATATTATCTTCTAGACGAATACTAATCTAGTCTATAAACTAACTAATATACTCTATATCCTATAATTAGGAATTAATATATTAAGTATATATATACTAAAGAATTCAGTATCTCTATTTAATAGAGAAAAAGCTACTATTTTCGATTAATATCGAAATATTATACTAATTAGGTATAAGTAAGATAATCTATATTAAACTATCCTATATATAAAAAAGCTATATAAGGTAGATTCTAATCAAAAAATCTATCAAGATTAATCTATCTAAAGTACTAGTAATATTACTAGTTTAAAACTTTAGTATAATAGATTAGGCTATATAGGCCTAATACTACTATAAAGACTACTAAGCTAGGCTAATATATCTCTATCTAATACTAAGATAAGAGATTATATATAAGATATATACGAAATATATATATAGTTAAAATATAATAGGAAGATTAATAAATCTTCTACTTCTACTACCGAATACGGTATAGGCAAAAGAATATATAGCGATATTAGAGGGCCTATTAGCCCTAAGACCTATAATAGCTATCGCTACTATATCACGTTTCTTAACAAAGTATTAAGATATCTTGTGAGCAAGCGATGCTGCGCAGGTTAGGTAGAGAGGAAGTAAGATTAATTGATCTTCTTCCTTTGATTGAATAGGAAGGATAAAATCAATTCGGCTTAGAATCATAAAGATGAAATGAGACAAAGTAAGGTAGGACTGAAGCTTGGTTGATTGTATTAAATCTTGCTTGTATGTTTTAAACATTATTATTATCTTGGTAGAGAAAGCAGGGCATATTTATAATCAACTTGTCTCTTGCATGTGATCATTCTAGATGATGCATGATGATCTCATGCAGATAGATCTAGATGCATAGTGATCTCATGCAGTAGCTGTTTGATCGGTGGTTGCTTGATTGTACGATGTCATTGACTGTAGTGATGATGTAGATCGTGTCATTGACCGTAGTGATGATGTAGATCGTATACTGTTGTATACGTCTTACTTGATGTTATTGACCGTAGTGATGATGGTATAGCATAAAGCTTATAGAGATTTAGCCATCTTGTATAGGCCTTATGAATCTGGCTTGATATACTGCATGACGGTTTAGGCATCTTGCCCTATATCTCACACCCCC